CGTGTCCTGCATAAACCTCTTGGACTTGTTCACAAACCCTAAGATTTTGGACCATTTTTTCTCGGGGAGTGTTTTGGTGATGTCCTCTCCTTCAAAGATTTCGAATCTAGACCTAGCATACCTATCACACTCTGCGAGGTAGTGCCTTGCCGTTTCTTCTTTTATTTTGCAGAAGCGGCAAAAGGGATCTGGTAGGATACCCATTACGAAGAGGTGGGCAGTGCCCCGTCAGAATACCTATCAGCCTCCTAATTCCCTTCCTTGAGATAGAGAATAGCCATTTCGATTCTGCTGGTTTGATTGACTTAACAAACTTCATTGGGTACTCAAACCAAATCTTTCATTCATAACCTTCAAACAAAGTCCCTCTCTCATTACTACTGTCTCATTTCATTGATGTTTTATGACAAATAAGCCTGATTTATCAATTAAAGCTGTTTCGCTTTGATAATAATGCAGAAAAATAGTTCAGATTGCACCAGATGATCCTGTACGACTGTATAAGGGACCTCACAACTGTCGTGTATTATCATTTTGAATAGGAAATAAATTGCTTAAAAATGAATAGGGCTATTTGTAATTTATTATTATTCTACTAATTTTAATTTAATTAATCGATATATTCTTGTTAGTTGGATAAAACAAAATAGAAATACAGACCAAGGGGCCGTGGTTGTGGGTTCGACTCCCATCATTGCCTCTGGACTTTTTTTCTGACGCCTAAGGGGACGCTGGCCGCAATTGAAAGAAATTGACACGGCACTCATCAGTGGAAGGTCTGGAGCAGGATCGGATCTCGGCGACCCTGAATTTGGTCCCAACCCCCTTCAAAAATGAGTTTCTTTGATGGAAGAACACCGCACACCGGGGGCTCAAATTCACATGCATGGAACAAAAATGGTGCCAGGAATATAGTACAGTAAACCGTATTACATAGTTCCTGGTATCCATTGTAAAAAATAAATAAATAGAATAAGAATAAATTACAAATATCCCTACTCATTTTTGTGCCAATTATTTAGATAACCTTCTTTGTAGTTTGTACCCTTTCAAACATGAGCGGTTCACTGCTTGATCCGGATAACCAAATAATACATACTCCAAATTGCAATGAACAAGTTTTTATGCTGAATATATTTTTAAAATCCATCTGCCTTTTTAATGAACCCCAAATTTTAAGCCTTAAAGACCTTTTCAGTACTCGTGATGAGTCTCAGTCCAGCCCAAAAGCTCCGCAGGCCCAGTGTTGTCTCCTTTGGGCTTATATGCTCCACAGTTCTAGGCTTATACTCCAATGTGAAGTATAATGTAAATTTAAATGGGCGAGACTTCCCACTCCCTTCCTTTCCTGTCCTCATCATTAGTGAACCATTTTTTTTCTACCTTTCCTGTTCACAATCTGGCCCGTCTCTCAAACTTTTGTCAAATTGCCACTCATTTTTCTGAAAAAACCATCCGGCCACAATATCACCCTCTAATTAGAAATGTTCTACTTACCCTCTTGTCTCTGCCCTTCCCAACCCTCTACCATATTGTCTTTCTGATTTTTCACCTCTTGTCTGTCAAGTGGCATCAGTTTTAATTTTACATCATTTGGGGGCCCACAGCCAAGGCTATAGACAGAGGAATGCGATTTAACATCCTAAAATCAGTCCCAAAAAAGTTAACTCCTTATGCACCAATACACTTCTTTCAGTTTTGTGTTTGACTAAAATAAAGATTTGAGGTGTCATAAAATGTCTTGTAGATCTGTGACAAGACCTTCTGATGGTTGAGTCACACTGAAAAGTTCGCCAGGCAGTTTGTCTTCCTATACACTACCTGGGATAGAGAAGCAGTTTTGCACATTACTTCTAAGACCTCCCTCATTGGTGTTTTGATTTTTATTTTATTTATTTATTTTTTTAATGAGGTTCGTAACCACAGATGCCCGACCAACCTTATTGTTTACATTTTTTTTTTTTTTTATAAACTAAAATTCCCTTTTCTTAAATATTTTTATATAACAAGTGTGTGCACCCTTAAAAATCCATTGTTACAAAGGTTTATATTGTTTTAGGTTGGTACCTGGTATGGAAGTTATTTTTGCTGAGGTTCAGATTTGTTCGTGAGCTGTTGGGTGGGATGCAAGACGTGTCTGGACAGGCACAGCAACAGACAAAGCACAAGACTAAAAGGACGAGACTCGATTGATACAAAAAGTCACCATGAACATCCGTTGTGCCAGGCCTGAAGACCTGATGAACATGCAGCATTGCAACCTGCTCTGCTTGCCTGAAAATTATCAGATGAAGTACTACTTCTACCACGGGCTGTCTTGGCCTCAGTTGAGCTATGTGGCGGAAGACGAGAAGGGCAGGATCGTCGGATACGTCCTGGCAAAGATGGAAGAAGACAGCGAGGACAACCCGCACGGACACATAACCTCATTGGCTGTCAAGAGGTCGCACCGTAGGCTCGGGCTCGCTCAAAAGCTGATGGACCAGGCCGCCAAAGCAATGGTCGAATGCTTCAAGGCCAAGTACGTCTCCCTGCACGTCAGGAAGTCAAACAGAGCGGCATTGAACCTGTACACAAACACACTCAATTTTACGATATCGGAAGTCGAACCAAAATACTACGCTGACGGGGAAGACGCCTATGCAATGAAGAGGGATCTTGTCAAACCGTCTTACACACAAAAGCTCTGACAAAGTGCCTGTGAAAATAGACATTTCGACGAAAGATCCAGTTGTGCTAAAATAAAACAAAATTAAAATGTGAAATTTAGTTTAGTTTCCCTCAAATGAATATTGTAATTTAGAAATCGATCAAACACAGAACATTTTTGATCAATTACGGGGTTAAATATTAATTTTCTGTTTCTTTATTAAATTTGTTTTGTTCTCATTTCTTTATTTTTAATTTATTAAAACCCAAAAAATTTTGAAAAAAACTTTTCTATCATTTTCACAAAATGAATCAATTTCAGTTATTAAAAATAAAACATTTCAAATTTCATCAGTGAGACAATTAAATTTATTATTTATATTTAAAATTATTTTTCTGTTGAAAGAAATATGAAATGACTGACGTTAAAAATTAATCAAAAAATAAATTAAAAAAGTAGAAGATATGAAAAAAAAAACTTCCCACAAGTTTCAAAATTTTCAATTCGAACTCTACAAAAAGTTGAATTTAATAATTATATTGTTTATGTAAAACAAATTTTATTATTATTAATGCCTATTTCTTCAGATTTCCAGGTTTAATTCTTGCTTGGAGGTAAAGGCGTGTTTTCACAATTCACCAAAGCAACAGTTGCTGCTGTTCAAGTTACTTGAATCAATAGAAACTGACCAACTTTTGATTTGTAAAACGTGAAACTTCACTATAATGGACTTAGGAAATGAAATTGATTTGAACCCAGGGCCTTTACCATAGAGTGATGAGCTCTGTGTCAACATTCACGAGAGTTGCTTTCAGAAAAACCATGTGACTGTCCTGTCGAATCCGGGAATATAGTTCCTGTGCAAATCCAGGTTCCATTGCATAATGGTGGATAGAGGTACAAAAACGTGCAATTTATTTGTGTGGTTAATGAATTATTGTCTTTATCGATATTTTTTTATAAATTAACATTTTTAAAATTTCCATCCATAAAATTTAATTCTTGCTCGTATAGGGTGGAAAATAATTTGTTATGTGAGACTGCTTGGCAAATTTCTCATGTTGCTTTTACGTTAAGGGGCCTCAATTTCTCTCTTAAACTTCAAACTAGGAGCGGGTCGTATTTAACAGCTTTTTCATCGAGTTGTTGCGAGATTAAAATTTCTCTGTTGTTTTGTAGAAAAATTTTTGCCTGTGTAAAACACTCAATTAAAAAAAGATAAATAAAATAGGAAATGAAATTTCATAACACTTGCCAAAATTTTCATCCTCCCTGTTTTCTGTTTGTCTTCCACCAATTACAATAACTCTTCTTCAGTTAGCTCATTAGATTTTATTATTTCATAAAGTTCATCTTCCCTGATTTGATGTTGGGGTTGCACGATCTCTTCTTGAAATGTTATAGGTGAAAGATGGTTCTCTTTAACAACCACTTTTGGCCAAAATTTCCTCCAACATGCATTGATTGAGCTCGGCTTTAATTCCATCAGTGAGGCATCAATATATGTGATGCAATCTGCTATGTTGAATTTTTCCAGCTTGAAATCACTGTTTCTTCCGAACGCTAAATCGAATCAAAAATTCTTTTGAAGCATTGTCCTTTGTAATATCTTTTAAATGCAGCAATGATTCCCTGAACTAAGGGTTGAATTAATGACATCGTATCTGGTGGTAAAAATATCACATTAATATTAGGTATACTTTCCTAAAGGTAGATTGGGGATGAGGCCATGAAGACAGAAACATTTATTTTCTTGTCGAGCTTCTGTTATCTACACACATGTACCTGTTCATATAATATAACGGTTTTTTTTCGAAGTCCTGATGAAGGCGATATATTCTGCCGAAAGCTCGACAAGAAAATAAATGTTTCTGTCTTCATGGCCACATCCCCAATCTACCTTTAGGAAAGTATATTTAAACCGAGAAGGCTGATCAAACACCAAAGAAAATATTAATATTAGGGTGAGCTCCTATCAAAGTTGGGGGATGTCCAGATGCATTGTCTATTATTAAAATGACTTTAAAGTTAGTGGTTTTTGGTAGTGAGGTAGTTTTTAACTTCAGCGATAAAACAAACATTAAACCAATTCTGGAATAAAACACCCATGAACCACGATTTTTTATTAGCTCGCCAAAAAATATTTATTTTTTCCCTTCAATGCTCGCGGATTTTGGGACCAATATGACATCATTGGCTTTAGTTGAAAATCAGAAGGGAAATCTTTTGCCACATGGAAGCCTGGAACTAACTGTTCAGTTTTGGAAAGGAAGGTCCTACTTGACATTTTCTTACAGAATAAACATCAATATATTTTTATTATTTTATTTATTTATTTTATTATTTTTTTTTTTTTTTTTAAGTGCTCTGGGAACTGGATTTGCTGCTTCGTGGTTGGCAGACACCGATTCACCAGACAATTTTATATTATGCTTTTTTTTACTTTTGCTTGCCTGGAAATCAAACGATGATGTAGAATCTTTGATAATTTCATCAAATAATTTTTATTGCAGGTTACAAAATGGATGAACAAAATGAAATGAAAGAGGAAAAATAAATTTAAAAAAATTACCAGGCAACAAAACATTGAAACATTGTGAGGTTGTTGATTTTTGTGAAAAATTATTCATTTGACTTACAGAACCATTTAGGGATGTTTACAAATCTGAAGAATGCTATCCAAAAGTGTTTTTTTTCCTTCTTCTCTCGTGAATAATCAAATTCATGCAAATAAGCGAATATCACGAATGTTGTGGGATTACTGTATTAAGTTTTTCCATTCAGTTTGGTCCCTCACTCTTACAAGAAATATTATTAATAATAAATAATTGTTATAAATTTGTCGAATCAAGCTGAAGATGCTTTAAAATCTGTGTCCTACATGTTTTGCAGCTTATAAGGCCTTTTCTCAGATAAGCTGACCAGAATCATGGTGCAAGCTGAACACAGCAAAATGGTTTAAAATCTATGGATACACTAGATATTTAGGAAAAAGTTATGCTCAATTTGTCATATCTATGTTTTTAAAGTCTAACTAAGTTCCTTTTTACTCCTTAAAATTTCACTTGGGGTGAAACAACTGGTCTTTCCAGTGGATAACTTTGCAGCTAACTTTTTCATTTTCAATCACTTTAAATTAAATTTTTTTTTTAAGCATCAAATGCATACTTTACGCATGAAGTACTTAACCTGATTGCTAAGTGACATAATCAAAATCTAGGAATATTAGGAAATGATGGAAGGTGAACAAAACATGGGGAATTACATTTTTCAGAAAACCATTTTCCAGAAGACCATTTTCTGGAAGCAGCTGGGGGTTTTAGAATTGAAACGGCACTCATCAACGGAAGGTCCCTGTGACACTGAATCCAGTCCTGATCCCCCTCAAAAATGAGTTTCTTCGCTGGAAAGTGGCACACTCACATACACGTTGTCCAAAAATGGAGCACTATAAGTTACAGTGCTCGGGGGAAACGCCTCCACTTAATGGTATACATAACAATAAAAAAATTTAAAAATCCTCAACGTGTGGTGGTGTCCTTCAAGCCGCGGCGAAAGGGAGAGACACAAAAATCCCAAACAAAAATAAATTATTTTTCCACCTTGAGACCAAAACCACTATAACAACCAACAATTACCACCAGTCAACACAAATCCTTTACCTTGAGGTAAATGTGCACGAGTTTGGTAGAGGAAATCCGAGAGGCTTTTTCCTTGAGGATTTCCTGTGTGTATGGCTACCTTTAGGGTAAAGATATCACAAGCCCATTCTTGCGTGAGAGTAGAAGTTTTGGATCCTAAAACAAAGTGCATAAGAACAGTTGTAGTTCACAGCAGATTGCCTTAAAATTAAGCAATGAATATTTTATACCATTCTTTTCTATTGAACAAGTGTTGGACCCTAGCGCCGTCCAGTTCAAGATTTTACCATTGTTTTATTTATTTTCTTTTTAAAGAGGGTATTTCAACTGCGAGGTTATATGAACCTTTGGGATGCTGGTGTTTTTGAAAAAATGCCCATTTGCAAGTATGTCGGGTTCGAATGACCCATAACAATTACAATTTACACTGCCTTAAATCAATTGAATAGGCTAAACCAGCAACGCTGTTTTGCGGGCCCTAGCGCCGTCTATTTCAATTTTTTTATTATTGCTTTAATTTTTTTCAAAGAGAGTATTTCAACACGAGGTTATTTGAATGCCCGGTGTTTTTGAAAAACGGCCCATTTGCAAGTATGTCGGGTTCGAATGACCCATAACAATTACAATTTAAACTGCCTTAAATCAATTGAATTGGCTAAACCAGCAACGCACTTCTGTATAACATAAGTGTCGGACCCTAGCGCCGTTCAGTTCAAGACTATTTTTTATATGTTATATGAATACTCGGTTTTTTTTTGTAGAAAAAATTTCTGATGAGGGATCTTCTAGCTAAACAGTTTGGGAAGCCCTGCCTTACAGCAATAAGCATGTGTCAACCATAAACCTTGAGGTCACCAACGCCCCAAAAAAACCTTTAAAACTTACTTGCACCTCCCTTCAATAGAATAATAATTAACTTATAAGAATTACAATTTACACTGCCCTAAATCAATTAAAAAATAGACTATATCAGCAACACACTTTCGTATTGCTTTGACCTGCCGAGTGTCAGATGGTCACTTTGGCTGTGGTCATGAAAAACGCATTAAATTTACCTGTTAACGTCTAAGCTACCTACATTGTGGGGTTATAGCTTGTCTTCAGTGGATTAAGAATATCTGATTGCCCGAAGTCCCCTGGCAAAATATTTTAATCATGCCTCATGAATATACATAGTTATTCAGAAATCGTGAGATGCGGTCTGGTGTGATGTAGGTTTCAGGAAAACATTTTCTTTATCGTGCCAGCATTTCGATCTTTATTGAGATCATCTTCAGGGCTCAAAGTGTTTGTCTTCTGTGTAATTGTGCCATTCTTGCGTGTCGTGTTGAGATGATCTCAATAAAGATCGAAACGGCACGATAAAAAATTTTTCTGAAACCTACATCACCAGACCGCATCTCACGATTTCTGAATAATTATCGATTAACGGTCACTAATCACCACACAAATATACATAGTTTTTAAGACATAAAATACGTCTTTGTTTAAATTGAAAAAAATTATTGTTTAATTATTATTTTCCTTTTTTAATCAATTTATTTTAAAATTTTCATTAATTTATATTATAAAAAGGCACCTGATCCATTTGATTTCAGGTCTTATTAAAACCTCTGAGACTCTGTTTTTTAATAATTAGGATTCAGGGTTGGACTAATATTGCTTGGATAAAAAAACAAGCATAATTCACATATTACACTAACCTTTCTTGTAATTAGATCAAACTTAAGTTGAATTAAAAACAACAAAAAAACTAAAAGGACATATTTCTTTCTTTTTTTTTAAACAAAACACTACAAAAATAAGAAACAAGGGCGATATTTATGTACGAGAAAGATTACACACACAAAAAAAAAAGTAGCTGAATAAAAAGTAAACAAGCAAATAAAATTACAAAATATTTATGATATTATCCACTATAATATTCTCTATTTCTAAAATATTTATACAAAAGGCACATGTTTTTCTCCGTTAAGTTTATTATGTGGGTATATAGAAGTGATTTTTGTTAACATTCCCTAAGCTTATTCTAAATATTTAAAAAAAAAAATTAAATACAGAATAACAGGTGGTAGACATAATTTTCCATTGATAAAAAGAAATATTTTTGTACACACAACTGGAGTTAAACAAAGGGAATGCATAAAAACCTTAAGATTTTCTAATGTAACATGTAAGTCCAATAACTGACAAATAAATAAAGGTAACAATTTTTCCCCCTGTTTAACAATGCTCTGTTTTATAATAATTGAGCGTAAAAACATTAAACTTTGAGGGGGGAGGTCAAAATTTTGGCAGTGTCAAGACTAATAACAATTTTTTTTCTTTTCATAAAAGATTAAAAATTTAATATAATATAAAAACAAACCCTCCCCTTTGTTTGAATTTAAAAAAAGGCAAATAGAATAAATAGTCTTGGGGCGAAATAATGAGGAAATTTCTTGCTGAGAAATTAACACAAAGAATTCCCTTAAAAAGAATTAAAAAAAAAAAAAAAAGATAAGCCTTTTTACAGACTTAATTTCTCACAGTGCTTTCACAATTCGATTTGCAAACGCAATGACTAGTTTTTTGTTTGTTTTTTTACGATCCATTTTTCTTTAAATTCGCTTCGCCATTGAATGAGGACCGCCGTCTTAGTGGAATCGCCTCTTTTAACACTTTGCGCCGCTGGTCTGGTTTTGTAGGAAGGGAGAGACGCCTCCTGGCATCCGGGTGCTTGCGCTTTTCTCCAACTACAGTCTTCTTCGGTGTGTTCTTTTTATCCGAAGTTGGCTTCCTCCTCTGTCCCGAGTCTCCGATGTTTGACATGGTCTGATTGCACGAGATCCCATTGTTCGAATTCGGATGTGGCTTCTGGTCGACATTATTCCAGTGTTCCTTTTGCGTTTTCCATGATTCTTGTAAAATTCTATATTGTTTTTAAATAAAACAAAAAGTTTATATTTTTTGATAAATAGAAAAAAGTTTTTAAAAAAGTGTAAAAAAAAACTGACTGGTTGATTTCTGTGTCGGATTGTATTATCTCTTGAACTTTCTGCATTATCATGAACAGTGTTACAGGTGAGACTAGGCCAAAATCGAATAGTGAACACATATGGAGGACGAAATTGCGATAAAGATTCTTTTTGAGAAGTTCTTTCCCTTTTTGCTGGAGAAAAGTTGTACAGGCCAGCGGCACCTGGCAGTCGCCTACAAACCTGGTGAAACAAGAAAATTTCTCAATACATGTAGTCATTAAAAAGACTTAAAGTACAGACATCGAGCCGTGTTTCATGACATGCAAGTTCCACATTTTCATTAGTTCCTTTTCGCCTTCATTAACATCGGTGAAATCATCAATCATCATGATGGTCTTCTTCTGGAGCCATCTAGGGTCATTCTCATCCTCAGAGTCGATGCCCATCTCTTTAGGATAAATCGGCAGGCAGGTTGTTGTATGGTGGTATAGCCTAAAAACAAACAAGAATGAAAAACTGGTTCTGAATGAAATTTCAACAGTAAATACCTATTGTGCCCAGTGATGTAGGGACGTTGTGTGTCGAAGTCATTCTCGTCCATATCCATAAACTCCGACATGCCGTTCAGATTGGGCCGCTTCGGGTGGCATACGATGATGTGTGACAATGGAGTTCGCCTTATCGGTCCGTTACCGCGCGGCATTTGTCCCAATGGGCCCCAGAACGAACCGTCGTAACCTTCGTTCAGAGTCACGTCAATCCTCGTCGCCCCTTGCATTTGCTACAAATATATGCTATTTGTTCAAAACAAATTCTCCGGAATATTAAAAACTCTCTCACCCCGCAAGAAAATGAAAACCTGGGGTGGCACAGTTTCAAATGCCTGAGTAGCGAGGCAATCGTTTTACAGTCGATTGAACACCAAATGCATCTCATATCGGGCGAAGTTTCTGTCTGCTGTTTTGAATTACTGTTGTACAAAAATTGATAAACCAAAGAGTGTTCTTCTGTTGGCTTTCCTAACATGCTTGTCTCATCTAAAACAATGAAATGGTTAATTTATACAATCAAAGCGGGAGTGATTTAAGTCAGCTATTCAATGCCGAAAAACTGTTTATGGCTAACGATCGGTGAATCGTCAATTATTGTGGTAAAGCTAAATAATAAATTGTGTCAAATGATATTAAAATGGCCATTACTGAGCCATGTTGTCTGAAGCTAGTCAAGATTTTTTAATGTTTAAGTGCGACATTGGCTCAACGGTTTGGTTGATCTTACAAAGTGGAGGGAGAACCTAGGCAGATAACTGTCCTCAAGTGGTACAGTACAAGTTAAAGGCCATCTGGTTGGCCAATTGTCAAATGTCAAAAAAGTAGAATACTGCCAAAAAAAGAACTAGATGGTCAATTTTCCAGTAAAATTGTTGTGCCTAAGCAGATTGGTCAATTGTTTGTCATTAAAGAGAGTGAGATTAACAGGTTCGTCAACTGTCCCGCCATCAACGTACAAGTAGTAACGCAGCTGGTCAATAGTCTCATGAAATTAAAATGAATATGGATGGTCCATTGTCTTACTTCATCAAAGCAAATGTACAATAGTCGGTCAATTTTCTGAATACAAAATGGCTGAATGGTCAATTGTCCTACTGCAGTGGTAGGTCAATCGCCATATAGCATCAAAGTGAATGAGATTAAATTAATTGGTCAATTAAACAAAAGGAAGCTAGTCAGTCAATTTGCAAATCGTGCACACATGAGACACTAACTTAGGCAGTAAATTGATGTAATATAGGTGAAACATCATATGGCTGGTCAATAGCCAGCCATAAGTCGAAAATTAAGAGTGGACTAAGCTAGGTGGCCAATATTTCCTGACAGGTTGGTTGTCCTAGGATACCAAAGTAAATGTGATTAAGCAGGTTGGTCAAATGTCTCCCCATCATGGGAAAGTAGTGCAGGCTGATTAATTGTCTCCTACCATTAATGTGAATATCTCAAAGTGGTAGATCAATTGTCCTAACATCAATGTGAATGGAATTAAGCAGGCTGGTCGATTGTCTTACAGCATAGATGGGTCAATTGAAATGTCATATAAAAGGAAAATGGTTAAGCAGGTTAGTCAATTAATATCAAAATAGAGGTTAATCAACTTGCCAATTATATTGCAGTGACAGTGACTAACCTAATCAATTTACGTAATAAGTTGAAACTCCTCTGCTTGGTCAATAGTCAGATGTAAAATAAAGAGTGGGCTGAGCTAGTGGTCAATTGTCAAATAATGTCCAAAGAAACTGTTGTGGTCAATTGACATGACAACAAAGTGAAAGATTAAGCAGGTTGGTTAATAGTCCTCCAATATGTGTTAATGTTGTTAATCAATTTGTCCAATGAAATTAAAGCAAGTGAAATCCTTTTTACTCTAATTTCTATTAAAGAAAATAATTTCTATTAAAGCGAGTGTGATGATTAAGCAGGTTGGACAATTATCCTAAGGAGTCTATGTGAATATGTTTAGGTTGGTTGGTCAATTGTTGAATGACGACAAAGTGGAATGAGGACAAGTTTGTAAATTATTTTAATTTGTATACAAAGAAGGTTGAGAAGAAAAATTAGTCTCAAAAAAAAAAAAAAAAATATCACCTATTTTTCTTCTCAACCTTCTTTGCATAAAAATTTAAAAAATAATATTTAAAAAAATGATAATAAAAATAATATTTACCATTGCGAACTATCTCCTTGGCACTGTTGTCATTCATATCTAAAGGCACAAGTGGTTGAGGCCGATCAACCATTTCAGTGACTGGCTCCCTTGACCAGTAGAGCCTGAATTTAAGCGTCGGCCCTGTGTTCAATTTCTGAAACGTCGCGTAATGCTGAGCCCTTAGCTGTACGGGAGGGAGAAAAAACTATTTTCTCTTCTTTTCTTTATTTAATCGAAAATTAACAAAATTCAAGAGCAACTCACATCCCGGTCGGATCCGATGTCTTCCCAAGTGGAGAGTGACGAGAACCGTGTGGAGGAGTTGACAGGCATCTCTTCGAGATAAAACTCGTAGTCGCCGTCTGTCAGGAGGCAACGATTCTGTCGGTCGTAAATGACAAGATCGGTTCCGAATGAAACGACCTTATCATCGTCTGACACCTTCGAATATTTTCTCTTCTTCTGAGCAGGCTCTAGAAATTTATATATAAAAATATAAAAACATATGAACTGATTTTTTTTAAATACCTGCATCGCTATCAGAATTGGCAGTGATGATGTTGTTGGCAGACAAGGTGACACGCAGTAATAGGTGGTACGATTTGACTAAATGGCCCGTAAGCGTGAAAGAATCAGTCGGGATTGAAACAGTCGGGGCCTTTGGAGGAGGAGAAGTCTCCGAAGGATTAAAAGGAACGTAACTTGTACCAAGAGAAACCTTTAAAAAATATGACAAGGAAAGGAGATTTAAGTTATCTAATATAAAAATATTTTTTTGTTTTTAAAAAGTTATACCTTCATAACAGGACAAGAAACTTCTTTTCGTTTCTTATGGCAAACTTTTAACAAAAGCGACTCCACTTTCACAGGTTCCTGTTGAGCAACTGGATCTACAGGCAGGGAAAAAAATTAAAAATTACAGAATAACGCTCAGTACAATTTTGGCAATCGACACTTACTCAACTTGTTGTAAAAGCCGAGGAAGGTTAGCGTCAAGAATCCGCTGACTGGCGTCGGCTGTGATACCTTTGAGCTCACAGTTTCCAAGAGCGAGTCCACCTTGAAATTTTTCCTGTTCTTGTTCGTCCTCGACATCCTGTGCTTCATGTACGTGAGTGTCCGCCACAAAAATATAGGCTGGAGATAGGAGAAATTAAGACAATTAAGTCAAATGTTCTGTTATTTTTATTTTTTACACTTGTTTTAAAAATACCTTGAGCATGTTTCGTGTCCTTAAGTACCTGTATATTTGAGTCGGCTCTGAAAATAATTTCAAACTATTTATACACATTATAGATTAAAATACATAACTTACTGCCCATTTAATAATAAGAACTGAGCTGCCAACTCATTAGAAAATGAAAGGAATGCTTTCAAAAACCTAAACGGTGTAAAAACATGATGGGCAAACAGCCCCTATAAATTAAAAAAAAAAGTACATTATGAAGCTATGGTCACCATAAATATAGTATCGTGACAACCAGATAGGCATCTGTGCCCTTAGACTGGAAGACTATCAACAATGAGATGAGGAGTGTGAAATGGAAGCTCCAATGGATGGAATGTTGTACAGGCAGTCATGGGTCATGATCAACCCTTGTGCGGAAGGCCATTAACCATTAGGCCACAACAATTTGCTTACAGTAATTCAGATATCGTGAGATGCGGTCGGGTGTGATGTAGGTTTCAGAAAAACATTTTCTTTATCGTGCTCGTAATTTGCTTACAATTTGTTTTACTCTTGCCTGACGAACTGCCCAATTAAAGGAGAAAAAGAAGACTAGAAATATGAAGGAAGCAATTAAAAACAAAAATTGGAATCAACTAAGGAAAAGTCAAAACCAGGGAGAGGCGAGACTCGATCGAGCACAGGAATTAATCGAATAGGATCGACTATTGAAAAGATAAAACCTGGGAAAGACAAGGCCTGAACTGCAAGCAGAATGGAGTCGAATAGAGTTGACTATCGAAGGTAAAGAAAGGGAGGGACAAGACATGAGTCGAGGGTAGAAATTAATTGGAATAGAGTTCACAACGAGAGTCAAGTCCAGGGAGAGACAAGACCCGATTCATGAGCAGAAATGAGTCGATTAGAGTCAACTATTGACATCAAAACCAGGGAAAGAAAAGCCATGAGTCGAGCGCAGAAATTAGTCGAACAGAGTTGACTGTTGTTATCAAGGAGAGCCGAAACCTGAATAAAGGTAGAGATGAGTCATGATTTGACCAAAAGTAGAGACCAGGAAAGGCAGCGAGTGCCGCAAGGATGTTGAGACTTAGTGTTGGTATCGTAGGGGTACGTTTATTGTGTGAATAAGCTTATCCCTAGATTTATTAGAATGGCTGACTTACATGTAATTTGTTTAGTATAAATATTAAGACTGGGCAATTGTTTACTTGTCTTGTTTTTCTTGTTTCACAAAAAAAGTAAACAATTTTAAAAAAAAGTCCTCGTCATGTTTAGCGATAGGAATCGTGAGCATCTTAGCCAATTACACTGAAATATATAAGAATGTCATTTTTGATCAGGGATGATTTCTAGAATCTAACTACTCGCTCAGAGATCCCTCCTCAAATTGAAAATTGAATAGGTCAATTTCTGGTGCGGTCGTCGGCCAAGTTGTAAATATTTGTGATTCAAACAGAAAAAGTTATAAACTTGTTGATTTTACTAGTTATATTATTTTTAATCATGGAGATTTTTTAAGGGGACAAAGGTTCTTTTTTTTAAACAGTGGTTTATAGACAATCTGCGAGAGAGTGGTACTGCAGAAGAAATAGTGTTTAAAAAAATTGAACAATCTTCTAAATAACGTGGAAATGGCTTAAACGTGGATATTTTTAAAAAGATGAGTATCAAATTAATGTATATAGGTTATTGGGGTGAATTCGGACGGTTGAAAAATTTGGCACTGGAGAAAAGGTTTTTTTTAAATAATAATAAAAGTGTTGCCCTCTTACTTTCGAAAGCCTGTAGAAACTGTTCATGATCGGCGTTGCCGTCGTGTTTGCCTTTGGCCGCGTCGGCCTCCTTGTCTCGCTTTTTGGGCGGCATCTCGGTGCTTCTGTCCGTCGGTCGTCGGCTGGTCGCGATTGTCTCGCTGGTCGCTGCGGTGCCGGTCGCGGTCGTAAACGGGCAGACAACGGCTGCGGGGCTGCGGGCTGCGGCTGCCGAGGGCGGACGTCGAGCCGAGATTCGAGCGTTAACCGTGCGCCTGCGCACTTCCACGCTATTTTCAAACGGACGCCCTCCAAAGCAAAAAATCGTCCGCCTCCGAATATCGATCAAAATATCGATATCCAATTCAAATCTCATATAAAATAAATATATAAATATGTAACACAATAAATAAATTTAAAATAGATATTATGTGCATATCTAATTGTATTATAACACAAGGAATACAATACTTACCCATACTCCGGCAAAAACGACACTTATTTGAACACAATAAATAATAAAAAATATATATTATGTGAATATCTAATTGTATTATAACACAAGGAATACAATACTTGCCCAAACTCCGGCGAAAACGACACTTGTTTGAAGTTAACTTATTTTTGCCAACAAAAATCACAATCGGACAAAATTGGACAATTAAAAAAGTATAAACATATAAAGTGTGTTTTTAGAGACAGGTTGTTTAATAATTTGTTGGGTTCATTAGGAGCAATCTAGAATAAGGTAGTTTAGAAATACACCTTTTTCATTTTTTGCTCACATTTTGCCCTTTATTCAAATCATCTTCAGTTGATTTTTTTCTAATTCACCCAGGCCCTGAAGATGGCCCGAATAAAAATCTAAATGTAGGCAAAAAATGACAAAAGGTGTTTTTCTAAACCATCTCATTCTTGACCGCTCCTTAAGAATAAAAAAAAATTAATATTTAAAAAATTTAAATCATACCAACAGTTGATATTTAAAATTTATTAAAAAAATCGAACTACAAATAAGTTATTATTCCTTGGGAAACGCCAGGGAGGGCTATTTTTTCTTTTTTAAAGAACTGATTGTATTGTAGGATGAAATGACATGTTTGCAGCTCTCAGAGCCCTTAAGGGTGATTCTCGATGCCTGTCGGTAATTTACTGTAAATTACAAACTGGAATTGCTGGTGGGCTCTGAGAAGTTATAGGCTGAACTCTGCACACACGTGTGTTAATGCCCAAACATCTGCGGATTTGAGCTTGTATAAATCAACAATGATCCACTCGAAATTCGAATATCAACTCCTCATCTCATCCTACAACCTTTTGAATTTGAAAAATGGCAAAAAGAGGGAAAATTCGAAAGGTTGTAAGTTGAGATGAGGATTTGGTGTCCGAGTGGATTGAAGTCACATAGCTCAAGTGGTTAGACCAGTGGTCGTATTATTAAGAAATTAAAATGTAAAATCAAAAGTAATATACGTAAAATCAAATGTAAAAAACCATATTCCAGGCGTTGCCTTGAAAAAGAATGAAAACCATTTGAAACGTTGGCAAATTAAAGAATTGAGCACTACGCTGTTACGTTAGATGTTTTATTATAACTACACTCTATACCCTTATTTGCTAGAATTTAATTAAAAAGTATAGTGTTGTATAAAGATATATTTGTTTTAAGAAATTGCTTTTGCTAAATTATCTGTTTTATATGCTGATATTGTAACGTTTCAATTTTTCAGGGTTTACATTTAATTTTGAAAACATATTTTCTCCAATATTTCTTCTTTTATGGTATGTATTGATATTGACATATTATAAATTATCAATCACTTTTCATTCACAATCCGTTTTTATATAATTATAATAAACATATCCATGAATAAAAAAATACTACTTTTTATTAAACTTTTATTTTTAATTTAAAAAAAAATATATGTATATACAATAATAATTGGGCATGAAAATATTACAATTTGGTTTCAGTACTGAATTTTGCTGAATATATAATCAGTTATCAATAAAACAGTACTATAACTAAATAACCTACAATGAATACTTTTTTAAATGAATAATACATAGAAATAAAGTACAGATTTCTAAATGATCTTTTTTCTCCAAAATTATAAACTTTTTATTTTTTATTTTATTTTTGTTTTTTTAAGAAAAAATACCAAACTGTGAGAAAAGTGACACATAGAAATTTGGTAACTAAACTATGCTCAACAATTATACATGCTAAATTCAATCATCACCATCTGATCCGACAACAGAAATGTCATTGAAAACAATGTCAATTTCTTTATATTATAAAACTCATTATGTACACATATTTAAAATAGTTTGTACATGAAAATAAATATGATCACAGACGTTTCAGGTTTCACTGTACAAACGTACATAAAATCAGTCACAGAGTTTGTTTTAATTGTTGTTATTGTCTGATCGTTTACACAGAAATTGTTTGTGTTGGGTGAGTCGGATTTTGGATATTTTGTTTTTGTCCCATCCAAGGAATGTGTCTTCCTGTGCGAAACTGTCATGGACAGTCCTGTTCCAATCCGATTGATCAATAGAACGCCCTGTGAAACCCAAAAAGTCTTCTGGTGACGTCGGCGGTGTGTAACTGACGACTGCCTGGCCCCGTTTTCTGTTTTTCTTCGACGGCATCTTCAGTTTACCTCTGCAGTTCTTCTCACACAGGAGCGGCGCTTCATTTTTGATTATCGCTTTGAGATCGTTGAGAAGTTCCGAGAGGAGGTCTTCAAAGGATTTTTTATTCGCGTTCAGCCCGAAACACTGATCTCGGAACGGCACGTTCGAATGAAGCTCATCCCATTCATTCTGCGGAACGTATTCATTTTCTTGTCTGTTTGTCTTAATCTTCTTGTTGTTGAGAGACTTCTGGATCAATTTATTCTCAAGTACTGGCTTCTTCTCTTCCATTATGTTTTTTATGACTTCGAGCAGGTGCGAAGAGGATTTACTCGCATTGACTAACTTGCTGTCGTTTTTGTCTTCGTTCCCTATTATGAAACTTGCCAGGGATTTCATCTCTTGAGCGAGGAGCGGGAATTTGTCGTGCCAAGAGCAAGGGCAGGACGTCTGGTTTGTAATGAGATTCATCACTTCTCTAAACGTCATATCGTAAACACAACGCTGTCCTTCTGTTATGCAGCCTTCTGCAGGCAACGAGTGGTAAATTGGAAAGGTGAGGACCTCTTCGTCCTCGACAGCAAGGTCTTGAATCAGCTCATCTGTATTCGGGATGTTTTCATCGCTCTGATTGAAAACAGCAAACTTGCTCGTCTGCGATGAATAATCTTCATCAAGCAAAGATGGAAAATCATTGAAATTCGCCTCCATCAGGCTTTCGTCCATCACTTTCTCCTGGGATACTTTGCAATTTTTTCTCTCCAGTTCTTTTAAGTATTTCCAGTGGATAAACACACGTATTATCGATCTGTATTTCTCCTCCAGCTTGTTCAATATATGTTCCTCTCCTGTCCAATCTCTGAATCTCTTCTTAGATTCATTGTAGCAGTCGATGCTTTGACATTTTTCCTGTAAAGACTTCAGGCAAGTCAGATTTTCCTCTGGAGGGAATTCCCTTTTCTCATTGGAAGTCGATGCACCACCACAGAATTCTTCCTTCAGCAGGTTTATCTCACAGGCATCGTTGGTTCCGATCGGGTCTTCGAGTTTATCGTCAACTGAGATGGCCACAATTATCTCCTCTTCTTGCAGGCCAGCAATGTCTTCCAAATCGTCGACCGACAAGTTCAAGATATTCACTTCCTGGTCTTCTATTGAATTCAAAAGATCGTCGGATTCTGAGACGTTCTCTTTTTGTTCATCTGTCGATCCTTCTGAACTGGGTTTTTTGAAAATCACAGGAACTGAGATTTCCTCACCGCCAATGTTGAAGTAAACAATATCATTCGAGTTTTCGTCGCTGATGTCAATATCTGAGTTGTCCTCTTGAACCTCTTCTTTCCACAATTCAGAATCAAGAGTGTAACCTTGGATCAGAGTCCCTTCTTCTGATTCTTCGAGTGAGGGCTGCTCAACAGTCTCAGGATCTTTGATGGGCGTCAACTCACTTATTTCAGCAGATACCAGGCTTTCTATCTTTATGGTATTCGGTATCGGGAACGTTTCAGATTTGACTAGAGAATAATTTTCTTCTATCACTATCTCACTCTCTTCTTCCCAATCGGAGAGATTTTCTTCCCTATCGGAGAGATTTTCTTCCCTATCGGAGAGATTTTCTTCCTTACAATCAATATGATCCTCAGTCTCTTGTCGTTGTTGATCTCTAGTCAAATGATAAAAGGTTTCACACAAATCGTCGCTGTCTGGAACCTCTCTATAAATTAGCCGATCGTTCGCCCCTTTGAGATCATTGTTACGCCCTTGTATCCTGTACCTGGAAAAATAGCAGTCTTTCCCGGCGATGTTTGTCCCCTCGTCTAAGTTGGCATTTGCACCTCCGAACGACCTCAAACTCTTAGAGGGGGCCGGTATGTCTTTTTGAATCTCGAGGTCGTAAAAGAGTTCGAATCTATGGCAAACCCAGTCGCTATCAACGATACACTTCCAAGACCTCGTTACATTAAATAACCCTAAAACAAATTAAAAAATTAATTCTGTAGGCATATTTAAAACATTTAATAAGCTTTAAAAATCAGGCCAACTATTTTTCATCACTACCCCTTAAACAAATAAATTAAAATATTTAAACTAATTTTAATTTATAATAAGTGTTGAAGAAGTGTTCGACAGGAAAAAATTAAACGTAACAGCTGACTAGATCAAAACGATTTAAAAAAAGAAAAAGATACTAAAATTTATAGTAGGTGACTATATGAGAGTTAAAGATTGCTTAAAAAAAAATAAAATGCAATTACCCATAACCTGGTAAAAAAATTATAGTGCCACCAGATTCGTTACATAAATTGTAAAATATTAATTTTATAACATGCGTGCAAACACAAAAACAGATTTACAATTTCATTTTTCCACTATGAATGTGGTGTCAAAGTGCATGTTTACCCATTGAACAATGAACATCGTGCAGTTAATCCTACTCATCTATGTATCCTGCTTGAATACAGAGTACATCTTCAACTTCTTCAGTTTGTTTAAAAGATTTTGTTTACTTTTCTTCTAATAGCCTTCTTTTTTTTCAGTTTACCTTTTTACTTTTTAATTTTTTTTTCTCCTCTTTTTCTGTGAGGCTAAAATGGAAGCCAATAGCATAAACCCTAAACCACCTGACCCTTGAGATAAATTGTTCAAATAAAAAAAGAAATGGTGCAAAAAATATATAATAATGTCGGTTGCTGAAAATGATCAAAATAAAAGCTTTAACAACTTCAGTCCTTTTAAAATCTACAAATTTGTGAAAAGTTTTGCCCCAAAGAAAAGTAACCCCCTCTTTACGCACCCTGAACAGCTCCGTAATCAGGTAAATAAACTTACAAACATTATTGAACAATTAATTTCGACCGGTAAATATATGTGGTGTAAATTAACTGTAAATTCAAACAATGGTCACACAGATCCTATAATCTAATGAAGCATTCACTAATAAGAATCAAATGAATACACATAATTGGGCGGGGGATGTACTGTGGGTGGTGCAGGGTGATTGTTGGGCGAGGGTGGCTCATAATGAGAACTCTGGGGTGACAAATGACAATGAACCCACAGTGATATAATGAGGCGTTAATGAGGGAGGGACACTGGCGCCACATCACTATGCACTGCACCTGTGCTCTAATCTCAACCATAAAATCATAGAACTGCGAGAGCCTGTCTCTCGTGCCGGGGTGGCCTGGCTCCCTCCACACAGCTACACTGCAGTGTCTCCACCCATGGTGTGATAAAACAATAAATAAATAAATAATTGCGAAAAACTAGTGCTAAATAAAAATATTAAGTGATTAAATAAGTTATTACAACAAATTCCTTTCACCAGAAGGAAAAAAAAAAAAAAAAAAAAAAAAACCATCATACTACTTTTTTAAACATTATTTGTGAGTTTGCTATATACCTTGAAACAAAAAACAAAAACAAAAAATTATAAAATATTTGTTAATTTGTTTCTATTTTGTTTACCATCATAACGATATCCTTGGATAGGTCCTAAACCTCCTTTGTGGTTGAAGCTCCTGGTCAGCCTAATCGGAAATTTGGTCAGATACGAGGACCAAAATCCTTTGATGTCACTACGGCTTCGATCCTTTCTGTTGTTTTTGACGAGCGGGGCTGGAACAACGATAAGTAGTACAAGTGAGACAAGGCAGGGCAAAAAAGCCAACTGGCTCACCTTGGTATACGACACGTTTCCAACTGTCGACGATGAAGCTGTCATCGGTGACGAGGACTGATACAATACCGTGCTGACTGATGTCCAACGTCCCTTTCAACGGCCTGTGCACTCCCGCCAACGACAAATCCCTCCTCGATTCAAAAATAGTGCCGATTGGCACACCTTAAAAATTAAACGATTATAATTTCTCCTGTTTTACAAATTATTCTTAATTAAACTACTTTTACCAAATTGTAATTATAATTCAGTGTCTGAATAAGAGAAAGTAGAGATAGTGTAAAGGAGTGAATGAGATTAAATAGATTAGATAAATAGATAGAAAGATAGATAAGATAAATATGCTTTATTTACCAATGCAAAGCTATTATGGTCGCATGGATCTTTTTACCACTTAGTACTAGGCTTTTTTAATAATCAAATTCAATCAAAGATGATAATGCCAATTATAGATTATAAACAAAAAAATTGGTGTAAGTTCCACGGTGGTCAAGGCAACCACAAAATGTAGTACGACAATATTTAAATTAAATCCAAATATATCGTATCAATAATGAAAAAACATAAAATTTGAAAATTGCCTAAATACTCTGTAAAAGATTGAGAAAAATAAGGTTAAATTATGCAAATAAGTTAAAAGATATTAATTGGCTGGTAATAATCATTTTTGCATTAAAAACGGATGATTTTGATGTATAATGTTCAACATTTCCCCCCGATTCGGTATCAAATTGGTTTTACAGACTGATTTAAATTGAAACAATTTTAGGAAAATTTAAATACAAATGAAAAAAAAAGACATTTGCATTTTAATCTTGCCTTTGGCCGTTAATTAACATAAATTATATGTAATAAAGTTTGAAATGAATTTGTAAAATTTTTACATTTAATGTAGGCCTAATTCCCTGTTTGTTTTCAAGCTGATGCAAACTGTTCAAGGCCTATTTAATAAAAATAAATGGGAAGGAAGACAATTGCTGATATTTTTAAGCCTAACTTTGAAAGTTTTTTGTTTTTGGCTTTTCTCAGTCAGACATAGTACTGGTATAGATCAGATGAGTGCAGATTATAAGCATTTAAGATATAACCAGGGTCGACTTCTAGGATGCTGTTTTGTAAACTTGTTCAAGGAATGCGGTAAGAAATATAAATAGAAACTGATTGGAAAATGTTTAACTATATATACTATGTTAACTATAATAGCCTTTTTTGTAATATTTGCTGCCATAAATTAAAATATAATTACAAAATTATTAACATTTAATTTAGCCCTGCACTGCTATTGAGAAATTGAGCTTTAAGTTTTTCATGCTGAATGGGAACTTGCCATTTTTTTACCAGATTTTGGCCTATGACTAACAACTTTTTTTTAATCCTGAAATTTTAATTTTAATTTATAATAAATATTGATTTTTTTTTTTTTACAAAAAAAAATGTTACGTTAAATTTAATGTTTAAGCAAATATTTGTGAAAAATTTTTACAGAAAAGAACGTAACTGAAAAGAAAGTGTTTTTTACAAGCAAATATATATATTTATTATTATTATTGTAATTTCGTTTACAATGCAATAGAAATTTAATGCATAATGAAACACATATTCAAATTAATACCATTGAATTTCCATTTCCTTTGTTCAATACAATGTATTTCCCTAATAATTGATACGTTTAACACAAGTAACAAGTTTTCATGGTGAAAACAGGTGGAAAATAACGTAAGTGGCACATTTGTTAAGTTAATTTTATCTAGTACTTTTTATTACAATGTAGTAGAATTTCAAAAATACAGTGTTTTTTACTAATATTTTCTCCTAAACGTTTTAAGCCACATACAATATTACATCAATTTTATCATATGTTTCAACAGGAAATATACCTAAAAATACATGGTGAAAAAAAATGTTTCAGATGGATGTGTCATTTCTTCTTAGAAGAGCAGTACTAGGGTGACTTTTTCTCAAAATGATTTTTTGTTTTTTTTACAAGGGTTCACAACTACTAACAACCCTTGTGATGTCGGTGTTTTTTTGAGGGGAAAACCTAATTGCTAAGTACGCGGCCCTGCATCCAAACCCATTTACCGACATTTACCTTACACTGTCAAGCGCCATGTCAACTCTAAACTGTTGTGACCACTGATCGCCCCCCCCCCCCCATGTGATAATTAATGCTATAGATTATATGGAAATACACATGGAATAATGGCTCACAATAAAAATATAATCTGTAGCTGGGTCAGGATAGTTTTTAACTAATAATTTAGTAAGAAATACGATTGGAAATATCACTAACTTTTAAGGCTTTCTTTTTTGTGGCATTGTCATAAATTGCAAATAATTTTGTGATTATTGCCCATTAAAAAATTGTCATGATTGTGCATAATAAAATATAATCTATAGGCATGATTTTGAAATCATGGTGGGTTTTATCTGATAATTTAATTGGAGAAATACAATGGGAAACATGTTAAACTTTTTTTTGTTATTTACAGCCGTACATTAAATATAATTATAAAATTATTACATATTACCAACAATTCATATGTGGGGGTGGGTTTTCTCAGATTGTTAAATGCAATTATTTAACCCTTATTTTTAAGCCTCTTAGGTGATAATTACTGCAATAAATTAAGACATGATTATCATTTAATCTGTAGCCTTATTGGGAGGGTTTTTCCCAGTTTTAATTTAACCACTTCAAGGAATATAGATGAAATCTAAATGTAAAGAGAACTGTAAATATTTAACCCATTTTTAAGCCTTTTAGGCGAAAGTATTGCTATAAACTATTTGGAATCAAACAAAGAATGACTGTGCATAATAAAAATATAAATTGTGGATGTCATTATTTGCTATCAGGTTTTTTAAAATTTAATTTAACAAGAAATGCAATTAGAAACATTTAACTAACTTTTAAGCTTTTAAACTTTTATTTATTGACATGACTTACATATTAACAATGAAATTATGAAATTTATTACATTAAAGAACCTGTTGGGGATTTTTTTTTTTCAGATTGAATTTAAGCATTGTCAAGGAATATAATAATAGGAAATCTAATTTGGAAACAGACAATTGCAAATATTTAACCCTTACTCTTAAGCCTTTTAACTAATAATAATAATAAATTATTGGAAACATTTAACAGTACTTTTAAGCCTTTTTTAAGGATATTTACTATCATGAATTACATATAATTAATTATGAAATTATTGGAAATCTGGAATCAATCACAAATTTAACACTTACTTTTAAGCCTTTTATCTAAACATTGGATAAAAATACAATTAGAAACATTTAACACTAGTTTCAAGCCTTTTTCATGATAACATATAATTAATTTTGGTTTTTCTCAGATTGAAATTAACCATGTTCAAGGAATTGTGATTAAATATCTAAATAAAAACTATTGCAAGTATTTAACCCTTACTTTTAAGCCTTTTACATGATAATTACTGCCATAATTTAAGATATAACTATAAAATTATTACACATAATTAACATTTAATATTGGGGCTAACATTTAACATTGCTCATTGGGATGGGGTTTTCTCAGATTGAAATTAAGCATGTTCAAGGAATGATGATAGATCTAAATAAAAACTATTGCAAATATTTAACCCTTACTTTTCAGCCTTTTAGGTGATATTACTGTGATAAATTAAGATATAACTATAAAATTATTACAGATAATTAACATTTAACGTGTAGGCCTATTGGGATGGGGTTTTCTCAGATTGAAATTAAGCATGTTCAAGGAATTATGATCAGAGATCTAAATAAAAACTATTATAAATATTTAACCCTTACTTTTAAGGCTTTTAGGTGATAATTACTGCCATAAATTAAGATATAACTATAAAATTATTACAGAAAATTAACATTTAATGTATAGGCCTATTGGGATAGAGTTTTGTCAGATTGAATTTAGGCTTGTTCGAGGAATTATGAGAGGAGATCTAAATGTAAACGGTCAATTGCAAATATTTAACCCTTACTCTTAAGCCTTTTAGACCAATAATTACCTCAATTAAATGTTCAAATTATTTGTGTACCCTAAAATCGGTTCGACAGATTGGAATGACGATCAGGCCCAACATAATATAAACGCATCCGACTGACTGCAGAACAACTTTAGCACTAAAAAAATTATAAGCGGGACGAGGGAGCAAAACATTGTGTTATTAACGTCATGTTACCTTCTGGAGGGCCGTAGAACGAGCAGATGTTCTTCCTTCTTCTCGTCCTCCTCGGCGTCACTGCGCCGGACACGGAAACCTGCAACGAAAGAGAGCAGAGGGAAAGATTGAAGAATAAAATCTGTATAAAATCACATTAATGATTTAAAATATAAAATGGAATAAAAGCTATTGTACCTCACCACTCTTCCTGGGCGGTGCATATTCCATGAGGACCTTTCATTTGAAAAAATCATTTATAAAAAACAAAAACAAATACTACTCCCACATATAAATAATACAAACAAACAAACTCACAAATTGTGTTAAATGCGAAAAAATGATAGCATGCGAAAGTGTTTTCAAATTGAATTATAGCTGTCAACAGAGTAAATAATAAAATAAATAAAATTTTTTATTTATTTATATTTTAAATGTTAATTTTAAGACTGAAAATGAACGAATCCGATGGGCACGAACTAGGGTTTGAATGGAGAGACAAATGTTGCGACTTACTTTTCCCAGGGCTATCGCGACTCTGGCAGAGGCCGCCGGCGTCTAAACAGACGAGCGACTAGGCCTCGCCGATAAACAAAGTGGGGTGGGCAGCGGGGAGAGCGCCGAGGGCTGGTCGCCGTCGGCTCGTCGACACCTGAGGCCGATCACTCCGCTTCTCGGGCCGGCCGTCCGTCGTCAACGTTGACCGAGACACGGTGCAGCGAGCTGGAAGGTGAGGAGGAAAACTCGTCGTAGGACAACATCGGGGAAATTCAAGACGCCTCGTCAGTACTGAGAAGCCACTGCTGAGCGGATAGCTTAACGGTCGAACTCACCTTACGCTCTTCAAACACAAAAAAAGTCTAACAATAAAAATTTTTAAAAAGAACACCCATCGACATCATTTTATTAATAATATTTATCTATTAGAAATTAACTAAACAATTAAAAAATGAAAAGGAAATATCCTTCAACTTGGCACCAGGTGGTTCTTCAATCTATTTTCCCGCCATTTTATTCAAATTAGAAAGGGTGTTCAGCATAACTTTTACATAAACGACAAACTTTTTAAAATTAAACTAAAAATGCACTAGCCTAAATTCTTTACCACATTATCAAAAATTAAATTGTAAAAAATATCAACAATTTATTCTTATTAACTCTTCGTATCGAATCTTACTTTAATTCGGATTACAGAGGGTGGTAAAAAATACATACATTTGTACAAAAAGAAATTCCCTCACATTCTCTCTCTCTCTCTCTCTCTCTCTCTCTCTCTCTCAGTCTCTCTCTCTCTCTCTCTCTCTCTCTCTCTCTCTCTCAGCATCCTCTTCATTTAATTTTAATTGTAATTTTTTTATCTCAAATATTTTTTTTAATGTATAATATTTACCTTTCATCTCAAGAAGCCGACTCCCCATAGAAAAATGAATTTCTACTTCTACTTCTTTCCCCACTTCTTCAAAATCAAATATATATTTATAAACAAAAAACATTAATATCTCACTAACGCTCTCAAAACGACACACAACAGTAACACATCTAACCAGAAAACACATTTTAAGTGAGAACAAATAATCTGATTAACCTAAACCTAAAATTTCTATATTGTGTAATCGTATAAATTCATATTCATATCTTATATGGATTTGTGTAATTTAAACATTTTTTTAAAATACCAGGCCCTGAAGATGATCTCAATAAAGATTGAAAGATTGGTAGGATGAAGTCATGTTTTTCTTAAACCATCACACCAGACAGCATCTCACGATCTCTAAATAATAATTTTTGTAAAAATTATTGTTTGTTGTTTCAAATTTTATAAATATTTAATGATTATGGATTAAATTTTTGATTTTACCATTTTTGACATTTTCTTTTAGTTTTGTAAGAAACGATGCAAAGCTAAAGATTGCACTTTCCCATATATATTCCCAGAGAATGTCTGCAAAAAATCTTTATAGGTAAATATATTTGACACCATGTAGATTATTTACTAATTCTGTTTATCTTATTATATTGTATGTAGTTGGATAAAATAATACTCCATGATATCATTTTTACTGAAATTTTGGAGTTTTTGGTTTTGTCGGTGACTCGGAAACTGACGTTGCATCGTTGGAGGGACGTTGTCGAGGCGTCGCGCAGTCTCGCTTTTTTCCCGCCAATAAAACCAACCTGTTCCCGGGCAACCCGACGATCGTCCGCCTCCGCACCGTAACGGCCACCGATTCCGCCCCCGCAGAAAACCGCCTACGCTCCTCCGCCCCCGCCCCCGCGACCGATCAATCCTCAGATGAAGTCTCAGGACGAGCTGATGTCACCCCCGGGTGAAAGCCTCTTCGAGGACACCTTCCTCAGGGTGAAATGCGACTACGGCGACCTGTCCGACAAATTCAAACACAAGAATAAGGACTTTTCAAAACAATACGCTCACATTTACTCGGTCAGACTCGCCAAAATGAGAAAAACCCTTTTAAAAAGGGTTGAGGACAAATTCGGTGAGTTAATTTAACATTTTAAATCAGTTATACACGAATGTAAATATATTTGCTACCTGACTGCTGTAAAAAATGCATTATTTTGCAATACATTATATGTTACAAATGATTAAAGGTGACCAGTGGAAAGTGAAGAAATTGGCTGATCTGCAAGACGAAAGCGATATTGGTAAATGTTTTGTAATCGGAACAATTTTCAAGAACCAGGAGCTTCGTCCTAGCGTACTCAAAGAACTGAGCGACGAGGTATTAAAATTTTAAATATTGTGGACTTGCAGCGACTCAGTTTTGTTTTATTGTAGCTTCAGATCGTGCCTCAGCCGAAGGTTGTGCGTTTTGTGGGCGACAAGGATAGTCTCATACTTGAAGACGATTTACAGAGAATCCGTCTTGTCGGAAACATCGATGTCCATTCTATTGTCACCGGTGTTGTAAGTTGCACTGAAAACAATTCAATCGCATAAAATTTACTGGCTGGGGTTCAAGGTCGTGGCAGTACTCGGAGTCGTTGACAACACGGGGAAATTCAACGTGGAACAGGTTTGCTTTTCTGGTCCTGAATCGCCCTCAAGTCTTACCATCAAAACAAAAGAACCGGAGCGGTATCTAGTGATTTTAAGTGGGTTGGACTTGGCTGCAGCGGCCGACAGCCTTCTATCGCTCAGGATGTTCACAGATTGGGTCACGGGATGGCTCGGTGGGCCGAGCGATCAGCATAAAAACTCAAGAATTGCGCTCGTCCTTATTGCAGGTAAGTTTTTCCTCTTTTCAACTCGCAGTGAGCAATGAGTAATTGCAACTGGGTTAGGCAATATGCTGAGGGGATGCAGCGCACTGAAAGAAGGGAAAATAATCAGCACAAACATCGACAATACAGATATTGTCACTTCTTTGAAATTGGCAGACGATCTCCTAGCAGAACTTGCAGTAATTATCACAGATTATTAATAATAATTTATTTTATTTATTTCTCTTGTTTTGTAGGAAACTGTTCATGTTGAACTGATGCCAGGAGAATTTGATCCGACAAATTACACTCTCCCTCAACAGCCAATTCACTACACCATGTTTCCAAAGGTTACTAAAAAACCAAAAGTCTTATTAATTATTTTAAAACAACCTTATATGTTTTTATGGTGCAATTTCAGGCATCTTCATTCTCAAGTCTCCATGGCGTTACTAATCCTCATAGTTTTCAAGTGGAAAATAGAATCATAACTGGTATATATTTTAAAATGTTTAGTCTGGTCTTTCTGATCATTACTTCATTGCTTTTGGCATTTTACAATCTTCAGTATTTGGGTTGTTCTTTACACAAAGTAAAAAATAAAGTACTTTTTATGTAAAGTGGAGTAATTTAAAGCAATGGGGACACAGTATAATTTTTCTCTCACCAGCTAAACCTGGGCAGTAGATGCATGTTCCTACATCCCTACCTCTCCCATCAGCTGTTTTGGTCCAACTTATAAAACCCCAGGAGTTGAAGGCGGGGAGAAGAAAATTGCCAGGAAGAGGACCGAAGGACTCTATGGATGGGATGACTCGGTATTTCCTCAGCACTAGGTACACTATCACATCCGGTGATAAGTCATTTAGCCTTCTATTGTCGAAGTGGGAATAATTATTGAACAAGAAGAAACTATCCATGACAAATGTCTGGAAGAGGTGAAAAGTTAACTTTTTGTATAATTTGTACCTTCTTCATTTCACAGATCTTCCTAGTAAGACTACGTTATTGAAAGAAAAAAAAAAAACCTGAGAAATTAAATACATTTTTATATTTACCATTATTTATAATGACCAAATTTATTTAAAAAATAAAGTTACTTACAAATTAAACGAAGAGAACAATAAATTGTTAAATATTTTATCACTGAACAGTCAATTCTGTAATTCTTATTTATTGTAAAAATAATCAAATCTTACCTTTAAAAATCAAAAAAGTTTATTAAGAAAAGTATACAAACCAATTTTCTCAAGCGTTTCTTAAGCTATACCAGAATATATATCATCTGAAAGCTGGTTTTAGTGCTGGAAGGATGGCAAGTCTGCTCTCACATGAGAACTGCCACCCTGAACATGTTAAGAAACAACAATAGTTTTGTTTAGTGAAGATCACCCATCCCAGTTATTCTCATCATGATCAGATATGACTAATCTACATTTTTAATTTCTCTATATTATTTCATTGATTTTTTTTATTATTGATCATTTTAGGCTGTTCTGGCCAAGCGGTTTCCGATGTCGGTCGTTACAGCGATATCACCGATCCAATTCAAGCTTTAAAGGCTACATTTCATTGGGGCCACCTTTGCCCCACAGCTCCAGATTCTCTTTGTAAGAAAATAAACCCAATATTAATTATTATAATAAATAATAATAACAATTATATAATATTAATTGTTTTATTTCAGCTTGTTACCCGTTTTATGATGAAGATCCTTTCATAATCGAAAATCAACCGGACGTTTATTTTTCGGCGAACCATGACAAATTTCAGACAAAGCTCATCACATTCGATCACGGTATGAATAAAAACCCATTTTCCCTTGAGCTATAATAAAAACGATTTGTAATTTATTTGAAAACAGGCAATGGAGTCAGTCAAGAAACGAGGCTCATCTGTGTACCTTCTTTCAGCAAGACAAAAAGCTGCGTCCTCGTCAATCTCTCGACACTGGATTGTGAAAGAGTCTCCTTTAGCGTAGGTTCCTTGCATTGATGGAAGCCATAAGCATCGGAATGATCAGTGCCGATACTGCATTTATAGCTAGTATGTGTATATATTGAAAACGTGTAAACTGTGTTTAAATTAAATGTTAATATAGACTAAAGTCTCTCCTCTTCACCCTGCCATGCCTTTTTCAACAATCAGACAAAATTTTTTTTTATGTTTTAAGACTTGGACTCTGCTTTTATAAATAGAACGTGTTTTGCTTGTAATGATCAGCTTTGTTGCAGAGTTGCTGTATTAAGAATCCTTAAATATGCTGATAGGGACAACAATGATGGAACAATTTTTGTTCAATTGTATTTTGCTTAAGAAAGGCAGAAGAAAACTTTGTTTTATCTGGTGAGTTTGGCAAAAAACATATTTGTCAAGTTATATGTTACTTTAATAACAGATTTTTTTAAATCATTTTAACTTTTTACATCAGGTGAATTAGTTTTAAAAAATTAATGTAATTTTTAAAAAAATGTATAACATTTATTGTTTTATCATTCTTTATCAAGTTTTTGTGTCTTGGTCTCATTGTCTCTGGTTAGATTTGCAGAGGAATTGTTCCTCATGCACCCTGCCATTTTGCTAATGCTCTGCAATACTTCCATGTAATCGATTTTCGGAAGAGGGGGAGGAGATTCTTCATGCGGCATTTCATCGGTGGGAAGGATGACGTCGGCGATGCACTCTTCGCTTGTCAACTCAATGAATTCATCGAATATGTCCGACTCTGCATCCAAGTGGGTGTCGCTGTCGATGTCTGAGATGTTCTCGCTGCTGCCGGATTCATAAGTGATGCTCAGGTCTTCTAAAAGATTGCTGCCGTCGTCGAAAGGGAGAGTGTAGAGCTCCGCGACGTCCCCTTTAAGTGGCTTTTCCTCGTTGACGAGGAACTGTATTTCGGGTGAGACCTTGGATGGTTCGCCTCTTTGAGCCTTCACTCTCGTCTCTCCCTCATAAACGACGTTCTGCGCCATCGAGTATGCCAGTTGTTCCGCCCATGGTGCCATGCCCACAGGTGTCAGCATCAACTGCCATTGTGGAAGGCCTTGATGTATCAGCATGACTCGAAAATACCTTTTTAAAACAATCAAATGTATAAAGAGGAATAAAATTTATCAAAAATAATTACTTATTGAATGTTGATGATAAAAAGTGCCATTCAAGACTGCGGTCAAGCAGCCAGATTGAGTACTCATCCTTGTGGCCCATGTAGACGAGGCAAGGGTAACAGCCATCTCTCGTGTAATCCAAGGCAAATATCTTATCTGTGAGCCTATCGAATCGCGGATGGTCATGCGGCACGACCGGCGAGAGGGCAAGGAGAGACTCGTTGTACAGTTTGTTCAGACAACTCAGCCTGTTGATCGCCAGCTTACCAATCGGGATGACGTCCGAAGTCATCTTGTAGCCCCACGTCAAATAGAAGCCGTCTGTCGATTTGTAAAAGTTCCTCAAGTCCTCCGGGAGCCTGCGGACCGTCCATTATTTCGGTGGATTTTTACAAAATTCAAAGTAGAAAATACCTGCAGTCATTGCGCATCTCCCATGACAAGACCTCGTCCTCTGTGCACCCTTTTTTCCTCTGTATCTCTACTTTGTGCACGCCGCTCACCTTTTTCAAAGCTGACGGCAAGCCCAGCGTTATCTTCTCATAAAAAGACTTCTCCGACTCTGGGAGGTGGCTAAACGCAATTTTCTGATTCGGTGACTCGATCATTGTCCAAAAAGATGAAAAGCTGCTCTCAAATGTTGAACTGGAGTTTGAAAATTTAGTAAGGATAAAATATTATGTCTGTGTGTTTTTTTTTATATATACAAGCACCTGTTTAAACATCTCTTTTAAAAGCAAATTTTCATTAAATAACTGCATGTGATAATTCCACACTGACTTTCATCACAAAATTAACCAAAGCAATAAATCATCCCAATCAATTCATCAAATATATATACATTTTTTTTTTAAAATAAAAGTGTTTCTTTGAGATTGTAACAATTCTTCTGTAGTTTCTTCAAGCGACGATCTATAGTTTATGTTGTATTTGGATATCCTGATGTATCCTCGCTGTTTTCATTACTATATTCAGTGGTGGATTGGTGTGTTAAAAATCGATAAAACACTCCTGAAAGAATGAAATGGCCCAACTAGAGGTTCATTAAATGGTAGACAACTATTAATGTTCTATAGAAATTAAAATTATTATAATCAATTATGACATTATATGATTCTATAGAAAGTTAAAGGTCATGGTGGCAGTCAGGGTTGAATAAAGATAGATACAGAACAGTGTAGGCAGATAAAAGACTGCCAGTGAACTGGTGTTACCATCTCATAATTCATACTATCTCTGCTATGTAAAATATATAAACTATATTTATATTGAATTTGTAACTATCATTAATAAACTAACGTTAAATCTTGTAACTAACTGTGGCCATTTTTATCTATCTCGTACTGTCCTGATTGATTTTAATTTGCTAATTTAAGTGTTTGTTTAACAAGACTCAATTCATAAAAATTAAAAAAGAAAAATTATAAAACATAAGTTCTCCCCCCTATTTTTAAAATCTTGTCAAAAATTGGTTAGAAAACATATGATTGAAATCATGATTTTTATGAAAAATACACTGATATTACAAAAAAATAAAATGCCTTGTATCCGATGTTATTGTACATAGAAATATCATGTAAGGTTTTTAGAAGAAAAAAAAAAACTGTTGACCGAATTTAACAAATGCCCTAGTATGTTTTGAAATTACTGTTTTATTTTCCTTAGATATCTCGATTTCAGATAGTTTTGAGGTGGAGTGCCTTGTCCCCAGATGAAGGTGAGAAGCACAGCCGGAAGAAGTTTCAGATCGAAGAGGGTTTTGTTGTCATCCGTCTCTGACAAGGTCCTGCCGAGAGAATTGACCAGCGTGAAATTGCCGTTTTTGCTCAATTTATCCTTGACGAACTCTCTCACAGATCTGAGCGTCTCGTTGACACCGAACGTCCCCTGTAAAAACGTGTTGTCGGGAAATCTCACCCTGATGAGCGAGTATTTGTATTTTCTCTTTTCCCTGTCTTCTTGGCGTTCTCTCATCGCTTTCGTCCTGAGCTGAAGGGAGAGGTTGAGGTTTTCTTCTCGCCTCGCTTGCTCGCGTCTCAAGTCTTCAGTCGTCCTGTTGTAGAAATCTTCGGGCAGCTCCACCTTGTTGATTGCCTGGTCTGCGAGGAGTATGGTCGTGTCCCGGTGGACTTGGAGGTGGATTGGCTCGGTCAACTTCAACTCGTCTACCAGATCTTGAAGATGTTTCTTGTCGTATTTCTTATCGTCGAAAACTAGAAAAGCCTCTTTCTTATCGTCAATCAAGAATGTCTTCATCTCAAAGCCCGCTGCATAAAGGAACTCAAGTGCACCTTCTAAAGGGAGCACCTTGCAGCTGAACACTTTATTGTCTTTTCTGATTTTTCTGAATTTGGGCTCATCAGGCGAAGATATCAGGTTGTTTAAATAAGTGCAAATCGTTTCAACACAAGAATTAACGAGCACCCTATCTGCATTGAGTGTGTGTATCATGAGCGCAGCCGATTTTCCCCTGTCTCTAGACAACTGGGCTTTCAAGTGGTTTCTGATCTTTTCCTTCCATTCCCTCTTTGTGAGAACTTCATTGCTGATTGAGGGACAACAGAAATAGACACCGGTTGTTGCCAGCTGGCGGTTCTTCCCTACGACGTCTTCTGAGATGGACCAATCCAGGCCGGGGAGCCCATTGGAAATCCGTCTCGATATCGCCGCCTTGGCCGCTTTTTCTTTGATTTCACTGCTCCTCGTCTTGTCCGGCGTACGGATTCGGAAATCATTGCTCGACCTGTGAGATTTTGTTGTCTCGCCTTTTTTCAATTTATCAGGCATTGAATTTGTTATTTAGAAATTTTTCTCCGTCTTATTTGAATTTATCATTCATATTTTACTTGAAAATTACATCTTTCTCCTTGCACCTACTCTAGCTTGCATATCATTTAATTATTTTTACAACATATGTTTTTGTCTAATTCAGAAAACAACCATTTTATTTATTTAATTGTTTGATTAAATGTACAAATATGTTTTAATTTAAAAGGTTACTTGTTTTGTTTTTAAGAGAGTACTTCCGTTTTAGAAATTTCAAAAATATTCTTCTAAATTTTTCAATGTTAACGAATACAAATTTACATGTTGCACTTACACATATGTAAACATAAATATGTTTAAATAAAAAACAAAAAACCATTAAGACTGTGATGAATGAAATTAATTTTAATGGAACTGCAGAGGTTAAGTTGTTAAGGGGGTCTGACTCATCTATACCATGCCAGCAGTCCTGGGTTCGAATCCCATGGCTTCTTAATTTTATAATTAAAAAATTATGAAAAATGTATTGTAAAGTGATATGACTACACACCACGACATCTAACGGGTAGTAGGAAGTAGTACAATAAAGAATTACTTTACTATTAACATTTCAATAATGTACGTTGTCACTAAAATAATAATAGATGAAAAATATATGAAAGAACTGACATGAATCTACCTCAGTAACTGAGTGGTTATAGTGTTTACAAGCTTTGCATTTGCCTAGCAATTTGAAAAAAGTATGTAAGTGTTTTGACTGACCCCCTGTCCCTGAAACCCTATGGGTGAATGTTTTATGGTTTACCTTCTGTATGTCAGTTAACAACTTTACTTTTTCTAGTATTATTGGATTGTACCTTCTTTATACATAAGAATGTCAATATCTTAAGTTACCCGACAATATCAGTTTGATTTGTTCATGCATCTGCCTCAATGGATCATATCAACTGCTTATTTAGACATTTGTCTGACCAGTGAACAGTCGTACATCAATAACCATCAGTAGGACTGATCACAACAATCAATGCTTCTATGTTCTTGGTTTAACCAACCTCATTTCTGATTTTTTGGATATCGTGAGACGTTTCGATATTTATTGAGATCATCTTCAGGGCTCAAAGTGTTTGTTTTCTGTGTAGATGGGTCATTCTTATATGTCATGTTGAGAGTGCTCACACTCATAAAGATCACAACATTGGCACGATAAAGAAAATGTTTTTCTAAAACCTACATCACACCAGACCAAATCTCACGATCTCCAAATAATCAGTAACTAACAGACACTAAACACCACACATGACCTCATTTTGTTGGCATAGAGCAGCAAAAAAAAATTTTTTTTGGTAATAGATACATGTAAGATAAATAAAATTATATACAAGAGTTTATTGCAAAAAAAAACCACTCCATGAATAATTAAAAAATACAACTTATTATTAAACACTTTTTGAAAGAACAATGCTGAACATTGGCATATTAATCTGGGGAGATATATTGGACATGGCCGATGTTCTTCACAGGGTCAAAAAAAAACATGTTTCTATGCGGCGCATCTTTACGAGATATGGCCTTGACCACCTCCTGGGACAGAACAGCGCCAAGTATGGCACAGACATGTGACATCGGAGCTCCGACACATTTCCTAAAACATTTTAATACATAATAATATGGGTAACAGTGATTTATGAATAATGTAATACTTTGAAATTATCTTACGATATCAATTCATCTGGGATTTTCTCATTAGGGAGGCTCAACTCAAAACATTCTTTATCCCTCATTTTAATCAGGACGTTAATATCAGACGTGGTGGGCAAGGGATCACGACAGTAGTCTGTCCTGAATTTCATTAGAACTGGAAAAAAAAAAAAAAATGAAAACATATTTTTACTATTTATTTATGACTTACTGTTCATAACGAAATATGATCCTTCCATCCTTCTGAGCTTTCCCTTCTGACTGTCCTTTGTGAAATCTGAATTGAGGGAGTCTCTAAGGCTGGGAAAATGCAAGACCTTTTTGGCCGCCTGTACACTACGTATGCCGGCTTTCTGGTATGTGACGACATCTTCGACAAAATTGTACTTGTTCAGGTCACTGAATAGGAAGCCGAACATGCCAAAAACGTCACCGATGAAAAAACAAATGTTCTCCTTACGGCAGATATCATCAATCCTAACGTACTGCGATATTGGAAGGCCCGAGGCAATGACAATGTCCCATCTTGTTCTGAAATTAATAACCAGTGAAAACCTTTACTTAAATAGTATAAACAGGCACTTTTTGTGCGAGTTCAATTGTTATTTATTTTTTGTAGTTTAGAAAAAGTCCTTACCCTAAAAAGAATTCTTCTGAGAGATCTGAGACATTACAGCTTTCAGCTGAGACTTCAACCAGCGGGTTTAAAGCTTTAGCTCTCTCCAAAGACGCTACTGCTCTCTAAATAAAAAAAATTTAAAAATTAGGATATATGCATATACTTTATGGGAAAATTAAAAAAAAAATTAAATCTTACATTTTCTCCAAGTTTATCTTGTGGTATGAAAAACTGTGACATTAAATCGGCTTCTGTCGCAGTCTTGTGATCCATCAGTGATACGGCTTTTACGCCCGTCAGAATGATGTTCTTCGCCACTTCTGCACCGAGTCCTCCCATCCCCACAATAAGCACACGTGCATTTCTAAGCCTGCATAAGTTCAAAAATTGACAATTGTATACAATTATCAGGATTATTTTCTTGAGGTTTGCACGGTGATGAAGATGAAACAGTTGGACTTCATTAAGAACGACTGTAGGTTGTTAGGAGTGGGTGAAGATATTCAGGAATGGCTTTAAATTGTTAGGAGTGGGTGAAGATGTTTAGTAATGGTTCAAGTTGTTTAGGAATGTCTTTAGATTGTTAAGAGTGGTTAAGGATGTTTAGTAGTGGTGGAAGTAGTTTAGTAATGGTTGAAGATGTTTAGGAATAGCTGTACATTGTTAAAAATGTCTTTAAATTGTCAGGAGTAATTGAAGATGTTTAGTAGTGGTTGACCACGGATAAAATAGTTGAAAAGTGTTAATAATGGTCGGAATTGCTGAAGTCGATTAGGACTGGATGGAATTACAATGAGTAAAATAAGACTTGCAAATTGAACGTGCAAGGCTTTGGTAATTGAAACTTAATAATACGTCCAATTCGGGCAACCTGAGCCGTTTTGATGAGCTAATTCGGTAAAATGTCGAAAATTAATCGTTTGAAACGTGATTTAATAAGTGAAAATACCTTTTTTGCGCTTCGAGGCCCCAAAGCCGGATCTGCCTGTCGTAAAGTTGGGCCTCAGCTTCTGTCAACTGTCCAGATTCGGCTTCAACCATCGTGATTATTAATTAACAGATAGGCCGAAAAAATCAATTAATCGACAACTTTCAAAACTTAAACAATAAACATATGAAATGAATAAATTATCGGCGGCTAAATAGCTATGACAAACTCAACTCAAACGCTGCCAAGTTTGGACTTCTTGAGTTAGGAGATAGGACTTAGGAAGTTGAAACGGAGGGTTCGCAATCCCAAGTCAAATATCCAGTGTTGCCACAATTTATACAATCACAATTTAACAAAAATAAAATATAATTTAGCTAGCATCATTCAAATTAATGTTTTTTATTATTTTAAGCAAAATTATTGTTAAAAATAAATAATTATATGTACGTAATACAAAAAATTGACAGGGGTAAGTCAAATTGAAATTTACTTTTTACTAACACAAATAATATTTATATACAATGAATAATTCTTAAATATTTATTCATTTTTTAAAATATGTAATACAATTGGTTCACAATGTACTTATGCAATAAAACAATTATTTTTAATGTTTTTATTGTGAGTTTGGATTCTAGGTTTACCGAATGAAAACATTCCAATTTCAAAACCTTGTAACGTTAAAGAAATTTAAAAATAAATTCTTTTAATAAAACAACAATTTTAGTTTAACTGTAGTCAAGTATTCTTACAAAAACGATCAACTTTTTTTAAAACCAAATCCGATGATCGATATAACCCAATGGGGAAAAACGTGATCACATGTTGCGTTTTCCCGCTATTATCATTACTGTGGTGGTTTCATGTTTATAATATTTTTATGAGTAGTTTGTTTTTTTCGAACGGGCGAAAAACTCGGGTGCCTTTTTTTCTTACTGAATTAGTTTTGTTTTTTTTCTTTAAAAAGTGAATAAATATTTTTTAAAAAAAGAATGGTGAACCGGGATATACTCAGATCCTTCAACGCGAACTGTAAGGACTATTTCTTGCACAGGACGGCCGAATCCTGTTCAAACGTTCAGAGGTGTTTACAGGTACGTTTTTTGTATGTTTTTTTTTTCTCTGCATATCAGCCTTATTTTCTTAATGAATAACATACATGTAAACAAAAGTATTTTATGGTCGTTTGTTGCAAAAAGAAAATGTATAAAGTTCTCACGGTTTGTTTGGTGAAGTATTTGTGTAGAATTTACGTTCTATTTTTATAATCCTGCTACATTCAAGGGGTAAAATTAAACTAGGCCAAATAATTCCCATCATTAAGGATCTTAGTATTCTCCCACGGTTGTGTGAATAAATAACAATAAAAATATCTCAATGTAGTCTGTTGTTTTTATAGGCTTGTTATGTTGGGCAAGGTCAGCATACTCCTTATGTTTTAAATCGTCGATGTCATTCAGTCCGTTGAGTTGTGTGAATAATAGAACCTGGTTTGTAGTTGACTTGTTTCATTTGGTCTTGCACAACTATTTTGACCGCAGTTATCAAAAATTGATTATATATTTAATTATAATAGCAAAAAGTAATTAATGACCTATGATCTTATTTTAGCCATCTATTATCATCGGCACTGAATACTCTATGCCTTGGAACTGTGAACATGCGCTGTGATATACTGGATTAGATGGATATGAGAGGATCGCCATGAGCAAATAAAAGCTTGACTCTAGAGAAGAAAAGCTGTAATATGTGTACAGTTAAACACCATTAGAAAAAACTGGCACTCTCGACACGCCACACAAGAATGGCACAATTACACAGAAGACAAACACTTTGAGCCCTGAAGATGATCTCAATAAAGATTGAAACGTTGGCACGATAAAGAAAATATTTTTCTGAAACCTACATCACACCAGACCGCATCTCACGATTTCTAAATAAATATCGATTAACGGTCACTAATCACCACACATTAGAAAAAACATCATTCTGTCACTTCTCACTCATAAGTCCAGATTAAATTATCGAGTCTTGACCATAGATCAACTAGTTTTCATATATTGTTTCAGTTTAAATTTCTAACGGAAAATTTTCATATTGAAAGCTGGTGGCAAGCTTAACAAATGTAACCTTGGGTACAGGGGGGGGTACAAATTTTCTTCTTTGCTAGCGAGAAGTGAACGGATGGGTAATGTCCGATTAAAAAGGACCCTCCTGGATGTATAACATCTCGAAGATAAAGTGGGGTCCGTCCTTCAGGCCCCACACCATCAGATAAACCCAGATAGAATTAGCTAGTACAAAGCGCAATGCCTGATCTAAGCGACAATCCCTAGCTAATCTTGAGAAGATGAGCAGCCACACTGGAACTCATGTAGCATGAATAGCACTGCCAATTGACATTACCTGCAGAAGAAGCATTGGGGGAAAATTACTGACATAAGGTGTAATTCTTTTCCACCTTTCTTTATTACCTCTTGTTTTTACAACTTAAAACTTATGATTTTGAATTGTCCCTTTTTAGTTTAATTTCCATAGTAAAGTATTTTCACTTTGTATTTATATATTTTTTAATATGAACATTGTTGTATAACCTTATCAGGCTTGATTTTCTGGAAATATGCTATATTCATAATTAATTATTCAAGGGGACTAAGTCCTAGAATAAAGTTTATTTTTAATTTCGTTTCATTTCAACTATTGGAAGCTGAAAGGTTTATTTTGGTTCTTGGCCGTGAAGACAATAAAAACCTTAATTATATTGGGTTTCTGGACAGAACAGCAGATTGCTTCAGTTCCTGACAATATAAATGGTCACAACTGTAAACTATGCTTAGGTTGCTGGGATATAATAAGATTAAAAAGTTGGTTTAGGCATAAAAAAATTAGTTTGGATCTTGGCTATATGGTTTGGGACTTTGGGCAGTAGATCATAGCAACAAATAAAATAAAAGTTTATTTGGGTTCCGGGCCATAAGTGCAAAGTTTGTTTGGTGTCAAGGACAAAACAAAAAAATACATAAGAAATCAATATATGTTTCATGGTCATAATTGACCATATTAATTTAATTAAATCATTCCTTTTATCTAAGGTCTTCATTGAAATAAAAAAGTTAGCGTCACAACCAGAATTCGAACCCACGATTTTCGGCTAAATAACGAATCCCACTCATGGCACTCATTTTTTAATCTCAACCAAGACCTTAGATAAAAAGAATCATTAATTTAAAAATTTAATTAAGTCAATTAATATATATGGATTAATATAATATTTAAAGAAGTAATCACTTCGCTAAAGCTTTATGGCCACTTTATAAGTCGCTTGAACAGAAGGAAAAATTGGAAAAGTTGTAGGTTAATGTAAAGAGTTGGTGTCTGAGTAGATAGAAGTCATTTAGCCGAAGGTGGAGGGTTCGAATCCTGCTCATGACACTAACTTTCTCATCTCAATCAAGACCTTTGACAAAAATGATAACTAATTGAAATAAATAAGAAAGTGTATGCTGGTAGTAGGATTTAATGATAATTTCCATATTATGAATCCCTCTGAATCTGATTAATGATAATAAAAAACTATTTTTAAAATTTCACTTGGTTTATTTGTTACAGATCCTTGGTGCAACATCAGATCCCAATTTATATGACCCCGGAAGCAGAGATGTAGTCGAATTTTTCATAAATCTCTACGAACTCCTCATCAGCGTAGATGTGCACTCTCACCTCAACTGGCTTGCGATCAACGTCCTACTCGAAGCGTGTCGCAATGTCAAAACACGAGAGTCCCTTGTTCACACTTACAAATTCACGTCAATCCTTACAACTGTCCTTCTCGAAACACAAGCGCTAGAAAAGAGATTAAAAATATTACAACTCCTTAAGGTATATTTATAAACTATTATAGCTTAAATGTTTTTATTTGCAACATCAATTTCATTATTGTTTTTATTTTAGGAATTGACTTACGGCATTAAAATTACATGGCAAGAAGCTTATTTGCCTTCCCTTATAACGGCACTTACAAACTGGATTATGGGAGATGATGTGGAGTTTCTTCCTTTGTCATTAAGCATCCTGGTCAATTTGTGCTATCAGAATATGCCATCAATTTACACTCTACTGAGAGCAGTCAATATCAAAAAATTTTTAAAATCCATACTTAAAATTCAAAAACAATATGATCCGTCACGGATAGAGGTATCATAATGACAGAAATAATTTTTTTAATGTTCAAACAAACCAAAAACGATGCATTTTCAGGTGTCAAAGCTACTAATAATATTGGAAGGTATATCAGGCGGTTTGCCAGACCAAGAAGTGCATGCTTTTATTAGAGTAACATTTCCAAATTTGGTAGAGGCCCTTAACACGGGAAACTATTTTATGATGAGACACCATGTGACTTTTTTCAAGGAGACCATGAAAAATCCGAGGACGAGTAAAATACTTGAACAATATCCTAAGTAACAAACACACAAAAAAATGTAAAATACAATAGGTAATTTTCTGTTTGTAATTAATCTTCTGACAGTTTTAGAGGCAACATGGAATACCTAATTTCAAAAATCAAAGAAGATAGTAAAATCCACCAAAACTGTCTCGCCATCCTTTTTGAGTTTTTAACGTGCATCACACAATTGGACAACCTCGACTTGGAAGTTTTCTTCCCGCAGTTGATGCGTTTCGCCCTGAGGTGGGTGCGGACGACGAATGTCTCGACCGAGGCCTTATCCCTCCTCTGCACAATAACCAACAGGCTTTTCAAGAAGAAAGAAATCGACAGGGATTCGGAACAGAGGCAAGAGGTGATCCAAAGAGTCTTTGAAGTCCTCGAAGATCAGCTAGCGGTAAGTTCTCCAACCTACATTTGAGATTAAACATTTCTTTAAGTAATTATTATTTTAGGTTATTATGCTTCTTATGGATGAACCGGAGAGTGAACTGGGCTCCTGTGAAATGTACAGCAGGCACACAGCGCTTATGTCCCTGTTGGGAGAAATGATTAACATACCAAAATTTACTGATAAAATTATGACTTCTTTATCACTTGATGTACTTATTTTCTTAATACTGTTTTGTATTAAATAATACAACTGCTTATGTATTTATCTTAATTTACAGTTACTGAGGCAGTTGTTTTTACCACTGAAAAAACCAAACCTGAAAGACAGTGGATTTTTTCAAGAGCCTGTTTATACATTTTATGTTCAAGTGAGTTTTTATTTATTTTTTCTTAAACAACTTAGCTTGTATGTGATGTGGCAAGTATGATACAAGTCCTATCATTTGTTATTATTTTTATCCCTAAGCCTCTAGGGGAGTATCACACGTGTGATATACTTGCCTCTTAGTCTCTAGCAGTATCGCGTTTGTTGTTTCCCTCTTCAACTAGATTACATCACATTTTTGACTCTCGATTTATCGTATATGCCACATTTTATTCGCTCTGTCTCCAGTAGATGTATCACAATGTAATGTTTGCCTTGCTTAGTCTCTTGGAGATGTAATCCAATCTCTAAGTGTCTGAATAGAAGTCTCTAGTTGTAAATGTGACAAGTCTTCGATAGTAGCATTAGCTTTATTTGTCTTTTGTTGACTTTCCTGGTATATTTGAATTTAAAATCCCGATTTTATATAGTGATCGAGCTTTTTCTTTTTTTCTTTAGGCGCTTCTTTTTATCTCAGTTCTTGCGGGTAAAGAATCGAGTTGGTCATCGTTGTACAGTGAACTCCTGCAAGAAAGATCGATCCAGCTGATATTGTCAATCGCCTTATTCATCGGGCAGGAAGACTTGAAGAAAAAGGCGCTCTCGCTTTTAAAGACAACAGGATTTTCCTCAGAATGGTAAATTGGTAATTTAAAACTTAAAAAATATACAATGAAGAATAAGTGTTTGTGGTAACTTGCGTTTGATTCCAGCATGGACATACTTGCATCTAACATGATGAAGGTAAATAAATTAATCATATTTTCACCCGAAAAAGATTTTAATGGGGAAAATAGTGGAAATGTTTACGAAAGCGAGCCCAACAATTGTAGCATAAGGCAAATCGACCTCGTCCCGTTGCTCTCCAGTACACAAGAGAGCTATTTGAACACTCTGCTTGAAAAATATGAAGCTGTTAATGTTAATAGTGAGGTATTTAATCATTTCTTTTCATTTATGAAACTATGATTATTGTTATTCTGAGATCGTGAGATGCGGTCTGGTGACGTAGGTTTTAGAAACCATTTTCTTTATCGTGCCAACGTTTCAATCTTTATTGAGATAATCTTCAGGGCGTGGGATTTACAAACATTTTTTTAAATTTAACAAATACAGTAGGATGTGGAAAAAGTGAATTTATACAATGCAAAAAAATAGTTTTTTATATTCAATCAAAACTCTGAAATGAATATTTTTTTGTATTGAATAAATTCACTTTTTTCCACATCCTACTGTATTTGTTAAATTTAAACAAAGTTTGTAAAGAAAATGTTTATCTAATACCTACGCCACACCAGACGGCATCTCACGATCTCTGAATAATCATCGTCCAGTCACTAATCACACACGATTATTGTGCTGATTGGCACAGGCCTAAATTCAGAACCCAACGAAATAATACAATTTAATAATAATAATAATACGTTTTACAACAGAATGTCATGGTTTCATCGATCATGGAATTGTACCAGTATAAGATGAGTGCTATGGAACAGACATTGAGGCACATGCAGTCAAGTCAAGAAGCAGCCGACAGGCGGGCGACCAGCCTCCAGCACAATCTATCTCGCACTACTACCGAAATATCGTGGTTGCACAGCTTGCTTCACAACACCCAGCAAAAGCTGGAGGTTAGCATTGCAGAATCGAAGAAGCTGAATTCTCAAATTTCAGAAATACAAAGCCAAGCGAATGAGACCCACGTTAAATACACTCAGGTTTGTTGTTTTATCTTAATATAAATTTGAGCCTTGGCATAATTGCGTTTGCAGAATTTTATGACAAATTGGATATTTATAATAGTTACTCTAAATCTCTATTTGATCTTAAAATATTAATTCATACATAGTAGTACATACAATTTCTTACCAATAACATCAGCCTTCTCACCCCTTCTTCTTAATGAATCACATCTAGTACCAACCATACCATTCTACAGTCAGTCATTGGCATTACCACAGGTTCTTAATACAAGAAGTGTTGTATTATTAAAAAGAAAAAAATATATATATAAAATAATTTGTAGTAATCTTTAACTCTAATAAGCATTGTCTTTTTATTTATTTCCAGCTTGTCCAGACATTGCGATCCAAAACACTTATAATAAACGAGTTGGAGGAAAAATGTAAAGAATTGAACAACTGTATAAAAAACAAGAATAATGAAATTGATATGGTGAAGAAAGAGGTGGAAGTGGAAGGGCAAAAAATTGTCCAGCTCACACAAACAATACAGGACAGAAACAATACAATAGAAGGTAAAACAGTACAATTTATGGAAATCGTAACTGCTTTTTTAAAAATTATTGACTTTTTTTCTTTTTTTTTTCAAGAACTTGAAAAAGAAAAGGCCAGATTACAGGGAACAATAAATGATTTAACCAAAGAGTTAGAAAGTGCAGAGCAAAAATTGAACGAACTTGAAACAGTAAAGATTTTATTATATACTAAAGATAACTCTTTGAGTATTTATTTTATTTTATTTTTAAGGATTTGTCAGTTCAACGTGGTGTCACAGCTGACCTGGAAGCGGTGATAGAACAGAAAAATGATGAAATTGCAGAAGTGAAAAAGGAGCTTGAAGAGCAAAAACGAGTCAGGGAGATTATATCTGAATTAGTTATGGAAAAGGGGAAATTTAGCAAATAATAAATGTCTTTTATATTTATTAACTTATCTACAATTATTCAATTACAACTATTAACGTCTCTTGTAATTATATATATATATATATATTTTTTTTTTAAATCTTTCCTTATGTGAATTTTTCCAGAGCCTATCAATATTTTGAAGAATCTAGGAAGAGTTTCGAAGGAGTTAAATAATATTATATAATGTGAACTAAAATTGAAGTTTTTTTTTTTAATTTGCAGCTAAATTTTAGCTAAAATTGTTTTGCTCTTGAATGGATTGTGATCTATGTACATACAATTTTAAACTGTAGAAAATTTGTATCTTAACTTATTATATTTGTCACTAAGAAAATAAGTTTTATTATATTGAGTTTATTCCTGCTTCCTTGAAATGATTGTATTTTTGTCTTCATGCTGTAAGTTTTTTTGGAATTAAACAGTCATGCACACTTGTCAATGGCATTCAGAAGGTATTTAGTATTCAGCATTTCTAAACGGAAAAATGTACTATAATGAAATTGCCTGTTTCGTTTTGCTTTTTTTCTAAGCTTGAATTTGTGTCAAGTGCTTGAGGACTGGCACTGAGAGCGCATAGTACTAAATAATGAAAACCGGCACTCTGGCTCATTTATTTTCTATGTAACTCATAACTCAAATGTAATATCATGGTGATTTGTGTTGCGTCCATCAATCAAGTAATAGTATTTTGGGGTATTTCTATGTATAAACTTAAAAGTTAATGATTATTCAGAAATCGTGAGATGCGGTCTGGTGACCACACAAATACTCATCGATTAATGGTCACTAATCGCCATACACTTAAAAGTTAAAATAAGCATGAAAAAAAGAATGTAAATTTAATAAGATAGCGTTAACCTGTGCAAAAGCCAAACAAATCTAAATCTAAAATTTATGCAGATGAGATTTATGCTTTATTTAATTATAGTGGGTTGGTATTATTATTTAATATAAATTATGCATACCATTGCATGCCAAATGAGTAAGTCTTTAAGGAGCGTCACACAGCCTTTTACCTTTTTTGTCTCAACCAATAGGCAGAATGAGAATACATATAACATTCATGTATATTTTGAAGAAATCTCTGAGCTGATAGATATCAATATCATTTGAATTGATATGATGCAGGACCAAGTGCAGTGGATGAATGTTTCAAAACCAAATTGTTTGGTCTATCTTGCAGCATTTGTGATAAACCTTTAATCGTCTGCTTTCAATGCTCAAATTTGAGTGTCTCACACAGGACATGTTGAAAACGACAGCATACTCGTACTTTCCGTGGGAGTTAGCCAAACCTGGATGAATAGTGCGAACACTGCAGATCAATGGCTTTGTATTAAGTACAAGCAAATAACACCACATTTGAACATTGTCAAATTGCCACTGGTGCAAATTTCTGCACCTAGTGGTTCTACAATGTACAGAAACTTAAAAAGTGTATATATATATATATATAAAATCACAAAGTGTCAACTAAAGATGACTTATGTTTATCAATTGCTCCTTCAATATTCAGCAAACTTGACAAAAGTATTATTAATCATCATTGAATAATAGGCAAAATAAATATCATATACCAATCAATGTCTACTTTATAAATGAAATTTGGTACTCAATATATCATTTTCATTTTATTTTTTATGTTCATCTGAATTATTTTCAGGTTTACGAACTACCAAACCAAAGAAAATGCCTGGCTAATTTTGCTTATAGTAGCAGCACAAGATACCATCGTTCAGCTCAGCAGCTTATTTGAAAGCTTCCATGCAAATACACTTTTCACGCTAATACACATGCAAATGATACAAACTAGTGATTTTGCTGGCTCAGCATTAGTGTGAAACCGTACTAAGGTACATTGTTGTAAATTAAAACTATCAAAGATTGCCAGTAGTGCATTTATCATACTACACCGGAGCCCAAAGGAAAATCATTACATCATATTAGCTGATCTTCAAATATACTTACCTTAAGACACAATTGTTTAAAATGATTGTTTGTCACTACTAAAATAATTGTTGCACTAGTTAAACACTACCAGCAAGTATCTGAACACTAATAAATATCAATGAGGCACCGGTCTTCAGACATCTATGCTAGATCAGATATGTAAGGTATTATAATGTAAAATAAAAAGTATCCGATCAAACAGTCGAAAGTATGGCCAGCCTTAAAAAAAAAGGAGAAAAGCTTTTCCTGAAGTTTACGGTGTGATGAACCTACGATTACGTCGTCTCTGGTCAGGTCTGCCTATCAGTACATTGCCATGTAAGGTTTATTAGCGGTTTGTCCTAGTGTCCAAAGTCCCCCCCTCAACACACTGGCCCAACATAAGCCACCACAAGCCCTTGCCACTGTGTGGTGAGTAGATTGGCAAAAGACTAATCGAAAAACATATTTTTTAAACATCTAGACTAAAGAAATTTCAACTTTATTCAATAAATGTTTGATGTAAACAGACTAATGGCAGTTGGAACTAAATACACTCACCTTATTGTTATAACATTAAATAAAATGCAAAATAATTTATTGTTTGATGTAATATATATGTATATTTTACCTGGTGTTTTATGTAGTTGGTTTTCTTGATCAAGTGTTATGTTTCTCTTGTCCTTACCATTTTCATCAGCTAGAAATTATTTTTAGCATGATTATTAACAACTTATGTTTGGAACATCAGAGTTAAGACATACCTGATGAGTTAATAGAAATGTTTACTTTTTCAAATGAACCTGTTTTTAATTGTTGTTCATTGTCAGAATCTAAATTAACAGAGAAGAATGTTAAAACGACTGGAGTTGTTTTATACTGAGGATAATTTACCAGATAGTACGATTATGGTAGAAGGTGGAGGAGTGTTAGTATGGACAGAAGTTGAAGAGTTTTCATTTGAAAAAAATACTTCCTCTTCAGATTCAAAATCTGACTTGGCGCTTTTTGTCAATCTGACCGGATTGATTGATATTCTCGCTCTTTTCACCTCTGTCTGTTTGGATTTCCCTTCATTGCCTTTCGTCAATGGTTTTGAAGGAGAAACACGCTTCTTAAAACTGCCCTTTTCGATTATACCACTCACCTAGATGAAAACGAAGTTCAGAATATGAAGCGACAAAGTCATTTTAATCTTCATACCTGAAGAAAGTGCGCAGAATGTAAAAACGAGTTGACATCAGCCACTTCAACTTGAACCACACCTTTGTACATAAAGTCGAGTATGTATTTCATATCCTTCGACGGTATTGACGGCAGGTGGATCTCATTGACATCATTTCCAACACCTTTGCTAAAAATTAAATCCTGAAATTGAAACAAAAAAATAAACTGTTAAAAAGATAAAAAGGGTTGTTTTTAACCGAAAAGCCATTACGTGTATGTATTGACTGTTCGCACACAGTATGATTCGGTGAGCTTTGAACTTTTGACAATCACCTCCGATTGAACCTGACACGATCGTACAATCGACAAGTGCTTCGGATTTCCTCAATTCGACAAAACTCGCTATTTGATCTTCCAGTTGATTATTCCACCGGAACGAAACTAACGCATTCTCAAACTTTGGCATTGCTAAAATAAATTTATAAAAATAAAATATAAAACCATATACATCATAATGAGAAAACAAAACAATCCCAAACTATAACGTCTAAATAAATCGCTTGTTAATCGAATTATTCACCAGTGACATGGATAAATCTATAGAAATTAAGAAAATGGGGTGAATATGTGGATTCACTTTTTGTAAATGATGGTTCTACTACCTTTATTTACAAAAAGTGGATAAATCTTGTTCTTTCAACACGAAATATTTAAACAAGATACAAATTAATAACGACAACAATTAAAAACTCCTACCAGTTTAATAGGAACGTTTCATTTGATTTAAAACAATTTACAATGCGTAAAAACGCTAAAAATGTACAATATTATCAAGAAATTCAGGTTTAAATAAGCCCCCAAGGGAAACAAAACGTATTATGAGGTTACAATTTTCAAAAATAACGAGGGGCATCGTATCGATACTGGATATCTATAAAATCAATCTGTAACTAAAAAGACTTTTTCTCTAGTATTTTAGAAATTTTATTACTTTTTTAACTGTAACTATCCACCAGTTATTTCTTTGTACTTCCAAGTGCATAAGTACAGCATCCAATGTAAAACGTTATCTAAATTCTTTTAATCGATCTAACAAGTTAAACTGATGAATTGATTAAACAAATGAAAAAGAACAAAATTAAGCAAACCAAGGTAAGAAACATGAAAAAAGTAGTTTTTTTTCCTAATCCAAACTTCGGTATTCCGAATAAAGCTTTATTTGCAGGGGTAAGAGGAAGAAAGATGAGTAAGAGGGGGTGAGTGAATGAATGAGAGAATGAATGTGAATGAGAATGTGAAAGAGAATGATTTAGATGCTCTACTACTCGTCTTTATAGAATCCTCTTAAAACATCTCATTATTTCAGATGAGAGGAAAACTTGAGATATCAATTATAAATAGTGACAACTACAAAGGGCCTGGGATGGAGCCCTGAGGGACACCTGTCGATAAGGGGTTAGATAAAAATTGGTTCAATTGTCTAATCAAAACTTGATTTCAATTGAGAGACAAGTGTCGAAAGAGAAGATTGGAATGATTGATTTACCTGAAAACATTTATAGAACGTTAAAAAAAAAAAAAATGTTGGCACTCTCAACATGACACGCAATAATGGCACATATACGCAGAAAACAAACACTTCAAGCCCTGAAGATGATCTCAATAAAGATGGAAACGTTGACAAGGTAAAAAAAATATTTTTCTGAAACCTATGGCACACCAGACCGCATCTCACGATTTCCGAATAATCTTGAACAAAGTTGAAGATCTATAAAATCATCAGTACCAATAGATATGTCTTCTATGATGTGATACATGTCTTCTATAAATGAAAGACACAAAGAATATAGATATTCAGATCGGGAAAGTTTTCTTATTTCAAGTATATAAATAACTATTTTTATTAATACAAACTTGGAAAAAAAAGTTTAAACATTCAAAATATGTAAAATACATTATTCTTGTACACAATTTTTGTAATATACAAGTTTAAAATTAATTAATAAAAAGTCATTACAAAAATACTGAACAGGGAGGAGCCCTGGAAATTGATTTAAAAGAAATATAAAGATGTTTAAGAAAAGACATGTATACAATTCCTGAATAATCCCTACAGCAAGTTACAAATTTAAAAAAAAAAATCTTTTTATAAAGACAATTAAAAACTATTTTCTTAACTATATATAATTGAAAATAATTTAAGAAGGAAATAAATTTTATTATGGGGAGTTAGGCCTCCATTGAATAATAAAAAAAAGTACAAATTTGGCACAATTCGTGTCAAAATGATTATATAAAAAGAGATTTAAATTTAATAGTATAAAAATAAATGTAATGTACTTAATTAAATAAAAGAAGGAAAAATTAACCACAATAAAATATACTGAAACAACAGAAAATTAACCATCCTTGGTGTCAAATTGAAGGAACAGGAGGTAAATTAATAAGAGGGGACGTAAAGGTGGAAAGGATTGAGGCAAGATAAATGGAATGAGGGTGGGAATTCCCAAAATTGTAGGAACGGATAAGGAAAGCGACTGTTAGATAGCCTGGTAGATATTGAGAGTCCATGCCCAGGAGCTGATGGCATTTTGGCCCTTTTGGTTTCGTGTGATTTAAAGTCATGAGGTGGAAAGGGGAGATAGATTTGGAAGTGTTAAACTTATAGGTGGTAAATGCAATATTTTAGGATATTAGGACGTTGAAATAACAAAAAAGAGAGACAGATAAACTGTTGCCTCGAGGACAACAGGCAGGGGAGAGGATGGGGCTTGTCTGGGATGTGGACTATTTGTGAGAGGAATGAAACCATCGAAAAACACATCACGAGAATATATTATAATAATTTATATATTATATTAACAATATATAAATTATTACTGGTAGAGGGCAGCTGCTGAGAAGAACCATTATGCATGTGATGATGTGATGCGTATTAGGCTTGCTTACTATATAATAGGCAATACTATATACTGCATATTTACCAAACTGAAAAATCATTGTTCGAGTTTTGAATAACAAAATCTACTTCATGTATTGTACTTTACAATGATCTTTTATATTAAAGGAAGAAAATTTGACTAAATTTTTATTAGGAAACAATACTCTTTTATAAAAAAGTGGAGAGTTTGGCTGGCCAGAGATCTTTTGTGTGTCTGTTGTCAAAACAAAGTTTTCTGACAATTTTGGAGTATTTTGAACGAAATCAGCGCTAAATCTAGATTTCTTTGATTTTGCAATGTTCAAAGTGCCTTCTGGCTTCCTTTGAACGCCCAGGTCTAAAAACAATTCTTGTAAGTACTTGTAATTTTCACGGTCAGATTTTGTGTTTTTCAATTTGAATTTTGTCGATTTTTGATTTTCAGTATCTGTGGTATTTTTAATTTTCGTGTCACTGCCATGGGTCAGTTTAGCGTGTTGGTGGGCTTTAGCAAAAGTGGAAAATATCAACAAGCATAATGGGCATTTGTAACTGTTTCTTGACAATTTGCGAATTGCGAATTGTGGTCTTGGGCCCTGTTTAGTATCCTGGTTATGGACTATGGAAACTTTACTACTTTTCTTGTCCATCTCATCTTCTTTTTGATTACGCTGATCACTCTCATCTTGATTCACCGTTACCTTATCTGAAAAACAAAATATATTTATAAATACATTTAAAAAAAATCAAATATCTGAAATTAAAAAATATAATATTTATTATAACTGCCATTAGTCTGATAAAACTTGATGTATTAGAGGGGATAATGAGTAAAACGAACAAAAACAAATTTTTTTATTTCTTATACTTAAAAACATTACACTTGTGGTGGGTGGTACATAGGAACTAATACAGAAGACAACCCTGTAGCGGTTTTCCTTTGGTTTGGCCATTCCGTTGAAAATCCGTTGAACAGGTTGTGAACTCGTAGCACACTGTAGTTGTTGTTCCAGATGATCACTTGATGGCCGAACCGTACACAGTAGACACGGCAATTGTTCTTCTGCACCCGCACAGAATCACTTTTTGATTTGTGTATACATCTCCAAGTACTTTTTAGCGAGCAATATCTAATAAATAAAAAATAAATAAATAAAAACTTTTAAGAATGTAATCTTTAAATTTAATAAATCACCTGAAAAGGTTGTCACCACAGAAAACATAGAGAAACTGGCGAAGAGGAAAGCAGCAAACAGCAAAGGGTAATTCTTCTGGTAAACTCGTCACGACGAACCAAATGTCTAACACTGGATCATACTTTTCGATGATGGATATCGGCACACTGTCTTGTGCTGTGATAACGGTTTAATAATACATATTCATAAGTATGCTATTGAAGGACCTCACATAATCCGCCGATGGAGAAGATGCTTCCAGCGAGACTCACAAGATGATGGTACTGCCTCGGTGATTTCATTGGTGACAACTTTGACCATGTCTGTGAGTTTGGGTGCAACACCTAAGAAAAAAAAAATTGTGAAAATTAAATTTATAAAAAAAAAAAAGATTAAAGAAACTGATTGCTCACCCAAAATTCATCAGATACAGAAAGCTCTCCATTTTTGTAATAAGCACCACCCGAGCAGTAGAGACTGCCATCCAATACGGTCATTGAAGGCTCTACGACTGTTTGAATAGGGAATGACGGCAGTGTCTCCCAACTGTTTGTAGAAACGTGGTATACTTCGAGTTCCGTTCCGCCTTCTGTCCCGCCTTTAGAAAAATCAAACAGGATTAATACAAATTGAAAACAGAGTTTGCTGCTCTACCTAAAACGTAAACGTCCTTTTCGGTGCTTGTGATCACAGGGGATAACCTTGCGGTTTTCATCGTCGGCAGCACCATTGAAAGGTTGCTGTTCGATTTTTGGTCTTTGATGAGGGATAACATCGGTTTCCAAGTGTCTTCGAGCGATTTGATGCATTCGACTGTGCTAACAGGTGTGCCAAAAGAATCCAAGCCGCCGATCGAAAGTAGAACCTAAACAATTAATCTCTCAAGCATCTAACAAAACAAACCATAATGTTTGCAAAGCATAAAGCTGTCAAATTGAAAATATTTATGTACAAACAATAAGCATAAAACATTTTAAAACTTATGATACATTGTTGTTAACCCTTTTAGGACAGTGAGTGTTATACCGCACTGTTCCTTCCCCCCGTAGGTACTGAGAGGGAGCCATCACACTCACTCCTACCTCTACTCAGGTACACGAGCATGATATTTGCTCTAGTCTCTTCACTTTTAGACTTAAGTTCAAAGAAGTGTATTGCTTAAAGGTAAACAGCACTATGTTTCTTTTAAATTTCTCACATACACTTATTAACAACAACAAACTGCTTTGCTTGCTGAATCTAAAAGTGTGAGAGTAGAGTGTGATTCACGCTCTCAATACTTCATGTGTCACAAGAGTGTGATATCACACTGACTGTCCTGAGTGAGTTGAGAAAGGGCAACTAGTTATAAACAATATTCTGTAGACATTTAAATTATGAGATTTTTCCACGAGGTCTGTAGAGTGACAAACTGTTTCTACTTTGCACCATTTATGATGGAAAGTTAGGGATGGTGAGAGAAAGTTAGTAATGGTTAAGGATTTAGAAAGATGCCACTCCAAATATCACAATTATATGGATTAGGTATGGTTAAAGATGGTCATGTAGACGGGTAGGAATGGTATGAGATGGTTAAGGTTGGGTAAGGATTGTTAGAGAAAGATGGTTAATGATAGTTTTATATCACAATAGTGTGGGTTAGGGTTGGGTGTTGACGGCTACCTCCATTAACTGTCAGCTGGAGAAGAAAATTCGCTAAAACTTGTAGTATGTGCATATTTCATTTTCAATTAATAACGAAGACTTACGTGGGAGGCAGTTTCTTTATAACGGTTCACTTCTTTAGAATCTTCAATTCGCCGTCTTTTAAAAGAAACGTCAAACCATTTGACTAAAATATCGAGGCTGATTTCAGAGTTTTTGAACAAATCAAGCACCCTCGTTCTTGTCGTGTTCCAATTGTCGATCACTGTCACGTCTATTTTATCCAATAGAGGAATCAACTGCTGCAATCTCTCTTCCAAATCATGACTCACCCACTTAGCCAAATGCTAAAAATCATATTATATATTAACAATCTCTACAGTGTAATTGACAATACAATTAAGTTTAACAATGTATGTATAATTGTACGAGTCAGATTAATAGAATTAGTTTTACTATTTGTTGAGAGGAAGAGTGGAATGAGAAAAGAAAACAGTTGCCTTTGGAATGTGATATAAAGACCTGAACTTGTGTCTAAAGAAGAAACGTCATTTACAAATTTAAATTCTAATAAATTCTTCACTAAACTAAGAACCCAACTCCTACAGATGTATGTATTACATATTTATGCATAAATTTGTCATTCCATTTTTTGACAGTAATGCTTTGTTTAAAAATTTATTTACCTACATAGATTAAAATATCTTCTGGGGGCACGGCGAGAAATTCAGAATCAAGACACTCCATGATTAGGTCAAAAGGAACGTCCATAAATCTCGGGTGGACTAAAATTTGTTGGAAATTCTCGTACATATACCATGTTGCTTTGTCTGATACGTCATTGTACCTACAAATAAAAAAAATAAAAGATTTTCACCAGTTTTTTTTTTAAATACTAATAATGGTCAAACATGCACATTCAACTTACAAATTAGTAAGACCAGGATATGATTTAATAATAAAAATTGGCGAAGTTGTGTGTAATTTGGCATGTGCACTGATGCCCTCAAGTGTTGTAGGCTCTTAAGGACAAATTTTTAGTGGATCCTCTCATTGTGTGTGAATATGTTCAAAGGATAAGCCAAGCTAGATCTCACAAAAATCAGCTAGAGAACAATGAACATATGGGCGAGGTGGCAAAAGCAATTATGGCTGACCCTCCATAAATTATTATCACAATCCTATCCACTCATGCAATACTAGCAATAAAGAATATCATCAATGAACTGGGTTGTCCAAGAAGCTCCAAGAACATGGTTGATAGGTGGCTTCTCAGAGAATCTAAATCGTAGAGGAAGGATCATCCTAATCCTTCAGACTCAGAATTGGTACACCCAGTTGACACACGGACTTTTACTTTTGGGCCAAAGCATACATCTGTGTCCAGCATAGAGAGAAAAGTTGCTCAATGTTTCCTGCTTAATTGGTGAGTGTTGTTTGTCTCCATATAGAGAGCATATAGGAATGCCACCTTGCATGAAAATTATACTTGAGTACAGCAGTGAATCTAACGGTCCCCTGTTCTTATGTTTTTGAGTATATAGATTTTTATTTTAATTATTATTGCTTATATAAACTTTTATGATAGATGCACTTTGTGTTAACTGTTTCTTGAAAATGTATTTATAAACATGAATACATATGTAGTTCAAGAGCATGAAATGCGGAATATTGATTACTCCATCAACCCTTAGAGTATGTGTTGCAGCGCTGGAAGAAGCATTCATAGAGCTGGAGGATGGAGCAGCACCATTTGGTCTAAAATTAGTGAGGAAAAACTAAGTACATGGTAACCACAGGGCAAACTAAGATATTCAGGGTATGTAAGGTGAATGAACACAGGTTTGAAAGTGTAAATGCTGTACTGACCTAAAAAAATGAGGTGGTACACAATATAAGCAGATTAGCAGCAGGAAATAGATGCTGAGGAGCATTAAGGAAAACATTACAAAATAAATTTCTATCCAGAACAGCCAGGCACCATTTATAGGACACTTCTGAGACTAGTAGTCACATACAGATCGGAAACATGAACACTACTGCAATAGAAGAAAAAAGAGGAAACTACTGGGAGAGAAAGGTGCTGCAGGTAATTTTTGGGCTGTCGGTAGAAAACGGAATTTACAGATCTCGTAAGAATGCAGAACTGAAAGAGTTGTACAAGAATGAAGATTTAGTAACAAATATAAAAAAGAGCAGACTTCACTGGTTGGACCATCTGCATAGGAAGGAAGCTAATGTAGCTCCTCTCATAGTATGGGAAGGGCATCCTGGAGACAAGAGACCTATAGTCTAACAAGGTTGCATTGTATATGAACAACCTACTACAGAAGCTACATAAACGACAGTGAGGAGAAAGGCAGATCATAAATAATGACAGAAAATGTTGGATATAAGGGCTGTAATGCCATAGAATAAGTATGTATAGTTATGTTTATGTGTAAAAGGTGATGGATGATGATTGAGTACCCCATTACAGTCATACCAGTAAATATAAATAAAATATGTGAATGATAATGAAAACAATAATAACAATAGTAAAAAGAGAGATCACCTGACTATAAAACTTGTAACAAGCAATAATTTCCGCTCCGGGAAAAAACCGAAGTTTTGAGGTGTATGGATATACCTACTAATAAGTGCATGATAGTGGTGTGTTGTGGAAGCTAGGACGTCCCTTTGTCAGTCTAGTGTTTTTTTAAGTGTTTTTTGGTGAGGTGAGTTCAATTGGATAAGTTTTTTTTTGATGATTAGACAAGTCTGCTGGGTACTAGTTATAGCTCTTATTCCCTATTGGGAAGTGTGGTGCCTGCATCTTTCTAGAAACCTGGTTTCAAGGTTGGGTAAAAAAAAAAAAAAACATTCTAAGCAAACCTGTAGCATTCAGCTTCCCTCTTAATACACCACACTGTTTCATTGTCGATCCAAGACATTAGAAAGTGTTCGCACAGTGACCTGAGTGAGGAAATTTGGAAAAAATCTTGAAGTTCCATTATATCAAAAATATTCTCTGGGCTCATCTGAAACACCAAGGTACAATATAAATTTAAATTCTTACTAATTATTAGTCAGGACAGATCAGCATGGTTGTTCTCACGAAGCACTGTGGACAGATGATCCTCGGAGGATCTGATTCATAGGAATGAGATTATCCTCACCAGATTAGAAATAGGCCATGCAAGGTGCATGGACACTTACTTTTGGGCCAAAATTAATGTGTAGAGAAAGGTTGCTCTATATGTCCATTTAATTCAATGGTGTAATTCCTTGGCTCCTTATAGAGAGCATGTAGGAAAGTCACCCGATATGAGAATTGTCCTTGAGCAAGGCAGCAAGTATTTGGGTCCCCTGTTCTGATTCTTGGAGGAGACAGGGTATTTTATTATATATAGTACTAATAGTTTTGGGTTCTCTAGGTGAGTGTTGAGAGTGAATGAGTAATGTTAAAGGTCCGATGACGAAATATTGAGTACACCATCGACCCACAATTGAGTACTTCACACCAAACTGAGTGAATGGTACATAACTAAGAAAGAATATATTTGATAGTGAGAGAGAGTGTGAATGGAACAATGATTACATTGACGGTGAAATTACCTAGTCGTTGATAGCCTGTGCAACCACTGAGGCTGGATGGATAAGACTGAGATCTGACCTCAGACTGCCAACCTAGAGTGGGTGATTCTCGAGGCACGCCAATAATAGTAAATTACCATTCACTACAGATAGAATTGCTGGTTGACTGCGAGAAGTGATAGGCTCAACTCTGTATATTTGCACATACTCTGAGTATGTACATGTGCAGATTTGAGCTTAAATAAATTAGAGAATTGGTGATTAACACATTCATTATTACCATCATTTTGGAACAATGTCCGTATAAAGGGAAGGGTTTAATTCTTTGTTCCAGAATGATGCACCCCTTCTAGAAAATCCCTGCTTTCGAAGCTTGTTGTAAGGTGTTCAATCAGTGTCACAGGCCTTTAGTAACACTTCGTCAAATTTCCCGTGAACATTGTTTTTTTATTTGACCTTTTGAAAAAAATTTTATGATTTTTTGATTTTTAAAAAATTAATAAATTTTTTTTTTTTTTGTATAGGGAGAGTTTGTACGAATCAGGGCCAAAACAAACATGTTAATAGTCAATTTTTGTGGTCATAGGACTTTAATAGGTCAATAGTTATTGACAGTACTGTCTTCTAATTTCTAGTCTTCTTAGTTTACTATCAATAGTAGTAATAAAATCAGTCAAAAATATTTGTATTAGTAATGAATATGGTTGAAAAATGTAAAATCCAGAATACTAGGAATTTAGAAAAAAAGAAAGCAAATATTACCAAAATTTCTCCTGTATATACATATCGCAGGACGGTCCTCATATCGTGTCCATTATACGGGATTGTAATCTTGTCGTCTTTGGAAAACGCAAACCTGGTCCTGACCAAGAAATTGATCATTTGTCATGAAAACAATAGAAATGTAATACCTACTTAAAATACAATGATGCAGCGGCCAGTATGAGTTTATGTGCACGGATCTCCCCAGTTGTTGTGACAAGAGTGACATCACAAAGGACATCGTTGAGGTAAAAAGTTTTAACCACTTCCATGATGGCGTTCTTGAGTGTCGAATCGTGAAAATGGCCTGGTTTGACATTCTCATGTTCCGACTTCTCAACGACATTCATTTTGACCAGACTCCACCTCTGATATTTGTGAAAGCTCTATACCAAGTACATCACCTTGCATTCAACATCAAGCAGCCTGGTAGATAGAAACTATCTAATATTAATTAATAATGCAAATACGAAAATTTAATTATTACATGTAGATCCAATACTTTTTTTTTTATATAACATAGTTTTAATACAAGAACTACGTGGAAACTTGTTTATATATTTACATGCGGTTTTTATAATAAGCTTATAATATTTTTAAAAAAATCTTTTCTGAACGATAAAAATGTTAGGAATTATTTTGATTACGAAGTAAGGTTTTAAAACAGGTTTAAGTTGTTAATATCGATCTGATATACTCGATGTAACATTAGGTCAATTTATAAGAAATAAATGGTAATTAAGCTCGTCAAAAATTGAAAAATTAATTAAATAATTGTACAGATAAAATCTTGAAATTTTTTTATCTAATTAGTTTTTAATGTTACAATTTTCTGAGAGATATAACCAAAAAGGAGGTTGAACGTTGTAAAATAACCTTTTTAGTCACGTGTTTAAACCTGTGTTTGTATTATTTTTCTCTACTTTGTAGTTTTAATTGAAGTTAATTTAAATAAAAATTAACATTTAATTGTATTTAAAACGTTTAATTATGAATATGACAACACCGTTGGAGTGCTTCGATTACAAAGGTAGAATTTAAACAACTAGTTGATCGTCTATTCAAATATAAACTTTACATCAGGGTTATAACCCTTCTTATTAATTAAATTTTGTTTATAAACAATAGAAAAGTTTATTATTAAATTATTCTCGAGGGGAATACAAAAATAAAAAAACTATTTCACCATTTTTAAGGTGTTAGGATAATGTTTTAACAATTACAAACTAAATTATTTGTACGGACATAAATAGATTCTGGTGCAATTTTCCTAATGTTCTAATTGAAACTAATTTCTTGGTGAACACTGAAAGAATTCGATATAAATTTTTGCAACATAAAGTCAAATGATGTGTTACGATGTCCACTCAGACTCAATCCAATATGTCATAAAAATGTATATTTCTTGTTGAACATTTCTGTTTTGTGTTGTGCTGGTGTGATATCGCTGGTTTATTTTGAAATCTGGCGAAATTGGTGTAAATTTTAGAATTGACATGGCCCTCACAAAAAGACGTTGGACGAAGGAGGTGGCCACTACGTGTATCACCCACTTTGTGTCCAAACACGTTTCTCATATATTTGAAAAATTATTGAAAGGCTAATGCCAATTATTGAAAATAATACTCAACTATTTGGCTTTTGACGACTATACGATTGACCAGATCCACCGAATCACCCGAGTCATTGAACATACACTTGAAAAAAGTATGCTCGGCTGTTTTCCTTTCACCCAAGCATTCAATAACATCTGGCAAGTACGTTTTTATATAAAATATAAGAAACGCCATTCCAGCCAAATCGACCCAAAACAGTTTGAAGCATACAATTAAAAATTAGTCAAGAAGATGGCTATTTGGAAGTCAATCCGATCCATGCTGGAGTGCCACAGGGTACACTGGTATTAGGCCCTGTCCGATATATTATCTGCTGTTTTGGGGACTGTCGTAGCTGAGTGGATAGCTTGAAAGGCTTGTGGCTCTTTGACCCCGTGTTTGTTGGTTCGATTCCCACCATCGAATTTTAGTAATTCTACCTTTCCGCAGAAAAACTAAAGTGCTGGTTAATGGGTAAAAGCTCTCCATTGCCCATTGAATAAGACTTTTACTTTACTAACAGCCATGCAAGCAGTCATAGCTCAAAGATAATTAATTGTGAATAATATTGAGAAAGTATTGTAAAGTGGTTTGACTACTCATCCAAGACACCCAACATTGGACATTAAGCCCTCCAGTATGAGAGGAATTTCTTTACTTTATCAACAGAGCCTCAAGCCTATGTAGGCATATGGCATCCCTGGGGCTGTACCAATGCACTCTGAAAAGAATCAGAAATGGAGACTTCTACACCTCACAATGGAAGCAGTAGAGAAAGCTATCTATAATACAGCTTAAACCCACCATCAAAGACTTAGAGGACACTTCAGTATAGAAGTCCACCGACTCAAACGCTTGATGCCACATGATTGCTGGTGCGGTATTGTGGTGTATGAATGGAAAAAAAAACTATATTGTGAATGTTTTATTGTTTACGGTACATCTTAGAAAAATATAACGTATTAGCTATGTTAATGTTGATGTATACGATTGTAATATTAATGTCTCCCATGATGTAAACAGTCATTTTGATAATAAATTTTGTAATATTTTCAGCTAAGTATATGAAATACAAATATAATATGGAATTTTTATGGGGATAGATCAGCCTTGCAATTTGTTTATTACATTTCCCTAAGCATTTCAGTCTGTTCCACTTGTTCGTCTAGGCTTTTAGGAGCTAGAATCACACTAGTAGGAGTATGATATTAAAGTTGAACTTTCCCAGGTTCTACACTTCTAATAACTAGACTTCCCTCTTGGCCAGACATTTTATTTTCCCCGGCATTATTCCATTAACTTTACAAAGAAAAGTTCTTATAAGCAGAGGAAAACAAAATACATTTGACAATTACATGAATGGCAAATGATCCTTATGTTTTACTTGCAAACAGTGATGTTTCATGAGATCTCACACCCTGCAGAACTCAGATATACTAAATACTAAAAAATATTTTTATATTCAATCACAGTATTTCTGAGTGAGTAGAAATACTGTGATTGAATATTAAAAATATTTGTTTGCATTCTATAAATTCACTTTTTTCCTCATCCTACATGTATTTGTTAAATTTAAACAACGTTTGTAAATCCCAGGCCCTGAAGATGATCTCAATAAAGATAGAAACGTTGGCACGATAAAGAAAATGTTTTTCTAAAACCTACATCACACCATACCACATCTCACGATTTCCGAATAATCATTTATATCTGTGCACGAATGTTTGTGAACAAATGTATATTTGTAAGAATTAGTGAGTTTTTCTTAAAAGTTGTTAATGTAATGTATTTCTTTTATTGGCCTTTTCTTCTTTGTTTGTATTTGTCTTTATTGACCTTCTTTTATACAACCATTTTGATTTTTTAATTTAAAATGCACAATGTCAAGACTGTATATGATAAAAAAATAATCATTTATATATACTTTTTTTTCAGTTGTTAAATTAAAGTTTAAAGATGAATCGGAGACTGTCCACCATGTTTTAATGAAGGAGCATTCTGTACGAGAAACATGTTCGAAAAAACCGCCCAAAAGGACTCTGTTCATATTGGGGACTCCGCCTTTTGTCACAGAGGTGATTTCATAAAAATTCACTAAATTGGTGCACATAGTTGTTGTTTTCTTAACTGATTTGCATTTACCAGGAGGCATACAAAAATGCTTTCAGCCCTTTTGGCTCAGTCGAAGAAGTGTTCTTTCAACAGTCACCTTCGTCGATGTTTATACAGGAGAATGAATCACAATTTTTCAAAGACTACAATGCTGTCGAGGTATTTTGTAACCCTATTTAAAATTTATTTATTTTTACTTTTTCTTCTTTCAGGGATTCAAAGTAGCCTATGTAGTTTTTCAAGACCCTAAAGGACTTAGTAAAGCACTTTTGTCTTCAAACGTACTAATTCTTTCCAAGCCAGAGAGTTCCATTCTCACAGGAATCACAAGTAAATTATTATTGAATTTAAAAAAAAAAAAAATTATATAATTTTTTTCTGCAAAAGAATGGTGCAGACAGTATAATAAACAATTCATAAATCACGAGGATCTTCAAAACGAAATAGACTCTTACATGAAAAAATACGACCAAGATGTAGCTGAGCAGGAGCGGAGAGAGAAAGAAGAGATGCAGCCAGACGAAGACGGTTGGATTAAAGTGACAAAAAAGTACGCAGATCAAAAGTTGGGAGTTCTTTTTTTCTATTTTTTCTTCCTTTTTTAGGGGAAGACATCCTGGCTTTGCAAGGAAGGAAAGTGTACACAATAAGATTATGAAAAAGGAAGATCAAAAGAAGGCGAAAAAACAACTCCTCAACTTTTACCGTTTTCAGATTCGACAATCTAAAATGGACCGTAAGTTTTATTTTATTAATTTAATATTATTATTATCTTCCAAACTAACCTTGTCGTGTATGTATTATTATTTTTTTGCCAGATTTGGTCAAGCTGAGGGAGAAATTCGAAGAGGACAAAAAGAAAATAGAGCTGATGAAGCAAAATAGGAAATTCAAACCGTTTTAATTATTTTCTTTGGTGAATTTGTATATATTAAAAAAATATTACATTTATTATTGTAAAAAAGAAGTAAAAATATTAAGGAACAATGGCAATGTCTTGCACTAAAATGTCGAGAGCTTCATTGTAAGGGAGACTCTGCAAATGACGTCGAAGATCCTCTGAAAAAAAAAAAAAATGCGGCATCTTTTTACTGTTGGTAAATACTAAATAATCGTATGATTTTTTGTTAACATAGCTTATTAAAATAAAAGGTTTTTATTTATTTAAAACAGGATAAATCTTATGAGATTTTATGTAATATTTCTCTGATTAACAAGCCCATGAGTATATTTTAAGGTTAGGTTTAAGCCAGAAACACACTTACCCGATGCTACGCCATGCGACGCTACCCGATGCTACTCGACGCAAATCCAAACTCCGATTTTCCATAAGGTTGCATTACCCCCGTGCACATCTACCCGATGCTATGCCACGCTAACCTACCCGACGCTCTGCGATCCCCACTGTCCAGATTTTCGTCGGGTCGCATCGAGTACAGTCGAAGACAAAAGAACCGGACACTCATATTTTTATTCAAACTACATGTATTATTGTCGTTATATTAATTACAACATACTTATTTTAATATAAACCAAATTAACTGTGATTAAAAATTAATTAGTTTTTATTTAAAAAATTAATTTTAATGGTTTGGTAGAAAATTAATCAAAACACCGGAATACGATTTTTTGATATAATGAATTTAACTAACAATTTATTGTACTCGCTTCGGCGGTACATATACTAAAATTGGAACAATTTATTACACGGTTTTGCTCATAAAATTTAATTAACAATTTATTTCATAGTTTTGCTCGTAAAATTACACCATTTTGTAATGTCGGGTAGCATCAGAACAGGACACTCATATTTTTTGTAGTTTATTTCAAACTAAGTACATGTAATTTTGTCGTTATATTAATTACAACATGTTATTTTAATGTAAACCAAATTAAACGAGATCAAAAATGCATAAGTTTTTATAAACATTGTTTAATTATGATGGTTAGGAGTAACTTTATTTAAAACAATTAAGTTTAACAAACAATTTATTAGATGGTTGTGCTCATAAAATTTAACTAACAATTTATTACAAGGTTTTGCTCAAAATAGTGCATTAAGAACAAAAGATGCGTTGCGATTGTGATAGTGATTATTGTGATAAACGCTGTGGACTGTACGCGATGTGTGCTTGCGTCGGATAGATGTGCACACCTCACCAAAACGTGGCAAGGCGTCGGGTAGCATTGCATGGTGTAGCATCAGGTAAGTGTGTTTCTGGCTTTATGATAAAATGATAGATGGTGAGCTTTGTTGCCAAGTTGTGAAGGAGTACGGATTGTTTCATATCACCCTGGCCTGTCAGACATATTTTGTCCTTTTCAATAGTGAGTTCTGAATTATTATAGATTGTTGGTGATAAAACTGGATATTGTGATAGTTTGGGTTAGGACTGGATAATTTATTTAAACAAGTTTGACAGATAAAAAGAAGAGCAAAGCAGGATGACAAGAAAAAAAAAAAAAAAATGCTTACGTTTTGATCCATTCAGTGTATTTGTAATAAGAGCCACTCTTATAATTTTTACAAGTGATTCAATAGACCTTTTCAACCTGTCTGGATGCGCTGCACCTTTGGTAGCGAGAATTGGTATCAAGGTGATTAAATCTTTAGTTGAGATGATATCGTGGTGTATAATGCCTACAGTCGATCGACAGATTGCTAACGATTCTAAGATCAACTGTTCCAATGTGGTGTAGATCTGGCTGTTGGAATTTTCATCCAGGTGTGACCAAATGCACCATCTGAAAATAGAATTTTGATGTTTTTATAGTTATTAAAAGTATACTTTTTTTTTACTTGATTAATCCGATGTAAGGTGTTGGTGATGGGAACATCATCGTAACATCAGGTAACATCTGTTGTAAATTGTCTAAGAGAGCAATTGTGCACAATCTCGGGTTACTTTTCAACCATGTAAGAATGACTTCGAGTAAAGCCACAGGTGGTAATGAAATCTGTGATTTTCCTTCTATATAAATAAATAATAATTTATTATAAATTTATATTGTTGAATGTTTAAACAGTTTACCGATGTCTGTGAGCGATGTTAAAAAATTAGCCGAGAACCTCGGTGCATGTCTTGGTAAATCTAAGACAGAAGAACTGTCTGCTGATATCAGGAGGTATATCTCAGGAACAAACTTGTTCACAAAGTCACGGGAATATGTTGACGAAAGCCCACGCTGGAAGAAAAGTTTAAAAAGAAAAAAAAATTGTAAAATAGAAATTTTGAAAAATAATTCAAAATGTATACATATTGGAGTAAAACGGACGTCGCTGTTAAAACAGGCGTGTTTCTCGTCGAAATGGCGAATGAGACGAGCTTTATGAGAAAATGAATCCTTTCGACAGCTTGAAATGGGAATAAAGCGAGGAAGAGCAAATTCCTCATCGGGCTGTTCCCCGTACCTTCAAACAGCATGTGGTCGCAGATGACCTGCAAAAGGTCTAACTCTTGTATTTGAGTTAGCTGGAAAAAAAATGCATTTGTAACAATTTTCCTGTTAAGATTCTTTGGTACATAAATACATGATCAGGTGCCATGCTATAATACAAATTAGTCCAAGTTTCAAAATAATTTATTAATTGTACAAGAAAATAGCACAAAATAGTTATCTTATTTTCTTTTAAACATTCAAAAAAATCGTTCATCTCTTAAAAACTACATACAAATTATTTATCACAACATAACAAAAACAAGGTTGGACAGGTACTGCTCCATTTTCAGACAATGTACTGTAAACATGACTTATGCACTTTTTTTATTACTTGACATTTTTGCTCTCTCATGCAATAATGGAAGCTTTGATGTCTCTACCCTAAAAGTGGAATCCCTTTTTTCAAGCAATGTGGGACTAATGAAGTCATCACAAAGTTGTCATTATAAAGTAAATTGGGCCTATTTGCCCTAAGACAATGGGGATGTATGCAATTTGCCATAAAGTAATATTCTAAATGGGTTTTATCCACACTCCTTTAAAGCCTGAAAAAATTTGGATGTCTGCGACGAGAGGGAGGACATGACTTTCTTCTGGGTATTAGAGGGCCAATGAGCAAAGAAAAAAGATTGTCTTTTAATTATTTGGAGATTGTGAAATGCACTCTGGTGAGATGAAGGTTTTAGAAAAACATTTTCTTTATCGTGCCAATGTTTTGATCTTTATTGAGATCATCTCTCTAAATGTCTAAAGATCGAAACGTTGGTATGATGTTTTTCTAAAACCTACATCTCACGAGACCAAATCTTAATCTCCAAATAATCATTGGATATCGGTCATTAAACACCACACATTGTCTTTTAATATGATTTATACCAATTTATATTAACATATAAATGGTTATTAACTTCTGATAGTGCATTTTTTCCTTTATGTACAATATTTGTTTATGTCATCCGCATACTTTACACATTGAAAGTACCCTTAAACCCTTGTGCCCATGCTGTATATCTCCAATCACTACTTCATAGCTAGTTATCCTTTATACATCTATGCCCGAACCCACCCCCCACAGGAATTAACAAAACTTCTTTTTTCAACAGACATCAAACTAATGGATAAAATTTTATATCCCTTCAATCCTCATTTCCTCTGCTGACGCCCCATGTTGGTCAGTAGATGAAGGGGTGCCCCCTCTGAGATCAAAGTAACTCCAGTGAGCTTGAGGTCGATGGTGACTGACACCAACAGCTTGTTGATAAAGCTCTTTGCAGTTTGTAATATCAAATAGGATTGTTGCAAGAGATCATTAGGGTTCTATTCTTTCCCTGCCTGGGGATTGGATGGGCCACCACACTAAGCCTTTAGGGAATTAGCTTTGATTTGGGGTCCAGGCTGTTGCTGTATTCACTTGAATATTATTACTTGTCATATGATTGTTTTATGCATGTTTTTATAATAATGAACTAACACATAGCAACCACTAACCGTTTCTCACCATCGTCCACCGACTTAACTACATATTCATCATCAGAAAGACCTCAACATTATTTGTCCAACAGCCAATCTATTTACCTTCCTCCTCATGCCCCGTCTGTCCACATCGTTGAATATAAATTCAGAGATAAGCTCTGAGATGAGCTCTTCGAGCATCAACTGCTTGACTGACTGGTGTGCCAGGTTTGTAGTCTGGCAGAGAAGTTCTTCTGGAAAATTGATCGTCAACTGTGTATTGAATCAACAATAAACAATTTAATGTATTTTCTCAATTGGACTTTGAAAGTCTTTGTAAAATAATAATATTTTTAAAAAATTGACATTTACCGACTTTTTTTAAAGCATCTCTAGCGCAAAAGGGAAACTCGCGTTTTCTCAGCGATGATTTAATATCATTTCTTTCGCTGGAATTCATCATTTTAATATAGAAAATTATCAATTTTCACAAAGGGAACAAATAACGTCCAAAATTAAAGAAAGAAAATAAACAAAACAAATTGTTATAAAAAGAGAATGTTATGTTCCCTTATCAAAACATTTCCAATTTGATGCTATATAAAGAAAAAAGTTTTCCTTGAATCCTTATAGGAAAAAGTTTTGACCAAAATATTTAAACTAAACAAAACAAAGTTGAAATTAACGAAGTTTAACTTCGCTGACAACGTCACACAACTTGGATTGCTCGAAGATACATTGGTAAATGATATACATTGTCATCATCTTCCCTTACTCATTTTTAAACAAAAATCACTTTTTTATTGGAAAAAAATGTTTTAATATATGATTTAATAAATATACTAATATATAAAAATATAACGTTGGAAAGAAAATATCTCAGGGATAACATAATTATGTGGTGTGAAACCTTTTTTAGGTTTACACAATATTCGGGACTTGAAAAATTGAAAAATGATGAAAAGCTAAGTCCTGGGACTTGTTTACTATTACAAGTACTAAATTTTGATTTAAACATCTTTATAATAATTCAAATAACGAGGTAAAGTTTTAGAATTATCCATGCTGTTTTTTGCGATTGACACAAATAAACTGAAGTTTTTATTTTAATTGGATCATTAAATTATTTTATTTTTTACCGAGGTCACTAGTGATGATGGTCTCATTTCTTCTTGATTTTGATGCTCCTCCTTTTATTATTTTTTCCCTAGGTGTTAGTGTTGCCTTTTCAAAGAGGCTGTTTCGTAATACAAACTATTACTACAGTGAGAGGCAATAAAAGTGACCACCCTTAATATTTTTAATTATCTCTTAGACAATCACTGCATGGTAGTTTTGATTATCATTTTCTATCTGATGATATTAAGTTAGCAAGGCCAAGAAGAGCAGCGAACTAGTGGTTTGTGAACCTACAAAGTCCAGGAAGAACTATCTCAATTTATAAATTGCCTATTCATCACATTTCTTATGATTCATTGTGCTTCATTTTTTAATTTTTTTTTTTTTTTCAGCTTAAAAATGAATTATATCTCGAACGCTCTGAAAAGGATGCTTTCAACGCCGATTTTCAACCCGGCAAATACTTACCACACGCTTAACCGGGTCCCCATAGTTGGGAACCTTGTTGCGCCGCAGATCACCTCGACAATACTCACGAGGGGATTCAAAGTCAAGCATGTGCTGAGGAAGCGTTGCAAAGACTGCTACATTGTTGTTAGGAACGAAAGGGGCTACGTCCTATGCCCGACACACAGGAGGCACAAACAGATGTCAATGGTGAAAAAGCCGAGGTACACATGGATCCTGACGCATGCGACACAGAGCAAAATAAGGCCTTATTGAATATTGTCTTATTTTTGTGTAGTTGTAAGTAATATAAGTCAAATAAACCCAATACGTTTTGTTTTGAACTAAATTGTCTAATATGCATCTATCTCCTGTCCAACAGTCAATAAACATAAATACAAGCCAATCATTAGTAAATAATACATAATTACACAATGGTTTGGGGTAAAAAATCACATTGTACACTAGATTATGTATATAAATCTATATATTTGATTATAATTACACAGAAATAATTTATTTAAAATAATTACTTCACACATAAAGTGTTGATTGATCTTGATCAACATCAATTTAAAAAAATTAAATTCATAAAAAATAACAACTCAATTTGTTAAAAAAAATCACAGATAATTTGTTTTCCTTGAAAACAAATATTTTTTAAAAATTTCCATTGTCATAAAATTGTAAAAGATGTTTAAAAAAAATCCATCTATATGTGCATTAAAAACTTTGTACAAAATAAAATATTAATCATTGCTCGAATATAAATTGTGATTACGGCGCTTGAATTTTTTAACACTTTGGCTATTGCAGTTGTCTGTTTTTGTTGTGGAATCATGGCACCTTTTTGAGCCATCGTCTGCCGAAACAAAAACAAAAAATTACATTTTGAAAACAGAAGTTTTGATTCAATCCAATACCTATGAAAAATAGACTGTTGTCTTTCAACGACATTTCTGATGGTTCAAGCTCCACCTGCGACTCCTCGTACTTTGGGGGAGGTAGTTTCATACTTTTAAAACTCACCGATGTGGAATTGATTTCCTTCAGTTTTTCCTCACTGTAAATAAATATGTAAATGAATATAAGAAATTTTTTAATATTAATGAAAAATAATACATACTAGATTGATTTTTCATTTTCTTCTGAACCAGAACAGAAACCAGAAATTTCACTATCGATGAAAGAACTCATTTCAGCATCGTCAGGAGTCACCGGGCATGGCGATGAGAACATGTTGTCCTTTTTATCCAATAGGAGCATCAACGGATCGTCAATACCTGCATTGTTTAGCCTTAATATATTATGGTACCACAATAAAGGGGTAGTTATAGGTTTTGATAAACCATACCTAGTTTCTTACAAAATTCCTCAGTTTGGATGTTCGACTGAAGGCCCTGGTACTTTTTACTCGGTGTTGTCGGACTCTGGTTCGAGTTGCTTTGTACCGTAGGCACGAAATTGCATGGCACCTTCAACTCACCGCCCATTTTCCTCATTACAAATTCTTTCTCAGACTCAGTTGGCGTAAAAATCCACCTTGAAAATTAAGACAAGTGTAAAATATGTGTATATTATGAAAAACCAAAGTATGTTTATCAAACGTACCTCTCATCATCACCAGGGCCAGGTAAAAAGTTGTTCGATGGGTCTACAGATATCAGATGATTCGTATAATGCAAAATTGCCAGCCATTCCAAGTCATGTTCAACTGTTATTTGTTTACTCTTATCATGTTCAATATCTAGCACCTACAATATTAAATAAATTTAAAAAATTACCTTTCTAATTTAATATTATAAAATTAATTTTTGTTACTGTAATTTAACATTTAACACTATTTGAATCACTTTGAGGTTGCTCAGCAATAAAATATACTAGAAACCTGTAAAAATTGTCGTCTTGGAAGGCATTTGTCTAAAGCCAGAAATTTTGTGTTACTGATGACATTACCGCTTTCCTTTAAAAATAAATAAATCAGAACATACAATTTTATAATTTTTTTAATAGATAAAAGTATATTTTACATCTTTGTGAGGAACAATCGCAGCAAACTTGACATGTAAATGGCTGGCAAACCAATATTTTGGCTTCAATTTGTCCAAAAGTTCTTGATTTGCTGGACTACCTAGCTTTTCTTCTGCTATATCATTTCTTATTTAAAAAAAAAAATAATAATAAAAAATTCAATAATTTAAAACAATACATTAAATAACAAACATACTCAAAATAATGTTTTTCCTTGAGAAGTTGGTTAATATCTCCATAGTTATAAATGCCAAGAGGCCAGTCGTGCGACAGAAATATGTCGATCTGGGATTTCACCTGAAAAATTGTTTAAATTTAATCTCCCATGGGGTCGGGGTATGGGGTTGATTTTTTATTTTCTTACCTGTTTCATTCTAAACACATCTAAATTCCGAACATGATAGACGCTCCGTTTCGTCTGTTCGCTGTACGGAGGTGCTTCGAATCTCCCTTTGTGGAAATCTCGAGCGTTGTAGATGCCCGAAAGGCCAGCTATCCTTATCCCGCCAATGTTAATGATGCCTGAATATCCTAGGTAGTAGATGTTTGGCGCGACCCACCCACCATATGGGACTTCCTGAAGGTATTTCGACGCTTCGTGATTCCCACCAATAAATATTGTAAGGATTGGAGCCACTTTCTCACCTGCATAATACCTGCAATATAAAGTGCTATTTTACTTAACTGGGTCTAAGTAACTTATAAATATCAATACAAATAAAATTGTAAAATATGGAATCATAAAATAAATCTATAAGGTTTTTATGTAACACGAGTTCAATGAAAATTCCAGTACTTGGAAACTATATATAAACCATTTTGTACAACTATCTGTAATCATATTCCATGTCATTCTGTTCTCCCAGAACTAATTGGTATTTTGTGTAATGAGCTCAGTACGTTTCCTTGCAGTATGCAAATAAAGTGAAATGTTCCCTATAATCAAGTTTTGCAGAGCCCAGAATAAGTGAAAATTTGAAGGGGGAATGTCAGGCGAATGAAGTGGGGGAGGAAGCACATTGCAGCCGAGCTCCTAAAATTTCTAGGTCGATTAGCCAATGCTAGTTGTTTTTGGACAATTGCTGACTTTTACCACTCTAAACTAAATTAAAGAAGGAGTTGGCCTCTTTACGACCTACACACCGCGACCAGTATTGGCCTATTGTTCATCTCTAATGTTATCTACAGCTCAAGATCCCAGTTTCCTGTGTATATACTACAGGCCTGTGCTTTTTCTCTCCCAAGAGGAGGAATCTCCACCTATTATGGCTTGAAGATGTAAAGGTGGTTGAAACGAGGATTACAAGGAACCAAGATAATTTGGTAAGACAAAAGGGTTCAGGGCCCACAGGTGTCCTCATCGAACGTTCCTTGACCAGTTGAAGAGGTTGATACTCTTCCCTCTGGCCTCTGTGCCCTGGTTGCCAGACACGGGTAAATTTGTTGTTAAGAAAATTAAAAACCAAAACCATCTAAAAGAAGAAATTTTACAGGAATGCAATACATCCTCAGACATGACACAAAAAAACTAATTCTATCCATGAAAAAACATTTATTGGCAGTAATAAAAAGTATGGAAGGATTCCCGAGTAAAAATTTAGATAAGTGTTAGTAAATAAACAAATGAAAATGTGTTCCGAGACTTTTTTTGGTTGAAAGTGTATCTCTATATATGTACATTGTTTATTTGTATGTATTGAAGACTATTGCAAATTATATGGTAATTTTTCTTCAAATGTTTATTCGGACTTTCACCCTGAAGGGTTGTCACTCCCCGATATCCTTTCAGTGTCTATACTGCAACTAGGTCGCTAGTACCCTGATGGCCAGGAGATGTCGTTTCCCTACCAATAGAGGCAAACGACAGCTACGTCATGTCAGCCCAAACGCATGCAAATTATAATCTAGACTAATACTACTTAAATCAAATAAATATACTCATGCATTGCACTTATTCTAATGGTTCTAGCAGTGGATATTCCTCCATCGACCTACACTCAGTATTAATAATCTAACATAAATTACGTTTGTAAATATTCCACCATCATCCCTAGTCACATGCACACTGCCTGAGGGGTGATGGTGACATTGTATTTCACCATCGACTCAAACCAATAAATATATGCAGTAAAATATCCCCACGTCCTCTAAAAAATGGAACAGGGGGTCCCACAAACCGACTGCCTACTCGAGAACTATTCATAAATCCAGTTGTATGCCTACACGCTCTCTATAAGGAGCCAAGGCATGACACGCCTCTATCATGTGGAACAGATTGAGCGGTCTTTCCCTGCATAAGGGGCACCTGCTGGACTTTGGCCCAAAAGCTTAGAATGATTATGGTTTTTATTTGTATTTACAAACAAAGTATAACCTGACACGGGGGGAGAACCTCAAGTTGTGAACATTTGGTATTAAAAGTACAAATGATTAACTACCATTTATAGCTTAATATTTAAAGTTTCTACTGTACTCAGATATGATTTGAACTGTAGTTATCCAAATAATACATTTCTACTTGGGGTTAAAAAAATATAAAGAAAGAAATAAGATTTTTTGCCGTGAAAAGTTTTTAAGTTATCGGATGTGAAAAATCTGTGAGGATTTTATTACATTGTATTGCATTAAGTGACCAAAGGGATCAAAAGTTTCTTCTTTTTTTTTTTAACTAAAACGAAACTGAAAAACTTTACTAACATGTGAAAAGAGCCCATAGCACGATATTTAGGCGGTACTGCCATGCTATTCAAGTCGTCCGAGTTTCTCGTCGACTGGAAATCACCGCAGCAGATCAAAACGTCAACTTTGATGTCGTTCTTCTTCTCTAGAGCGGCTATAGTCTCGTAGATCTTATCGATTTCCCCGTGGGCGCACCCTTCGACGGCGATTTTCATTTTTGAAGAAGGTACGAAAAAGCCGCGCAACACTATAAACAGTGAAAGGCCGACTAAGAATGAACATCAAGATCGCGTACGTTACGGGAGGTTCTGGTATCGATTATCGATCAATCAATCTAACGTTGAGATATCGATAGTCAACCTACACAATATTTGTTTCAATTTTTTGAAAATACTTAAGTAAATAAAGTATAACTTTATTGTCAGCATTTATTAATTATATATTAATTAAAAATGTAACTCTAAATGTAGATAATTATGATTGTTATTTATAGTCTGGGACGTAGCGTCGTCTTTTACAATTATTTATTTATTTTAAAAGTATAAATAGGACTTTAAGCACCCCTCACATGTACTCATATAAGAAATAAATTAAGTTTTATAAACATAGTAAAATAATAATAACAGCGATAATAATAATAATAAAACATGCAATAATATATACAAAACAATAATGATATTCTATAAAATATTAATTATTTATGAAATGAAACGACATTATGAAAGAAAAGCAGAAGGAAAGAGAGAAAGAGAGAGAGAGAGAGAGAGAGAGAGAAAAAAGAAACGGGAAAAAGAAAAGGAAGATGGAAGAAAATGAGATGATTAATGTTGTTTTTAAAAACTACATTGCCGTAGATCTGATACAAGCCAGCGAGGAAGCAGAACGTACTTCCCTGGGAAGCAAATTCCATAGTCTTGACCCTGCAATTTTGTACGATAAGGCTAAAGGTTTAGGCGAGTGTTGAAACCTTGGGATATGACTGGTGTGTTAGGATAATGAATGAGGGGAAATGAATTATAGATATTGAGGACATTGATTTAATTTTAAATATATATATTAAAATTCTAAGTTTATAAGTGTTTAGAATGTTAGGTTGCTAAAGACATTAATATAGGATGAAATATGATTCTTTGGTTCAAGATTATAAAAGTATCTAATGCAAGAATGATAAGCAATTTGAAAGCGATGAGCAGATTGAGAGTCTAAGGAAAGTGAGAAAAAAAACACAGGAAGAGAATAAAAGAACTATTAGGGATTTAATAAGGTGAACTCTAGTTCTCTGTAGAGTGAAAAAGCTAAGGTGTCGAAGAGAATGGAGGCTTGAATAGATCTTTTTAATAATAAAGCTTACATGGTCATTCCTTGTAAACTTGAAGTTAAAAATAACTCCAAGGTTTTTAACTTTAGGACAAAAATTAATAGGGGAGCCATTGATACAAGGAGGGTATAGGCAATCTACTTATGGGTTTATTTGAAACTAATAAAAACTGGGATATTTTTGGGTTTAAAAGAATTATTTCTTGACCGTTGGTTGAGAGAATGAAGACCATGGTGAGATAGCTTCAAAGATCTTGTAGGACATTGAATATAAAGTTGAGTGTCATCAGCATAAAGATGAAATTTGGAGAAATTAAGAACTAATCGAAGATCGTTTAGAAACATGGAAATTATCTTATACAAAGACATTCAAAGGGGTGTCACTGGTTGTACGGATTTTATCCCTTTTTCTTCGTTTCTCCTTTTTGCAAATAATTTTAAAATTTGTCATGAAATTTTAGTACAATATACCTCTATTTATATATAAAAATTCTCCTCAAAACCTGACTGCTGAGAGAGATTTCTTTCACCTTCCAATATGAGATATTTATAAATCTCTTAGCTTGCCCCAAAATGTATTTTGTGTTTATATGTAAAGTAAATAAATAAAATAAATAAGTTAATATATTAAAATTGAATAAATGATTCTTGATTAGTCCAAATTACCAAGAACTACTAATTGTTTTATTATTGTTATTCATTGAATGAAATGTAACATTGTAAAAAATATAAATAAATACTTTTTTGTTATTGTTCGTTTGTATGGCATTTGAATGAATGTTTTGTCAGAGTTGGTGTGAGACGTGAACGGAAGACATCTTTAGAAATAATTCGTCCAAAAAATCCGGTCAACAAAAAAGTAATGAAATTTGTAATAAAAAAACAAACATCTGATTGTGAATTGAATTTATGGTGAGTAAGAAATAAAGAGAGTATATAATAATTAGTGTCCATTCTGCAGATTGTGTTTCCAGCCTAGTTCGACGGAATTGAATTTGGCGGCGAGCGAGTCGTGCCTGAAAACAAAGTGACAAATCATTCCGTTATACACAATGTTGAATTTCGACAGTAAATATTAAAAGGCATTTTATCCGTTAGGAATAAAATCATAGATTCGGTCTAGATAGGCTGATTTAAAATAGACCATCTTTTTTGCAAGATTTTCGAGTCGGAAGCTAGGGAGAGGAAGTGGCGAATGTCGGTCTCCTCTCGGGGTAACATGTCTCCGAAGAGACTAGTTATGGCTTAATTATAAGTCAAAGGCGATGGATCAGTCAGTACAGGTATATATTTCGTTTAATTTCTATCGGTATTTGTTCGGAAAAGGGACGAGGACCGGCCCGGAGGCGGAGGACAAGCCCCGGAGCGGTTAGGGCCGCAATTTCCCCGAAGTCGGCTTTTATTCCGGCCCGGATCGGGCCCCCTGCCCCTGAGGACACGGTGCAAAATGTCGGTAAGGTAAACTCCGTGGTGCACACGTGGGGCCTTGAAGCCTGAGGATACTGGCGGATGAGCCACCCCCTTGGGCCGGTCCTCATCCGCCGTCCGATCTTCCGCCCTCGCCGAGAGACGTAGAATCTATTTGCTTTTTAAGGTTATTTACCCGTTTCCAGGAACCTCGCTCGATACCGATCTTTACTTTTTGTATATTTTCTTTAGTTTTATTCCGTTTAAAAAAAACTAAAAAAAACGATAAAATCTTTAAACTTTCATATAACACTGACGCAATTATTTTTATTCCTCGAGAAAAGAAGAAAAATACTTGTATTTTTGAACCAACCTTCAACCTCACAATAAAACAATACAAACTGGAATCCATAATACTAAATAACATCTTAGATAATCAAAGTTTTCCATTTACCAACTTATCAAATCTCTTTCTTCCCATTGCTTCATTCATTACTTTTATAATTTCTCATATCGAACCAGCATTAGGTCACTTATTGGATACTTTTTCACTCACGGTTGAACTACGTGTTTCGGCATTGTGCCATCTAAAGTGAGGAACTGTGTTTCGTTGTCTCTGATCTTTTGGTTTGAACAAACTTACTTGTTTTGGCTTGTACTTTCTGTATTTATTTATCTATCTTTATTGGTGGGTTTGTTGATGTAAAAACATTTGGCTTGTCACAGTAATTATACCACACTAAACTTCCTATAATTCAAACTGTAGTCTCAATTTTGTTAACGGGAGCACATCACTTTTGCGATGAACTATTAAAAAATCCATATATTGAACAAACGAAATGGAAATAAAGTGGTTTTAATTTAAATATGTTTCATTATGCATTGTACTATTGCACTGTTGTAAAAGAAATTAAAAAAAAAAATTACAAAAAAAACAATGTATAAAACACTCCTTATATTTTTTTTGTAAGTAATTGTCACAAATATTTGCTCATTAAATTTAATATAACAACCTTTTTGATTAAAAAAACAAAATGAGTGAATTGATACATAAATTATAATTAAAAAAAAAAAAAAAAAAAATGGAATAATGCCAGGGAAAATAAAATCGCCTACTCATTAGGGTGTCTGGTTATTAGAAGTATCCATTTGGGGAAGTTTGACTATTGTAGTTAAGTTGTTTGGCATTACGCAATCTTGATCAATATGATCATCTACTCCCCCCATCATCAGAGATGTAGACTATTAATATTACAATCTGGCTAATAAGTAATCTTTTGTCTAATAACTACAGACAATACAACTTTTATAAATAACATTTTCTGTTCTAAAATCGTTCGTTACACTTTCAACACTTCACTGCACCGAGATCATGTGGCTTGATGCGTTTGAGTTGTTTGGCTAGATGTCTAATGTGTGGACTCCATGTTGCCTGTTGTTATGTCCTTTAAGCCTTTCGATCGTGGGCTAATGTTGCTTTATAGCTTCCTCTTATTGTTTCCACTTTGTGGTGATGTTGGAGGTCTTCATTGCTGTTGTACCAGGCTACAACTGTGCTTCATATTGCACTATTCTGAAATCTTTGTATGATTTATCTTTGGTCTTGCTGGTACATCCACAGAGCTGGTTGTTATACATACACATAAACTTGAGGACCAGTTGATAAAGTAAAAGCTTACTTTCAATTCGACAAGGTAGATCTTATGCCTATTACCAATACATTTTCCAAAATTATATAATAGGTTATTCCTTTTTTGTTGTTTTTTGTTTTGCTTGCTTCCATTGCAAGCTTGCATCTAATGTCATATTAATATTATGTTGTACCTTCGTTTTTCATAGATAATATCACCTTATGTGAATGCTAAAAGATTTATTTATTCCAGCATCATGGTATTTGTTCTGGTACATTAACTGAAACATTTGGTCAATAGTGTAATTTCTGAGGGTTGGCATATATTTATTGAAAGTACTAAAATGGTTAATCATTTATTGATAACGTTTGATCGATTGCTGGCTCGTGTTGATGCAGGTTTATCAGTCCTGTTTTCTTTAGTCATAACCTATTAGATATTTGTTTATTGCAGGCCCTCTGGTCTTTCTTAGCACATTTTTATCTTTGAACTAATCTTACTGATATTTATAAGCAAAAGCCTGGATACACCGTGGCAAATATTAGCCGGCCCCCTCCATTTTCTGCTAGTTATGATTTCATATTAGACTGCATTACCGATTGATATTTTATTTTTTGTTTTCAGAATTTACAGTTTATTAACTTAGAAGAGATAGAAAGCAATGAAGCAGAGCTTGTACAGTCATTGTTGTACACACTCAGATCGCCTAAGTTAGAATTGCCTTGGATTGAGCAGGAGGAATCTCAATGGAATCAGCAACATCATTTTGGTAAGTGACAATAAAATATTATTTTTATTTCGGGTCGTATTGTTAAGGAAGGTCAGTCGTATTGTTAAGAAAGTAGATAACATTATGAATACTCATAATGTCTAGGCATTGATGCTTTTAAATGTTGAAAGCTTTTTATTTACCACACATTTCTTTTTATTTACTTGAAATAATTTTTGTGTAACTTTAAAATTATTAAAGCATGGGCCTCTGAAATTTATGTTTATATATTTTTTATGAAAATTTTACATACACACTTTCAAAAGCATGCACACTTTGTCATACCCAGGCTCTCTTTATAATAAATCACATTGTCATGGGTTTGTCCTTGGACCGGGTGGTATAGCCTTTTGTGCTACGTCTTTACTACGTATTTGATCAGTTTGGCTTTGATCTCTTTTCTAAGAGTAAGGCGAGCAACCCCTTGATACCTCCCTCGCGGGAGAAATATAGGTTCCAGTTGCCAACAATTCCCTTCTGGATCAGCACTCAGTGATTGAACAGTCTTATGATTTCCCTGATGCCCTGATCTTCACCTGCTATGTTCTCAGGCCTCAGCCAACTCTTCCGACCAACCGAGGCATTCCCATTGTCCTCTGGTCCTTCGGCAGGTGTTGGGAGGATCCGATGAGACCACTGACAAATAAAGCTTATCCTCAATCATTTCCTATCATTTTAGGCTCACCAGATTGTTCATCCTTAGCTTATCTGGCTCATACTGAATGACATATTGAATTGCTGATTCAACACGTCCACAGAAAAGGTGAAAAAGTCCCTGTTCAGGCACTTTGTCACCAGTTACTTCTCGGACTGTCGACAATCCACTGGTCTCTAGGTGCTGGAGCTCTACAGTGGAAATTTTCCTGCCTCTCTCTTCCAAAAATTGGGCATCACAGTTTTTTCTTTCTGGAAACGACAATAAATTAATAAACGCAACAATAAAAATAACATAATAATGTCAAATAATTAAACGGCACAGTTAGAAAAAAATTGCATAAAATAAAAATTCGAACATTTTAACTGCTTCTTTCTTCTCCTGTACACAAAAACCCTTTACTCACTTGAGCCTTCAGAGCTTGGAAGTTAAAGGACAAAATAAAAAGTAACAAAAAGTTAAAATCAAGTCCTTTCACATGCATTCAAACTCCTCGCTGTCATGTTTGAGCTTGAACCTTGCTCAGTCTCGGCCGGGTCTCCTACAGCTCCCAGGACTGCCTGCACATCTCCAGCCTCATCAACCTCGCGGAAGACACCCCTACATCTTTGATCCTGGCCACTCTGAAAAAATCCTTATTTTCCGTGTACTTGTAACAACATATAATGTTTTTAATTTTGTTTTGTATTTATCTTCAACTGTCGAATTTCTGTAAGTTTGCATTTGTGTTTTTTTTATGATTCGTCAAAACAAGCACTCACACACAAATAAACAATTAGACACACACTAAAAAAATAAACAAAACCAAAAAAGCAGTCATGCTTGTTTAAAATAAATAAATAAATAAAAATAAATAAAACTAGCAAATACCATTTACTTAAACAGAAAAATTAATACACATACATTTTTACATTCTCTCGGACAAAAAAAAAAAAAAACTGATATACCCACACTTACTCTATAAAATAAAAGAATAGTATTTTGTAGTCTTTTTTTTGGTTTTTGCATGTCTTATAAAGTACTTTTTATTTATTTTGTTTGGTGTAGGGAATCAACATTCGCTTGCTTCTCCGACCCCATGGGTTCACGTAATGTATTACACAGGTATACAATAAGAGTAAGGAAAAGAGGTTTTATAGTTATAAAAAGTACTGAATAATTAATTAATATAATGAATCTAAAAAAATAATAAAATAAAGCATTTTTGTAAAACAAATAAAAGTTAACCTTTACTTTAACAGTAAATACATGTTGTGTTAATTGTTGTTAGTAAATATAGAGTATAGTTTATTCTATATTTTTTTCCCAATCCATCTTGTTCTTACTCTTGTAATATTCAACATTTGTTAGCTGCTTTACATTTTTCTAATGCAAGAAAACAGCGTAACCAGTTTTGGCCTGAGCTTGAGTTATAAGTCCACACCTGCCCTATCCTCATAACATGTTCTCTGCCGAAATCAAAACATTTTAACATTTTAGGATAACTCGTTATTAATTTAATTTTGTATTTCCATTTGAAATGTGGTTTTCTAACCAAGTTTATTAACAATTTTAAAAATTTATGACGAAGCAAAATACCTGAAAACATTACATAATGTGTGTTTGAATTTTTCTTAATTGTAGTTTTAAAATGAAGAAGCTTTTATGTGGGTTAATTTTGTGTTTCAAATTATAAATATATTTTTTGTCCGTTTTTTCTTTTTCTGTTCTAGATGGGGAAGCTGAGGTTTACGATGGAGGAGGAGGGAACGAAGTCTATCATCAGATGCAAGTACCACCGGTAGCGGCCACGACTCTTTCTCAAATGTTTCATCACACTCAGGTCATACCGCAAATGCCGAATTTGACGGCCTATGTACAGACGCCAAATCTTGGATATGGGCTGCCACCACCTCCACCGATGGCCACCTATCACCCTACTCCTGTTTACCAGGAGGGACGGAGGCCTAGGGCGGCCAAGCCAAGTCCCAAAAGGAACAGGGAAGGCAATTATCAACCCGTAACGGCAGCACCTACTGCTTATACCACTCATCAGTTCCCCATACCTATGTCTTATCAGTACTTACACCAGCCACCTCCTGCACACATCCCGACTCCTCAACACGCAACAGGCCATCCTCTATATATGACACAGGCGATCCCATTATACCACACTGCTTATAACTACCCAACAACTGTATTTTCGACATTGCAACAGCCACAACAGCAACAACAGATGAATGTCCCTCAAGAAGACGTCAAGACAACACAGCCAGATTTTGAAAAGAAACCCAGTCAAAATCAGATGTGTGCCAAACAAGAAGTCAAAACTGTGACTCATGAACAGCACCCGCCTCCCAGCAACTCCCCTTCGAACAAATCAGAGGACAAACCTATAAAATCGTTACCGATAAATGCCATAAAAACGACTTCTCTACCTTCCATGCCACCGCCAACTAAAAGGCGTAGTAACGAAGAACAATCTACGCCTCAGGGGAGCCAACCTACCCAAACACCGCATACATCACCACAACAGATTACTCAGTCTCAACCGCCACCATCGTCAGCGTCACAGCCTAATATCAAATCATGGGCACAGATAACTGCAAACAAAGGCTCAATGGACGGTGAACACCATCAGCAAATCCCTCAGCAAAAACTAAACACTTGCAAACCTCCTATCAACGCTGTCGTCGTCTCGACACCACCTCGTGATCTTACAAATTTGCCTGCTCCTGAACCCTCACAGGACAAAGAAGATGTCGATCCTCAATTACGAAACCTAGGAGGTCAGTTATGCATTTAAAACAAACCAATTCTTTTTGTTTCCTTTTTTTTTTTTTTTCTTCTAACCATTTAGGCTGGGAAGTTTAATAAATTTTTATTTTAATTTTTATGTAATATTTATATTTTAAATATAGAATGTTTTTGAAGGAGTCAAAAAATTTTTTAAGATTATTTTTTTATATTTTAATTGCTTCACACTTCATTTGCTCTGCATTATGTTTATTTTCCTTAATCGCCACTTGTCTATTTTTATCAATTTTCTTTTTCTTTCGAGAATTGATTGTATTAATATATTCTTCACATCGGACAAATTTAAATCCTAATATTTTCTCATGTTTTTGGAAAATGTTTATTTTATGTTTGAGCAGAAGTGTTAACGAATTACACACTGGACCACAAAAGCATAGTACTCACACCAAGAGGCCTTAAAAACCCATCGAACTACTGCTACATCAATGCTATTCTCCAGGCCCTCTTGGCTTGCCCGGCATTTTACAACTTAATAAAAGTCATTTCCGAGGTGAAACACGCCGTACAGAAATTCCCGACGATGGACAGACAGACTACAACCAAAAACAGAACGCCCATTATCGATTGTATGTAAGTAGACCTCCTTGGCATTTTATTTAAATTAAAAATGTACTGTAAATATCGTTCATTTACATTTTGACAATTGTTATTGTTTTAGGATCCAGTTTATCAAAGAATTTACACCGGCGCCTGTCTCTAAGCACGGTAAACGTGACAAAGCGAGGAAAGAAAAAGAAGAGAGTTCTTGCGATATGCCTCCTGTCGGCTCGCCATTCGAACCGACTTACATTTACAAGATGTTGAGAGCACTCAGAAGTGAGGACTCATTTCACGAAGAGGGCAGACAAGAAGATGCTGAGGAATTCCTCTCCCTGTTGCTCAACAAGCTAAATGATGAAATGTTAGAGGTGAGTTACTTTCTGTTTTAAAATATACCCAAAACTGATTGGTTTATGTCCACTAACAGTAGTACTTTTAGCACTTAATGCTGAATAGTTCTTCATCTAGTGGTACACTAATGTTTTTGTTTTAACATGGTTAACAAATAAGAGTGAGTTTGGTAATCTTAATGGCAAACAACAATTGCTTTAGTTTTAGTAAATAATAAATTCATTATGAATTTATTACAATTGTTAACATGTTGAGGACCAAGGTGGTTATGATGTCTTGTGCCACATGAGTCGTACTGGGTTTTATTTTGGTCGTTAAACTTGAAAATATTTTTTAATCTGATTAAAGTTATTTTACTTGTAATTAATAGGAAAAATAACCCACAGGATAAGATTGCAAGTCTGTATGTCTTGTGTATTTAAAATTTAATCCATATGTGGAAAATCAAGGAGTCCAATATTCACAAACCCTGTTCTAGGGCGTGAATGGAGGATTTCATTCTCAGAGAGTTGGCGCAAGTTGAATGATACATTGTGCCGTAGTATTGAGAAATACAGATAAAAAGAAAGTAAAATGTTTACTGTTAATATGCATATATTTCATTAATTATGTAGATGTTTTTCCCCTTCCGCAGTGTTGACAGAACATGTAAATGAACTCAGCCGTATCCATTTAATATATGTTTTAATTAATTCAATCCTCACACAAGATTTAACAGAGTTCTAAGACCTTTTTGACTGTCAAAACTAAACTACATTAACATAAGAAATGGAATTGTGCGGTTCTACCAAGCTATCCAAAAAGTTCTCAGACAAATTGTCAAAGCCTCCTTACATCACTAACCTCAACATCACTGTCATCAATGAAGTCATCCATACCTGATTACAAAAGTTTCATGCCAGCCTCTCAATTCATCCTAATGCTACTGCTTAAACCCTCTTCACACATTCCTATAAAATCTGCTGCATCACCTTACTCGACGATGGCCTTTTTTTCCCTTAAGGCTAGGTGCATATTGAGATATAATGACATGATGTGAATGAGCCATGATGTCACCACACCTAGCGCTGTGATCGCATGTTGCAATACAATTATATACTGCGCTCGAACAAGTAGCCACCTGTTTATTTATTTTTAAGTCCGATAAAGTTATATGGTTTTTTACTTACGGTCCAACTTCCACTCGACAAGTTTCCTTTCCCGTTGACACAGTTGTGCTATCCTCTTGATTCTGATTCCACAATTGCATCGGAGGAGCTCCAGGCAAACTGGTTGCAAATAGCCAAATCTATCAAATTCTGACGCCTTAAAATGCCTTATAAATGGAAGCAAATGCATCTTTATTACCTTTACCCTCCAAAACAAAACCCATCATACAATATTCCCAATAATAATCTTAGCCCAAAAACTGACTGTATGCTGCCTTAGGTCATGAGATTAAAAACTCAGTATCACGAGCGGGATTCATACCCTAACCATCCCTGTAAGGCTAACCAGGCCTGAACGACAAACCATTACCCTCTTTTTTCATTGTCGGTCCCTTTCACCTCAAAGAAGCCGACTCACAGAAAAATGATCTATCCATACTTCCTTCCCATTACTCCAAAATCTATAACAGCATATATAAACAGAAAAACATTATCTTGTTAACACTCTCAACACGACACACACAACAGTGCTACATCTACACCAAAGATCTCAGTAAAGATCACGTTGCACGACGAAAGAAAATGTTTTTCTAAACCTACATCACACCAGACCGCACGATCTCTAAATAACCATCAGTCAATCGAACCACAAACTCTAATGGGTTGTATTATATGTTTGTATGTTATTGATATTAAATTTGATTTATGATATTATCGTAGCTGCAGCTGAGTTTACATGTCTGTTTTATAATTGAATTAAATTGTTTTATTATTATAATTTGTCTATATCTCTGTTGATGTAAACATTTCTAGAAAGTTACGTTTTTCTTTGTTTTGTTCTATGTTTAAAATTTTTGATTGTTGAAATCGAAATTGTATTGCTGTTTAAAATGGTGGGTAACCAGTGCTGTAGGATTTTGTTTTGATTTTTTACAATCATAGATATGTTGTTTTACCCTTTTATCCAGATATTGGGATGTAATTCTGATGTAAGTTGCTGGACAATTTATACAATTGATTTTGTAAATTACATCAGACTTATTTGTTAATGGAGTGGGATCTTCAATTTTGAAAAAAGTGTGTGAATAGTTTTATTGTTTTTGAAGGCTATTTTTAAAGTTATCTGAAGGAAGAAGTATGTTTAATTTGTATGATAGGCCATGAATGAATGGATATGTGTTGGTTTGTTTGTGTTTGATAGAACTGATGTAGTGTTATTAGTGATAGTGTTGAGTTGTTGTTGTTGATAGTCTGTTGACTTTGTGTTTAGGGTATTGACTGTTATGTAGGATATGTTTGTATATGTTTGTTCTTGCGGTGAAAAGATACCTGGCTCAGGGTAACAATTATGCGAAGTAGCCCTTTGGGTGTGTTTATTATTGTATGATGGGGATGGTGTGGTGTGACATTGAGGTTGCAATCTATGTTTCTTGGGTTTTGATACTAATTGGTGATTAATGTGCCATCTGGTTATTTTATTACAAGTGTATCTTATTATGATCTTAGCGTAATTAGTGGTCACTAAATAGTACACGCTTAGGTACTATCTTGATTCACATTTAACCCTCAGAACAGACACTACTGAAACCGATTTGGACATATGGATTATAACTATGGAGCATCACTGAACCTTCTGACATCCAAAGAATATCCTTCCTCCAAAGTCCTCAAAACCATTTCAATGCTCCCTACAATGACTTCAAATATCCTTTGTTAAAAACCTAATCCCCCAACAAATTTACCATTTCCATCAAAAGCTATCCTTACAACCTAACCCATTGGCCTGACCCATGTCCCTACAACCTAGTCATAGTGCACAACCCATTTATTTTTCTATGCTTCAAAATGAGGCACCACATCGCGGTGTCTCATTACACTCCTTGCTTAATAATTAATTTGTTCATGTCAATAAAATCATTCATTCATATTGATTAATTTATCATTTTGTATTTTATAGCTACAAAAACTGTTTCAAGATCCAAAAAGTCCACCTGTTGTCAATGGGGAAGTGACTTCCAATGGTGATTCTCACAATGAAGACGATTCTGTTTGGAAGGTGTTTTTTCCTCATATAATTTTTTTCATGTTAACACTTTCGGTGCCCTTATCATTTTGTAGTTAACAGTAGTTTCTATAATATTACAATATGCATAATTGATTTATTTTTTCTTAAATAACCAGTGAGATTTCTCCTTGAGATCTCCAGATCTTAATGGTCTGCCTTTGATTGCTATTTTGGTCAAAGAGAAATCTCAAAAATTCAGAAGTTGCCTGTTGTGATATCTAGAAGTTTATAGTGCTGAAAGTAGTGAAAGTTTGGTTGCTTTGAGTTTAAAAATAAATACTTAATTAAGCCTGTCAAGTCTTATTTATTTTTTCCACATTCTCAGGAAGTGACAACTAAAGGCAATCGGATTACAAGGAGAGCTGAACTTGAGCGAACTCCTCTATCTGATATATTCCGAGGCCAACTCAGGTCTAGTGTGCACAGGCCTGAACTCTCTTCCTCGTCTGACAACGTCCAGCCTTTTTTCACACTCCAGTTGGATATAGAAGTAAGCCATATTTAACAAATAAAAATAATAATAATAAAACGATTGACTTTTTCACATATTTCTTTCAGTCTTCTGAGTCGGTGAGTGAAGCGTTAGAAAAACTAGTCGGCAGGTACCCAGTCGAAGGGGCGACTCCATCGCAAGAGGTCAAGATGTTTCAGCAACAGTCACTCGACCAACTGCCGTGTGTACTTATTCTCCATCTCAAATGTTTCCATTATCGACAGCAGACTCCGAGCAAAATTGTAAAGGCCTTGCAGTTCCCCATCGACCTCAAGCTTGACCAAAGTGAGTGTCTTTATTTTTCGAGTGGAAAAAATAAATAAATAAAGCAGTGATGATAGGTTTTGCAGATAATGAATTCTGCATATTCTGAAAACACTGCAATATAAATTCGCCGAAACTGATAACTTGCTTAATAAAATTAAGCAATGTTCATGTTTTGTTGAAACAAATGTTTAATTTATAGAAAATTTGAACTAAATGTAAAGGCCTTGCAGTTTCCCATTGAACTCAAGCTTGACCAAAATGAGTTTCTTTATTTGTCTAGTGGAGAAAATAAATAAATAAAGCAGTGATGATAGGTTTTGCAGATAATGGATTCTGCATATTCTGAAAACACTGCAATACAAATTCGCCGAAACTGATAATTTGCTTAATAAAATTAAGCAATGTTCATGTTTTGTTGAAACAAATGTTTAATTTATAGAAAATTTGAACTAAATGTAGAGGCCTTGCAGTTCCCCATTGAACCTCAAGCTTGACCAAAATGAGTTTCTTTATTTGTCTAGTGGAGAAAATAAATAAATAAAGCAGTGATGATAGGTTTTGTAGATAATGAATTCTGCATATTCTGAAAACACTGCAATATAAATTCGCCGAAACTGATAATTTGCTTAATAAAATTAAGCAATGTTCATGTTTTGTTGAAACAAATGTTTAATTTATAGAAAATTTAAACTAAAACTCTTTATTTGTTGAGGTTTGAATTGACAATTTTAGTTTAATTGAAGAGGGGCTGGTCAACCAATTTTTGTGTTAAAAAGTCGTTTTTTTATTAAACTAGATTTTCTACATCGTTTGATGTAAAGGGTTTGTGATTTTGAGCAGCTGGAAGTGCAGTAGAAATGACACTTATTTCTTACATTCACTAATTACATGGTCCGCTTGACCAATTAATATATCACAATTAATTAAGGTTTTAGGTAAAAATGGCAAAAAGGAGGGAAAATTCAAAAGGTGGGGTTGAGATGGGAAGTTAGTGTCCGAGTTGATCGATGTCACGATAGCTCAAGTGGTAGAGCAGCGGCGTATCTAGCTGAAGATCGTGGGTTCGAATCCTATTGACTTTTTTATCTCAACTAAAAACCTTAATTAATTGTAACTTATTTCTTACTGAGACAGACTGCTTTCCTATGGAAAAATGTATCTCCCATGCCACAACCGTGCACTCAGAGCATTGGAAAAATCTTCCCTTGTTGTTCTCCTTTTTGTACTATACACTTTTCTACATGACATGACTGAATTTATATAAAAATATGGGTAACAAAAAAAACAAAAACCATAAACCACAAGGTGATTTAAAAATTAAAAGATCTACACAGATTAGTACAAATAGATAAATTTAACATGACAGGAACCTTGCTAACTGGCTGAGAGATTTTTAACATGGCAGTGCTGTGCTGTGTGGGCCAACGCCAACAAAATGATAGGCTACATAATGTCTAAATTCAAACGTAACAAAAAAAAACCTGTGTGAAAAATACATTTTTGACCTTCAAGTTCCTTTTTCTCATATGCCGTTCGATATTTTAAAGGTTTTTTAATTTAACAAGGACAAAAAACAACCTGCCTTGAGCCGTCTGCATTGTAAGATGAAGTAAATAAAGTAACACTTCCCGAAATTTTCGATTTCTGGCGCCCTTAGTATTTAATAGTAGTTTTTCTTTATTTGCAGTACAATAACTATATGAGGGGGCATAGGTGGCCGCAAGGGTTTAGGTACTGACATAAGGTAAAGGTCCCGGGTTCGAATCCAGCAGCCCTGCGTTCGAACCCAACATACTTACAAATGGGCTTTTTTTTTAAAAACACCAGCACCCTGAGGGTTGATATAACCTCTGCTGTTGAGAACCCTCGTAACAAAAAAAACAAAACTATAATAATAATAATAATAATATGCATTATAACTTATATCAAAATGTTCATAAGAGAGCACTGATTAAAATGAGACTTAACTCTGTTGTGATCAGACCGTTAATTCATTAAATATTTAAAAAGAAAGAAAAAAGGATGGAGGGAATAGGAAAAAGAATCAGATTTTGGTTGACACCCCTCCCCCCTAACCATCCCTAATTAGGATATCATCTCTCACACAAAGTAATATCTGCTTTGTAATCCACCCCAACCCAAATTCTACCACCGTCATTAAGCATATCAAACTGTCCATAAACTATACCATCAACATCTTCACTGGCTCAAAGTTGACCAAAGTGAGTTTTTCAATTTTTACTATGTTTAAAAATGTAAATTAGTAAATACAGCAGCAATGGTGATAGGTTTTGTAGGTAATGAATTCTGCATATTCTGAAAACCCTGCTAAATCAATTCGCCAAAACCTGATCATTTGCTCTATAAAATTAAGCAATGTTCATGTTTTGTTGAAACAAATGTCTAGAGTATTAATACTGTGCAAACTATTTACCAATTTTTCTGTTCTAGATTAATTAAGTGATATGCATATATAATATACAAGGGTTTCACCATCCTTGCAAATTTCAAATGGTCCTTAATTATCTCTCATCATCCTTCACAAAAAGCATGGTGATAGAATTTTAGATAATGAATTCTACACATTCTGAAAACACTGCTATATCATTTCAACAAAACTCAAATTTGCAAATTTTATAAACTTTTTTAGACTAATTCTGGTGACACTCTATACTCTCCAGACCTTGCCTATTGTAATTTTTACTTGTTCCGCACCTTGACAACTCAGGTAGGGAATTTTTACATGAAAATTTTCTGAAAATTGTACTTACAGATTTCTTCTTCATAAAATTTTCATAAAAAGGGCATATTACTGCTACTACAATGATAAAGAAGCAGAATAATAATTTAGCAGTATGATAAAGAAAAAGAAGGAAATTGCGTTTTGGAATAAAAATAAAATAAATTTGTATTTTGAAAGTTGGACTTTTACTGAAACTGAAAATACTTATGCACAAGCCCAACATAAAAAATATATGTATTTCATTTCTTTTTTTAATGAAAATATGAAACTTTTATTCAAATTGCAAATTAAAAAAGCAGTAATGGAAATCCTGTTATATTGAAAATATGAGATAAAAATAGGTAAAATTAAGAAAATTTACCCCGAAATGTCATAAAACATCAATATTGAGTCACTTTTTGTAAATGATGTTTCTACTCACAGATTTACACACATCTTTATTATTTCTGTCGATATTAAGTTTTAAAAATGTCAATATTTGTGTATAAAAAAATATGAAACACATAACAATGTGCTCTTTAATAACAAATATAGGTTTTGGGGATAGGTTTTGTGGATAATGAATTCTGCATATTCTGTGAACACTGCTATATCAATTCAACAAAACTGAAAATTAACTTACTATAATTTATTGGTCATGTTTTGTTGAAACATATGTTTAAAAGCTGGAAGTTATACAGTTCAGCTAATAATCTAAATTGCTGCAGTCACATGGAAAGCAGAAGCGTTTTAATTTAATTACAGCTAAATTCCGATATATCATAACAAAGTGCATGTCTGTTGAAAAAAATCTCATTAAATTATATAAAACCAGTGCATTTCAGTCCCCTTGTAACATATTTTTACCACCTTCAAGGCCTTTATTATTCATGTTTTAGTGTTGAAATCCCAATTAAACATATGAATAGAACTTATTCACATTCTAGCATTGAAATTCTGATTGAATGTAGGATAAGGGTGGTAGGAGTTTCCAGGATTTTGTTTTTTATTTCGAAATGACAATTTCTCAGCTTCCGATAGTTCACAATACTGTGCATTAATTGTGCGTCGATCATGGGGGAAGTCTACATGAAAAGTTGCCTCAATGTTAGCCTCGGTCAAACTCGCCTTTGGGTGGTGATCGTGGCTCTTGTTCTCTACCTTTCATGCATCCCAGAAAAATTTTGCCAAGCAAAGAGTGTGATAAAGGGACCTGGGAGAGTTGCATACAGTTCTCCTCTGGTCTGTAACAACCCAATCTACCTTTATATCAACCCTTTTCTGGTCTACAACCTCTCTGACTTTTTATGAAAATCAGTCCCGATTATATTTAATAGTCCCTCGTATTTTTCATTTTTATCCTCAATATACTTTAATCTCAAAGTATTGAATATATCAATATATTCTTATCCTTTTGAAGATATATCAGGATTTAGCTAGAATTTGATTTTTTAATTAACAATTTTTTTAGTTTATTTTAAAAAATACTGAATTATTGATTATTGTGTTTTTATTTATTTTTTGCAGAACTTCTGTCAAGTAAGAATCAGAGTGCTGTAAAGGCTCGTCAATATAAACTATTTGCAGGTAAGATATTTTTGACAATCTTTTGAACATTTTTCCCTGATTTTCCCAAAATTTAGCCTTCTCGGAATTTGTTAAATTTGATTCCGGGCGTGCCTTTCTGGGATACATTAAATGTTCAGATTTGAGATTACTTTACGTTGAAGACCGTTAACTTGTAAAGCGCTGAAATATCTGACACACCGTTAAAAATCTTTTATATTACTATAAATTTAAGTTAATGGTTTTATTTAATTTATTAATTTATTTTTTCCCCCCCAGTTGTCTATCACGACGGGAAGGAAGCGACGAAGGGACATTATTTAACTGATGTCTTCTATCTTGGTGGTGGCTGCCCTGGTTGGATCCGGTATGACGACGCGTTGGTCACCCAGATTGCCGAAAGCCAAGTCCTCCATCCGAGCCCGCCCCGCGTACCATATCTCCTCTACTACAGACGAGCTGATACGATTGGACCGCAAAGCAATCTAGTCTCAAAGTCTTAAAACAAAAGGGATAAAAAAAGAGAAAAAATGTCTTAAAAGATTAGGTATTTGATGAAGAAAAAATATATATATGAAAAATAATAATCAAAGTGCACTTAGAGAGATAAAAAGAAAAAGAAAAAAAATTTTTTTTTGTACAGTGTACATAGAATCAACTGTGATCCCCATTAGTTTTTTTCTCTTCTAATTTGTTTTTTCTTTTATTATTGCAAAAAATATTCCTTTTTTTTATATATTACCCTTTTTGTTTTTTAAATTTTTTGTTTGTATGTATGTGTGTGTTTGAATTGCATGAAAGAATGGTGCCAAAATAAAATAAAATAATAAAAAAAAGATAAAAATCATAAAAAAATAAAAAATAATAAAAAAAAGATACAAAAAAAAATCAATAAAGTAAAATTTTTAATTAATATACTTAGAATACTGATAATTAAATAATTTTGTGCACATGCTAATTTAGAATGTAATTTATATATAAATAATATATTTAAAAAAATATGTTGCTGTTCTAAGCCTGACGTTTATATTTTATCCATTTAATTTTTATTTTTAGAGAAGAAAAAATAAAACGCCGGCTTTTCTCTGTTAAGATAAAAGACAACACTATTTAATTTTTTTCTTCTTTCAATTCTATTTAGAAAATATGGCGCCTGCTTTTTTTCTTTTTCCCCTTTTACCTGCGGTGAAGATAAGGCTTATTCTTTATTAAAAAAATAAAGATAAATGTATTTAATTGTTAGTATTGAAATTAAATTTTAAAATAACTTGTTTAATCTGTGTTTCATTTTAAAACGGGGGGGGGTTAGAAAACAGGGTTTTCCTGTTCATTAAACGATAATTTAAATTATTAATTAAATTATCTCATTGTGGAAAAAAAAGGGAAAAAATATTTATTTATCGCCTGATCAAATACATTATTGATTTTTCCTTTCTTCACAGCAGGTGAAAGGTAGGTTAAAATTGACAATTTAGAAAAGAAAAGGGTCAATTTAAGAAGAAGAGAAGAAAAAGGTTTACATTTACAGTTTAAGATAATATTAAGTAACATTAGTGCCTTAGGTTTTCCTCTATCCTTTTTTTTTTTTGTTAATTATTTATTTTGTTGAATTTACTTTTTTTATTTCCTTTTTCTTTTTTTTTAATTATTTTTTGGATGATCAAGAATTTCATGATTCTTTGTCTTTTTTCTCCCTTGCCCATTGCAAATAATCTTTATTATTGAATCATTAAAGCTTTATTGAAAGTTGTACATGTTTTCACCCTTGCCTTAACATTTAACAGCGTTTTAAAAAAAAAGCCCAGACTTTTTCTGTGTGTAAATATCGTGTAAATATAGTTGAATTTTTGGTAATAAACAGAAAATTAATTAATTAAATTATATACATATATATAAACATTTAGTTAATTTTAACATTTGCCTCATGGTTGAATAGTCTTCCGCCTTCGTAATGAGGCAAATTCACCTTCTTAAGAATTTATTTGTTTTTAAAAATTTATTTGACCAAAAAAATTAATGTTACTTAAATTTTTTAAATATGTTGACTTTTCATCGTTTTTACTATGAAAAAAAGAAGGTAAAAACTTTTTAAAAAAATTCTAAATTGGTCGTTTTTCCTTTTTCAGAAAGTTATGACTTAAATATTCAACAAATATATTTAAAAAAGCTTAATGAAATACGATCTTAAATGTTTTAATAATTCAAAAAAATTAAAATTTGTTTCTCCTCGTCTTTGTCCCCCATGGTTGATCGTTGTAATGTAGTGATATGAATGCAATTCAAGTTTTTTTTTTCTTTTTCCTTCTTCTATTTGTAAATATTTGTTATATTCAGTATAAGGGACGACCGTGAAAAATCATCGGACGAGGGAAAACAAAGCCGATTTAATTTTTGCCTACTAGAACATGAAAAAATGAATGAAGGGAATGATATTTTATAATAAATAATTAACAATGTTTTCTTTCCTTAAAAAAAATAAGTGTAAAAAAAAAATTGGTTTCTAATTACAAACAGGTTGTATTGAATAGAAACGAACTGAGACTATTGTGTTTATAAAAAACACTTACCATGTTGTTATATGTAGTTGTGTTTTATATAAGGTATAAATAAAAAAATATTTTAAAAGAAAATTGCTATTTTTTATTTTAAATGTACTCTATATTTTTTTCTTTTTTAAAAAAATTACGAAGTACTTTGTTTTAATGTTCTTGTATTAAAAAAAAGGAATGGTTTTGACAAAATGTTTAAAAATATATAAATATGTTAAAGGACCGGTTTATACATTTTGTTCTTCCTGTTTTTATTTTATTTATTTTTTTATTATTTAAATTTTTTATTTATTTCAAGTTAAAAATTTCGGAGTTTTTTATTTAGACAATTCTAAAGCCATTGTGGTCTGCGATGTAGTTGACTTTGACTCTAACTCCCTCGGGACTTATGTATGAATAAGAACCTTTTTTGACGATGACATACTCCCAGCCTTCGTTGGTCGATAAGAGTCGTCCCTGTTCGCTAACCGTCGTCCCGGAATCATCAGAGAATCTTAAAATAACAAATACATTAAATATCAAACATATTTAGATTTGTTGTGAATTTGCACCCATGGGTGTATTGTAGACGTTGGTCTTGGATGCTCAATCTAGAATTAATCGGTATCGACAGTGGATTCTCTTCTCCTTGGGCAATGGTTTCAGTTGATGTTTGGACTGGTGACGTTTCAATGATGGGAAATGCAGCCTGCTCACTGGGTGGTAGCCCATAACGGTTGAGCAGGATATTTTCAGCCGAGCAGACCCCAAATATTAACAAGATCTAAAAAAAGAAAAAGCAATAATGTAATTTGTGAATATCATGATTAAAGCTCAGCTATGCATCAGGGTTCCTGGTCAAACTGTGACAAATGCTATCAGGTGTTATCCTAAGATGTGAGTATATTATACGAGCGACTAAACCTGACATGTCCCTTGGGAAGGGAATATGTTTTGGTGAAGGCAGGGATGACACGAATAGTCCTCCAACTGAGGAACTGGCCAACAATGTTCTGAGTCCTCCTGGCAGGAACAATCTAAGTGTCTACTCTACCATACCTAGCTAATATCTTGGAATATGGACTGAGGTAAGCCAGTTTTCACCTTGTCTTCACAGGTGGGTCTAAACTGGCAAGGGCATACACTGTACCGTTTACATGATGGAATTGCTGAGTCTGTATCACTTAAAACCATCACTCAAACAAATTTGAAACTTAAAAATGGTCCAACTTCGAATACAAAGCAACTGCTTAATGGAGACAACCAAGGATATCAAGAAGACCCGCAAAACAGAATTGCACTACTGACCTATTACTTCTTAAGAGAAGGATAATTGCATTGAACTTAGTAACTACAAGAGTACAGAAAGCTGAGGAACACAAAACCCCTTCTTCTCAGTGTAAATATTCATCATCAGCCTGGTGCCAGGTCAGATCAAAGAGATGACCTTTACCGCCAGAGCAAGCATGTACGTAACAGACCCTCACACAGACCACCAGAAAATGGCCGTACAAACCGGTTATTGCGTATGTGATATTTGGCCACTGACTGGCATTATTATGTAATGAATAAGCATGTATCATAAAACAGAAAACTATTAGCTTGCAGGATGAGATGACCTATGCGTGACATTACATGTCACACGCACTGCTGTTCCAGTACCTCTGTATTATCAGAGTTTAAATGTATATTATGTGTTGTGTGTGAATGTAAATGTAAATTATTAGATTGTCATGTCAAAACTGTGCTACACTGCTAAAGTTCTAACCTTAGTCAACTTATAATGTAAATCCCTAGTAGTGTTAACATAGGGCAAATCAAAGAAATACTCACTGAAAGCATGATTGGAGAAGGTGACAACGAGTAAAGAACCGGTGGAGAACGAGACAACATATGAATAAAAGTTTTACTGCTTTGAGTTTATATAGGTGAAAAACAACCCCCTTAAATTGAAAACTTTCACCCAATTTAACAAGAAGAGCTTATCTCGATCAAACCATGACACCTAGAGACGGATAGCATCTGTTATTTTGAATCTGAATTAAGAAAACGGAAATTTTATTATATTTTTAAATTTTTGAACGGTTCTTAGCAATGTTACAATAATACAATAAGAAATATGACAAGTTTCATCGGGAGAGCCGTTCTTGGAAACCGGTTTCGATCAAATTTGATACAAATTTTCAGATCAAGGTGACGAATGAAAACATTAAGTTATTAATATTATTATTTTAAGTTTTCTTTAGTAAGAAATGTGAAGCATCAAGAACATGAAATAACGTACCGGAAATATTCTTTTAGACAATCAGAGGCGCGACAAACGGCCGCTTTCTTTACTATTACTTTATTTACAAACAGCCCCGGAAGTTATTTGAAAAATAAACAATATATATTTTTATTTCTGCAGAAACTGCAGTGAGAGTATCTGATTTTTTTTAAAAAGAATAAATAAAGGAAATGGACCTGAGCTCATTACCTTGCTCAGTCAACAGCTTGGAACTCAGCTCGCCCATCGTCTCATCTGCAACGGTGAAAAGCCCGGTATTTAATTGAACGTTACGATTTTTTATTTTGAGTTTTTTTTCTTCTTCTTTTTTTGATTTTCGTCCCGGTTGTCAATTTTTTTAAACATCGTGGATCACTGGTTAGAATGAAAATGCCGAAGACTTTCTGATCGCGTTGTCGAAGTTCAACTGAAATCGCCATTTTTGAGTTTTGTAAAAATCGAAAATGAACAGTTTCCAATTGTATTTATTTTTTTATTTTTTAAATTAGTTTATAATTCTGAACGAGTACCCAACACTCCCGTGGGTTTTAAACTAAGTACCGGTATGATAACAGCGATGAGTGCCATTTTATAATTAATATAAAAGTATAATGAAAAACAGACATTTTGAAACCTGAGAACAGGTGGTTTTTTAAAATTATTTTTTTAATAACCTTTAATATGTAATAAAAACTCAATTATTAAAAAGGTAGCATAAATGTTTTTGTTTCTTTAAAATAAAGTTTTTCAGTTAAATCCAGAATTGACAACTGCTCTTAAAAGAAAGAATGTTGACATTAAGGTACTGTCATTTGTACAATGAATGTAACTTAAGTAACAAAATAACTACAGGTTTTTGTTGTTGTTTAAGAGCCTTGCAGACGAGTTTTATGGGCTTTACGATGTTGATCCTCTACTCGTCAAAAGACAACTGGTCACTGCCATAATCCAGTGTTCTGGCATCGAGGGTTACACTTACGGAAAGCATTTCGATGAGGCGAATTTAAAAGATATGCTGTCAAAACAGGTACTTAGTTGACAGTATTTAACTGCTTGTATCATTAAAGGCTTTGTCAACAGGACTTGACATGCAAAAACGCTGCAATACTCGAGAAAAAGTTCAAAAGGCAGTTTTCAACTTTTATCACTGCCCTTTTCCACCTGGACAGCGGTTTTATTTTTCTAAATGATAACTTTTTTGTGATGCTCTTGACCATAATAGAGTTGCTGATGTCCGGGAGGTGGGATTCGCACAGGATCATGGCTTCGCTCATTGGTAAACATTTCTATAATTTAAGTATATTTTATTCTTAGCCTTCTGAACATACCGAAATTGTCTAGTTAAACTGTACATTAGGTTTCAAAAATTCAGACTATAAAGCATTCCCTTCTAGAATGTACAATTGTTTTGTTCTGCATTGGTATTCAAAACATTTCGGTAATACAAACTTTAAAAAAATATTCAAGAAGTCATAATTTTAAAGGAAACATGAAACATTAAGGGACCAAGGATTATTTTTTTCCGCCTAAGGGAACTGCAATGAAATGACACGGCGCTTTTTAATGAAAGGTCTGGGGCGGGATCGGATCTCAAAGACCCTGACATTGGTCGCGACCCCCTTTGAATATGTTTCTTTGATGAAAGAACACTGCACACTGGGGCTCAATTCACACGTGTTGTGAGGTCCCAAAATGGAGCCAGGAAAGAGTACAATAAGCTGTATAAAGCTGTTGTGATCAGGGAGAACTCCTCCAGTTCCTGGTAACCACAAAAAAAAAAAATAAATAAANTATATATATATATTTGGAGCAAAGGAGCAAAGAAAGAGATCACAGTAAGTTACTTACTGTGAATAGGAACTATCTTTTCAAAAAGGATTGAACACTGCACTCACTATTCATCATTTCTATGAGATAAAGAGTTAGTGGGTGAGAGAAAAAGAAAAGAGTGAGGGTGGGTGAATGAATGAGTGAGAGTGAGTGGCCGAGTCATATGAAAGACCAAGTCAGCTTATATTCTACAAATTTCCAAGAAATTCTTTTGTATTATAATATATAAATATATTTATTTTTTAATACCCTCTGTAATCTGATTTTTTCTTTTATCCGATACCCCTTGCATCAATTAGTTCGAATTACTGAGAGAAAACTAGTTTAATTTTTTTTTTAATTTTATTTTAGGTATGAAATTAATGACATCAGTTGTGTACATTCAAGAAAGAATTAAGGATAAAAACTCAGTATACAAGGGGAGCTATGACAACAAGGAAATTGAAGCTAATCTTTATGCAATTTGGTCCAAGCTTTTTACAGAAGTTATCAGGGGAGGATTAAGGTATATTTACTTTTTCCATTAGAATTAAAAGGTCTAGTTTTTATTATTTATTTACACTCTATGCGTTGAGTTGTTACAGTGAATTTATTCGAATTTGAAAGGTTACATTAAGTTGAAATACCAAGGTTCAATTTTGTAAGCTGTAAATATATATATTTACGTTTTAGGATGGTGTTGGGACATGTCCAACTCAGATCCTCTTAAATTGCCTAAAAAATCTTTTTGGGCAGTTCAAAATTTCCTTACCTTTTTCTAAAATTGAATATTTGAAACTCAATCAAACCAGCATAGGCTGAAGCTGTGACCTGGTCAAACATGGCGGTCTCCAAAAGTTCATCACGGTTGATTTTCGATTTTCTTTGCTCAGGGATAGGTCATCGTCAGTGATATACAATATACTGGATGAATTCATTCATTGGTCCGTTCACTACCCTTTTGCATTGCTGTCTGACGATATAAAAAAATATGTTTTAAGGTCAATACTGTTAAAAAATTTGCAGCACAGGCGTATGGTTTATATAGTATGTAATTTAATTTTGACTTTGTACATTTTTTATTTTATACATGCAGTGTTTTGAATAAGTAGGTTTTTTTAGATTTTATTCAACTTGTCAAAGACGTCCCATCTCAAGAAAATGCTAGACAACAAATTAACGGAATTTGTCACAAAAGAACTTGTCGCATCATTGAATGCAAAAGGATATCACGGTGAAATTGCGATGAAGATATTGTTAAATGTGATAGAGTATGTATTCATTTCACAAATAAAACTAATTTATAACTTTTTAAAAAATAATCTTTCTTCTTGAAGTCTGTTTGGTGATGAACCTGTAGTTTGATCTTTTCTAATCATCCGGATTATTCCTGTTCGCGAATATTTTGGTCTGTCATATGCATTTTTCCCATTATGTCATATTTGGTGGTAGGTTTTTAAAATATTTACCAATAAATTGTTCCACTAAGTTTCACTAAACCAAACGCTTGTGATATTTGTAGAGGATCATAACCTCGTATCTATCGTGATATATGGTGTTACCCATGTGACTACAATTACTGAATAATGTGAAAACTGAAATGCACTGGCAGACCAAAACAGAGAGTTTAGGCAGATCTGGATGATTGTTATCCTGCAAAAATTAAAGTTATGTTGAATTTTGTAGTTGGCCTGAATTTGCATTGGACAAAAGAGAGCTCGAATTAGTTTTCATGGCGGTTTATAATCCAAACCAGAGTATCGGCGTACAAGCGGCCAAGTATTTTTTTATGACGCAACTTAAAAATTGTAACAGTTTGCAAATCCTTCAAGACCTAGTAACGTTCACCAGGGAATCTTATGTAATATAAATAAATATATATAATTTTTTTTAAAGCATTTTATTAAATTTTATTTTATTTTACACAGATTAATAACTTGGATATGCTAGTCGATTCTTTTTCTTGGTATTTTTTCCATCACCACAACTGGGAAGAGTGGAACCAATTGATCAAAACGGACAGTTCGACTGTCGTTAGTGTCACTTCTCTTTTGTATGCTGTAGCTAAAAGATTAATTTTAAACGAAGTACCAAAAATTAGAACTGTATGTTTAAAATGGTAGTATTTTATTAAAACATACATCTTAATTATTGTTGGTTTTTTTTATACTATTACAGAACCTGTGCAATAAATTCAAAGAAGAAGATCGGAAAGATATTGCGGCAGTGTTTACGAACTATTTCAAAAAAACTTGGATCACAATTTTATCTTACCATTCGATTCAAATAAATCCACTGGCACTCAGTGATATTATCAAGATTTTGGAATTTTTTGACAAAGAGCACATTTCTTCAGAGGTCATAACCAAAAGACAATTTTGTTATTGTTAGGCCCAGGAGCTTGACTGATTCTCTCTTTTATAATTTGAATTGTTTTTAGATATTGCTTACGATTTGGATGAAGTTGAGCAGAATTTGCCTCGAATGCCCTCACTGCACGGTGATTGATGAGTCTTGCCGGATGATGGTGCATTTGCAAACAAAGTTTAATTGGAGCAGCAAAGAAAAAACTATTGTAGAAAGGCAAATGGAGAAACTGAGAGAAAATATCGTTAACGATTTTATGCAGTGTCTTATGTTTCCTTCTTTACTTTATAAAGATTGCGAAGTAATTAGATTTCAGTCAATGTAAAAGCCAATTAATTTAATTTTTAATTTGTCTTTAAGGTACTTCGTGGTCAATTGTGTTCTTATGCTAAATATTTTTTACTCAAGGATGATCTATATCTTTGGGAAAGAGCTATACATTTTTTAATAAACTCTTCAAGGAATGTATTTAATAATTTTTCAGGCCTAGTTAGTATCTGTTAAATGAAAAAAAAAAAAAATTGTACAAATGTTAAACAAAAATTACCCTATATTTTTCAGACGAAACTCTTAATGGATTTTTTGTTCAATATAGTGTTTCGCAAGCACCAGGAAATTCTTGCATTGCATTCACAAGTTAAAGCCGTCAATGGACAAAAATCCTTGCATAAATCTGATGACATTTTGAAAGAGATAAAAAGTCAAATATATTGTTTAGAAGTTCTTCTTTTACCGAGGGTTTGTGAACTAGAGACCATTTTCACTCCGTTATTACACATTGAACAACAGGATATTAGAATACAAGTAAGGACTTTTGTTGATTTGTACATTAATAAAAAAAGACAGACTATGTTCCCTGATTTTCAGACTTTTCTCAATTTATTAAAACTGTATGAACTGTATGGACCGCACATGGCTGAACATGAAGATTTACACATACTATTTATTAATTTCGACAACGATTTTATTAAACAAATGAAACTATTCATGATAGATATTATGAATTCTGCTTGTGAAGGTATAGTTTTATCAAATGCATTTCACTAATTGCAGGAGTGGGTTAGTTGGTTATCTAAATTTAGGTCGTGAACGACCTCTCTTACTATTAACAAGAGTATATGTGAGTAAGTGAACGAGTGAGTATGTGTATGAATCATCCAAAAAAAGAGGGAAAGAGAGTGTGGGTGAGAGATATACATCTCTCTCACCCACACAAGCATGGCTAGGGATGATAATACCGATTTGTGTTAGTGATAGTTTTTCCATTTAATTTGATTACTTACAAATTAAAAATATAAATTAATAAATTTCAGAAAAGAAAATGTGTTGCTTCCTCCTTCAGAGATTTATGAGGCTTATTGGAGAGGGTGTTTTTTGTATTTCAAACATCGGTGATTTTCTTGTCAACTATGGAAATGTAAGGAATCAAAGTTATATTGAAGTATATATATCCTATACAAAAAGAGTTATGGATAAATTAACATAAATAAACATGAATAAAACTGGTTATTATTTGTAGAATTCAAGCCATGATGAAATTGTAATTAAATCGTTGAAATTCTACACAAAGAAGCACAAGACTCACTTTAAAAAACTGGCTTTCACTGTATTTTATGCCATCACCGTCATATTTGAAATGGACATATCTCAAGGTGTCCTGGTGCAGGATGCTGTTAGCAGAGGGCAGGTAAATTTATGGAATCGCTTTTTTTTTTAATTTAATTTAATTTTTTTTTTTTTAAATTTGGATACCAGGGACTGGAGGAGTTCCCTCCTGAGCACTCCAGCTGAGCTGTACAGCTTATTATACTTTATCCCTAACTCCATATTTTGGGGGAGGGCTTGCAACACAAATGTGAACTTGAGCCCCCGTTGAACCGATGTTCTTCTATCGAAGAAACTCATTTTTGAAGGGGGTTGGGACCAAATTCAGGGTCGTTGAGATCTGATCCCGCCCCTTCCATTGATAAGTGCCGTGTCAATTTCTTTCAATTGCGCCCCTTAGGCGTCAGAAAAAGTCCAGAGGCGATGGTGGGGATCGAACTCATGACCTCGGGATCTACTAGCCGAGAGTCTGATGCCTTAACCACTCGGCTACCGCAGCCTCAATGGAATCGCTTAGATGCCAGTTGAATATTTCTGATCGTCTCTGATTTTAGACTGTTTTGAAGAGAGTTATCGAGAGCAATGTCGCGACAACGGCTGCGATGCTGTTCAGCATCTATGTACACATAATCGACAAAATTGTCGAGAAAAAAGACCCAAATATGCTCCAACTCTTAGAACCGTTCACACATTTGTTATCCAACAAATCACAGGATGACTTGTAAGCTTTGACTGATTATCTGTTTCTCAGCATGTAATCATTGTGTCCATTAATTATTTGCTTCATTGTCCTAGAGTAAAAATCCTTGAAGAAAAAGTACCATGGTTGACTAAAAAGGAATTTAAACTGTAAGTACTCATACAGAAATACTTGTATAATTTGACTTTAAAATATTATTATTATATATTTTTTTAAATAAAGACGGGCGTTCTAAACGTAATTTATCGACATAAGAGAAGAAAATATACTTTCAATTGCAGTAAATTAAAATATACATTTTTCTTGTGTTATAAGCAGTTAATATTGTGTGCGTTAAAAATTATAATTTAATGTTTTTTATTAATATATATTTCTACTTTGTTCTATTGTAATATAGTTTTTTTTACTCAGGAGAGATTTAAATTTTTTTCCTGTAGTGTCCTTCAGTCTGTAAAAGAGTTGGCTACACACCAGATACAGTGTAACTATTAACACTGTGTCTGGTAATCTTCTCATTAAAATTTTCTATAAAGCTGACCCTTTCAACAATGGATGAGCATGCTTTTTAGACTAATTCTGAACCTAAAACTCTCATGAAAATGGTCAGCAGTCTCTAGAAAATGAACTTAAAACCCACTGTTTTCCGTATGTTTTGTTTGCCTTGCAATATTTTTATAATATTCCTAAAATTTGATTATGCCTCTTTGCAAATATGAGTGTATTTGATACTTAGAGAACAAATTAATACCATTAAGGCAGAGGAAAGGGAAAATTAATTCAAGCCTTGTTTGCTAAGTTTTCCATTGGAAAGACCCAGGCAAGTGAAATAGTAAATAATAAAAAGGAACTTTCAGATAAATTTTACGAACTCAGAAATAACCAATTTCACATAATTTTTTCTTAAAATGTCTGATTCATGCAAAGAAACCAGGATGTATATAAATAGTTTTATCGTGCTTGTAAAATACCAGTGCCTGGTCCACTTATCCAACAAAAGGCCTTAGAAGTGGCAAAAAATTGAGGCCAAACAGATTCTGAAAGCATCCAGGTTGGCTTATCAAATTTAGAAAGCGGCATAAGATTTCTGTTAAGAACATTACGACGTTGATCAAACCTGGATGGAAAAACATATATTGCGCCGATTTTGAACCCAAAAACATTTTTTAATTATGATGAGACAGCCTTACTTTTTAACATATGAAGTGCCCTAAATATTGATTTCAATTTGGGGTTTGTGCTAAAACAGACACCAGAAATGTACTGAATTTTTTTAAATTACAAATGAAATGCAATGAAAATCATAATGTTCTAAAATTAATAACATATTCTTCAACTGTGCTATTCAACAATAAGTAGCTGTTAATTGGGTTGTAGATATTTTAAATATATAAATTGAATTTTCTTAACACTCCCTTTTAAATTAAACTTATTTTATTTTAATATATGAATACTTTACATTTAATGATAAAAAATAAATATATAATTAAGTAAATCTTAACCAGTGTCTGATGTGCATGGCGAAGAGTCATTATGGCTTCCGTTGACACTTTCACTCGATGAACTGTTACTCCTTTTTAATCTTTGATTCATTAAAAAATCTATTGTGAAAGAGTTAAGTTAACAATTAATTAATGAATGAGCCTTTTAAATCAAACAAATACAACGATTAGTAATTAACCTTTGACTTTTTCTGCACTTTCTAATATATTCTGATTGATGTTCTGCGGTTGTTCTTTTACATTGGCCTCCTCATCTGCTATGTCCTTAGGTGCAGCTTTAAGAAATGAGTTGAATAAATACAATGCTCCACAAAAAAGTGGTACACTTTGAAATTATGAGATTTTTTTTATGTACACCTATTTTTTATCAATCGGGTATTTATTAAAATATTTGGCATGTATGAAAATTAAAATATCTCGTAAATCAAAAAATTAATATTAAAAAAAAAAGTTACGGGCACCGATGCAAAAAAATCGTTGATAAATTTATTTATCAAAAGTCTTTAATAGGATGTGTTACCTCCTCTTCCTTTTATTGAACACTACTGTTCTCAACATGCTCATAATTAAGCTTTTAACCACATCTTGAGAAATTTCATTCCAAATCTCAATATAACTTTTAGTTCAGCTAAGGTTGTAGGACGGGTATTTCATCCGAGCTCATCCTGAAATTGCTTAATGTGGTTCAAATCAGGGATACAGACAGGCAGTCTTAGTGCTAATATTGACATCTTGAAGGTACTGGTTAGTTAGTTACTGGGACGGTTACATGCAAACAAATTCTACTCCACAACATAACCGAACCAAATCTGAATGACCCTCTTCTGGCAATGTGGCATTGGCTGTAGGGCTTTAATGCTGCCCATTAATTCAAAGACCTATTTACATTTATTAACTGGTGAATGGACATAAAACAGGGGCTCATCTGAAAACATTCCTCTTTTCAGATTCTATTGTCAGTGTTTCCTAGCAAGCTATTAGATGTACTGATAATGGTTTCTAGTATGTGCTGGACCCATTGCTGGCCTTCTGGGATATAGACTAATTTCTGCAAGTCCCCTTCATACTGTTCCAATTTGAAATGGACATCCTGCATCTTAGAGACATTTCAGAAGCAGAGGAAAAGCAATTTCTTGGAGTATGCAATCTGATAAATACATCATTGGCTGGTCCCCTGGTTCTTGGGCATCCTGATCCTGGTCTCAGAGTATACCTTCCAATCATTGTAACAGTACTGCTGAATGCCCAATGAACCGACAGCACAACCAACACAATAGTTAATAAAGGTATTTTTAAGAGATTAAATGCCCTTGTTGTTGAGTTACATTATGGGGATTTTAAATCCAATTAGGAATTAAGCAGTTTTACCTCATAATTAGGCAAAAACAAATGCTTTCTGTCTAATTATAATTATTATATAATTTTTAAAGTAGTAGTAACAAGGCCAAAACAATGTAAAATTAAAAAATAAATCAAAATTCGAAGGGCGCCACTTTTTTAACATGAAGATAAACAAGGATAAAATAATGTATATAATTACAAAAGTACCTGCAAAAGCGTCCGGATAAAGGGAACTTGTTCTCGACTTGATGGTTTGTATCCGGTTGAAAATGTTATCAAGATCCTTCCTCATCTCGATCAAAAGGCTGGTGTGTTTTTTAAATTCGGTCGCAGCGGTTCTGAGCCTAGTAACGCATAGCGTATTGCAGTTCATCAGCATCTCGTTAGTCTTTTCAAACCTTTGAAGCCTGAAGATTGAAAAATGGGATGTGAGGACATGTTATCTGAAAAGAGAAAAAACCACATACATTTGTTTCTGCGCTCGGATCATCGACTCAACGTCCTGCTGATGCACCATTCCAGCAAGTCCTTGGATAAACACTTCAGAAGCGGTATAATTCTGGAAACACTCTATACTGCCAAGATCCGACTCGGGTGTGTGCTCTGTCATCTAAATTGAAAAGAAAAAAAATCTTTATTTTATTTATACAATTTGTGAATTGCTTTTAATACCTTATACAAGTTTGACAATATAATCAGTTTTTCATTTAATTTAAGGTTGTTTTATCCATTTGAAAATAATTTAAAACCTAAAAAAATAAAATTAGAAAAGAACACAACATACAAAACGTTACTTGTGAAGTTGTTCGTAAGTACATAAACACCATAAAGTTTTCTAAAATATAATTTATATGTTTTTCCGTGGCTGAATGTCTTTCAATGCATTTGAAAGTTCAGTTTATGCGAAGGGTATGGATAAAAGAGCCTGTCACATGGTCTTCTGCACCTCAACCTGAGATCTATTGTGCTCCTCTATTTTTATAACTCACTTGCCAGCTTTAGCTGTTAATCAACCTCCATAGCATAACCAACGGCTTACTCAAGTGTAGGGTCTTGCTTGAAAAACATAAAACGGGTTCCGCAATCTCTTCTTCATCCTGGCAATACCTGCACAGTGATTCTTCTGTCTATACTCATCTCGTACGTGTGCCTTCTTAGGCAGCCTTGTCAGGAGTCCAACCAGAATCCTGGTTCTGCTGCAGTTACCCCTCCAGTAATTCTTTTGTAAGTCTGAATCCCTTCATGTGCCTCATGCCTGGAGTATTGTTCCACCAGGTTTTGGATTCAAAGGATCCATTTTTAGATGTGTCCTTTTTAGTGTCAGGATCTTGGCCACAATACGGCTTGGGAGAGAAAATTCATTCATTTTTCTAGTTTGGCTTCCATACATTTCCATGCTCTTTTTGCTTTTTCCTCACATGAAACTAGGGCCTTATGTGCCTCCTAACTGTCAGAGAAAATGGCAGTCTTCCTGGAATGCGTTTCTACCTTTTTTAATTCTCTGGCACGTTGTTCAATTACTGAGATTTTAAACTGTAAAACTGTAAGGAATGTACCTAAGTTTATTTAAAGTCAGTTTGGTCTTCGGATTCATGTTGAGGACACCAGCTCTCATGCCTTCATCAGCTTTTGAGCCGTCCCTATATCTGGTGAAAACTTTTTTCTCACCTTAATTTTTAAGACTTCTGAGTTGATCTCTTCAGGCTTAAAATTGCAACACGCTCAAGTTATGTTTCAAGCTATTCAAGAATTGCCGTTGGCCTGTAAAAGGCCTGAATAGATCAGAAATGGGGGTCCAATACGATCACACTGACTCTATCCATCTGAATAAATGGCCTATCGTTAAGGAAAAGATGATAAAGAATTGCCTCTTTAAATTAGAAGTACAATCCTTATTTATCATCAGTCAAAAAATTAGTCGAAATGCAAACTGACCCATACGATGAAGATAAGATTGAATTGAATACCTGTATCGGACATACCAAAGCTTACAAATTTCCCGTTTAATAATGTAAAAAGCTCAGTCCTTACATAATTTTCAAAAATTCAAAAAACCAAATATATATCTTTCGTTGAAAAGAACACAAACAGACCTTCAAATATGTACAGACCCACAGGACGTCTGAGATCAAACATACTCAAAACTTTGCCATTCGGTCAAAATAAATTTAAGCAGTTCACTTAATTGAAAATTTAATTATTTATCAGAATATTGATAAAATCCGAGTTCAGGACTGGTCATGTTAAGCCTTACTATATCGATCACTTTCGATAAATTTTTCATATACTGCTAGATATAATACTTTACTGCTACTGATAATACTTTATAACTAAAAATCAATTAATAATTTTGTATTTTTTATTTAAAAAATATGAAATCGTTTTGAAATGATTTATAAAATAAAAAAACGTACTATTAGAAAAAGTTTATGTAATATCGATTATGTATAGTAATCTGTAATCTGTTAAAACATCGATTATTTTATTTTTCTTTCAATTATGATTTTGTGATATAATGTATAACTTGATTATAAACAAATAAAACCCTATAATTTTAATAAATAATAATTATGATGGGTAAAAAGTAAATTTTGTTTATATTTCTGTAATGTTTATACAATTCATTGATCAAATTTATTATGAATTCAACTCACTGTTTATTGATTTAAAAAAAATCTTTTGTTTTTTCTTTCGAATGTTATTTGTTGTTAATATTATTAGAGGTAAATATGTTTAAATAAAAAATTACCAAATCATATTGAACGTGATCAAGGAGGCCGTGGAGTGAAATCCCATTTCTTCCCCACTTCATTTGCTCTCTTCGTCTTTCTTTCTATCGTCACCTCTCTTCAGGGTAAGTTCTCTCTTCTATTTCTTCAACGTGTTTGGTCATTTTAGGGAAATGTTAAGTAAGTCTGAAACGGTTTTGGTGTGAATTTGTCAATCTCTCTTTATGGAATTTATTCGAGCTGTATTTGTCTTCCCCGTTTAATCTGTACTGTTGTTATTTTCTCAGATCCGTTTGTGAGGTCAGGACGATTCATCGCCAGCTTGGTAACTAAACCCGTTCGATTTGAAACCGTTAAAACTACTTACACTATTGCAGAAATGTAAGTTTTAAAATATTTTTCTACGCGCTTTTAATCGTTTTTCGACCAATTTCAAGGAATATTCTAAGTAAGCCTTTTTTAGACTTGTGGAAATCTGTTCCGACCGTGGGCGATTGTAGTGCTGCGGGCCAAAATGGCCGTTCACGTTTTCCTGTACTTTCTCTCGGCCTAATTTCTGTTTTCAACATACGTTTTAAAGCCTTTTTTCGTCGTTTTTCTTATTTATTTCACCTTTTTCTAATTAAATCACAAGTTTTTGAGGTCTTTTCATACAATTTTGAATATTTCGAACTGTCCCCGGACACGTGGTCCGTGTATTGGGTTATTTCTAAAACAATAACTGGTGTAATACGGGCAATATGTACGCAAGGTTTTTAAAATTTCATTACTTAACTTGAATTTTAATTGTTACTATATTTATTAGTTTTTAAAACGCTAAATTAATCTTATTGGTAATATTTATTACGAAATAAATAATAACATGGAAAATTTGGAAATGGTTTTTCTTTAATGCCCGTTGATTACTCAGAAGCTTGTTCTTACTACTTTAAAAAAAAAATTGTTTATTAAAGCGCCAGTGGTTCCAAGTGAACCTTCATCCTTAAACCACAGTGGTCTCTGTTCTATGTTCTCGCTACAGCACCTCTTTTCCCGTGCATGATGTACATTATTTAAGGTGAAAGGAACTAATAATGGGAAAAAATGGGTAATGGTTTGTCATCTCAAAAAAGGTGACTCCTCGTAAAAAATGAATTTCTGTCCTGTCTTCCCCTGTTCTTAAAAATCCAACATATATAAACAAAAAACATCTCACAGGCACTTTCAACATGACACATCAATACATACACAAAAAATACAAACTTAGTACAAAAGCTTTGATTAAAGTTAAAATTTCTATCATTGAATAAATTGATTTTCACATCTTTCATGTATTTGTATAAATTAAACAATGTTTATAAATCCCAGTCCCTGTAGTTGATCTCAATAAAGATGGGAACATTGGCACGATTAAGAAAATGAGTTTCTAAACCTATGTCCAACCCAGACCATTTCTCACAGTCTCTAAATAATCATTAATATTCACTAAATACCACACATTAAAATTCAGGTTAATTAATGAGACTTTAAAAGCCTTGCAAGGGTATTGTTCACACTACTTATAGAAGTTACAGCTTTAAAAAGAACCCATACTTTGACCATGTAGCCAGGAACAGTTGGAAATATCCAAAATTTGGAAATACCTCAAAAACTAATCCAAAAAAAGTGAAATGTAAAGGAAAAACAAGAAGAAAAAAAACTTTTAAAATGCAAGTTAGAAAACAGATTAGTCTAAGAGAAAGGACAGGAATACGTGGACGGCCAATTTTTGGCCCATCAATCACCCACAGTTAGGTTATTAAGAATCTAACCCCCATAGGTTCAATGCAATATTTTGGCTAATTAAGAAAATGAGTATTGGATGTTCTAACACACTGAAATAGACATTTTTCATTCTAGTACACATTCATTTTCAAAGGAAATAGAACTGAAAAATTTTAGTCACAAAAATATAATTTTAGAACTGGCACTCTGTTTACGTTAATAAAATAAATAAAGTAAAATAAATAAAATTTCAAATTAGTAATATTCTTCAAATGTGCAGAATAAAATTCGAACAGTTGTACCACAGATATGGGGTTAATATAAAAATAAATATCTGATTATTAAAATCCCTCTGGTTTTCCAAATTTTTTTATTAGAGAGGTTTTTGACTAGGAGTTGGAAAGTGTTGCAACAGAATCTGTGATCAGTCAGTTATGCATGTATTATTAATTTACATTATTTTTCATTATGGTGTTAACTGAATTCAACTCTTAGTTCAACTCATTGTAGTCATACTGTGTGTAAAGTTAGTTATATTTGTTAATTTCATCTAGTTTATTTTTGTTAAAGGAAATTTAACGGTTCGTCATCAGGCGGATTCACATCCAACAACAGCAAATTCCGTCGTCCAGGAGGAAGCGGCGGAAGCTTTCGTGTTAACAACAACGGCGGTGGAATGAGAAGGAGTATCCATATGAAGGCCAATATCAAAAGGGACAACAACAGCTTGGGCAAGACGCTTAAGGCTGTTTCCTGGGATGCCGAGGATCTGTCTGACTTTAGGAAGGACTTCTATTGTCCCCATCCCAACGTCATAAACAGGCCCTATATGGAAGTTGAGAAATACAGAAAGAGCAAGGAGATCACTGTGAGGGGTGACGCTGGCAATCCGATACAGTTTTTTGAGGAAGCCAACTTTCCCAATTATGTAATGGGAACAATCAAGTGAGTTTTGAAAAATAATATTAATTGTTTTATTTGATAATTGTCATTTAAAAAAATCATACAATGCCTTGTAATGGATTATCTGTGATGTCAAATTTGTGTCTAATCCCAGCTCTCTGAAGTAAATGTGGAGGAAAGACAAGCTGATGATACATCCATTGCGTTCTTTAACTTGATTTAAAATATAGATTTACTTATAGTAGCTCCTCATTTAGTGGAACATACCACTTTTTTATTACTGGTATGTCATGTTATTGGAGGTATATCAAAATAGAATTCACTTCGGTGCTAGGTCAATATGGCCTGGTCCTATCCTCTAAATTACTAACAAAATTGGAAATTTAGTAAATATCATCTTAATATCATAGTCCTTTGCAGGAATGTTATTAAATTTGTTTTAAAAAATTGCATAAAATAATTAATATAATAATTAAGTTTATGTAATACAATTTTAGTCCATATATGTTTAGCGGTCATAATTGACCTATTCAATTATTACAATTAATTATACTCCTCATCTAAAGTTTTAGTTGAGATAAGAAGTACAGTTAAGTAATATAATTTTAGTGTCACTTATTTGGAGAAACGATTCCTCATTTCTTGGAGCGTACCACTTTTCATTACTGGTACGGCTAATGCAAATGGAGGTATATAAAAATAGAATTTACTTCGGTGCTAGGTCAGTATGGCCTGGTCCTATCCTCTAGATTACTGACAAAATCTTATAATTAGTAATTCACTACTTTCGTGGTCTGCTTGACCAATTAATACATGACAATTAATTAAGGTTTTTAGTTGAGAGGAAAAAAAAGTTATGGCACGAGAGGGATTCGAACCCACGATATTCGGCTAGATACGCCGCTGCTCTACCACCTGAGCAATTGTGACCTCGATCCACTCGGACACCAACCTCCCATCTCAACTACACCTTTTGAATTTTCCCTCCTTTTTGCCATTTTTCAATTTTTCAAATGTCGTGTAATCAATTTGATTCTCAGCGACAAATGAAATGGCCACGGAGAGCTTTAGTGAAGTACACTTCATTTAACTTATTAAATTCACTAGTTTTCGTGGCCTGCTTGACAAATTAATATCTTTCAATTAATGAAGGTTTTTAGTTGAGATGAAAAACGAATGGCACGAGAGGGATTCGAACCCACGACCTTCGGCTAGATACGCGGCTGCTTTACCACCTGATATATCGTGACCTCGATCCACTCGGACATCAAAAATGAATGACATGAAAAATGGCAAAAGGAGGGAAAACTCATAAGGTGGTGGGGTTGAGATGGGGAGTTGATGTCCGAGTGGATCAAGGTCACGATAGCTCAGGTGGTAGAGCAGCGGCGTATCTAGCCGAAGGTTGTGGGTTCAAATCCCTCTCGTGCCATTAACATTTATTCATCTCAACTAAAAACCTTAATTAATTGTCACGTATTAATTGGTCAAGCGGACCATGAAAGTAGTGAATTAATGATTTAAAAATGAAGTACACTTCACTAAAGCTCTCTGTCGCCATTTCAATTGTCGTCAAGAATCCAAACCGATTACACGACATTTGAAAAATGGCAAAAGGAGGGAAAACTCATAAGGTGGGGTTGAGATGGGGAGTTGATGTCCGAGTGGATCGAGGTCACGATAGCTCAGGTGGTAGAGCAGCAGCGTATCTAGCTGAAGGTCGTGGGTTCTCAAATCCCTCTCGTGCCATTAACTTTTTTTCATCTCAACTAAAAACCTTAATTAATTGTCATTATAATTAGTGTGTGGTGTTTAGTGACTGTTAGTTTTAATGATAATTTGGAGATCTATGACTGCAAAAAAAAACCAAACAAAATCCTACAGCACTGGCTACCCACAATTTCGACAATCCCAAAAATATTACACAAAGAACAAAACAAAGATAAACATCACTTGTTAGAAATGGTTTACATCAACAGAGATATGCACAGCATCAATTACAGACTGTACACATGTAAACTCAGTAGCAGCTACACTATCATTAATCATATTCAGTATTAATAACATACATATATCATCATCACATCACACAAAACAAATATAATCATTACATTCCTCACATCAAAATTTTTACACAGTCTAATTCTTCAACAGTTTAGCTTTCCTTTCCCTAATTATCATCCACGTCTTTATAATCCTGAAAGGATAATCAGACTCAGACCAAACCATTACCCATTCTTTCCCATTGTCGGCTCTTTTTACCTCAAATAAGCTGTCTCATATAAAAATGTTTTCAGTCCCAACTTCCTTCCTCACCACTTCAAAATCCAATGTATATAAACATAAAACATCAATATCTCACTGGCACTCTCACCACGACACCCAATAATGACACATTTACACAGAAAATAAACACTTTGACTCTAAAATTTTTAGCATGGTATAAATTCATTTTTTTCAAATCCTACATGTATTTGTATAATTTAAACAATGTTTATAAATCCCAGGCCCTGAATATGATCTCAACAAAGATAGAAACGTTGGTGTGATAAGAAAATATTTTTCTAAAATCTATGTCACACCAGACCGCATCTCACGATCTCCAAATAATCATTATAATTAGTTTTGTATACACTTGTCCTTTAAATTTGAGTGCGCTTGAAAAATATGAAATATTAACATGTAACTTGTTACTGGTAGACATCAAGGTTTTGACTTCCCGACCGCCATTCAAGCCCAAGGATGGCCAATTGCACTCAGCGGGAAGAACATGGTCGGCATTGCCCAAACCGGTTCTGGCAAGACACTTGCATACATGCTGCCAGCAGTAGTACACATCAAGCACCAACCAAAAATTAAAAGAGGAGATGGACCTATAGCCCTCGTTCTTGCGCCTACTAGAGAATTGGCTCAACAGATTCAACAGGTACATGTTAAAAATGTCTTGCAAGTTTTAAAACTTACTTTATGCAGACCACCTGGAGTCAACTGTTTCACTGACATTGTGAAAACGGTGTTAACCTGTGGGAAAGTAAATTAAAGATCAAAAGCCTTGTCACATATTGTTTTAATATGAAAGACATTTCTTTTGATTTTGCCTTTTCAGTAAGATACATAGTATTGTATAGTTGTCATATTATGAAAAGGACAAAAACCACCTATATTAGTATAGATGTTATTGTTGAAAAAATGTATTCATTAGATTTATGTTTCAAGGTTGCAAGTGAGTTTGGCATACCGTGCGGACAGAGGTCAACTTGTATATTTGGAGGTGCTCCAAAGGGACCACAGGCGAGGGATCTCGAGAGGGGTGTTGAAATTGTTATTGCAACGCCTGGCCGACTTATAGATTTTCTTGAGAGGGGCACAACAAATTTACGGAGGTGCACATACCTCGTATTAGATGAGGCAGACCGCATGTTAGATATGGGGTTCGAGCCTCAAATAAGAAAGATAATCGAACAAATCAGGGTAAAAATTATAATTAAATACAATACTTTTTAATTTTAATGATTGTTTATACAAATTGCGTATTTTAAAGCCCGACAGACAAGTTCTTATGTGGTCTGCCACTTGGCCAAAGGAGGTGAAATCTCTCGCAGAGGACTTTCTCCAAGACTACATACAAGTCAACATTGGATCTCTCGAGCTGTCCGCTAATCATAACATCCAGCAGATTGTCGAGGTCTGCGAAGAGAATGAAAAACAGACCAAGTGAGTCTAATAAAGTAAAAACAAAATAATTAAAACAATAATTATTGTATTTATTTATTTTAGACTTCAGACCCTTCTTGAAGAAATCAATAATTCCAAGTTAGAAAGGACTATTATTTTTGTGGAGACAAAAAAGAAAGTTGAGGCCATCGCAAACGCCCTGAAAAGACTAGGGTAAGTAACACTTGCTACTGATTTTATTTTTTCCCTGATAAATGCATAAAATTTTTGTGATGAAAATACTTCAAAATGAAATCAGTTATGATTTGTAATATTACCCTTAAGAAGACCTGACTCAAAACACCATTAAACGATACTATTTAAGGACAATATTTTTTAGGTATTTGTTTATTTTCTTTGTGTTTAAAATTTTAGGTGGCCAGCTGTTTGCATTCATGGTGATAAATCACAAAATGAAAGAGATTATGTCCTAAGAGGTAAAAGTTACTAATTGTTCCTTTCAGTTCACTCAAAATAATTCCATGTATCACACAAATTAGAATCATGGCTTAATAGACAACATGTGGTATATAGACGCATTTATTTTTATTTTTTAGATTTTCGAAGAGGCAAGTCACTCATCTTAGTCGCCACTGATGTCGCTGCTCGTGGACTTGGTAAGTTCTTTTTGTTTTTACCGACGGATGCAATGAAAGTTTGGTTGCCAGCGCACAAAGTTTAAACAGACATGATTACAAAGTAAAATCAAATAAAAGGGCGGGTGCTGGTTCAAAATTCAAAGAAAAAAATTAACACGTTTCTCTTACTCCCATGTTAAGGGCATGTCTCCCTTTAGAGAATAATTTGGGTAAGATATTAATTTTGACGCCTTGGTAATTTTTTCTCCAACTTTTTTTCCCCCATTAAGTAAATTAATATACTTTTGATGATTCATGATGTAGATACAATTTATCATCTTGGGCGTTTTGTTCTCTCTCTATTTAAAAAAAAGTATATAGATGTATATTTGTAAACAATGTGTTGTATACTTGTGTTATATTGATTTTATTGTTGCCAGATCCCAAAAATTGACAGATAAGAGAGTGGAACCAACTCAAAATGTTAAAAAGTATTCTTATTGCTATGAGTCTGTTTCTTCTAACGAGCCTAAATTTAATTTTATATAATTGTAATGCAGTTTTTATTTAAAAGAAAAATTTGCCACTTGAATATTGGAATTCTGTATAGTTTGTGTGCAAAGATATATCTTCTTTTTTTTATATAATTTAATTTTTAAATGTTATTTGAATCTCGCATGGGAAATTTTTGAACGTGTTCTTTGTTGTGTTGTGTTCCAGAGGCACCTTATTGGATATAAGAAATATCCAGGATTTATAAAAAAAATATATAAATCAAATAGAAACAAGCGTTTTTATGAAAATCAGCTTTTCATAGAACACTTTTGGGGTGCCTCTGCAAGTTTCACCTCCAGCCATATCTGAAAGGTTGCAATTTTTTTACGAAAAAAAACCAAATTTGTTTTTCTTCAAAAAATAAATTTAAAAGAACCAAGTTGGAGGGAAACAACAGAAAAACAGCACTGCGCCCGGTCTGCTCAAAAAATGATTGTGAAGGGGACATTCTCAAGCATCCAGGTTTGTTCGTTTTTTTTCATCACAATTTTGTAATTATAATATATTTTATTTTAGTGTTTGTAAACCACAGATCACTTAATACAAGTACTTAAATTATATGATAATTTAATTAAACTAATTTCAATTAAATGAAATTAGTTTTTTTATTGTGGCCAATGATTATAGATAATAAGTTAATTATTTGTAACTATTAATTCATACAACTGCATGTTAATATGTATTGTTATTTTAAATGATAAAACTTTTTTGTGAACCTTCTGAATACACGATACAAGTAGAGTTTAAACACTTGATTAATAACGCTAATTTATTTCTACAAGGTATAAATTCTCTCCTGTATTTAGTGTGTAGAGATTAGTGACCGTTAATCGATAGTAATTCAGATATCGTGAGATGCGGTCGGGTGTGATGTAGGTTTCAGAAAAACATTTTCTTTATCGTGCCAACGTTTCGATCTTTTATTGAGATCATCTTCAGGGCTCAAAGTGTTTGTCTTCTGTGTGCCATACTTGCGTGTCGTGTTGAGAGTGCTACTGGCACGATAAAGAAAATGTTTTTCTGAAACCTACATCACACCTGACCGCATCTCACGATACCTGTATTTAGTAGTGGGTGACATCAAAAAGTTTCTTCGGGCTTAACGGTTGACAAAATGATATATTTTACAATAAACTTTGTATGAATCTCATACTGAACACTTTTCCCCCACTGTTGAATACTAGATGTTGAAGACGTGATGTATGTCATAAATTACGATTTCCCCAATTCCTCTGAGGACTACATACATAGAATTGGAAGGACAGGGCGGTCATCAGCCACAGGGACCGCTTATACTTTTTTTACATCCGCAAATCAACGCCAGGCTAGAGACCTGGTGGCCGTTTTAAATGAGGCCAATCAAGACGTATCGCCAGAGCTCTCAGCGATGATCCACTCGGGTTATGGCAACGGCTACAGCAGAGGAAGAAGTGAGTCTGCCACCATTTAAACAGTTTTTTACACAAACTTGAATTATATTTTTCTTCCAGGTTTTAGATACGGGACATTCAAGCGTGACAGATACAGCAATGGTGGTGGGAGCCGGTTCGGGGGCGGCGGAAATGGAGGTCCCAGGAGAAACGGAAACGGTTCTAATAATGGTCATAAACGTTTTTAATTGAAACAAAGGATTGAGCATGGTAATTATTATTTGTATTATTTTATTTATATTTGTGTTCAAGTGATGATACAACCTAGCTCACTCAGATTTTCACTGTTGAACTTTTTTAAAAACTGATTTCTTGCATTTTAATTAATTTTAATATTTTGATTATGTTATGCATTAATTATATGTTAAATGTTTCGTTTCAGGATGGCCGATACCTGGATTTTCAGTGCGTCCCAAATGACAAGCTTTTATTAAAATTCCATTCTTTGTGTATCTGTGATCCTAATTGCAAAAGAAAATATTTTAAAAAACCGCTTAAATTTTGAGATAGTCAAAATTTGAGAATTAGATCATCAAATATGTGATTTACTTTTAAATTGTGTATTTTGCAAATTTAGTTATACAAGTTGGATTAGCCACATCACTTCTTGTGTAATATTTGTAGGTTTTGGTTTTCATTTATATTTTCTATTTATTTTTTGTTTTTCATATTGATTTTATATATTCAGTATTATACAAATATAAAGTGAAACAGACCAAGTACACTTTTTAGTTAACACTTAACTAATGAAAACTAGAGCTGGATAAACAATTTGGAATTTTAAAAGTGTAATTTGTAAAAGAAAATGTGTATCATAATAAAATAGCATTCTTGTCATAAAACAATTTCTTCAATTGCAACACTACTGCTAGTAATTATGCCAACTCTTTACATGTCAACATGATAGAACATGTGAGGAAAAAACCAGGGTATGATTGTCGAGTGAATACCCCACCTTATGCAAAAACATGCAACAGAATCTTATATAATTTATTTTGTTAAATTTAGTGATGTAAATTTTTTGTTAGCATAAGTGGGCTATGTGTTGACTAGTTTTTTTTTATATTGTAATTTTCCCTTTTTATAAATAAAAATTCTGTTAAATTGTATAATTAATTGTGTGATGCTGTTCAAATCATTAGTAGTGTTAATACAATCCTTAGATTGTTACTTTTTCCTTTTGCTGTACTTTACCATATCCATAATTATTGAAAACCTCAAAAAAAGAATACGGCTGCATCATTTCTTTTTGACGAGTTTTTTTAGACTTTTGATATCTCCTTAGTTTCATATAATGTTTGCGGATATATTGACCAAATTTCATGAAGATTGATACAGGGAATCAATTTGAAGTATCAAGAGGCCAATGTCGATAACTCGGAACCGAGGCTTCAATTTGTATAAATCGAAAAAAAAGTTATTTTTGACGAGTTTTTTTAGACTTTTGATATTTGATACTGAAAAATTTGTTCCATTCTTACTGGTTTTTCGATTTTCCCCTACCGGTTGAGAGACGAGTTGCAAGTTGGGCAAGTCTCACCCGAATACATTTTCTGTCAGACAACTACTGGCAGAAGTTTTGAATGCAGAATTTTTTTTAAGCATGTAAGTAATTATTTAATTTGCACTGTATATATTTCAAAAATAGGAAAAAAAAGTAAAGTAATTCCTGTTTTACAGGAGAGCTTAACGTCAACTACCTGTTGTGTGTTGCGGACGAGGGATCAAAACCACTTTACAATACATTTTTCCTACTATTTTCAATTTATAAGCCATGGGATATGCTGGGATTCGAACCCAGGACTGAATGGCAACGAGTCAAACACCCTAACCACTCGGCCACCACAGTCCCCTTTTTTTCTAAAGTAGTGTCATAATGATTGAAGGATTGATGAAATGGTTAATTCCATGTTGTGCCAGTTTAAAATTAAAAGTTCAGTTATTATTTTTAAGTTTTATTAAAAGTTATTTTTAACCAACATATTACTTTGTGAACATTTCAAATTATACAGTGTTTGATTTCAATATCCATTGTGCAATGTTTTATATATATATATTTGCAAGAAATTTGTAAAAATTAAGCTATTAAATCGTTCTTTAATATAATCTAAAAAAATTACAAAATAGTCTTAAGCTTTCTTAGCAGGTGGCCTGTAAACACCGACGACTACAGCATGATCCCTCTCATATGGTTCAAGAGTGAGTTGTTCTTGGGGTTTTAATTTTTCTGATTGTAATTTCTTAACTTCCCCAGCAAACACAGCTTCAGGTTGAGCTGTCGAGTCTATACAGTTTGCCTAAAATATATATATATATATTGTTATTTTATGCCAATAATAATAATAAGCTCTAGTAATTATAAAAGATAAATGATCAAATTAGCCATACCTTAATTGAAATAACAAAATGGCCTCCATTTTTCAGAAAGTTGTGGGCATTTAATGCGACTATCCTAGCCTGATCGGGTTGAGCGACATCAGCAAATATACAGTCGACCATACTGACCAACATTCGATACTTTTGTGGATGCCTGGCATCTTCAATGATTGGAATAATGTTGGTCCTTTTTTTAGCAACGTTTAACAGATCTCTTCCGGATCTGTGTGAAAACTCGACGGCATATACAAGACCTTCCTGTAATAAATAAAATAAATATTTGTGGGGGAATGGTAGCTTTTTTGGAGCATATAATACATACAGGCCCAACAATGTCTGATACGTGGGAAACTGTTGTACCAGAAGCCGCCCCAAGGTAAAGCACTTTACAACCAGGACCCATATGAATTTGATCAATTCCGCCAAGAATTGCAGCTGCTAATTTTGATCTAAATGGATTCCAAACTCTATATTCAATTTTTTCTCCATCAGTCTACACAGAAACAAATCATGATGTAATTGAACTTTGATTTAGTTCTATCAAAATTGATAATAAATCAACCTCAACAGATATCCTCTTTTCACCATAAACGGCATCTCCAGGAGCCATATTTTTAGTCACTAGAGCATCTTCTTTTCCTCTTGCAATGAAAACACCATCATGCCTGTGAGGTTCAATGATTACATTTGAACCACCCTTCATACCTGAAAAAATGCATGGGTTTATTTTCTTTAAAGGAAATTATTAATAATAATTACCTCCTCGTCCACCTCCGCGGCCTCCACGCCCGCCACGTCCACCATTGGGTCTACCTCCTTTAAAGCCACCTCCTCGACCTCCGCTGCCACCTCCACTAAAACGGCCTCGACCTCCTTCTCCACCGCCACTAAAGCGTCCTCCACCGCCTCTGCCGCCACCACCACCACTAAAGCGGCCACCACCGCCTCTGGCGCCCCCTCCTCTACCGCCACCACCTCCTCGTCCACCAAAACTGCTTCTACCACCACCTCTTTCTCCTCCAAAACCTGCAAAATATTATTAAAAGTAATGTTATAAAGCAACACCACACTGATGACATCATCTGAAACTAAAATACATAGACCAGAAAGGCATGCATAGAGACCAAAACAGCAAATTTTGGAGCAAAATAGCTCATCAGACTATGCATGTAATCTGCGGTTTGAAATTCAAATCACTGCAAAAAAAGTTTGTGAGAAGAACAGCTATTTTCAACTATTGAACCATTGCAGATGAGAAGCTGAAACACACGTGAAGACCAAAATGATCAGTAATGACCAAACTAAAGGTTCATCCTTCCACCTTTCCTACCTCACCTCACCATATACCAACAACAATTGTTTGTTCTCTTTTACCAAAATATGATTGGACAGGCCGATATTACTTAAAATGTATAAAATTTTATTGGCAAGGTCTGTAGTGTTTTTTGATAATTCAATTTTATCTTTTTTGTGTTTTGAAGCAATGTTTATTTAATCATTATTTTATTTTTTATTATTATTAGAAGAAATTAACAAGTTTGACCAATTACATAGGTCCTTCAAGTTACATATAACATAATAAATAAATAAGGGAAAAGTTCCAAATTTATAAATCAACTTCACGATTTTAACTTTTTGACTGGACTGAATTCCCTACACTCATAACTCGAGAATATCTTGAAGCAAATGGGATTTGAGCCTTGCCATCTTTTGTCCCAAATTGAAGTGACTGGTGCCATTTACACAACCCAGGTTAACATGGAACTTTTTGAATTTGGTCGTAATAAATTCTTTGATGGTAGGAGTGTTGAATTATCAATGAAATTTAATTTTTTTACAATAATCTACAAGTGCTGAAATTTTCACTTAATTTACCATCAAAAAAACGCTGGTTATTTTATAGCTGGGTTTCCATTGTGCGAAAATCATTCATGCAACTGTTTCATAAAACTTGTCTCGCTTTGTGGATAAATTTTGGCGTGAGGATATGTCAGGGTGAGCCAACCGGCTGTTGGTTTTTTGGTGCGCATCAAGTGTTTCCCATTGTTATTTTCTGTGTAATGCACATGTCTCGAGTAAGCGAAGAAACCAGGAGAACTGCATTCGACTTATCCAAATGTATCACAGCTACCAATTTTTGTGGGATGCTAAAGATAAAACTCATCATAACAAGAACAAGAGATGCGTGGAAGTAAATGAGCATCAAAATGGGAGTAAGACAAAGGTATCACCATGATAAACTCTGTTGCAGCGTTGGTGTAGTTATTGGGCTGGTGCAAAAATAATGCAGGTTTTGAAAAGGCAGGCAAAACTATTTTTAATTTTTATAAAATAAAGAAAATTTATTTGAAATACTTTCCATCACAATCTATACATCTTTGCCAACTGTAATGAGTGCTTTTATTCCGCTAATATAAAAATCTTTATTTTGACCCACAAAAAGTTTTGGAAGGTGTTTTCGGCTTCACCACGTTTTCTAAAAAGTTTATTCCTTTTTAGAAAATACCTCTAAAAATGGAAGTCTGTAGGTGAGAGGTTGGGTAAGTATGGAGGGTGTGGAAAGATTTCATATCCTAAGTCCTTAATTTCCTGCAGGTTTGGCACTGAAACATGTGGCCTGTGTTATTGTGAAGAAGAATCAGCTCTTACAGTTTACCAATGCTGGACAAAGACACTACAGTTTCCCATGTATTTTGTCAATTTCTTGGCAATATTTCTCTACTGAGAGTTTCACAGTAATTCAAAAAATTATAGTGAACAACCCCAGCGGTACACCACCAAGCCTTTTTTTTTTTTTTTCGGAGATTTGGTTTCGGGATATGTTAAAGTGCATCATACTCGCCTAACCACGACCTATACGCCACCTCCAGTTATCGTACAGAATACATTATTTGGAGATGCGGACTGGTGTGACGTAAGAAAAACATTTTCTTTATCGTGCCAACGTTTCGATCTTTATTGAGATCATCTTCAGGGCCTGGGATTTATATTGTTAAATTTTACTAATACATGTAGGATTTGGGAAAAAAGAATTTATATACAATTCCACATCTCTAGCATTGTATAAATTCTTTTTTTTTCCACATCCTACATGTAATTGTAAAATTCTATATTCTATTCTAATCTTCTATTTTCATAAAAATAACGGAGAAAATTTTACAGATATATTAGACATGATTGTGGAATTAATACAATGATACATCCCAATCAACATGCATATTTACCAGCAAAATAAGTGGAAACTGTTTTGCATTCGCTGTTAGGCAGGATTGAGAAATCATTATTTAATAATGAATATACACTAGGTGCAAAAGTGATTTTTTCATACAATGGAAACCCAGCTTATGATGTATTACTTCTGAGAGCTTTGATTTCTTTATTATCGCCTCTGGTTCAAGAAAAAACGATAAAAATGACTAATTTCTTTATTTACAACTGGAAGCTACAAGCTACACAATTTTTGTGAAACATCAAACGAAATATGTCTAGTTGATGTAAACCACATGAAGAAAACTCTCAAAATATTTTTTATTTGTTTCATATGTCTGTTTAAATTGCACATACACTGTGTAGCATGCACACAATTTTCCTGTGGTAAATAGATAAAATAAAAACATACATTAAAATCGAAATAGAACCTCATGAAAATAAATTTTAAAAAAATAGTGTAAATATAAACAATAAATTAATTTTATCCATTAATATAGTATGAAAGACAGAATCGACATATTTAGGGACAGCGTGTTTAATTAATAATAATTGAAATATTTAAAATATGACAGTGAACTTAGGCCTGAGACAACACGTGTTCACATACAAACAAACACAAATTATAAGTCAAAATTTTCATAATGCTAATTAAATTAATCAATTGCTGTATTATTCTTAACTAACCTGGTTTACCCATGATCACAGAAACTATGTATATTAATATAGAACAGGTAAATTACTAAAAACCCTCCGATTATGAAACGCCACGTGCTCCGAGAGGTGGAAGGATCCGGCAATGTAAAAACAAACCTCAACGACGAAGCGTTGGGGATGAAAGGTAAACTCTAGCGGAAAGCAGGGAGAAACGCTAAGCAACGCCGCGCCGTTGCTTGCCGTCAATTGGCTCACCCACAAACGTACTTCCGTCTTCCCCGCTTTTTTTAAAAATTGTCAAACTTACAAAAACTATATTACTGAACATGTTTTGTTTGTATTACACTTTATCCACATCCTACATGTATTTGTTAAATGTAAACAATGTTTGTAAATCCCAGGCCCTAAAGATGATCTCAATAAAGATCGAAACGTTGGCACGATAAAGAAAATGTTTTTCTTACCTACATCACACAGACCGCATCTCACGATTTCTGAATAATTACACTTTATTTTTGTAATCCAGCTTATTAAATAAACATTTTTTTTTTTCATTCATCCCTTCGAATATAAAATTTCAAAAACATACAATAGTGAAATGTATTGTTCAACATTTCATTTATATTGCTCTCTCTCTCTAAAAACTGTATTAGTTATAAACACAACTTACAATTTCCTGTTCATGGATATGATTAATTTGAATCTGTCTTCACAAGTGTAATTGGAATAGTGAACAGGGAAGGGCCTTTTTTTTGCTTATAACACATTCCCCGAATCTGTACAAGGGCAACATCCTCTATCACTGAATTAACGGTTTTGTGCAGGTGTAACTTTATTTCATATTTTATTTACTTTATTCATATAATATTCATATACATCAAAAACAAACTAACAGATAGGGCGAACGAAGCCCTAAGGAACATGCAATTTGCAAACTGAAGCAGTTTTTAATCAAAGAGTTTGGTGATAGGAAAGGACTGGCCAGCATTATCCTAGAGATAATGCAGATCGAAATTTAAAAAAAAAAAAACCTTTCAGATCATTAAATCTAATAAAAGAAAAGTTTAACTTGTTTAGAGCAAAAATATTTATGGAAAAGGGATCAGATAAACAGAAAGCATACCTAATAGAACTTCAAGAAAAAATTATAGCTACAAATTTCATCTGCTCATTAAAAGACCTCTTGCATAATAATCTAGCAACCAGAAACCCACAGACAATAACGGACATAGAAAAACTATTATTAAACGACTTTCAGAACTTGCGCAAAAGCAACAAAGACACATCGCAAAAATTTTGACCACCACAAAGAGATGCTTCATAACTTTCCAAAAAATTTCAAACCTAACTTCCCCCAAAACAATTTTTTTAAACCACCAAATCAATACATAAAAAATCAAAATTTTTCTATACAGAACACTTATACACCAACACCAATGAGTATTTCTACTAGAAATAGTAATCAATTAAACAAACTAAATTGTAATATCTATGCTCGTAAGAACAAATCTGCCATAAGGACAACCTGTGCAACAAGGCCATACTTCTTTCTGGGGATCCAATGAACTATACATACACAGAACTCATCGTAACCGCCAATCACTGACTTGGATACCTGAGCTCAACCAGTATTTGGCTGTATTTCCTAATGAAGAACTTATTAGTATAAGCCACCAGGATGGGACTACAGTAAAACAACTAAAAGGAGTATTTTTACTGAACATCAACGGCAGTAAAGTGGTCTACAGGAACAGAGAATCCAAAACTTCTGGGCATCCGAAAATTCTTAGTAACGTTGTCGTATTAAGCAAGAATCAACAGCCAAAATTCTCAATTAACATTAAAAAATTGGGATTAGAGGAGCTGAAACTCAACCATGTTTCACCAATCATCAAGACTTCCTACATTTCAACGTCTACGAGCATATGTACCATGCCAGTCTACTGTTTATTGGTCATCGCCTCAGCTTATGGAGCCTTCACATGGTATCGCCAGCGGAGACAATCCTTGGCCATTGCAACCCCTATTAATTAGCCACCCCCGGGAGCTTTATTTGGGCATGATATATATATATATATATATGGATTTTTATTGTATGTTTTATTATTATTTTGCTATGTTTATAAAACTAAATTTTTTTAAAGATAGCTTTAAGCCCTAACTAGCTTTTACCCACAATTTTGTCCATGCAGGATATTTTAATGTACCTTTCTAATGCGATGCAGGGTGCTGGCTTTCTAATTGTCTCGTTTCACAAATTCATCTTTCTTCAGTTCACTATGGTTTATAAATGGTAAAAATTTGTCCATATGATCCCCTTAGGGATGGAATTTCAAAAAATCCTTTTTTACCGGCATCCATGTCATTATAGGAATGTACTGTCGAAATTTCAGCCCTTTAAATCCAGCAGTTTGGTCTGAGCATTGTCTGTCAATGTCATGGAACTGTTTATATATATATATTTATATGTAACACTAAAACTAACTCATTTCTGAGGTCATTTCCAAATCCATTAATGTTCTATCGGCAGGAATACCTCCATTTTTAGTAGCAGTAAATATTATGCTAGAGAAAGTAAAATATTTTCTTTTTTTAAACAAAAATAAATAATAATGATTAAAATTTAATTGAAATGGTTTTCAGTAAGCGATTCTACTTATCTCTCTCCCAAATATAATTATACGATTTATTATATATATCATAACTATATTTCCAATAATATTGGATTCTTTTGATGTAAAAAAAATGCTCAAAAATATAATGGTTAATTGCACAAACACACTTCTGACGAGTTAGATTTTAATTTTACATTATAAATAAATTTACACAGTGCATTATTTTAAATAGTATTGTGTTTAATCAATGATCCTTTTAATCTATGATTTTGTGTTATATTAAAAATAATTAAATATTTCTAGTATGAAGAGGAAATAATGATGCTTGTCCATAAATTGTACATCATTGAGAATTTAAGATCAAACTACAAAATTCTGTAAGAAAAATAACACTTTATTTGTTATATGCTACATATGAGGAATTATTAGAAAAGTTAAATAAAATTCAAATGTGTTTAAAAAAAAGATTTATTAAATAACAATCTTGTCATATTCCAGTGATTGACTAAGCAATTTTATTGATTCCTCTTCAGTTTGAGTCATCCCAAACTTCGCCAATAGCAAATGCACTAAATTGCAAAGGAAACCTGAAAATTGAAAAAATGTCATAACAAAAAATAGTCTAGTGCGTATTTGTGAATATGTACCAGCAGTGATGAAAACTCCAGCAATTGTAGAGAAAAGTCTTATTAAAAATTGCAATAGAGGTTCTCGTGATTGTGTCACAGTGACTTTTAAAGCACTAAAATCGTATTTAAAATATATACCTGGAATTCCATGAGATCCTAAAATACAAAGGAATTAAAGTGCAGCTGCAAAAAAAGTTAAGTGTAAAGAAAAATCAAGTTTTACCACTATCATGATTGATTAGTCTTTTGTTTTCTTTGACAGAATACTGATATGTTTTCGCCTTCGATAAAAACGTTTCTACATCTGTTGGAACTATTTCAATGAAATATTGATAAAGTGTCATATCTACAACAAAAATCTTATTACAGCTAGAACACAATTTATCATTATTTCTTGATTTTACAGTCTTGTGTTATTTTTTCATCGCCGTCCAGAGGATTAATAATTCCAACAATTGAATTTCCAAATGAAAAATGGTGAATTCGGTGGGAACAGTTGAATGAGCTTTTATCGATAAACAGTGGTACATGAATATGCCCTCCATCTGGAAGAGGGAATGATTTTCCCGCAGTAATATGAAGATTCCCAGCAACTTTGTTTAGCTCCAACGAACCAAATAGGCGACATGCATCAGGATTATAATTTGGTGTTTCTTTTCTAACACGAGATTCGAATTTATAACAACTCAAAACTGATTTTGTTAAAAAAATTAATCCTTTACCTTTTTGGAAGACCGGTGGGCATGAAAGAGTGTCCAGATTTCCAAAGTAATTCGTGTATCTCGTGAAATTCATTTTGGAGATAGTTGTTAAAATATCTAATGTCTTGAAAATGAGATTTCTGCTCCTCACTCATATCAAACCATGTGTCTTCTTCTTGCAATGTCCCAAACAGCATTACATTTTGATTTGTACTGTCAAGAATATCTGCTCCCACACCTTAAAAGAGAAACACACAGATTTAATACTAAATATGATTTGATAATTTATATGGACAAAAGGACTCACTATGACAAGGTGTAGCGACAGTTATATCCAAATTGACATTCAGCTTTGCATCAAATTCAGTATCAGGTGCAAACTTAAAGTTAACATTGCTCATAAAGTAAGATTCAAGCTCGTATATAATTAAGAGTAATATAATTACATAAACTAACACAGTGACTGAAATATAACAAAACCATATTGTAACACAACTGTTAAAATTAACTTTAAGAATAATTTGTTAGATTTAGTATTCGTTATTAAGACAGGGAATTTATTCAATAGTATACTTCAACTTTTTTTTTTTTTTAAAGGTTTGCAATAGCAGAAGTCATATCAACCCTCGGTGTTTAAAAAACAAATACATTTATAAGTATTTTCAAGTTATTACTGTATTTAAGTTATTATTAATGCATCACCGATTGGCTAACAAATCACAACTTGATTATAGCATAGAAAATATCACTTACACTGGACAATTTAAATTTAAATTTTCACAAATTGTATACTAGTTGAGTATCATAATCGGGCAGGACTGATCTTACAGTCTTACAGAAATCCTTTATCCACGAGTTTAGTGAATTATACCATTTATTGCCTGCAGGTTTTGGTTGAATTTTTTGAATTTAGTCTTGATAGTGGTGGGGAATTAAAGCTATCAGTGGAGTTATGAATCACAGTGCTTCAACAGCCATTTTTAGGGCTCTGTTTTGAAGTCCTGTATTTTGATGATAGTGGAAGGGGCTGCAGCTCTCTATATTTTGAGAATTTTGAACTACTTTATTTATTTATTATTTGTTGGATTTGTGAGGAGTGGTCAATAATGAGGAAATTTAGATACCTTGTTCATTTTTTGCCAAAAATGTGTATGGTAAAAAAATTAAAAAAGTGTTTTTCTAAACTATCTGATTCTTGACCGCTCCTCACGAATCCAACAAATTATTAAACAGATCCATCATTTTATCTAGCTTTTAGACAACCGGGGCAGCCTTTTTTCGATAAACTTTATAAGGCAATAATTTTTCTGTACCATGTCCCTTTATCAAACCCAACCAAGCAATCTTTTCAAAAATATGTTCAGTGTTTCGTGATTTTCTTCTATGTAAAGCACTTCATTTAGGACTTGCAAAATAATCATTGCAAGTAATAGAATTATTGGATGAATTACAATGCACTGTAAGTTGCCTTTCTTGTTCAGAAATGCATAATAGAATTTCATAAAATTTTATTATTCACTTATCATAGTTTATACATAAAATGTGATAATAATTTTACTCTAAGACTACGAGAGAAACTTCTGTGGTACATGAAAACTTTTGTGAGGTATACAGCATGTAAAATTAGCTTTTTAAGTCCTTGATAAAAATGCCAACAGGACAGGCAATTTTTCTGTGTAGGATTATTTTTTTTCTTAATTAATTCTAAAATGATTGCATCATTTTCAGGCTTTCAGACAGATAGCCTTATTCAATAATCCTTATAAGGCAATAATTTTTCAGATACAATCACTGTTTCATCTCCCTTTACCAAAGCCAACGAGCAATCTTATTAAAAATATGTTGTTAGTGTTTGGCAATTTTCTTCTATGTAAGGCACTTCATTTAGGACTTGCAAAACAACCATTGCTAGTAATAAAATCCCTGGGTGAATTACAAAACACTAATGCACTATAAGTTGCCTTTCTAGTTCAGAAGTGCACAATAACATTTTTATAAATTTTCATTTATTTATCATAGTTTATTTATAAAATATGTTAATAATTTTATTCTAAGGCTATGATAGAAATTTCCTATGGTATATTAAAATTGTGTGAGGTATACTGCAAAAAATTAGCTTTAAAGTTCTTGATAAAAAATAAATAAATAAAAATGCCAAAAGGGCAGGCCATTTATCGCTAAATTTCTGTGTGGTTTTTGAATTTAAAACGGATCCATCATTTTATCTGGCTTTCAGACAACCGGGGCAACCTTTTTTCGACAATCCTTATAAGGCAAAAATTTATCTGACACATTCTTGTTGTGTAGAGACTTCAATCAAAGCGAACTTTTATTTTATAGGTGATTTTGTCAAAGTGACTTACCTACTCCTCCTACCTTCGACCTCTTCACATAATCATCTTTGTTCACTTTTGGAAAATAATCTAGCTTTTTTATTATCTCAACAGCCGGCAGTTTCTTCCTGTTCCTGAGTATCATTTTTAAATTTTCAATTACCGACTACGACGACATTAAAACCTTCCGCCCATCATGAAACCTTTTATCGTCGAGGGGCAAGACTGATAAGGAACTATACACTTTTATATTTACAACTTTTATATTTAAAAGTTGCATTATAATAAAAGTTATTTTACTTTTTTTTCATCTGTGCGAAAACATCATTAACTAACCGCCTTTCACTCCCCTGGCCTATTATTAGAGGCAACTTTCAATTTTTGAGTTTTGGTGGGGTTTCCGTTATTAAATTGACGACGATATACGTGTAATGAGGACGAGGTCGCTGTCAGAGGATCTACCAATAGACTTTGTTGACATTGACGCGGCTCCGTGTGAACTGTAAACGCAGAACAACATCGGCACGTGGATCCGTCAAGTCATGCTTATTTCCAACTTCGCCCTGTCGACGAATTAAACGTGCCATGGAGGGAAAAGAGGAGTTGAAAGTCGGCTCGAGGAAAAGCGAGGTATTCCGGCTTTACAGACAATATTATTGGATATATTTTCACCGGATTATTGTTTTTTTTTTTTTTTTTTTCACCTCGCCCTCATTCAAACCGGTCTAGTGATAGACGAACTCAAGGAGCTTTACCCTCATAAGAAATTCGATGTTGGTAATTACATTGTATTATATTTACATCAAGTAAATAACACAAATATAGTTAGTAAAAAATCGCGTATCAAGAGCATTATCGATAGTTGGCCCTTGAAGGACCTAACACAGAATTTTTATTTTATGTTATTTATTTACAGTCCAAACAGGTCAGGACCCAAGCATAGGCCATCAAGCAACACAACAAAACAATCATTATAATATAAACAACTGAAAAAGGATATAAAAATAAAAACAGTTATCGTTCAGAGTCCAACGAGAGCAGACGCGTAAATCCTTTCTCCGTCTAATCTGATGATCGCCTTGGTCTATATTACATTTTGTCTCATATTCGAAGATAAATCAATTTACAAATACATTTAACCGACCCAGACGGTTTCTATAACAAAAATGAACGGCACTAGTGATGGAACATCAGATATTTCGCTAGAAGCTACGGATATACAATATTGGTACAAAACTCTCAAACGTAACCGACAACAGCAAGAATCGTAAATTAGACGATAATAATACCTCACAACAAACATCAAAAATTAAAATCAACGACAATTTTAACCCCACACACTCTTATTTGTCAGCCCTTGTAGAAAAAAAAAGTCTAACACTCAATCGTTTTAAATCCACTGATTCTGGACCATTCTACATTTTTGTTGAAAGTAGCAAAGATAATCTCAGCAATCTTCACCCTATGACGATTGGAAAATATATTTACAAATCTGCAAATACAAATAAACAATTACTAACAAATATAAAAGGTGCAAATAGAATCAAAATAGATATTGATAATTCCTTGGCATTCAATAATCTTCTTGAGCAAAAAATACTTTCAGAACATTTCCTTGTATATATATCCCTTCATTTCTTATCCATAAAACAGGAGTTATAAGGAATGTTGATCCAGATCTTACTGACGAAGAAATTTTGAAAGTAATTCAATCCCCCATAAAAATTAAAAGCCTTCGCTGCATCACACGTAAAGAACCTGGACAAAATAATCAAGAAAAACAACTAAATTAAAAGTATGCTTTATCGAATTCAATTCCCAAGTTCTTCCTGAACACTAAATATTTATGGAATGAGTTGTCCAGTAGATCCCTACGTTCCTCCAATCATACAATGCACAAATTGTCTTCGATATGGTCATAGATCGGATCACTGTCGAAGTAAATTCGATGCATATTCTGCAGAGAAAATCATGACCCAAATATATGCATAAAACAAAACTGTCCCAAATGTGTTCACTGTTCTGGAAGTCACACTGCTACAAATCGTTCATGTCCAGTATATTTGTAACAATCAAAAAATAAAAAAAGCGTTCTTAGCAATTCATTGTACGCTTTGGTCATAACTAACAAGTTCAATCTGCTTGAGGCGGAATCAAAATTTCCCCCTTTACCAGAAACCTCATACAATGAAAACACAAAAATAGCCAGCAAAGTGCACAGACCATGGCCAAATCATTTTGACCCATTAAATCTAGATATCAATCAAATGAACAAGAAAAGCATGACACGGCCCAACTTACATCTCCTGTACTTACCGCAACAGAACTGCGTAAACACAAGGGGCTAAATAGAAATCGTCTATCACATAGAAATGGATATAACACGTCTCCTGAAAATGAACAATCAAATGATAACTTAATTATAAAAATTAAAAATATCTTCAGTTCCCTAGAAAAAGAAATTGTTAATTCACCATTCTCCCTACAGACACTAGAATCAAAAATAATGGAAACGCTGATTGCCAAATCATCGATTCCAGTTATAGATTCGAATGATATTCAATAATTTGTTTAAAATAATGAGAACTATTTTTGTAAATAGTGTATGTAATTTGGAGCGTACCATTTTGTAGGTAATTATTTAATTATAAATTATTTATTTATTTATATGTTAGATAACAATATGAACTTGAAAATTCTTCAATGGAATTTAGATCCATAAAAAGATTTATTTCAAATGGCATGGATGTAGTCCCGAAAATCACAATTCTTATTAAAAATAACCCCGAGATCCGAGATAGTATCTACCTCGTCAATATGATCACCTTCGATACTATAAACGAATTGGTCGTAATCATGAATTATTTTTTTCTTGCTGAACTTCAAAATCTTACATTTATTTTTGTTTAATTTCAAATTATTACGCGTACACCAGCCCCTGAGTGAATGGTATGTAATAGGAAATAATGTATTTAAGAGTGAGTGAAAGTGTGAATGCGTTGGGAGCTGAAATGATAGCTTCTGGAGCCAAACTGGATGGCTGGATGGATTAGACTGAGATAAAACCTAAGACTGCCAATACCTGGAGTAGGTGCTTCTCTAGGTCTGCCAGCAATTTACTGTAAATTACCAAAGCTAGAATTACCGGTGGACTATGAGAAGTGATAGGCTCAACTGTGTTCATATGTAGATGCATTTACACCTATCTGCAGATTTGGATTATATAAATACAATATATTACACACTATAGAACAATAGAAACTACCTACAACACAATAGAAAAATGTTTACAAGAGAGGTAGGCTTAAAAAGCTAATCTTGGGTCTGATGTTCCCAATATGCAAATATAAAATCACTAATCCAATTTTGTATTTTGACTAATGATTTTGGATTAAATTCACCCTTTTGGAAATCAATTTTACTCATTTGTAAATCATTTTCACCCTTTTGTAAATTAAAGCCTTTTTGCAAATTAAATTTACTGTTATGAAAATCAGTCTCACCCTTTTGCAAATTAAATTCACCCTTACGAAAATCAGTTTTGCCCTTTTGCAAATTAAATTCACTCTTTTGCAACTTAAATTCACTCTTGCAAATTAAATTCACCCTTATGAAAATCAATCCCACCCTTTTGCAAATTTAATTCACCCTTTTTCAAATTAAATTCACTCTTTTGCAAATTAAATTCACTCTTTTGCAAATTAAATTCACTCTTATGAAAATCAATTTCACCCTTTCGCAAATTAAATTCGCCCTTATGAAAATCAATCCCACTCTTTTTCAAATTAAATTCACCCTTATGAAAATCAATTTCACCCTTTCACAAATTAAATTTGCCCTTTTCAAATTAAATTCTCTCTTTTGCAAATCAATTTCACTCCTTTGAAAATTAAATTCATCCTTTTGCAAATCATTCTCACCATTTTGCTAATTAAATTCGCCCTTTTGCCAATTAAATTTACCCTTTTGGAAGTCAATTTCATCTTTTTGCAAATTAAACTCACCCTTTATGAAAGCATTTGCAAAGCTAATAATTCTACATAAGTATTTACATTTATTTTTAAAAAAATCAAATAATGTTAATTCATTAGTAAGAATTCTATTACAAATGATAGGCTGGAAGTTATAAAAAAGTAATTGAAAATCTTAATTGTTAAACGGTTAAAAGCAGTATTTAGTGTTATATCCACACAAACTTGGTTTAAAAATAAGCAGTTGTTGCTGCCCATAACGTATACTTGGATTAGTTTTGCCTATACACATCAGCTGTTCTACAAGTTACTCATCAGGGCTTTTAGGAGTTAGAAACATACTCATAATTGTTATAAGTACAGTTTGATCTAAATCATAAAAGCCTTGATGAATTTCTTGTGGAACAAGTCAAAATCTATAGGCAAAAATAAATTTTAATTGCAGGATGATTTTCGGTGAGTATGTTTTTTAAATGTTCAAAATTTCAACAACAACCCTGGTTTAATTGTATCATACACACCAAACATACTTGGATATAGCTTCCCAGTCTTCTTATTATAGGTTCTGGGCTTATATTGGTCTTGCAGACTCTGGCTAGTTTAGAAATTATAAATGATGGGGTGAGTGTGGAGTTCAATCCTTTTTAAAAAAGATTCTGGCTAGTTTGGTTGCTTGTTTATTACCCAGACCTCCTTTGAGTCCTGGTACACAAGCTAGTGTCCTGTTGTATTTTTTGTATTGTTTTGGTGAATTTTGATGCATTCACTGACAATGACAATTTTAGATATGACCTTTGTAAGTGCTATTGCTTTCAGGGCTGTTTGGTTGTTTGTTGACATGCACATATGACACAAGCATTAATAGTATCTATTTAAGACCAAGGTGTGTGCTTCCCTAATTATTTTGATTGCACGTTTTTAGCTTGCACAGAATATACCTCAGCTGGTTACTTAATTTGTTTTAGAACAATTTGTGAACCATATAATTGTATTTAATTTTCTTCTGATTTTTTCTTCTTTATGGCCTGTTAAACCATATAGGATGTTTCAAAGGATTTACCTACAAATAAGCTGTCCCTTTAGCTCATTTAGTAATGCTTGTGCAAACCACAAAATTAACAAAGATAGTTATGTATATATAGAAAATATGCTAAAGTGGAACTGTATAAAACAATAGAGAAAAACACAATCTCACACTGAACTAAAATGATAGAAAAAGTTTCAAACTGAAGAAAAAACCTCTTGCTCAGCTTACAGGAATTGGGGAAAAATTAATTTTCAAATTACATTCTTGCAAAATAGATAAACAAAACAGAGGCCAATCCTATCTCATGTAATTCCTGACAAAATGAATGTACAAAAACAAACCACCGTTAGGGAGTAATAACACGTAAAGACAGTAGCAACATGAACAAAATAGGGAAGAGGTTTATAAAACACTGAGGACCCCATAAATAAAAATAAATAAATAGGAGGTTAATTGGGTCTAGTGATTCATTGATGGACCCCTTTTCATTTATTCATTTGATGAAAAGTCTTGCTCCTCCTTGTAACTTTGAACTTGTCATTTGAATTGTACCTTGTTTTTTTCCATTCTGTTACTATAAAGAAAATTATTAAAAATTATGTGAGTCATGACCCTTAAACAATGGTTGTACTGTAATAAATGAAGTTTCACAATTTGAATTATTAAAGTACTTATAGCTGCAGTGAAAAAAAATGCGTGAAAGACCAGAATAAGAAATAAAAAGATGTGGAGGGCAGCAATGATCTCAGCTTTTTGTTGGTCCATAAGACACCACCCTCACATTATTAACTTGAACTTTGCCATATTGAAAATGATTTTTTAACAGCGAAGAATTCCTGCAAAATATGCTTGCCAATAATTTCAAATAAAGTAAAGTGACATACAGGAGGGCTTAATATCCAATTACTCGTTGAATGCCACAGATAAGGGTTCAGAACCACTTTACTATACTTTTTCCAATTAATCTCATGCTAAACGGTTATACTGCAGTTTAAAACCAGAACTGCTAGTGCGACAAATATGAGTCAGATGCTCTAACCACTCCCTTAAATTGTAATATTACTGTTTATTAACTAATAATACTTTTTAATTTCTTTAGTTACAATGTCTACTATTGGGGATCAAATATTGGATAGACCATTGCCTAAAATAGGTGAAAAAAGTTTGTTTACAAAAGAGCTAGAAACTGCTTTATTGGAAAATAAAGTTGATTTTCTGGTCCATTCACTAAAAGATATGCCTACATCTTTACCCGATGGTCTAGCGATTGGTGCAATACTCAGGTAAAATTTGTCAGTAGTGATAATTAATCAAAATAATCATTTTAACATTTGATGTTATATTTAAACATTCTAGGCGAGAAGATCCGAGAGATGCTGTGATTCTTCATAAAAAACATCGAGGTCAAACATTAGAGACACTACCTCCTAAAAGTATTATAGGGACCAGTTCGTTAAGAAGGACTGCACAGTTAAAGCGAAAGTTTCCTCACCTCATTATAAAAGATATTAGAGGTAATTTACAAACAAGGAGGGAAAAATTGAGGAAAGGTGATTACGATGGTATAATATTAGCTTTTTCTGGTATGATGAGGATGGGCTGGGAAGATGCCATTTCTCAGGCATGTAGTTTTAAATTTATAAATTCTTCAATGACGTACAATCTCTTAAATATTTTCTCTATAGGTGTTGGATGAGAATGTTATGTTGTACGCTGTCGGTCAGGGTGCATTGGCTGTTGAATGTAGGATCAATGACTGTGCATTTTTTGCCCCTTTAAATCACAAACAGTCTGTATTCCCAACAATTGCAGAAAGGAGCCTTCTCAATACGCTTGGTGGAGGTTGCTCGGCACCTGTAGCAGTCTCTTCAAAGTTTTCAGAAGGAACTTTATTACTGATCGCTGCTGTCTGGAGCCTGGATGGCTCAGTCACTTTACAGGAGACTCTTTCTCAAAAAATTACCAACGAAGAATTAAAAGATGAACCAGATGAAAAAAGGTTTGTTAAAACATTATTTTGTCAAACGATTTGATCTAAAAGTTTTGTTTTGTGTTTTAGAAAAGAAAATGATTTGTATTGTGGTATGACAGTTCATGGGCTAGAACCTTTACAAGTTCGATTATCGCACAAACTCGGCGTCACTTTAGCTCAGAAACTTATAAGTGAAGGAGCTTTAAAAATAATTGAAGATGCTAAAACAGCATGTATGAAAAGTTAATTGTTTTGTTGATTTATTTGTTTATTAAAAACTTTTATTATTTTATTTAGTTGGACAAAATTATAGTTTTGTTTGAAATATTTTATTGAAGTGTGGTAAAGTTGTTACTTTCAAAATATAAATTGATTTATTCTGTAATTTATTTCATGCTAATGATTTACAGCATTGTTAATTTTTAAATAAATGGTTTTGGTATTGTGCTATTCATAGTAGGTTGCTATTTTCGTTTTGTAGTAATCTAGTGTTAATATTTCTATTAGTAACTAATTAATTGTCACTATCATTACTTCAGACTATCAAAGAAATCTGTCCTTTCATTTTATTTCTTTTTTACAGTCGAGTACTGCTAGTCTGAACTGAAATAGATTAAGCTTTGTTTGGATTACCTGAATAACTTCGATAGTGCAGAAGCAAGAAAAAAAAATGGTCTGTAGACACACATGTGTAGATAGATAAACAATAGATGATAGAATAGTTTCAGATCATTTGGTTCTACCTACCCTCACAGTTTTGGCCTGTTGGATGAGTTTTGGCTTCTTGAACTTCAGTTTCAAACATTAATTTTATTTAAAACCCACTAATGAAGATGGCAATAAGCAGAAATGCATCTGACAGACCAAAATGCTCAGAAAGGATCAAACTACAGGTCCATCACCAAGCAAACCTCACAATTTTCTGATGAAAATGCAGCTAAAAAAGACACAATAACTGACCATTAATAACATTTAAATTTAACTGGAGAATAGAAACAAAAAACTTTCAAACTAAAAAAAAAAAAAATCTTTCCCACCAATTGAACAGTATTTATTTATTTATAGATCCGTTAATAATAAATTATTTAAGGAAAAGCTGAGCTATGCATTTTTTAAAAATAATGTAAGTTTTATTGAGACAATCTATGCCAAAAGATATTTTAGTGGAAGACCAGCCTTAACTAAAGCAGTTGCCAACATTTCACCAAGTCTAGGGTAGGTACTGTTATAGAGCTGTACTGCCTTCATCTAAATTAATACAAAATAATTGTTATATAAGCTTAGCAAAACTTTATTCAATGCAATTATTAATTCCTACCTGAAGACTTGGATCAACTTGGTTCAAATTTGCTGCTAAATTCCCTACAATTCGAATATACTCTTCTGATGTGATATTGTAATCGTTGAACAATGCCGATAGGAAGGTTTGCCGCTGGTCACTGTTTTTGAACCTATAATTAAACAATTATGAGTAAAATTGAAATTAATGTGGCATTCAAGATAATTACTTGGCAATTACTCCTTGGGCAGAATAAGGAAGGATTGATATATGAGGGGAAGGAACAGGACCATTGAAGCTGTTTATAAAATAATTGACAGCGCCTCCTTGGTTACCCTTGTATCTATTCATACCATCTCTTTCATAATTGTGGACATCTAGTACAGGAGCATTTGCCATCAACAAATTACTATTGACACCAAGTCGGTACATTTGAGCATCGTTATAAGCAAATAATCTGCTCTAATTGGATAAATAAAATTTCAATTTTCTTTTAATTTGAATTTTTATCAATTAATCATTACTTGTAATATTCTGTCAACAGTTGGTTGAATACCAGGCACCATATTTGCAGGGTTGAAGGCGATATTTTCAACATCGACAAAGTAATTTGATGGGTTTTTGTTAAGTACAATTTTGCCGACGTTAAAAACTGAAAACATCCTCCGTGGCCATAGCTTAAAAGAACGGTTAAATTAGTATATAGATGAATAGTGATTGATAAAATAATTTACATTTGTTGGATCAAATATGTTGAAAGATGCTGAATGTGCATCTCTTTGTGTTGCTATGTGCACTTGTAATTCCCAAGAAGGAAAATTTCCCGCAAAGATATTGTTGTACAAATCAGATATGTAATAGTCGGGATTAGTGCCAGCTAAAGTCTGTGCTTCTTCATTGGTTATTGTTTCCAAACCTTGATTTGACTGAAACACAAATTTTGTGCATTATAAAGAGAGAGAGAAAAAATATCTCACAGGGATGATTTTTGTGAGAAAATTTCAATTTTTGGCTCTCCCTTCTATTCTCTATCCATTCTTCTAATACTTATTTTGCTCTTCCACACTCCTGGTAAAACAAATAAGCAATAAGTACACTTATGATACATTGTGTTGAGGTATTCGAAGGAACCTGTAGCCAGTTTGCCTATTCCCACTGGTTTAGTGTATCAGATACATTTTGGCATTTCACCATCTTTAATTGGATTAGTTCTGCAGATGACAAGTGCTGAATTCAGTGAGAATAAGCAGACCAGGATAATCAAAGAACAATTAAGCATACTGTAAAATGTTTGAAAGCCTATAGTTTGGTAATTTCTGATAGTTTGGTCTCCTATCCACACTGTTGAACTGACAGATGTGGATTTCACTTCTCACCTAGTAGGTTTGTGAACAGATCAAAACAGAGGATAGGCAGACCAAGATGATCAACCTGCTTCGCCACCCTACAGCCTACAAGAAGAAAGGTCACAATTTTTTATTACAGTTAGTCAAGGTAAAGTGGCTGCAGGTATTATTGCTCTAATTTCTGTTTATAGTAATGTTCAAAAAAAAGTAAACTGCATTTTTAGCATAGATATGTTTTGGGCTGGGTAAATAATTTTTTAGGTGTGGCCATTTTTGCTTCATCGATTTTGTGTTACCACGGAGTTTGCATGGGTTGGGTTAGATTAGGGTAGGTGAGGTTTAAGTTAAACTTAGGGTTAGGTAGGGTTATGGATAGATATGAATTAGGGTTGGGAATAGGCTAGTGTAGTTTAGGTAGAGTTAGGGTTGTGATTAGAATGGGCTCGGGATAGCGTTAGGTAGAGTTAGTTTAGATTTAGGGTTAGATGTAAGGTTATGATTAGGTATGACATATGGTTAGGGTAGGATGGGTTTTGGTATGGGTTATGGCTAGAGATGGGTTAGAGGTAAGGTTAGGGTTGGCTTAAGTTATTTTATTTGGTGCTGTTTCACCTCAACTAACTCTATAATAGATAATTGTCAATTCCAAAGGTTTTGTAACTCAACAATATAAATGGAAAACACTTATGTGATACAAAACATTATTAATAAAATGATTAAAGACCTGATTATCTTACAATTAAATAAAATCTTGCATAGAAAGTGTTGTTTTTGGAATTTATCAAAGAGTACGTGTTTGATGAGTAACCATTCATGTTTCTAAAACTGCGAGGAATCCCATAATCACTGTACAAGAACAAAGACAGTGGTATCGTTTCAGGGTTTTGAGTAAAGAAATTCCACTGAGCATTTAAATCCTACAAATAACTGTAAATTATCATTTGTATAATCAATAGTATTGTTAAATTTGATAAATTAAAAAAATGGCATTAATTATAATTTTATAGCATGACCATTTCTTTCTAGTCTATTAATTTAATAAATGTTTGAAATAAAAACAGAGAAGTAAATTTTTTAAGTAAAAGGTTCTTAAAATAGACACAATTTAACTTTAAAGTGATCAAGATTTTAAAAAATATATGTTCTATCTTGTACTGGCAAATTGGTTGCTGGGTTGGGCCTCAAAGCATGCACTAAATCATAGAATTTATAAGGGTCTCTGATGTAGAAAACTGGAAAGTTAATTGCCACTAAATCCCAGTTGCCTTCTTCAGTATAAAATTTAAACGCAAGACTGCCCAAATCCCTGGAAACAGAAATGTTAAAAACAATCTTTTTTTTTAAATTTTATAATTGAATAAACAGATTCACCTTAATGTATCAGGCCTCCCTGGGTCAGCATTCATTCTGGAAAACCTCGCTCTTACACCATACTTAATTTTGCTTCTGCTGAAGATTTTTGCGATTGAAAATCTTGAGAGATTTTGTGTAATTTCAATATAGCCGCTTGCTCCTTGAATGATTTCAATCCATTAATTCTATCAATTTTTTCAAATTAGTCCATCCCAAAAATACCTCCTCCTTTACCAAATATAATCCTTGAAGAAATCCTTTCTCTATTGAAAGCTTGCATTTGGTTGAAGAAATTTGAATCCTCAATCAAAAGAGGTCCTCGTGGACCTGCACTCAGAGAGTTGATTATATCGTCGATCAATATTCCTGAACTTGAAACTGCTTGTTGCGGTATCTTGAAAAAACAGCATAGTCAAAAAACAATTAATTGGTCAAGCGGACCACGAAAGTAGTGAATTAATAGTCAAAAAAGTTCAGTAGATTTATTGGTTTCAAAACTTACTCTTTGGTTTTTGGCATAATCAAGCAATTGCTCTGATGCTCCATCCATTGTAGAATTCCAGCCTATAAAACATTTGCAATAAGAATTATTTGAAGGATCAATTGTGCAATTAACAAAGATTTTGTATAAGTTAAATTGAAATTAAGTTTTAAAAAAAGTTCATTCTTATTATTGTAGGACAGATAATAAAATGATAATTTAGTGTTTTTATATTCACCTAACGTAAAAGATCCAAAAGGTAAAACAATTAAAATGTAATGCACTAGATTTCTCATGTTTCTTGGCTGAACAATACTTGTGTTCTGTTAGAAGTTAAACTTTTTTTACTTGTTCAGTTGCACAGGTGAAAAAATATATCAGCAAAACTCATAAACTAAAAAGAACTACTTTGACCTAGTTCAAATGACATCTATATATGTTTTTAAACATGTGTATATAAATTAAATAATAAACATTTAATTATTTATTTTCATTTGATAGCATTGTTGCACATAAAGAATTATTTATTAAATAGGCTGGATTTTTAATATTTGAGCAGTTATGAAAAAAGTTGTTATTGTTGCATAATGTTTTTGTTGATTATGTCATGATAATGTTAAAGATAAAATATGAAATTTAAGTTTTATGTAAAAAACAGTTTAGTTTTACAGAAAAAACTTAAAACTACATTAAAATTTATTTCAGATCATTAATTTTAAATTAGCCGAAACTGCTGGTATCCATTCATTAGATATCTTCTTGGGTGTCTGTTATTTAGTTTCTGATCATTTTTGTTTGTAAATTCTCATCATTTTGGTCATGATGCATTCCAGTTTCTTGCCATATTCAAGCTCGAAGCCGTCATAAAACGCTTCAACAGAAATTGGAATTTTTATTATTTTAAAATTGGCATCGACCCTAAACCACAACTGTGTCTCTATTGTACCCAACACCAGAAGAGGCAGCAGCTTCTCCCCTCACCCTGAAACACCCACCCCTACAATGCACTAATCCCATCCCTTATTTTATATGTACACAAAATCTTGAAATCTTCAATGGAGTTCAGCAATTTCTTGAACACAAATGACACCATCATAGACTTCCAGAGACCGCCACACCACAGTTGCAGCCAGTCTCCTCAAGATATTTTAGTCAATACTTAATTATTTTAGATCTCATACCCTACCTTCCTTAGGAATACCGCCAACACTTGCTACTTCTAGATTTGTTGCTGCAAGAAACCCCTGATAATTTTTTTTTAACAATATTTCTTTCTACAGAAAATTTTGGACGTCTAATACATAAATGTATTACCTTCAAAAGATCCTTTGTGATCTGAGCGCCTAAATTATGGTACTCCCTCCCCCTTTCATCATGCTGCCTCCTTTTCCTCCTTTATATCCCACCTGTACAATCACCTCCTCTCCCTCCAATCTGAAACCTTACGTTAATGTTTGGTATTTTTGTTTAATATTCTTGTTATTTTTTCTTATGGCTTACCTTACCTGTATACATTGTGCCAAAATTTTATTTCATTTTATTCTTAATTTCGTAGAAGGAACTTCCTTTATTTAGTTCATGTATGTTATTCTTAGGGGACTCCAGTCTCAGAATAAAGTTATTTTTCTTCTTTCTTCTTCTTAAATGCTTCATAGAGCATAACTTTGAACAATATGAGCAAATCTTGAAATTAACCTGATTTATTTTGGGTAAATATTGGTTGCAGAGAGCGTGGTTTGATCGTAGCCTTTAAATTGTTTTGTAGAACCAATAGTAAATTATTCCATTTTTAGATTTTTATCATCAGGGAGATAGATCCTGGTAATCATGTCTGTTGGTTGGGCTTGGCATGTCCTGGCCTTAGCTGCCTCATGAGCCTTTTCATTTCGAGATGAAGACAACCCCACTGTTTTGTCAAGACAGATAGCACTAATTGCACTAAGGGAGTCTCCATCGTCTCAAAAACACCCAAAGCATCTGACAAATTGTATTCAATTTTGCATTCATACACAACAGTGTGGCAGGAGCTTCCACAGACCCATTTTCATTATACATGGCGATGGCACTTGCCCCCTGACCAGTCTTAAGCTGGGTTTCTGTTGTGTGAAAAAATCACTCGTACAACTAGAGATGAGAACTACTTGAAAAATGCCATCTTGGGTTAACCATTTCTATGAGATGAAACATTTCACAACATAGAGGCGAAACAAGATGAGCCATCAGTTGTACTTTCTCTCTTGTTCTTGTTATGACGAGTTTTACCTTTCATCCCACAAAAATTGGTAGTTGTGATACATTCGTATAAGTCAAATGCAATCCTCCTGGTTCCACTCTCGTACTTGAGACAAGTGGGTTTATATGGAGAGAAACAACGTGATACACTTTGGTGCACTCTAAAACTCCAATACCAGTTGGCTCACCCTGAAACATCCTCCCACAAAGTTCTGCAGTTCTAGCTAGGTACCCACAATGTGAGACAAGTTTCGCAAAAGTGATTTTCACGCATTGGAAATCCAGCTAAGACCTACCAGAGAGACGAGGTAAGGTATGTAGATGTCTTGGCTAACATGGCAATATCATCCTGGAAGAGCATGGCCAGAAGAACCCAGGGTATGTCGGCCAGTTGCCCAGCTTAATATGTTTATCCTGATTCTCCCTTTGCCAAAGGGTATTCCCAGGAATTGCATCTAAGGATCAGATCTGTAAATGTGGCCCAGTTTGGCAAGGAAACTCGCTGGATAGTCAAGGGTAAGCTGCTGTCTATGAAGTTCAAGCGGCAGCACTCTTGTATATTAGTTTTACTTTTGAGTAGTACCGATTTTCGTTTGTATAACCTTATGCCATAAAATTAATCAAAGGACAGGACAAATAAAATTACAGTTGCATAAAATTTTATTTACGGGCAAATATCTTTCAAATGTATTTTCCAGACAACTTTAACTGAATTTTATAGGTAAAATCTTTTTAATTAATACTATCCGTTCTTAATAAACATCTACTCATACAAAAGTACATTTTTCATCCAAAGCATGATTACATTCACATAATACAATTACATAGATTTTTATGTAGGTAACAACTGTTATATTTATGTAATATAAGTTTAAATAATTTTCAAAGAATTGGGCTGATAAGTAGGCAACAATCACACTGCAAAATTGGTTTAATATCCTCATGAAAGAGTATGTCAAAAGAAACATGTTTTTGTTTATTATCATAGGAATAATGTCAAATTAAAAAAATTGAAAATAACAAAACTAGAGAATTTTTACATTATTCTACATTAAAATATGTTTACAAGAATTAAATTATCAAACAAATTTACAAATTTTTTTTAATGAAAAAAAATACAAAACTAATACTCAACAGCCAGATGAATAATATAAACTTTTACCCATAATAACATGCATTATTAATCCTTTTAAAATAAAATTACTACTTTTTTCTTTTAAAAAAGGACTTGTAAGCAAGCACTTTTCTTTCAATGAATTCAGTTTTTAACCCCATGATAGCCAACTGTGTGATACATTATCAAAAATAAAATTTTATTTTATAAATCTATATAAAACATANTCTCTCTCTCTCTCTCTCTCTCTCTCTCTCTCTCTTTATCTATATCTATCTGTCCATTCTCTCTGCCTGACTGTATATATATATACTACTGTACAAATGTATATTAAAAATAAATAAGAAATAACACCATCCTATTTATATCAAATACATACATTTGTCTATCAGTTATTAACAGAAAATAAAACCAAGTGAATTAATTCATTTGTTGAAGGAGGCGTTCATCTTAAAATTCTAAGTTTACCAGCGTTCGTTGCATATACAAATCCTTCGCCTGCAGTGGGTGCCCAACGAATACAATTCAAATTAAAATAATCCGTTATCTCTCTTGAAATTTCTAAATCTTTGACTAATGTGAGTATCCCTTTTGTACGGCCTGAAGGCTCTTCTTTTGAAGAAGAATCACTTTCTATTTTTTCCAATTTGTATATCTGAAATAGACAGAAAAAAGTGAGTTTTATCATGAAAACACCATACAAAAATAAATGGAAACGTTGTTTTTTTCCCACACACTTTAATTAGAAATAAACAAAGGATAGAATTCTTCTAATAAAAATAATAAACACCACAGGTGTATCTGTGAGTCAAATACAGGATATTTCAAGCACAATACTGGTTTCGCGTTAAACAGATGACTACATAAATCTCGGGCAGTATGTCAAGGAAGTATTAATCCATCAGATGCTCTTGTAATTCTGTCCTCCCAGAACTTCTCAGGTTTTTGAGCAATTAACTCTGCTGTTTTCTGCAAACTTCAAGTAAAGTCCTCCCAATAAATTAAGTTTCTCAGAGTCCAGAATAAGGGAAAATCTGAGGGTGTCAAGCAAATATGGTAATAGGTGAAGTAGCACATCCAAGCCAAACTCCAGTAATTTCTGGCGCATCTCTAGACATGTGGGGTATTAGCCAATTCTAGCTGTCAAGGTGATTTTAATCACTTCAAATGCAAGCAGGCTTGGTTGGACGAAAGAAGTTCATAATAAAGCACTCCCTTCCAATCCCAGCATTGAGTATTTGAGGAACCTGCAGCTGATTTGGTTAATAGAATTTTTGCATTTTACCATTTTCCAAAGTCTGTTTTGAAGCTACAAGTGCCGAATAAGCAGACCAGGACGACCAAAGCACAAATAAGTTTACTGTTATCACATTTGAAAACCCATAGTTTGGTCATTTCTGATCATTTTAGCGTGCTTATCCACACTGTTGGTCTGTCAAATGTGGTTTTGGCTTCTCACCTCGTAGTGGGTTTGTGGACAAACCAGAACCCAGAGGATAAGCAGACCAAGATGATCAACCTGTTTCACCTATTAGAAAAAAGTAAACTGCCTTTTTAGCAAGATATGTTTTAGGGCTGGGAATTGCGTCATCGATTTTGAGTAACCATGGAGTTTGCATAGGTTGGGTTAGGAATGGGTAGGTTAGGTTTAAGTTAGACTTAGGGTTAGGTAGGGTTACGGATAGAATCAATTAGGTTAGGGCTAGGAATAGGCTAGTTTAGCTTAGGCAGAGTTAGTGTTGTGATTAGGATGGGCTTAGGGTAGGGTTAGGTACAGTTAGTTTAGATTTAGGGTTAGGTAGGGTTATGGATAGATATTAATTAGGGTTAAGGTTGGGAATAGGCTAGTTTAGTTTAGGTAGAGTTAGAGTTGTGATTAGTATGGGCTCGGGATAGGGTTAGGTACAGTTAGTCCGACGATCCGGTCACGGTCCACAAACCTAACTGGCACTCATCTGCAAAGCCCCCATTTTTCAAATATACAACTGAGATGCTGATTTGCGATGTTGCCTTTCTACTCGACGCCTTACCAGAAGTAGAGAACCTGATGTGAGACATCTAGACTCAGCTATTCTCATGAGAGGGAGAGATGGTGAGAGGGGGAGAGAGAGAAAGAGAAAGAGAAAGAGAGAGAGAGAGAGAGAGAGAGAAAGAGAGAGAAAGAGAGAGAGAGAGAAAGAGAGAGGGGGGAGAGGGAGAGAGAGAGAGAGGGAGGGAGAGNGAGAGAGAGAGAGAGAGAGAGAGAGAGAGAGAGAGAGAGAGAGAGAGAGAGAGAGAGAGAGAGAGTAAAAATATTTTAGTTTTTCGACTATGTACTCGTGTGTATGTACATATGTGTGTAGAGTTAAACAAATTAGTAAACAGTATTTTTTGGAATTATATTTAAAATACACAATGACAACTTTTTGGGCCAAATAAATTTTCAATTTTTTTTCTCCCACCTTACATTTACTTAGTTTTGTTGTAATGTGAAATGTCTGAGGAATGTATTATCAAATTTTGAACGAAATTGGTGCAGCATAAAAATACGTAAGAGTGATTCAAAATGAACACTTTGAAATACAATGGATAAAGTGAGCAACACACCCGACACCACACAACATGATGAAGTGACCCAATGTCTTGTTTCGTTTTGGTTGGGTGTGCACATCTGTTCGATGTCAAACGCACACCATAGTCATACAGTGTGTATCACAAATCAGTTCAGCAATACTGTTTTGCTCTTAATGCATTATTATGAACAAATTTCGGCCAAACCTTCACAGTTTGGACAGTAGGGAAATTAGTTGCATCGCGTAGTGTAGAGTAGGTAGTGTTGCATCAGGCAGATGTGCACAGGGGTAATACAATCTTATGGAAAATTGGACATCAGATTGGCATCAGGTGTGTTCCCCGCTTAATACAAAATGCATCAGGCTGGGGGCATGGAAATGCGTTTTACCAACCAAAAATCAGTCCCAAAAAGGTTAAGAATAAATAATGAAGTATAATCACAAGACATTAATGAACAAAGATAAGTATTTCTCAATCTTTACCTGAGCAATTGTCTGTTTTTCACAGTGGAGAAAATTAATCCTCCTTGATGCAAGACCAACAATTAAGTGTTTAGTCGTCGGTGACAAACTGACAGATACTGCACTTTGATCAAAACTAGTTTTATACAGACACTGACCAAGGGTATTCCAATTCAAACTATAGATACCTGCAAAATTTCATATGATCTGTTGAATAACTTCAAAGATCTCTAGTCTAAAATATCAACTTACCTAGCATTGTAGAAACGTTAAACCTTTGCGCTGATAACAGAGTGACCAGAATTTTACCATCGTTGGAAATGTCTACACTTGCATCATTGTGAATTTTACATTCGCCGACCACCAAATTCTTGTCAGCTATAACATTTAAACATCATTTTTGAAATCTATCCACTACTCAAAGATGATTGAAGACATGTAATTTCAAGATAAAACAACTTACAATTATGGATTTCAGGTAGTGCAAAATTTGTAAAATCCCATGCTTGTATGCGATGGAGGGGAGCTGAAACACCATAAAACATAATATAAACACACTTCTTGATATAAAAATTAACTAAGTTATTTATCTCAATTGAATGAATTTTAATAAATTGAATCAATGTACAAAGGCTAGCATTTGCCTGGTGTAAACCTCTTTGCATTACAAATAAAAATTTAAAGTTTTAAAGAAAATTTTCAACAAAATCAACAAAAAAAAATTTCAACTGACCACTTAAGCTGATCATGATTTCGTTATCGACTATTTCGACAACATTATAATGCCTTGGGTGATTGTATCGAGGACGAAGGTGATGCGCAGACGGTGACACACTGTAAGTCCTATCACCATCTCTAATGAAAAAAGGACTGTTTCTTGAAGATACTATCAGAGGTCTTACTGCCCGAGGAGCAAAGAGTGAGTTTGTTGCAGGTAAATTAGAATCTGAAGAATCATCAAGTACTACTGGTTGATCATTTACTCTTAATACAGGCGGTGGCGCGATTCTCAAAAGATTGTCCCTTTCATTAGATGAGAGATTGCTGTGTCTTCTGTCAAATCCTGTCGTACGGAAAATGAAAGGATTACTCCTTGAAAGAGGATAAGGCGGAATCTCGGAAATATTGGTTCCTTGTGTGCGTATCTGGCTCAGCCTAACAGATTCATTGTTCCTGTCATTTATATTAATATCCTCTGCATTAACTCTATTTAGTGGATTCCTTGGATGGGAATTCACAGAAGGGATATCGGTGATTGAAAAACCATTAACTGTTATAAATGGGGGAGCTGTTCTTCTGCCAGTGTCATTTTCCCTTTCGTTTGATGGGAGATTGCTTTGTCTTCTGTCAAATCCTGTCATGCGGGAAAGAAAAGGATTACTCCTTGAAAGAGGATCAGACAGAATCTCATAATTATTGTTTCCTCTTGTGCAAGTTTGGCTCATTCTAACAGATTCATTGTTCCTGTCATTTAGATTAATATCTTCTGCATTAACTCTATTTGGTGGATTCCTTGGAGGGGAATTCACAGAAGGAATATCAGTGATTGGAAGACCATTTAATGTTATAAGCGGTGGAGCTGTTCTGCCGGTGTCATTTACATTAGATCCACAATTCCCTCTGATGGATATAATATTTTCACCATTTCCACTATTGCCTCCATTGCTTTCTGCACCCTCTTGATTATCACTGCCACCTTGCACAGCACCACCTGCACCAACCAACATCACTCAATGTCACACTACTCATCAAAATAGTGTACACATTGACCCTAGAGTAGAGTAAAGTGAAGTGGTCATACCGTCAAAGAATTGTTCTTTTTTTCTTTAATTAACAAACCTCCTAGGTCTCTGTATACACTATTCAATAATACCATGAAAAAATCTTATAATCTAATAGTAGCATGATAAACTTTTCTTACTTAAGAAAATATCATGCACGTCATTAAAAATTAATTAATTTAAAAAAAAAAGAGATATGCACCATAAACAATAGTCTCAAAGCCTTTGTAAATAATAAAACCTTGACATTTTAATTTATTACTACAAAAGCTAGTCAATTTTAGTCAAGCAATAAAATGAATTAATTACCTGATGGAGATCCACCTCGAAGCAAACCTTGGAAGTCTTGTATCTCAGCCAGTCTTAGATGTTGTCTTCTGAAATATGCAAACTTCTTTTGTACACTGTTCAACATTAATAAGTCCATTTTTCTATTCAATATTAATAAATATTTCTATACCATACCTTGCTCTGTCTAAGTGTGCAAGAAGAACTCTACAAAGATTTATTGCTATACCAAGTAATTCTATCAGGCCTGCAAAATAAAAAAGTGTAATTAGTTTTGTTCTCAGCAGACTTAACAATGCTGTAATTAAATAAAACTATTAAAAACATATTAACCTTCAACACACATGTGTGTCAATAGAAATTATGAATGATGGAGTGGGTGTGGAGTTTAATCCTTTTTAAAAAGATGGTTCCTACTCACAGTAAGTTGTTTCGCAACAATCCGGATTGCGAGCCCTTTAGCTCATCATCAGGTTGAAGAGTTTCTACAAACATGTCTTTTGCCATGAATTGCAAATGTGAACCCGCTGATACCCCCGCCAACGCGACTTCCAATGAGGAGCTGATTTTTTTAATGGCGCTCAATTTGAACGTGCGAAAAACGGGAATTATAACACAAATAATTATTGTAATAGTAAATACTGTAAGAAATTAATTATAAATTATTGATTAAAGATAAAAGATTTAAAAAAATTAGAATAATACCTTATAAAAATAATAATTTTAATTATTTGGATGTTTAATATTATTTATGTACATATTTAAAATGGGAGGTAGATCAAAATCTGTTATATTATTAATGCATTTATCCCCATTATGCATTTTTTGATTTCAAATTTCAAAATGTAAAATTGAACATGGTGATAAATACAAGTTATCGGATATTATCAGATTGCAATGCTAAGATGCAGGTGGCATTCTCAGAATTGCAATCAGCACTCTCTCCCACCAGGGAAACGTAATTGTTTATAATTTAAAATGTAAGAACATTCCTTGCCTAGAAACCAGTGGTCACATCATTGTAATTGGTAAACTTAATTATTCTTTGTCAACTGTATTTCGCAAATAAAGTTTTTAAAAAGGAATCAACCAGCGAAGTTGACTTAATTTACATTAATAACTAAAATAAATTAAACTAATAATTAATAACATTAACAACTGCAAAATAACAGATTTTGATCTACCTCCCATTTTAAATATGTACATAAATAATATTAAACGTCCAAATAATTAAAGTTATTATTTTAATTGTTATTATTTTTATAACAATTTAATAATATTAAGGTACAATTCTAATTTTTTAATCTTTTATCTTTAATCACTAATTTATAATTAATTTCTTACAGTTTTACTATAATAATTGTTATTTGTGTGTGTGTGTGTGTGTGTGTGTGTGTGTGTGTGTGTGTGTTGAGAGTGCCCTGTAGCAGGCACTCTCGACATGACACGCAAGAAGGGCACAATTACAGAGAAGACAAACACTTTGAGCCCTGAAGATGATCTCAATAAAGATCAAAACGTTGGCATGATAAAGAAAATGTTTTTCTGAAACCTACATCACACCAGACCGCATCTCACGATTTCTAAATAAATATTGTTATTTGTGTTATAATTCTCGTTTTTCGCGTTCAAATTGAGCACCATTAAAAAACCAGCTCCTCATTGGAACGTCGCGTTGGCGGGGGTATCAGCAGGTTCACTTTGGCAATTCATGTCAAGAGATGTGTTTGTCAACCTGATGATGAGCTAAAGGGCTCGAAATGCGGATTGTTGCGAAACAACTTACTGTGAGAAAGAACCATCTTTTTAAAAAGGATTTCACAGGTATGTCTGTGAGTCACATACAGGATATTTTATAACTAGTTTTGGCACAACTATTAATTTCAATATTTTGATAGTTCTGAGTGACAGAAGCACCCATTTTTGAAATTTGTCTTTACATATTTTTGGATTAGGAAGTTTTCATTCACTATCTTTCCAACTTGGGAAATAGCTAATTATTTCATTTGCTTTCATTGATTAACATAACATTAAGCGGACACCCTTGCAAAGAAAGGCGCTGCCACACCGCTGATAGGACTCGAACCCTTCTGTGGCATAGGAATCCACACTATTAACAAATATCTCAGACAGAAGGACAAAAAGAAAATGAAGGAACAATGGAATTCACTCATTGGACATAGACAATCCAAGAATCTTCTAACTAATTTTGGTAAGAAAAAAAGCACAGAATGTGTCAAAGAAAGCAGGAACAGACTGCGAATCCTAACAAGATTCCTAACAGGACACTGTAGATTAAATGGACACTTAAAGAAAATTGGAACAATCCAAGATGGCACATGCAGATTCTGCAAGGAGGCAGAAGAGACACAAACACATTTACTAACAAACTGCGGAGCTACATTAGCCTGCAGGAGGATATGTTTTGGGATGTATAATGTGACCATAGAAGAGCTTCAACCACTGAAACCAGGCCTATTAATCAAATTTCTTGATGAAATAGGACTCACCGATGTGCTTTAGGCAGAGTACGGGGGATACAATAGCCCTTAAAGGGCGCAGCATACTATACCCTGAAAATTACATCTATCTATCTAACATAACATTAACATTTACACTTTTTTTTTTTTTTTATTGGCCTTATGATCTTGCATATTAGCCATGGTACGAATTCTTTGTGTGTTCAAATTGGGGGTTATCGGGGAAAAAAGGGCCAGAGGAATCGAATCGAACCCACGACCGCGGCGTGAGAGTCTCTCATGCTAACCACTCGGCTACCGCGGTCCCCATTTACACTTTTAAAAGTTGAAAAATTAGTAAATACTGAATAACAAATTGTTAGGTAAACTGTGTTTAACAAATGCTTAAATGTTTCAGAGACACACATGTGGACTGTACAAATAAATAACAATCTCTGGCATTAAGGGTTGGTTACTTATGTTTAGTCTAATTGCATTTTTAAAAAATTGAATTTTAATCAACTAATATGACTATTGCAACAAATTACTTGAAATTCTTTGGTTGAGCGTTTCCATACGATCGTCTGAACTTGATGGGCCTTGATCATTTTCAAAAAACTGCGTCAAGCCCCCCACCATAAGAGGTATCACATGTCTGGAAAAGGGAGTCATGACAAATTCTTCGCATGTAATTATAAACATTTTTTGGTTTTTAATACGCACCTGACCTTTTTGCTGATCGCATCGAGATACCACGAGGAGAGATTTTGTCTTGGTGACTCCCTAAAACATAAATCTGAATATAATAAATGAACGGAACAGAAAGCATAGAACATTTTATTTATGATTTTTCCTTCTCGAAGGTAATAGGTCATCTCAAAAAAACAACAACCAGTTTTTTTTTCAATCCACAACGTTTCGGATTTATTTTAATCCTTCCTCAGGCGAGTTAACACAGTGGTTAAAACTGTGGTCGTCAGTCATTAACATTTTGTAACAGTTTATTTTAAAAAGAGCCAGTGTGGTACATATTTAAGTCTTTCAGACTCCAAACAAACATTTTTTCGGAGTCTGCAAACTTAAATACGTACCACACTGGCTCTTTTTAAAATAAACTGTTACAAAATGTTAATGACTGACGACCACTGTTTTAACCACTGTGTTAACTCGCCTGAGGAAGGATTAAAATAAATCCGAAACGTTGTGGACTGAAAGAAAAACTGGTTGTTTTTTTGAGTGACCTATTATCCCACCTTCGAGAAGGAAAAATCGTAAGTTAAACAGTTGAGGTCGAAATATGAGAGAACATTTTACCTAAGAGCATTCATGAGGTGGCGCGCACCTGAAATAAAAATGAATGTAACATTAAATTTTTATACTTAATAATAAAGCTAGAATAATATTGAGATAAGGGGTAATTAATCTATGTTTCATATCTATTTATTTTTATTAGTTTTACTTTTATGTATTAATTAATATTTTATTGTTGATTAATGAGTTCTTGCCAACCATGTAATTTGTGGTAATATAGAACCAAATTTTGTACACACTACACAAAATTTCAAGAAAATCATGTCTTAATTGCAGTCACACTTCCCCAAATGTCTTCCTCATGACTGGAAAATTTTATTTTACACGTCATTATTCCATTTATTTTACTAAGAAAAGTACCTCTACTAACCGGACATTCTAAAAAATGGACGTGGACACTACATTTATAGAATTTTCAATTAAAGTCTCTCTACAGGCAGTAGAAAGAAAAACTAATCCCGCATGTCTGGAGCCACTTTCTCAGGATTTCCCAAATAACACAAGTCTATGTAACTTGGACACATGTTTCCTTTATATCACAACCCTCTCAAACACCTTTGACATTTCCCTCTCCTGGTCAGTTCTCAGTTTGTGATTGTGACAAACCAATTTGGTGATGAAGGATGTAATCACTGTCCATGCATGGATATCCATGTACATTTATATTCCCTAACCATGACATTAATCGAGGACTTATTGTACGAAATTGCCAAAATTATAGACCATTTGACAATGGATTAAGAATAAGTCTGTTCAATGGGATTGTATTGCAGGGCAGGGTCATGCAAAAAGTCCATTAAAAGACCGTTGCAGAAACTAAGGGCAGAACTACTAAACCAAGGATGATAGTAAGTACTAAAATGATAGTAGTATTAATGAATACTATAGGGCATATTTACAGACTCAGGAACAAGACAGAGCAGATATTGCCAAAAAGGAAAAGAAAAGAAAATAAAGAAAGGGGGAGAAAGCATTTGTCCTCTTTTGGTACGAAGGCTTAATCAGGTTGAGATTCCTACTTCTGAAAGAGGAAAAGCCAAGGCCTAAAGGACACACAGAGGAGCAATTTACAAAGCTACGTGTAACTACAAAAGGGCTTTACACTAATCGGCGCACTCAATATCTTACGTTTCTTTGCACTATGGTCTTTGAGGTTTAGATGCACTGGATTGCCAGTTTTTTAATTCTATTTTTTATTGAACACAAAAAAAGGTAAATCTAAGCACATATATAGATATACATATTTTTTTAATTTGTAATCTTTCAACAATCTTGAATTCTTGTAAAAATTGTATTGTTGTTTCTTTATTTATGTTTTTGTAATACTTCTTTGTAACTGCATTATTGCTTTTTTAAACTGTACATTGAAAACAAGGCAGAACCACCAGGTCCTGGTAGTGACAATTCAACAAAATGAACAGCAGATAGAATAAAATATATTTTTATCATTTTTGAAGCTTGACTGAATCCTAGGGTAATAATTTTTGTTTGTGTTTTTTTGAAGAATCTTTGCTGGATACAAAAAATCAAAACACGCTCAATCAAATCAACCTAATTAGTTGCTTTCGGGAACATCACAAATATAACTAGACATGTTTCCAAAAGGAATTCAATATTGTTATGATTCCAATTAATTATTCTTTTTATCTAAGATTTTAGTTGAGATAAAAAATTAGTTTCTTGAGTGAGATTCGAAAGAATCATTGGCTAATACGCCGCTGCTCTAACCACTTGAGCTATCGGGACTACGATCCCCTTGGACACAACTCCCATCTCAACCTACGAACTTTCGAATTTTCCCTCTTTTTTCCGTATTTTCAAATTTTGTGTAATCAGGAATCAATTCTCAGCAACTTATGAAGCTTCCTTACAATAATAAATAATAAATAATACCTCATCATTTCAAGAAAAGTTACAAAAATGTGATTTTAAAAAAATCTAATTATTTTTATTTATTATTTTTATTTTTACAAGGGTTTGCAACAGCAGAGGTCAAATGAACCCTCGGATATCGGTGTTTTTGTTGAAGGAAAAAAAGAAAAAAATTATAAATATATACGAATGCAGGGCAGCTGGATTTGAACGCTGGACCTTTATCTTACAGTGATGAGCACCGAGTCAATGCCTAAGCTGTTGTGACCACCCACGCACCCCCCTCTGCAAATATCTATGTCAAATAAAGAAGGTAGAGACAGGTCAAAAGAGGGAATAAGAAAGATCCGGTACAAGTCAAAAATGGCTGTCGCCTCCATGTTGAGTGTTAATGTACCTAATCATTTCTCTATATGTGGACTCTTCTAGTTAGTGGACAAAATCCCACTCCTGAGTGGTGCTTGTGGGAAGTTTGACAAGTAAGTACTAAAGATCGATATTACAAATAATGTGTGATATTTTATCTAATGATCTCCAAATAATTACAAATAATAAAAAATTTGCTACTAGTTATTCAAACATACTATCTATTCGTATTAGAGATGACCTTAACGCATTTGCAGCACTCCTTGGGCACTGTAAATGAAATTATATAATTAAATCATTTAAGTGCTGATGTATTTCAACAATAATAATAATAATTACTGTATGTTCTGACTGAAATAATGTAAATGTAGATTGACTATGAGTTCCAGTACTTTCTAGAGATGAAGATGTAGGTGATTGTGATGATGATGGCTGGTCTGTAGTGTCTCCATTTTCATCAGGAGCAGACGAATTCTGATGCTGACAATTTCAAGCATTTATTTCAGTAACATTTTAAATCATTTTGTTTTATTTCTATGGTACCTGGTCATTGTTTATATCTTCACTATTGTTATCATCAGTTTCCATTGGTACATTCCTACTGCTCCCCCCACGCAAACTGGATCTTAATGTCCTTTATATAAAATAAAAAATGTAAATGTTAAAAATTTTTGGTTAACATCATGACATCGAATACCTTTGTGATTCTTCTGATGCGGGCCTTTTTGAAAAGGACCTACTAGATGATCTAGTGAAAGGATAAGGTCTCTTTCTAGGGATTCCATTTCTTCCTGACATAGACGAGCTGCTGTTTTTATTCGTAGTAGTCGTCGAAGTTCTAGCTTCACTACTTGTACGAGGAGGGGTTACGGGAGAGATTCGAATGCGTATTATTCTAGAAGAAGAGTTGGATGACTCGCTTTGAGAAGGATCACTGACTAAACTCCTTGGTACTTGGTTGTTTTCGACAGTTGTACTTTTGCTTCTTTGACTATCAGTTGAAGTGCTAGTATTGAGGGCGCTGGTGTCTGAACTGCTTGAAGTGTTTGTTGTAGAAGCAGAATTGTTGGTCATTGGTCTACCTCCCCTCATTTCGGCGTTATTATTTATACCAACAGATTCATTACGCATTTCCCTCACTTCTCTTAGTAAATTTCTTATGTTCCCATCTAAATTAGCCCAAAGAGCTCTAAGCCTTACAATTTGATATCCTTCTATGTAGAAACTGTAAAAAATATAAAAAATGAATAATTGATTTTAAAAAATAATCATATAAAATATTTAAAAATTAATTTACTTATTACCTACTAGCTATGTTTTCAATATGCTGATTAACTAACTGAATCCCATTGTATACACCTGACAAGTTGAAGGGAAGTTGGGTTGAAGAGGAACGTGTAACTGGTGTGAATGATGACGTCCTATTCTCATCCACTAAAAAAGACTCTCGAGTTCGATTTAGATTTGGAGAAGTGGATGAATTTGAGGCATTGCCGGATGATGAAGGCCCACTATTGGAATCCCTGTTTGACGGTGTATCAGAATCCACTAAAGATTGGCTCATATGTGCCTATGCATGCAATAATAAATAAATGCCATTAGTACACACTTATATTATTACAATATAATTTTTTTATAATAAAATTAATGTTTGAATACTTTCAGAACAAAACATGCAATTGCAGTCAGGAACACATCTTAATACTCTTGACAAGTAAATATACACACTGGGGTGAAGGTTAATGTTTGAAATTGTGTACATATAAAAGTAAAAAACATGAAAGTTAAGAGTTAAAACTACGAAACTATGTTAATCAATTTTTGTTTAAACTAATGCCTTCATTGAATGCTTTCCATCAAATGTAAATTCATCCATATAAAGTTGCAAATTAGTTAACATTTTCAGCATTTTAACTACGCCATTTTAAATTTAATATATTATGTTTAACCCAAACATTCAGGAAAATATTTCAAATCAAAATTTCTAATGATAATACCAACATCTAACAAAAACTGTACATTGATAATAATTTTTAGCAATATATTTAACATTAATATAACTATTGATGAAATTATATTTAACTTATAATCTCTTATAATTAATTAACTAATATGGTAACATAACTTTCAATTTTTCATAATTGTTATAACTACAAACATTTAAACAATTTAGAATTGTACAAAACTGTTTCATTTTAACAGAAACACAATACAGACAATGATAATGTTGAATTTTCTCATACCAGAGGCATCATAAGCCTATTGAAATCCCTTCTAAGTATTCGGTTCTGATACCATACCCAAGCCAGAGCTGAGACTCTACCCTGCCTTGATCTCTCTATAACCATTACTTTATCCTTCTTTCATTAGGCATTGTATGTCATGAAATATGTGTGTTGAATTAAATAAGGCCTGGCCATTACCTTTATTTAAATGGGTCAAATATCTATCGACACGATTCAAATCTTCCCAAAAATCACGATCGAATCGATTAGTACGAGCGTCAGTCCGACTCAAAGGATTTACGGTTTCTTGATTTGTAGAATGCAGAGTTTGTTCTTGATTCAGTGAAGTTACAGCAGAATCTGAAGCAGCTATAGAGCTGGTACTCACAACAATCGAAAAAGTTCTGCCTTCATCAGCTATAAGCCTTCTCTGTTAAAAATCATGTGATGTTTTATTTTATAGAATCAAATAATAAAATCAATAGGATACCGATTAACTTTTCTATAATGAAAATTTGTCTTTACACCTCCCAATATTTCTAAAGGCATAGTAATAAATAAATAAATAACACAAGCAAACAATTTTATAAGTGTCATAAATTTAATTCTTGGATTAAAAAATAACAAAAGTTTACTATTATAATCAATTAAAAAAAAAAAAATTGGGCTTTATCTTCCAAAAATTAAACATTCTACTAAACCATTCACTAATTGCTTATTGCACAATAACATGGGAAGTAAAACTAATCAAAAAAGACTGACACACGGGGGATGCCGGTGTTTTGAAAAAAGCCTATTTGTAAGTATGTCGTGTTCGAATGCAGGGCCACTGGATTTGAACCCTGGACCTGTACCTGATGTGTTATGAGCGCTGTGCCTAAACTGTTGCAGCCACCGATGTCCCGACTGACAAATTATTTAATATTACTTGTAAAGAATACAAGAGCATTACTGACTGCTTTTATATACAGGGTGTTGTTTTCTGACGCAGCATTGGGGGGGGATGTGTTAAAAAATGCAACTATTTATAACTACACATTTTTCAAAACACATGAGAACAATTGCTTGTTGGGCTTTATTAAAACTTAACATTAAGGAATAAGAATATTTATGTACAGTTGACAAAGATGTGATGCATCACCACTGGTCCTTCTTGGTCTGCGATATTGAGTCATTTTTATTGTGAAAAGTGTCTCATCAGAGTGAAAATACGCAAATCAAGATGATCTGGAGTGATCAAGGTACACATTTATCATACCAGATCAGTATATATTCTCTTATTCCTTAATTATTATTGATAGTGATGAATAAATATCTTTTTTCTCAATAAATCGTGTCTAAAAATGAAACACCCTGTATTATATTTTTTGCCAACATGGTAAAATAGAGTTTAAACTATTTATAAGAACAAATTTATTTATTACTTTATTGTTGTGATAGGCAAAAAGTATTGCCTGCTCTATAGAGTTTCTGATTGTAATCTGTTTTAGCATATAAGGCGATAACCCTGGGACATTAGATGGTCTCAATTCAATCGAAGGTATTCTATAAGGCGAGTTAAGGGATTGAGATGATGAATTCGAGGCACTTATTTCATTAGTTCCAGCAAAGGTTCTTCTGACATCTACCTTCCTAGTGGCCAGAGATGTAGGCGTTTCTGACAAAGAGGCCGAATTCGAAGTCGAAGCTGAGGTAGGGGAACTTCCAGTTGTGGACAAGTGGGTTGAAGGGGTTGAGGAAGTGACAGAATTTGAATTGGTAGGAATTGTAAAATTAGAACAGGAGGGAAAAGAATTGATGAGTGTTGAATCTGATGACCTAGTAGAAACGGAGGTGAAAATTTTGCTGCATGATGGGGCGGGGGTAGAACATGAGATGGGATCGGAACTTGAACTGGATGTTAACTTAGACGAACTAGAAGATACAGATGAATGAATAGATGTAGTTTCTGCTGTACTAAAATTTGAGGCAACTGGGGTTTTCTGGCAAAAAGGACACGACCTACGACCACTAGTGACCACTGGATCAGTTCCTCTATCCATCTAAAACAAAATATAAATTTTTAATTTTAAAAAAATTCACAGCATGAATAATATAGCAAATAAAGAGGAAATAACTCACAGATTCCCTAGTTTCACTACTTCCTCCATGTGTACTTGATGGTCTTCGTATATTTAAAAACCGCACGTTTCTTTGTACAAGATTAGAAGAAGAATTGGATAACCTCGAACATGAAGGTAGTGAAGATAAATGAGAAGTTTCTGTAATATTGCTGGAGGCCATGACATTGGTTTCCTGGCAAAGGGGACACCAGCCTCGACTCCTACTATTACTAGTTACCATCGGGTCTGTTCCTCTGTCCATCTAAAACAAAAATAAAAAGGATTTTACTCAAAAATTAAAATATAATCTTAAAATGTAAAAAAAATTACTATATTGCATAACACAACACAATTTGACCAGTGTTAGGGTAACAACAGCTACTGTCACATTGGCTTTTGACCAAAGTGTTATCGAGAGACAAACCAAATTGACGAGTCATCTATAGTTGTAGCGTTATGCTCTCACGTGGTACTGCCTGTCGGTTTTGAAACTGATCAGGCAGTGGTCGAGACAACCCTAGAGTAGTTGTGAAAATACCTAGTATTCAGTCAGCCCCGGCACATTTGGCATTTCTTTGGACAGTTCATACCACCACTTATTGGCTTTTTAATATATTTTTTTTTTTTTTATTGAATCCAAAATGCAACAAATAGTTGTGGAAAGGTTGAAGTATCAGAGTAGTATCAGTAAAAGAAATAAAAAATATCAGAGAGGTTGAAAAACCTATTGCTTTGTGGGACATGAGAACTCCCAAATACAATGATTGAATGAAAATAACAATATGTGTATTTATATGCCTAATAATGACACATTTTGAGAAATGCCAGAGTAGAGAACTTAACACATTCGTTACAGCACTAATTTACATAGACTCTCCCAAGATAGGGCAAAAATTCTGATCAGAATTTTTTTTTCAAAAAATCGTTTAAAAAAGTCCAAAAGGTCAAATCAAAAACTGGTCATCAAGTAATGTTGCCACAGCAATACTATAGGTTTGTGACACCGATTTGATTCCAAAAATACCTTAACACCCCACAACTAGCTTCAAAACGGAGGTTTTCAAGAACCATGTCTGTATATGGGGAAGCATTTAGTGCATCATTTCAGAACGACAATCATAACGAATGTATTGTTAGAAAAAGTTGGGAAGGACAAGTTTAAAAATATGTTAGATTTATTTCTTGCAGATTGTTCTCTCATAATTTCTCTCTGGGAACTCTTCACAGAAATTTCTTGCATTACTGGTTATGCTACAATACGATAAACACTGCGGTCAAAAACTCCAAACCACTGCATGTGCATTGGCGTTACAAGCTAAACATAAATTAAGTGAAATTAATTACCATTTGCCTGGTTGTTGTACTGATAGATCTACTGAATGAAGGTACTGGTGGTGTGTTGGTAGATGTAGTTGCTGTTGTAGTCCTTGTTGAGTCCAGGGAAGCAGGGGTTTTCTGGCAAAGAGGACACCATCTAGTGCCACTATTGACTATTGGATCAGTTCCTCTGTCTACCTAAAACAATTTTTAAACTTTAACATGTAATAATAAAAATCCAACAAGATAATAGATTCATTGCTTTAGCTTAAAATACAAATATTTGAACATAAAGAATGTGATATGGCAATATTATCGAAGAAGAAAATTTAGTCGCAAAAACTACCCATTTGGCCTACAAATTTAAAGATACTCGCCATAATAACACAACATGAATAAATTTCACAAATAGAGAACTACATTTCACGATAGTTTTGCACCATCTGCATTTATACTTATATCAATTATTTTAGTTTTTACATAGTAAAGTAATGGAAAGTTCTTTTCATGGCAAGGAGCAGAAAAATCCACTCATCTGAGCTTCAATGACCATGAGAAGCCAAGATCCTTCTAATAAATGCGTTAAAATTTATTTATTTATTTATTCACGTTTCCCAATCACAAATGTATACAATAAAAGGTCATAGGGGTACAAATGGGTACTAGGCGTCTCTAATAGCTTCTAATACCCAACTCCGACTTTCCACCTTCACGAAGCTTACGCGGGTGAACCCTGTTAATTTAACAAACGGAAAGAGGGGTATGGAGGGACAGGAGCTGGACCTGATATCTCCTAATCCCAAATCCGATACCTTACTCCTCTTCCCACCCTACACTACACCCTATCCTAGCCCCACACTCCAGCCCAAATCTAAGGTGTTATGTGATCCGTGCCGATGGATGAATGGTACAGGGGTAACTGTGCCAATAACGGAGCCACAAGGGCACAAGGTGACACCCTTGAGTAAATAACCTTACACCGGAGAGTGCGGACCTTTAGATCCCTCCCACTCGTGGGAACCTGCAAAGGAAGACCCCAAAAACCAAATTGAGGAGGGCTCTGAACCCTCTCCAATTATAACCCAAGAACTGGAAGGCAATCTTCTTGCATCACCTTCTGCAGATGTGGGAGGGGGTCTTCAGGAAAAAACCAAACCAGAAGATGAAACCACTCCAATGGAGGTGACGGAGAAGATTGAGGAATTACATCTAAAACCCCAAAAATATCTGGGACACAAAGGCATAAAATGGCTATTCAAAAAGCCAAACAACAGGGGGAACCTATCCTGAAAAGAGCCAGAAAAGGGAAACAAAACCCCAATGTACACTTCCGGACTCCGGCACCAGGGCCAACCACTGGAAGTGTTGACCCCAAAAAAACCAACGAAAAGTGGCAAAAGGGTCAGGTCACTGGGTAGCACCACATCATCAAGTGGAAGTGCTCCTAGGACATGCCCCAAAAAAAGAAAAATTGAGGGAGGCGGTGTGAAGCGGAGGGCACTGGCACATACCAGCAAGCCCTCAAAGCACTAAAAATGGCTGTGGTGTTGGAGGAATACCCGGAAAAAGAATTAACAACTGATCAGGGCAGAGCCGTTCAGCGGGCCATCCTGACTGAGGTCTGGAAGTGCAAAAACTCCCAAGGACCTCAGTTCAGGAATTGAGAGGAGCTGTCCTGAAAACCTGCGAAAATCAGAGTGCCAAGGAATGGCTCATGGCAACGATGCCTACCATCTACCGCAAACCTTAGGGTAGGCCCCTACAGAGAAATTATAAAAACCACTATGGTGGCTATGTGTGTGCCGGATGCTGACCTTCCGGGCCCTACAGATACTACCACCATTCTGGGGCTGATGGTATCCCAAAACCCAGGTATCAATCCGGGAAATGGAGAGTCATCAGCCAGAGGACAGAAGATTAAGGTAGAAGTCTAATCCTGGTGTGCTGGTGGTTGACATAGATGATTTATCCTTTGGGGTTAACCTAAAACTCTACCTTTTGGCTTTGCAATGATAACCCTAAGGGTCATCAAGAAAGCAATAAAGAATGATGCTGAGTGTGCTTCAAGCAAACCTCCAGCACAGTAAGGCTGCAACGCTTATGCTTTGTTGTGTGGTCAAGGAGAAAAACATCGATATAGCCTTTATCCAAGAACCCTGGCTAATAAAAGAAAGAGTAGCTGGGCTGGGAGATAAGGGAAGAAAAATCATCCATGACCACATGCACAAAACGTAAGAACATGCATTTTAATTAAAAATGAACTACAATGTCTAGTCACTTACGAGCTCTGTTCCAGGGACCAAACAGTAATTAGGCTAAACTATAGGAAGAAAGGAGTCAAGATGGAAATATTGATGGCCTCAACCTATATGCCTTATGACTCACCGGAGAGTCCTCTCAACACGACACGCAAGGATGGCACAATTACACAGAAGACAAACACTTTGAGCCCTGAAGATGATCTCAATAAAAGATCGAAACGGCACGATAAAGAAAATGTTTTTCTGAAACCTACATCACACCCGACCACATCTCATGATATCTGAATAATTATTAACAAAGGATCTGAACCGACTTTTTAACTAGCAGACGACAAGAAGTTATTGATATTACTCTTGCTACCCGCTGTATTTCAAACCGGATAGTGAATTGGGCGGTCTCTGAGGAGATATCTAACTCAGACCACTGACACATATACATGGAAATCACACAAGTTGATAAGACATGTAATGTGAGTTGGAACCCCCGAAACACAAACTGGGAGAAATACAGCGAGTTGCTGGAGAGAAATACACTAACTACAATATCACTAATATCAAAAGCACCCACGATATTGAGCTAACTTCTACACAAATAAACTCATATCATGAAGCATGCCCACAAACCACCTACAACAACAAGAAGAAAATTTGCTGGTAGAATGACAACCTGGTGCCACTAAGAAAGAAAACTCGCAAACTCTGGAATAAAGTGAAAAAACGGAGAATACTGAAAAACCCTAACAGAATACAATAGGGAAATTAAAAAGATGAAACAGGAATCGTGGAGGAAATATTGCAAAGAAATTGAAAACATCATTGAGGCAAGTAGACTCCACAAAATCCTCGCCAAAGACCCTATAAACCCCATCGGAACACTAAAAAAACTAGATGGAAAACACACAAACTGGAAAGGAAACATTGGAAATCCTAATAAGCACACACTTTCCGGAATCAAAAACTGTTGCCAACCTGGAGATAAAGGTGCTGAACCCGCCAAAGGCCATAAAGCCAGCAGGGAAGATTGGCAAATAGCCAAAACAGTAATCACCTATGGTAAGATTGAATAAGCTATCGATAACTTTAGCCCATTCAAATCTCCAGGAACAGATGGGATTACCCAGTACTACTACAAAAGAGAAAAATAACACTAATCCCTCTACTTGTAAAAATATACAGAAGCTGCCTGGCAATGGGATACATCCCAAGCATATGGAGAACTGTAAAAGTAGTTTTCATTCCTAAAGTTGCTCGGAATAACTACACAGATGCAAAATCATATAGACCGATTAGTCCTTTCTACTCAAAACACTTGAAAGGCTAGTTGAAAAACATAAAAGGGGCAGTTCTTTAAAAGAAAAACCCCTTCAGAAATATCAACATGCCTATCAGAAAGGAAAATCATGTGAGTCAGTACTACATCAATTGACGATACAAATAGAGGATTCACTGAACAACCAAGAACTAGTATTGGGAACTTTGTTGGACATTGAAGGAGTATTTGACAACACTCCTTTCGAAGCAATGGTTACATCACTCAAACAGCAAGGAACAGACAAAACCTGCTGTAGATGGATAGAATCAATGCTAAAAAGCAGTAAAGTGCAGGCCTCAATGTTCAACGAAAAAGTAGAAGCAGTGGTGGCGAGAGGGTGTCTGCAAGGAGGAATACTCTCGCCTCTGCTGTGGAATATGATAGTGGATGACCTCATATGCAAACTAAATGAAAGTGGAATTTACACCCAAGGCTATGTAGATGACATGCCATACTAGTCAGGGGGATATTCGATTCAACATTAAAAGAGCTCACCCAAAGAGCACTAAACCTGGTGGAACAATGGTGTTTAAAACGGGGACTTAAAGTAAACCCCTCAAAAACCACCTTAATTGCTTTCACCAAGAAAAGAAATATAGAAAAACAAGGATTATGTTTCTATAACGAAATGCTGCAACTAAAAAATGAGATCAAATACCTAGGAATAATCTTTGATAAGAAATTAACCTGGAATCCTCACCTGCAACATACTGTGGCAAAAAATAAAATATCACTAATGACCACAAGAAGGACCTAAGGCAAATCTTGGGGATTAAAACCGAAAATGGCCTATTGGCTATACATGGCAGTAATAAGACCCAGAATAACCTATGGATCACTAACCTGGTGGAACAAAGCTCAATAAAAAGTAGCTACCCAAACATTAGGCAGCATAAAAAGACTAGCAAACCTATGTATCAAAGAGGCTATGAGAACAACCCCTATTAACAATAGTAACTTTGTGTGGTGATTAGTGACCGTTAATCGATATTTATTTAGAAATCGTGAGATTACATACAGAACAAAACAAATATAAATGTAATTTCTTAGAAATGGTTTATATCAACCGAGATAAACACAGCATCAATTACAGAACAGATACATGTAAACTCAGTCGCAGCTACGCCAATATCATTAATCAAATTCAATACAGATAACATACCTATATCATCACATTACATTCCACACATCAAATATTTTTCACATAGTCTAATTTTCCAACAATTTAGCTTTCCTTTTCCTATTTATCCCTTTCTATATAATCCTGAAAGGATAATCTGGCCGAACCATTACCAACACATTTTTTCCCTTCGTCGGCTCTTTTCACCTCAAAGAAGCCGACGCCTTATACAAAAATGTCTTTTCTATACCGACTTCCTTCCCCACCCCTTCAAAATCCAACGTATATAAACATAAAACAGCAAAATCTCACTGGCACTCTCAACACGACACGCAAGAATGGCACAATTACACAGAAGACAAACACTTTGAGTGAGTAGAAATACTTTGATTGAATATAAAAAATATATTTTGCATTGTATAAATTCACTTTTCCACATCCTAAATGTATTTGTTAAATGTAAACAATGTTTGTAAATCCCAGGCCCTGAAGATGATCTCAATAAAGATCGAAACGTTGGCACGATAAAGAAAATGTTTTTCTGAAACCTACATCACACCAGACCGCATCTCACGATTTCTAAATAAATTAGTAACTTTGCTAAACCTACCTCCACTGGAAATATTCATACAAGGAGAGGCTAGGAAAAGCTCACTTAGGCTCTAGAAACAATTAAATTGGAAAGGAACTAAACAATTTGGGCGTACAACCATAATTAAACGAGGGCACGCTCATGCCATTCCAGAAAAACTTATGTGTCCCGCCGCCGTCTCAGTATTTCGAAGAGGGCAACTTTCCAGATTACCTCATGGCTTGTGAGATTCTGCGACAGGGTTTTGCCAAGCTGACTGTTCGCTCCAGGCTCAAGGCTGGCCAATCACTTTGTCAGGAAGAGATTTTGTAGGAATCGCCCAGACCGCCTCAGGAAAAACACTCGCTTATATTCTACCAGCAGCAGTCCATATTAATCACAGCTGAGGTTGTCAAGAGGCGAAGGGCCGATCACTCTCATATTTGCCTTCACACGCGAACTCACTCAACAGATCCAGACAGTGGCCCAGGACTTTGGCTCACCCTCGATGATCAGAAACACCTGCACTTTTGGTGGAGCACCCAAGGGGCTGCAGGCTAGGGACCTTGAAAGGGGAGTTGAAATCATGATAGCGACACCAGGCCGTCTGATCGATTTTCTCTAGAAAGGGACGACGAATTTGAGACGGTGCACGTATCTACTCCTAGCGAAGTGCATGCTCGACATGGGCTTCGAGCCACAGATCCAAAAGATAATAGAGCAGATCAGGCCTAACAGGCTGGTGCTGATGTGATCTGCAACATGGCTGAAAGAAGTGCAGGCCCTAGTCAAGGATTTCCTCTCAGACAACATTCAAGTCAACATCAGCTCGCTCGAGCTCGCCGCTAACCACAACGTATGTTAGATCGTTGAAATCATAGACGACTGCAAAAAGGAATCCAAGCTGTCATTGCTACTCAGAGAGTTGGGGTCAGAACAGGGATTCAAAGCAATCATATTCATTGAGATGAAGAAAAAAGTGGACGATATCACAAAACAGATAAAAAACAAGGGATGGCAAGTCCCAACAAGAAAGAGACTACGTTTTGACTGAAAGCCACTCATATTATCTTCGAATACGAAGCAACAGCTCAATGGAGATTTAACCTAACATAGGAAAAAAACTTAGGAACAAGGAAGGTACAAGCAAGCCAGAAGGCTGCAGTGCCTGGGGTGTGCAGCAAGTCCCGCTTCCTAGTATACTTTTTCACCATACCATACCATACCTTTAAAGTCATAACTATAGATAAATTTAGAAATATTTATAGTAATAAGATAAAACAACAGTTTAGAATGAATAGAAACAATATGAAAATGTATTAACACTATATAAATATATATCAATTATTAATTATAATCAAATTAATTATATTAATGTTACAATATTTAATTTTTTAATTTGCTTAAACTGCATTAAATATTTATAATTAAATTATAAATAATAATAATAATTAAACATTAAATATTTTCTAATAAGTTTAACAAATTTGTTGTTCTTGGTATAAAACTGAATTTGGCGCATAATTAGTTGGCATTTTGACCGGAGAATGTAATTTGACTTCTGGAATGATAAGATGGAACATGAAAATTAATTCAGTTAAGCAGTAATGGGCAATCAGTTAAGGAATGTAATTATTTAAACAATAATACACAATCAAAGAAATTCCTTCTGTACAGAACAGTCGTCTATTTCAGATCTGTCATTAACAGTAATATCTCTGTATTCTCCAATTGCTCTATAATGTATCAGGCACAAAAATCTTTTTTGAACCGCTTCTAATATGGGTGGATTGAAAGGGAGCCCAAAGAGGTGAACAGTAATCTAATGTCTTACTGTGGATATGTATAAAATTTTAAGTGTGTAATTTTTAAAATAACATATATTACTTTTTAAAAATAGTTTATCAATTAAGTCAAAATACTTACTGTTTGCTTTCTTGTTAGGCTGCTATCTCTGTCACTTCTTTCAATATTACTATGTGAAGTTCCTCCTGAATCTGAGCACTGAACATTTGGTTCTACCATATTAAAATTAGAACTTGAGGCTGTAGTGGAACAGGAAGGTCCAGGTAAATTTGCAGATGTTGATTCTGTTGCAGTAGTTGGGCTTGGGTTAACAGTTTTTTGGCACAGAGGACACCAGTTCCTGGAGGGAATGAATCTTGTAACTATCATTGGATCAGTGCCTCTGTCCACCTAAAAAATTATATGTTCATTTTATTATGTTAAATGTTTAATTTCATTGAAAATTCCTTACTGTTTGTCTTGTCACGTTGTTAAATCTGATTCTTCTTGGTACTCCTGCATTCATCAGCCTTACATATCTTTCTTCCAGCTGTTCATACTCTTCCATATACCGGCAGTATACTGCCACCATCCCTTCATGGTCAGAATGAGAGCATTGATTAGTCAACGTCCCTATCTTATCCCATTGGCTCGTAAGTTCAGGAGCATTTGCAATACCGGTAATGAGTTTATGTCCATATCGATCAAATGAGACATACCTGAAGAGGACAAAAAATTATAAAGTAGGCTCACAAACTTATAAAAATACTTCTATACCTGACTTTTTCTCTTTCATTAGATGTACTGCACTTTGCAAATGGCGCCTTTCTACTCCAATCCCAGAAATGAACTTCGTTATAAGAAGCAATTACTAAAACATGATCAGTTGGGTGGAAAGTAAGGGAAGCGATTACTGTTTGACTTTCAGCTGTCCAAATTTCACTTTCTCCCTATTTGAAAAACGTAATGCATAAAAAATTTTGGCAAAGAACTTTTTTTTACAACGGTATTTTAACTACGAAGTTATATGAACCCTCAGGGTGTTGGTGGTTTTGTAAACAAAAACTTATTTGTTCCATCTTTTTCAAATGCAGGGGTGGTGGATTCAGACCCAAAACCTTTACCTTGCAGTGATGAGGGCCATGTCAATGCCTAAACCGTTGTGGCCACTGACGCCTCCCCCTCCCCAAAGTTCATAAACAATTTAGCACAATTTAAATAGGTTTTGTTTTCGTTGGATGTTGGAGTCCATTTTTGTTACTTTTTCATTGAGGAGTTGGCACAGGAAGAAAGAAGACAGTATATACATACTTTTTAAAACAATAAATTTTCCAAAGAAGCATTTCAGGAAGGGTGGCTCTGGATGAATGCCCAACCTTACCCTAAAGAGTTCTGGTGATAAAAGATTGTCACCAATCTTTATTTTGGTAAAACATGGCATTATAATAACTTACAATTTTTCAAGGGACCACTCAGGAGCTGCAACCACCATGAGAAATATAGCACAAAGCTAAAAACTACGACATAATACTAATTAATAGCTGTTAATGTTATATACATACAAGTTATAAATTTTACTCAAAGACACTCGTATTAAAAAAAAGATTTATTTATTATATATTATTAAAGTTTACAATTAACTTTACATAAAAGTGAATAACTTTTAAAATAAAAATTAGGACAAGGTCGTGATTAAGATGCGGTTCAACTCCAAATCTGGGTCTGAGTCTGTGTATGAGTCTCTTGAAAATGGTGGGAGAGGGTCTAATATCTCTGTAGAGTTGCTGAGTCTGCAGGATCTATTATGTTGACAGAAGCAGCCGTTGTGGATGTCACTTACATATTCACAGTGATTCAACTGTCTTGATAATACAAACTCTTCATCAGCAGGTCTGGTCTGTTTGATAAATAATTTTTTTTTGTGTTTTTTTTTATATACTCTGTAATAGGAAACATTTTTTCTAACAGGAGGAGAGAGAGGATTGATTTTGTAAATTACATCAGACTTATTTGTTACTGGTGTGGTCTTTAATTTTGGAAAAAGTGTGTGAATTGTTTTATAGTTTTTAAAGGCTATTTTAAAGTTATCAGAAGAGAGAAATGTGTTTAATTTATGTGATAGGCCGTGAATGAATGGCATGGAAATATATGTTGGTTTCTCTGTATTTGATGTGGTATTATTAGTAATAGCAGATGGTGTTAGTGTTGAATTATAGTTGTTGATTATTCTATTGATTATGTATTTAGGGTAGTGATTGTTATGTAGGATATATTTGTATATCTTTGTTCTTGTGTTGAAAAGATTCATGGCTTAGGGTAATAATTCTGTGAAGTAACCCTTTGGCCGTGTTTATTATTATATGAAGAGGATGGTGTGATGTAAAGTTGAGGTAGCAATCTGTTTCTTGGTTTTCAATATCAATCTGTGATTAATGTGCCATTTGGTTGTTTTATTACGTGTGTGTCTAAAAATGATATTGTTTTGTTGTTTTCAATTTCATGTGTAAATTGTAGGTGTGGGTGAAAGCTGTGACATGTATCTAATGTAGTTTGAATTTGATCTGTGGGAACTGCTGTTAATATATCATCCACGTATTTAGTGAGGAAGGGTAATATGAAAGAAAGTTGTGGTATAACTGTGTTTAATAGATGTGTCATAATTATATCTGCAAGTATCGGGCCTAGGTTGTTACCAATGGCTATGCCAAATAGTCGTTTGTAAAATTGATTGTTATACGTAAAATATCCATTAATACAGCAGTGTCGAACCATTGTTATTAACGTGTTTTTTGATAGACTTGTGTGTGGTGTTATGTTGGGCCATTTATCTTTAATAATGTTCAGTGTTGTGTCTACTGGAATGTTGGTGAACAATGATGAAACATCTAGGGATATGAGAGAGTAGTGAGAGGGGATGTGAATATTATTAATTTTGTTAATGAAATGAAATGAATCTTTTACGTTATACGTGTTATCTGTGATGTTGAGTATATTAGTTAGGTATTTTGTCATGTTGTATGTAGGGGAATTTTCAAATGAAATTATTGGTCTTAGAGGATGTTCAGGTTTATGTTTTTATAGATCCGTATAGTTTCGGGGGTATTGGAGAATTGTTTTGAAGTGATTGTGAGTGTAGATGTATGTGTCAATTTCTTTTTGTTTAAGTGTTTCTTGAAGGATTTTGTTTCTCTGTTTGATGAGAGAAGGGGTAGGGTATGATTTAATTGTGCTGTATGTGTTTCTGTCATTGATAATTTTATTAATTTTTTCCTTGTAATCTTTTTTGCTAATTGCTACTGTTTGTTTTGTTTTATCAGCAGAAAGAATGAGTATGTCTGGATTATTTTTGAGAAATGTTTTTGTTTTGGTGTATGTTTGTTGAGCTATGTTGTGTTGATTTGTAGTGAGGTGTTGTAAGTGATTTGTTACTGTTAATGCATTTTGATCTTTTTCTTCTTCGGTTTTTGTTGACTTTTGGATTGCACAGTCTACATCAGTAATTAATTTAGCTGTTGGGAAATCTGTTTTGTTGTAAAGAATGGAATGTTTGGGACCAAGTGATAGGAAGTTTTGGATTTCTGGAGGTAGTTTTTGTTAGGTTTAGAAACCAATTGTGTTATCAGGTGTTTGTCAATTAAGTTGTTAAGTTTTATGGTGGATTTGTTTTTAATTTGATCGAAGTGGAAATTGTATGCCTCTGTTTGATATTTGTAGAAATTTTTTAAAAACATCTGTAGGTATTATTTTGGTGGTACAAAGTTTTAATTGGTGTGAGTTTTGTGTTAGTGTCTTAATGTTTTTAATGCTGGTAGTGATTTCTATGATTAAAATGTTTCTTTTGAAATGTATTGTGGCCTCATGTATGTCATTAATTTTGGTGTTTGGTCGTGTTAATGAGGCAATTGTGAAGTTTAAGTTGTTTTTTATGTGAGTAGGAAATACCTTGTATTGTCTGCATTTCAACAAAAAAGTTCTCTGATGGCTGATGCAAATTTCTTTTCATGGTTGGCGATGTCCTTCAGAGTACTCTTTGCTTAATGTCCATATGTAGGTGAAATCTATTCATAGAATTCCATGTTCTTCGTTCTTCTCGTGTAGAAATGTGTGGTGTTTAGTGACCATTAGTTAATGATTATTTGGAGATCGTGAGATGCAGTCTGATGTGGCGTAGGTTTTAGAAAAATATTTTCTTTATCATGCCAATGTTTCGAACTTTATTGAGATCATCTTCAGGGCCTGGGATTTATGTTATTATTATTTTTTTTTTTTTTTTGTAATATTCTCTAAATTTCCTCATACTGTTTACTTCCTTATATCCTAAGGTTTTTGAATTTTGTTACGTCGGCAGTCAGAATTTGTCAATGTTTACTCAGCACTGGTCACTTTGAAAAATCATTTAGACAAAAAAAAGTGCACTCTAATAAGTTTATAACATTAATTTTTAAAAGCGAAATATAAAATAACAAAAGTCACTGTCACGGATCAGATTTGAACCCAATCTTCAGAAAGGTCTGAAGACCATGGGTCAAATCCCATCTAATACATTTACTTTTTATCTCAAATTTCGTCTCTAAAAATAAATATGAATGAAACTGAGCCCAATAAAAAATAACAATTAAGTTTACAATGATAAGTGTAACATATAAGAGAGAACCCATTAAATTTATCAACCATTTGTCCTAGGCCTGCCAACATTAATATTTAACCACACATCTGCTTAACACATTCACAGCTGGATGTGTTTCCTTTGAATTTTTTATCAGGTAAATTTTATTTTTTGAAGCTTAATCTGCTGTGAAAGTGTTAAGAAGTTTTTAAAGTATTCTACTTCCAAAGCAGACTGTTTTTTTACAAAGTAATATCACGCTGATTTTTGTTGTTTAATACAATTTTTCAATAAAACTTACTTGCAGATCCCATACTCTAACTTGTCCGCCTAAACATCCAGATGCAAGAATCTGATTGGAATTAGGATGAAATGCTATACACCATGGAGTTCTTGGGTGGCCGGTTAACGTTTTTATGTGTTTACCAGTTGTAAGATCACTTATATATACATTGCGATTTCCATGTGTTGAAGCTATGAGTTTCCTGGAAAAAAATTAGGGTGTATTTTAAATATTACATATTTGGTATAATGTAGCGTATTTAACAATTATATAAAAAATTAGGCTAAAATGATCTATCTGTGCTAACGGTTGTCTTATGATTTAAGTTCTGGTGACATATGAAATAATCCCCACCACCCCTATGCTATTTTAGACTAATTAATTTGTAGTGAGGGTTTAACTTTAGCCATTGTTAAATATAATAAAAATTATTTTTTCTTTTTATTTCACCCTTGATACCATGTTTCGTCAATTTTCATCTTTTATTTATTTTATTATTTGTTTTGTGTACAAATAACTCTCACTGTCTTTAAGAACACTGAATTTCCTTTCTGAAAATTATAATAAAAGTTTGTTTTTTTTAATTGGAGACAATATATTTTAAAGTCCTAATGTAGCAAAGAATAACTGAATGAAGAAGACTGGAAAAAAATCAACCAACAACCTTGCTGTTTATGTTTGGCACAGTGAATGTATGAGGAGTTCAAGACACTCAGACCGAATTTGTAGAAGGGGTCAATCAAGATTAAAAATATAAATTGTTTGTAGATTTCTTCTGTTTTTTTCCTTCTCAGTAAACATTTTTGTTCTATCTTCCTCCCAAGCTGATGGTTTTGCAAGAAATCCTAAGTTGGAATTGTAAAGAACTAAAAAAGCTCTCACTCTTCATCTGATATCATAATTCAAATCATCCCTTCAATTAATTTGGTTTGTTTAATTGTCATGTAAGCCACTATCGCATTTCATTGTACATAAAGTAAAATAATTACAGGAAGTTTTGCATCCAACTGATTCAAGGGGAATGTACAGTAGTTCAGACTATCCTAAAACTTGCTCAAGTTCAATTATCAAAGAAAATTCCTTAGGCTGTGCTGGTAGTCAAACCCCTAATAAATATGAGACATTTGATTTATTGTAGAAACGATCTCCTTTTTCAATATCAATAAAAGTAAGTAAAATGAGATAAATACTGTTTTAATTTTAACTAGTGATCAAGGATTACAAGAACTTTAAAAACTTGAACATTACAGAGTATAAAAGGGCTGAATCAAAGCGAACTTCTCCTTGTGAAGGTCCGTTTGGTTTTAAAACTTACTAACACTCCTGTTGTGACTTATTTTTTTGTTCGAAATTCCTTTTTTCCTCACAATTCTCCAACACAAAATGATTTTTACCAGTCTAGGCTTACTGTTTCTATCTGCCATTAGCATCTTAGCTTCTAGCCATCTTCAATGGTGGTTTTTAATGGACGTAAAGTTTGATTAACTATACCCACAATTGTGGATGCCTAACAGACAAAAACAGCAAAGATGGGCAAGCGATTATTAGAACAACCAAACTATAGGTTTCAGACAGTGCAAATGCCAAGAGGAAATCTCACAACTTTTTTTTCTCAATTTTTCTCATTTTTATGTATTTATTAAGACATTATTTATGAATAAATTAGTTTAATGTTCAAACTATTTTGTTAAATAATCTTTTTATGTAAGGCCTTGTTGAAATGAAAAAGTTAGTGTCACGAGCAGAATTCGAACCCACGACCTTCGGCTTTTTCATTTCAACCAATACCTTACACATAAAAAGATTAATTAATTGAAATAAGTTATATGGTCAATCAGACCACGAAATATAATGGATATTTTGTTAAAGTTATAAAAATGGTGATGGTGGCCACAACTGTTTGGAGTGGACTCAGAGCTCATTACTGAAGGTAAGGTCCCGGTTCCAGTGGCCATGCATTCGATCCCAACATACTTACAAATGGGGTTTTTTCAATGAACATTTTTATTTATAAGTCACCTACATACTAAATTAATGAACATTTACAAAACATTATTTTAGTTTTTCCGTTAAAAAAATATTGGATTTAAAAAGACCTACCTAGATGTTATTTTTGTACCAACGGTGTGAGTGCCCAATTACTTTTGGAAATGTTGCTAAAAGTTTATTTTAGATAAGAAACAAACCAAAATAGCGTATTTTTCTAAGATTACCAGTTTTCTTTAAAAACTTTTTTTTAGAACCTAAATTTTACTAGTGCTGAAAAACAAATCAGATATCAACTATTTTAAAGAAATATTGTAAAGTTTAGAATCTAAATGGTGGAATATTTTTATTGTTGAATTGTATGCTATCAAGTTGCTTATGTATATTTTGAAATTTGTTTATCAAAACTTTGATTTATTACCAAAGGAGTGTGTAGATTTGAGTACAATTTCAATATTTTGTCAACATTATCACTTTTCCTTGGTGCTTATCTCCAATTAATTTAAACAAAGTGCACGACCCCAAATATTAATCTTTAAAATAAAAGCTTTTTCTTTATAAGCTGTTGCACAATGAAGATAAAAAGAAATTTAATTTAATTACCTATCAGCGCTGAACACCATAAGAAACGTTGATCTAGCCACCTCCGGAAACTTGCATTCCTGAAATTAAAAAAATAGTTGCAGTCAATACAAGCAAATTTAGTCTATTTAGTCAGATTGGACGTACAAATTCCTCATATTCCCTGTTGATCAGGTTTTCCTCCGCTTTAAGCTCCAGGCATTTTGATGGTCCGGTGGCTTTTCGGACACCTCCGATTTCCCTTTCGACAAAACAAGTCGGTATATGTTTCCTCTTGGGCCTGGCATCCGAGGGTTTCTTGACTGAGTCCATTTCATATTTCTACAATTTGTGCAGGGTATGAAATATAATTAGGAAAACAAAGAATCCAGGTTATGCCTGGATTTCCTTTTCTATTTTTGACTTTACTACAATTAGAAAAACCATATTGCTTTGTTAAAAAAATAAGGAAATGTTCTTTACATCCCAGTTTTTTTCTGTATTAGTTTATTACTTGTATATGTTAAAGGAAATATTGATTACCTAATAATTAAGTTGACCAATTTAAAATTTCGTCACATTTATTCCTATTTCAAATTATACACGTGGCGGAATTGTTCGCTTGGGATTATTTCGAGAAGAGCAACTTCTGGGAGGATGGCTCAGGAAGAACGTGACGAACGCCCAACCTCGCCCAGAGGAGTTCCAACTTCGAGTTATGGCGACAAAAGAACGTCCGTATCTTTGTTTTGGTCAAAACTAAGCTTCTAATAACTTACACCTTGTATGAGGAGCCACATGGCGGCAAACCGCCAATATATAAAAACAATATACAAAAATAAAAAATATTTTTATGTATATGCATAATGTATATTGTGTACCAGACATGTACATTATATAATTATAAAAGGCTGTTGGAAAACAAGTAAATCACATAATTTCATTATTCAACACCAGGACATGCGAAACAACTACCAAATTCGCCTGTAATTGCAAAATTAATAAACCCATAAATATTATATGCATATTATATATGTATTTATACATAAATTATGTGGCACAATCTAGAAAGGATTCCATTATATAAATTTCAACCATAAATCCTTTTAACAAGGCTTGTTATGAAAACAATATTTATATAAATTTCATATTTCCAGCATCTGGAAATTCGCAGAAGTCATTATGATATAAAATAAAACTGGAAAACCGGCGAACGAGGTCAAATCATATAGACTAATATCACTACTACCAACAGTGTCAAAACTCTTCGAAAAGTTATTATTAAAACGAATAAAACACATCATAGAAAAAAAGAAAATCATTCCTGACGACCAATTTGGATTCCGAACCAGACATTCAACAATAGACCAAATTCACTGAGTATCGGATGTAATAGAAAAATCTCTTGAAGAAAAACAAATTTGTTCTATCTTCCCTGATGTCTCACAAGCTTTTGACAAGGTGTGGCACGAAGGACTCATCAATAAACTAAAATGGTATGCTACCAAAGCAGTATGTCGATATTATCAGTTCCTACCTAACTGACAGACTGTTTAGAGTCAAACAAGAAGATCAATATTCAAAATTAAAAACAATAAATGCAGGAGTGCCACAAGGTAGCATATTAGGTCCACTGCTTTACTTGTTATACACCAGTGATTTTCCGAAAATAGATGGAGTAAAAATTGCAACTTTTGCAGACGACACAGCGGTGATATCAATAGGACCGACTATAACCCACTCAACCGAAATCCTCCAAAATGCATGTAATAAGATAAACGAATGGACAAAAAAATGGAAAATCAAGCTAAATCAACATAAATCAGTTCATATAATCTTTACAAACAAAAAGGTGGACCATGTTCCGTCGCTCATAATCGATGGAACTACTATACCATACAGCAATACAGCTAAATATCTGGGAATGACCTTAGATGCCAAGCTGAGATGGAAAGAACACGTGAAGAAAAAAAGGACAGAAATAGGTTTAAGGTATAGACAACTATACTGGTTGATAGGACGTGGCTCCAATCTTACTATACAAAATAAAATATTATTACATAAACAAGTCATAAAGCCTATGTGGATATATGGTATTCAACTATGGGGTTGTACCAAACACAGCAATATCAAAATCTTACAAACACTTCAAAATAAAATCTTACGTAATATGGTCAATGCACCTTGGTACATAAGGGATAAGGACTTACACAGGGATCTTAAGATCCCTGAAGTCACGCGGAAATACAAAGATTTGCCGCCAAACACCAGGCTTGCCTCAGCCAGCACAAGAATGTGGAAGCGACCAAACTCTTACATAATCGAAACATGGTCAGAAGATTGAAAAGAACAAAGCCATATGAACTTGTGTAGTTAAAAATGAATAGTGAATAGTGAAATGTAAATTTTATTGTAACAATGGGTTTATAAGAATGTAAACATTTATTTATTCTATAATGGTTGGTCTAATAAGACCAGTTTTAATAAATAAATTTATTTAAAAAAATATATATATATAAATTTCATATATACAAAAGTGCATATATTTTTATAAATTATATTTTAAATAAGAAAGTGCCAAATTTTGGACTTAAAAAAAGACTATAAAAACCGATTTTATTTTGCAGGTATGTATACGTAAACAATTATAAATGTAAAATATTAATACACGTTGTTTTATTGAACTCAGTCAGTTTAAATTAAGTGGTTAGGGTCAATTATGACGGTTAAATGTGTATGGATTAATATAAATTAAGACTTAATTGTTATGAAAATAATATTTATATAACTTTCATATATAAAAAAAACTATGTATTTTTTATTATTTTTTTTCTTTTTAATAAGAAAGTGCCAAATTTTGGACTAAAAAAAGTTTATAAAAACCGACCCCACATTTGACACCCACCCCATTCTATGGGCGGCGACTCCACGTGGTTCTGTAAGCCAATAGGGAAAAAAGATCTACTCAAGATCGATTTTCAGAGTCTGCCTCGATTCGATTTCCTCTGATCAAATCTGATATCCTGTATGTGGTGATTAGTGACCGTTTGTCGATGATTATTCAGAAATCGTGAGATGCGGTCTGGTGAGGTTTCAGAAAAACATTTTCTTTATCGTGCCAACGTTTCGATCTTCATTGAGATCATCTTCAGGGCCTGGGATTTACAAACATTATTTAAATTTAACAAATACATGTAGGATGTGGGAAAAAAATGAATTTATACAATGCAAAAAAAATTATATTCAATCAATGTATTTCTACTCACTCAAAGTGTTTGTTTTCTACGTAAGTGTGCCATTCTTGCGTGTCGTGTTGTGAGTGCCTGTGAGATATTGCTGTTTTATGTTTGTATACGTTGGATTTTGAAGGGGTGGGGAAGGAAGTCGATATAGAAAGACATTTTTGTATAAGGAGTCGGCGTCTTTGAGGTGAAAAGAGCCGACGAAGGGAAAAAAACGTTGGTAATGGTTCGGCAAGATTATCCTTTCAGGATTATGTAGACGGGGATAAATAGGAAAAGGAAAGCTAAATTGTTGAAAAATTAGACTATGTAAAAATATTTGATGTGTGGAATATGATGAAAGTTTTATATGTTATTTTATACATTTTGTGTGATGTGTTGATATATGTATGTTATCGAAGTTATGTAATCCGTTATAATAAAAGTAAAAAAAAAAAACTTTATTTATAATAACGAATACAATTTTATACAACAAGTATACCGGCCAACAACTAGCATAACACTGCGTCTAGCATAAGACTAAGAGTAAGACTTAATAGAAGACTAACGGAAGACTGTCGGCCCTAGCGCCTGAGCCCTATTTATATGGAAGTGAAGTTTGCTGACTCAGATGCTGTGGATTCTGGAAGACGGTACNATTTATCTACAACAAGCGTCTTAGTGATTTTAAAAGATGTTATGCCAGGTCCTTGGGTCATGTCATTAATTTGAATAGGGCTGACTGGACTCGCCAGTGTAAAAATTACTATGCTGACTAGGCTCACCACCAGGGTCAGGAGGGAAGTTTTTTGTGATGCCTCTCTCATCTGAAACAGGCAGAGTATTAGTTGTATTTTTCCTGGGCCTTTTTATCAAACTAGGGTGTATTTTAAAAGATTTTTTATTAACTGTAGCTAGTTTTGTTAATTTTGAGTAATTTCCTCTTTTATATTTGGGTTTGGCTTTCCCGAATTGTTTATCGCGTATATATATTTCGCCTTCTGGGATATCAACAGTTTCTCTATTTCTATTTAATTTATTTGTTCGATCTTCTTTTTCTTTTTCAATAATTCTTTTGATGGCCCGAGACAGTAGTTCCTTATCATCATGATATTCTTTTACCCGTTGTTCTAGAATCAAATCGTCTGAAGGGCTATTATTCGACTGAACCCCAAAAGTTATTTCGTTAGGTGTCATTTGTAAATTTGACATTAATGAATTGTTAAAAGCTATTAAGGAAAGTCGGAGGATTTTAGGTGTTGGATAATTTTTGTCTAGTTTTATGACGTTCATTATCTCAGTGAGCGTAGAATGTGCCCTGTTGATAAGTCCGTTGGAGTCAGAATGGTTCGGGGTGGTGAAATGGGTGTTTATATTATTGTATTTCAAAAAGTTTTCGACTAGCCTGTTTTTAAATTCCGTACCGTTGTCGAACTGTATTATTTTAGGGCAAGGGAATAGGCTGAGATAATCTTCAAGGGATCCTATTATTTCGTTTGCTGTCGATACTTTAATTATATTGGCATAAAGTTTTTTCGAAAAACAGTCTATAAGGGTAAAAATTAGTTTCCCATCAAAATGAAATATGTCTCCTTGAAGTTTTTCGAAGGGTTTAGATGGAGTTGGAGTGATTTCTTAGACCTGCCGTATTGGTCTACGATCGTACTTAACTTCTTGACAGAGAGAACAATTATTAATAATTCCAGTTATACTCTCTAGCATTTTTGGCCAATAGTAGCGCTTAGACAGGCTTCTATACGTTTCATGAATGCCTCGGTGAGCGGTTTTGCCTATGTGCCAGTTAAGTGTAATTTCTTCTTGCTCCGAAGGGTCGATTACATCAAGTTTTTTTGTAAAATATCGTTTTATTTTAACAGAAGGAAATGTTTCTCTTATAATGTTGGACAAGTGGTTGAATATTTGATCATAAATTTGTATGTCAATAGAATTATCTATCTGAGGTGAGCAGAGGATTCCGTATGTTCGATTAGGTTGTAGATATTCAAGGCAGTTTTCTTCTAAGTCTTTCGAATATGGGTATCTAGTGTACCAGTTGTACCTAGTCTTGTTGAAAGGTCTTTCAATGGGAACTTTAGAATCAGGATTTCCACGAGTTATTGTAATTTGGTATTTCTCTACATTGACACCTTTACTCTTATCCTCAATGATTATAATTTGACTATTTGAGGATTCTTGTGAATGTTGTGTCGCTAGATTTGCATTGTCATCTTCTTCGGGGATATGAAATTCTCTGGCTAAATCTTCTATCATATCACTATTATTTTCTGGTGAGGGTCTGGATAAGAATTCGTCAATTATTTCATCGTTTTCGCTGATAGCATAGCAGTCTAGGTGATTTGGTGGGTTACGGGATAAGGCATCCGCTACGTAATTAGTTTTGCCTTGGACAAACTTTATTTCATATTCAAAGTCAGATAGTAGATACTTCCAGCGAATAAATTTTGCGTTCGGCTCTTTCATATTGTGAAGCCATTGTAGGGGCTTGTGGTCGGTTTGTATTGTAAATTTCCGTCCGTACAGATACGGTCTAAAGTGTTTACATGCCCAGACGATTGCTAACAATTCTTTTTCTATTGTAGAATAGTTTTCTTCCTGTTTGTTTAGAGTCCTGGATGCAAAGGAGATAGGTAAGTCTTTACCGTCAAAGTTTTGAGAGAGCACAGCTCCTAGGGCATAATTAGAAGCATCAGTCGTTAAAGTAAAAGATTTATTGAAATCGGGTAATTGTAATATAGGATTATTTTGCAAAAGTGTTTTTAAGGTTTCGAAGGCTTCTCTGTATTCATCGTTTATAATTATGTCTTTGTCTTTACGTAGAGCTTGAGTTAGAGGGCGTGCAATTTTTGCATAATTTTTTATCATTTTACGATAATAACCAGAGAGACCCAAGAATTGTTTTATTTGTTTATGAGTCTTTGGTATAGGAAAAGCTTTAATGGCTTCTAGTTTTGTAGGGTTAGGTTGTATGCCTTTGTCAGAGATTATGTGACCGAGGAAAAGAAGTTCTCTTTTGAAAAATTCGGTCTTATCGAGTTGAAGTTTCAGATTGTGCTGTTTTAATTTTTCGAAGGTTGCTTTAAGGTGCTTAATATGTTCGTCTAAATTATCGGAAAATATAATGATGTGATTGCTAAGATTGGAGGGTAAGCATTTATAAACGTGATAAATTATTTCTTTATCTACGCGTGTTATTATCTGTTTTAAAGTTTCAGCTTCTAGTCTAATATAAACTAAATTCCTCAACTCTTGCACTCTGTTTACAAAATCTATTGGTGACTCTCTAGGGTTTAACTTTGTTTGTAAAACTTCATCTTTTAATATTTCATATGATCTTGAATCAGCGAAACTCTCTTTTAAGTGTGTTAGTAATCCTAATAAATGTTCTATATTATTTGCAAGAAGTATATTTCTAGCTGGTCCTACTAGTCTACTCTTCACTTTAATAAGTAAAATGTTATGATTGTAATCCCTTTCAACTACATTCTCCGCACATAGTATGGCAAACGCGTTCTCTACTATGTCACAGAAAAAGGATAATTCAGACGGGTTACCGTCGAAGAACGGGATATGATCATAATCTTCTTTAGAAATTTTGTAATTTATTTTGGCCATTTTAGGAGTGTTGTTTGGAGGGATTATGAATTTAGGAGGTTTGAGTATTGATGAGTTACTTACGCTAGCTGGTAGTTTATTCTGGCCTTCCAGGTTGATTTCTTGCAGGTGATGCAGTAGATGCTGTAGTTCGATCCGGGGTGTTGTAACCGCGAGTAAAGCACTGAATGCAAGCTAAATTCACTTTAAAGAAAACGGGACAAATGGTCACGATTTATGAATTTTAGCCCTTCGCGGTCCCTGTTCGGGCGCCAGTTATGTAATCCGTTATAATAAAAGTCCAAAAAAAAACTTTATTTATAATAACGAATACAATTTTATACAACAAGTATACCGGCCAACAACTAGCATAACACTGCGTCTAGCATAAGACTAAGAGTAAGACTTAATAGAAGACTAACGGAAGACTGTCGGCCCTAGCGCCTGAGCCCTATTTATATGGAAGTGAAGTTTGCTGACTCAGATGCTGTGGATTCTGGAAGACGGTACCATAACTTTGATGACGGAAAACTGCAAATAACCGAACTTGTAGACACCATCATCATCATGTTAACAAACCACAAATGTTAAGATGTACACAGATGACCTCAAAACTCAAGAAGATACTGGATCTGGCGTTTTTTGTACAAGCACAAAACATGAGCAATCAAACTCATTAGCGATTTACAGAAAGAAAACACGGACGTTTATCTATCTTGAATGTTTTAATTAAAGAAGTAAAATTATTTTTTAGCTTCAATGTGTACAAATACTGAATTCGGTCAATTGACAGTTGAACACTATTACATATTATTCCATATAAATTTAGCGGTGATAATTGACCTATTTAATTATTTCAATTAATTATACTTTTCATCTAGTCCTGGTTGAGATGAAAAAGTATCACGAGCGGAATTCGAGCTCACCACCTTCCCTTCAATGCGCCGTTGCTCTAATCACTTAGTTATCGTGACAAACAAGACTTTTTTTTCATCTCAACCAAGACTAGTTAAAAAGTATAAATAATTGAATTATTATATATTATTCATTACACCTTCTCAACGGAAAATTAATGTAAAAAATAACTAAGCCAAACGTATTTTTACCTAAGGGCATGAAATTATTCTATGCCAAATGAGTAACGTCATAAAATATAATTACCACAAAAAAATTGCATTAAGTTGAACTGTAACTGCGTCTTGTGCAGAGAGGTTACCGAAATGTATGATTAACTTAATTATTAAATTGACAAATTAACATAATTATCTTAATGATTCTGCATGAACATGTGCCATTAGTATTTACTCGTAATATTGCTGCACTTACACTTCGTTTTCAACGAAGTAAAAAAAACAAGTCTTGAATGTACTGAAATGGTAGAGCAGCGGCGTATTTAGCCGGTCGTGGGTGCGAATCCCGCTCGTGACACCGACTTTTTTTATCTCAACCAATACCTTTCCTAAAGATTAGTTATAGTTTAAATTAACATGTTTTAGTTGGTCCTATTAACCGGAGTAATGACTTTAATTGAATATTTTATTGAAAGCGTGGTTGAATTGAAAAATTAGTGTCTCGGGTGGGATTCGTTATGTTTATAACTATTTTACCTCTTTAAAAAATGTATGGGGGACCGCGGTAGCCGAGTGGTTAGCATGAGAGACTCTCACGCCGCGGTCGTGGGTTCGATTCCCACCGTCGCCTCTGGCCCTTTTTTCCCGATAACCCCCAATTTGAACACAAGAATTCGTACTATGGCTAATATGCAAGATAATAAGGCCAATAATAAAAAAAAAAATGTATGGATTACTAACCAACTCGGATTCTCTCGCCTCGGCCTTCAGTGTGGAACGTGCTTGTCCTAGCTCTATTTTATTTCCATCATTTAATAGGATTTTTGTATATTATTAGTATTTTTAATAACCAAAATCGAAAAACAAGTTTTTTCTCGTAAATAAAATATCTGCTATGACAAACAAACAATTTCATACGGCATATGGGGGAAAATTAATGGGTAAATGATAACGAGAAAAACTAAAACGTTTAAATGATTATTTAATTTTACACTTTTTTGTTTAAAATGAGATTTAGATTGTCTAGCAAAGGTAATTTTTTTACTCGGTAGTTATTAATGTACGAATTGATTTGTTTCCAGGATGTTCCTGCCAGAACACCTGTTTCCTTTTTATTTTTTTTATTTTGTAGTCACCAGGGTCCGTTTATGAAAAATTCGGCAAACTCTGTAAAAAGCTCCTTCTTTTCCTGTACACTCCATCTGCTTCTGACGATTTTTGTACGTTGTTTCTTACGTGGGCTTTCAAAACTGTCTTCTGAAAATTTCGATTCTGACAGCATCTCTTTAGAAGAAACAACTATATCTGTAAGAACTGGCCGTTATACATTTCTATTTGTTTTCCTTTTGTTGGGCAAATTAATTGATTTTTCTATACTGTCCAGTTCAGTTTTTTTTTTTTTTACAGTTTATCTCACCATCTGCAAGTTTTAAAAGATTCAGGCCAACTATACCTTTCTCCAGAGCCAATTGAGGGAGCATATAGTTTCCTGTAGGATAACAGAAATTATACATGTGATATTAAAAACATATAAGATCATAGCTGCATTACCTTTATGAGTGCCTGGAGTATGCCCCATAAATTGTGACAGCGCGTTGACATAAGCATTATCTTTCCCTGCGATTTGATTCATTTTAGCAACATGATGTCGAAGCCCTGTTGATGTCATGTGGTTGCCATTTTAAAAAATGTAACTGAAGACTACCACCTAAGTCCCGAAGCACTCCTAAGTCCCGAAGCACTTTACAACCACAATGATATGGTTTTTCTCCTAATTTAGGGAATAAATATTTATTATTGTTTGATATCCCTACGAATTTTCTATAGGCAAAAATTGTGTCTATATTTTTTTTCATTTGATCTCTCAGAAGGACCGGGATGGTTCTTCCACGCTTTCCTGGAATATGAAAGCAATGCAATTATTTAATTGCTTGTTTTTCGTCTTCCATCATAATTTCAATTATTTCGTCTGGAATTGCTTGGCCCTCTCCGCTGGCAGCGTAGTTTCTCAAGGGTATTCTGGCAACTTCTCCCGCTCTTCTCCTATTAAAAACTATAATATGAGCAATTGTGATTTTGCAGAGTTCTTCGTAAGCGTAATATGTTTTTTCCTTTTCAAAACGTTCGGCTAAATATAATTCCATTTCCATAATTTTTTTGCATAAAAGCTTTATATCAGTGGTTTCATTTTTCTCGATTTCTCTGCATTAGTGGATATTTCAAATTTCCATGAGTGGGTGAATATCTCTTTAAAATCATGCAATTTATTTTTAACAGTTTCTCTAGCTGCGCCTGTTAGCGAAGGATTTTGAATTGTTCTCCTTAGTAATATATCAATACAATCCTTAACTGCTGAGCCAATTCGACTTAGCATGCTGGCAATTTGGAAATCACCAGTTCTTTCATTGTACCCACTAATTTCTTTAATGCATCCTATAAATATATTAAAATAAATGGGATCAAACGCCATTTCGAAGCTATCAATGGCTGATAGTTGATTTTTTATTGCCAAATATAATTTCGCTAGATCCCTCATTTTTGATGTGATATGCGTCTTCAAATGGTGCTCTTTGTGGTTACTTAACAGTAAGCCACCATAAGCACATATTAACGGTTCTCTCATAGCTACTCTTGCTATTTCATCATTATTAAACGTCGGAAAAATTTGATCTTTTAAACATTCTGATATTTCATTGTTATCATATGTTAACATGATTGATGAAAACTTGAACACCCTAGACCGGGCTCCATTGTTATGTTTCATTTTGTGCACATTTTTTTAAATGTCTATATAATAACTTTCTTTTGAAAGTACCAGTGCATACTGTATAGTATTGAACATCGCAGAAATTCAGTGTAGGACCTCTGTTTGTGATCATTAATCCATTATGATTTTCTAAAACTTGTTGCTTGTGTAAGTAATTCCCTCTATTTCGTATTTGTTGTGCCAATTTTTCACGTTTTTTCTTCCTTACTTTCAAATCGCTATCAAGAATTTTTAAATATTCGATCACTTCAGATTCTAACCTATGGATATTTACAATGTGTCTAGTAAAATTTCTAACGACTTTCAAACAATAAGGACAACAATTTTTTCTTATCGTAGATTCTTTATCCTTTAGGGGAAAAGGAAGTATTCAATTTTATCGGCGTTTTCTACAAAGAAAAAACGAAGTTATTAGTTCGGTAAGAGTAGTAAATAAACAATTATATAACTTAAACCAAAATACTTAAATAATTCATGAAATTATTCGCAAAACCCAATTAAAATGGAACAATTAGGGCATTTGATTATTAGTTACATTCATATAAAAACACTGAAAAGATTTTGTGAAGTATTTCAAAAACAAAGGAAAACAGAGATTAATTACTTTTTTACGAGGATTCACAACGTAGATCATATCAACCCTCGGGGTGTCGGTGTTTTTGAAAAAAAATTGTAATCATGTTGGGTTCGAATGCAGGGCCGCTGGATTCGGCACCGTTGCTTTTACTTTACTGTAATAAGAGCCACGTCATCACCTAAACTATTGCATTTGTTTACTATTAAACAAGATTTTCGAAAATGGTACAAACATCCTGTTTCAAATTTTTCCTACGAAAGTTTAAATACCTACAACCTATGTTAATATATAATTTCTGAATTGTGTATATTATATGGTAATTTTGTTATAATTAATGAATTCCTACATCCGTAACCTCCCTTTGTGGATTATCATTAATGGCCTTAACAGCTTAGTTGATATAGAAAGAATTGTTTAATGTGTTGAATCTAAGCCAACAAAAATTCCGGTCCAGTATTAAAACCTTTATAAAAGTTTGGCCTTGAATTTGAAAGCTCGCTACACCCTGGGTAAGTTACAAATTACAAAAACCTTCTAATAATATTCATTTTATTATATAAAGATTGGTGTTGAGTGAGATTTTGTCAATTTTCGAGAAACATGGGTGCGCCATTTCTCTCCTTTACCTGCTGATCAATAATGAAAGAAAAATAAATACATTTAAATCAAAAATCAAACCTTTTAATATATTACAATTAATTAACGTTTTTAGTTGATATAAAAAAAGTCAATGGCACGAGCGGATTCGAACCCATGATCTTCGGCTAGATACGCTGCTGCTCTACCTCCCAGCTCAAGTGGTCCGAATCCCGCTCGTGCCATTGACTTTTATATCTCAACTAAAAACCTTAATGAATTGTAAAATATTAATTGGTCAAGCGGACCACGAAACTAGTGAATTTAATCCTTTTGATATACGTTTTTCATTAGATTTATCTATATAAATTAATGCGCAAAAAATTACTATCTCAACCGCTTAAAACATTAAGCAATTAAATGACACGAAATGCAATTGTGTTATAATAGCATTCTGTAAAAGTTAATACCTTATGATCGTTACTGTCCGTGTCTGACTCCGAAAAATCTGGTAGAGCTTCACAGGATTTTGGATACTCCTCATTGCTTGCACTAGCTTCAAGTTTTTTTATATGGTCCACTTTGTTGACACTATCAACTTCAGTTTTAGGTGTAACTTCATCCTGCGGCGATGTAAAACTAAACGATGCATATTAAATGAAAACTAGTACACAAATACTTTTATCTGTGGTTAGAAATTTTGACTCCAGTACAGTTAATTTTGAATTTAAGCTATAAATATTTGAAAATAGTTAAGTATGTAAATGTTTATTTATTTTAAACATAACTAGATTACAATAATTAATAGAATAATGAAAATCTACTAACCTGTTTTTATTAATATTTGTTGTTTTCTTCTTTGTGGCGATGGATTTTAAACTATTTAAAAACTCCATTCTACAACGGTAAGCCATGTTGACGAAGTATAACCAACGAAACACTAAACAACAATGATTTATGCCGACGGATGGTATTTCATTACATTCAAAGAAAAAAGGAAAGGGCTGGTGGTGGGAATAAGTTACCCACCGCTTTTCCTCTTACATCTGGTGGACGGCTCGGTTGATTTTTTTACTTCTAACGTTTTTACGTCCTTTTTGAACCGAATTAGATGGAAAATTAATAAAAAAAATTCGCCTCTTATGAAAATCGACCGAGCCGTCGACGAGATATAAGAGGAAAAGCGATGGGTAACTCAGGGCAACGTCGCAAAAAGGATCAACTAAGTCGTTGGTGTATATCTCCGATTGCGTTCCAGTTTCTTGGCAGCGGCATATGGCATTATTCTTATTTGGATCAGGTGTGTTCCAGGATATGCCTCCGATCGAGAACAACATCCTCTCCCGTCCTTCCAGCGTTGAATAATGTTGGATATTTTGGATATAGCGGGCTGTGTGAGAGGTATGTCCTCGTTGGACGATTCGTCTGATATATTTCCGTGGTTTTTTCGTCTTTTGCCGAAAAGTCTGCTGATGTCTGATATAACTGGACATCGGCACGATGAGTTGCTGTAGGCGCAGTCGTGGATGCAGTGAATATGCGGTGTTCTGAAGTTGTGTTTAAAGACGTAGAGGAATCCGTCTGATCTGTTGAGTTTAGACAATCGTTGATACACGTACGTACACATGTCTCTATAATTTCGATATCCTCGAGGGTACCACACGTCGTGTAAAAATCTTTGTCTAATATAGAGTTCATCGTAGAATCTATCGTATCCTCTGTCAAGTTTGTTGTTGTCGATAATAGTGGTGATACAATTGGCAAACAGTTCTCCCATATCTGGGGATAAGGCTTTTTCATGCAATATACTTTCATCGAAATTTTTCTCATTAATTGCGGTAATTCGCATTTCCGTATTATTTGAGTTTGAATTAGTGTAATTATACATTCGATGATTGGTAAGCAACTGACTGTCTTCTTTTTCATCGGTTTCTTCTTCGGAACTGTTGAAGGTATAGGTTTTGAAAGCATCCGTTTTTGTGAATGGATGAATTCTTCTTCCATGTTCATTGCTCCTTCTTCCTCGTGATTCGACGTCTGACATTGCTCTGATGAACCTTCCTGAAATGAGGAGGAGTGTATTACTTTATATATATATTTAATACGAGAGAAGCGCTGTAGCTTATTTTGCTCCATAAACCGATTGTGATGCAGTTTCAATGACATTTTTCATCAGTGGTTTATATCCTAATCTTTCAAGTAAAGCATCCATCTCCTTTCGTTGTTCCATACTATTTATTCACATAAGGATAAGAGTGAGTAGAGATATATACCTTCGTAGAATCAGTTCCCTTTATAGCGCGAATAAGCATAATCTATTAGCTAAGGCATAAACTATAATTTGCATTCAATCATGCCTGCTGAACGCCTAGCTGTAACTTTACGGTTAGTATGAAACTTTATTACTTAAAGTATGACTGTTCTGGCTTGATGGACTGTACTCGATCCACAATCCTTTCAACGATCAAAGGATCAATTATGAAAGATATCTTCGAATCAAACCGAGAAGAAAAGGCTAATTTAGTTTTTCCCAACACAGAATTGGACGCTCCTCCGATCCGACAACTAGAGAATCCACCTTTTCTAAGGGTAAATTCAAACGGCGACATACGTTCAAGGTCAAAAAATTCGACTGACTCCCAGAATCAAGCATGAAACGAAGTTGATGAATCTTTACCTGGAAATTAAAAACGTGAACCATTGCCGTCGCCAAAAGCACGGTCGAAGTTTCGGGACTCCGAGACCTCGTTTGTCGCAACGAACATAAACTGACCGGCCCTCCCGCTTTCTGCGAATGTTCATTAGCCTGTTTATCGTTTGCTGAGAATGTAAAATGGAGTAAGGGATGGTGGGGCGAATCACGTTGATCATATCTACTGGGATTCGTACATGAAGACGAGTGGTGATTCGACGAAAAACATCTCATAAACAAACATTTCTTTTTTATAATTCGAAAGCGGTCCCATGGTGACAACCTTTTAAATTGATAACAATTATTTAAGGGATGATCCCTCATTTTTACAAAAATCACAAAATTTGGCTGTCTTGTGGTCGACTGGCTTCGTGAAGAAGGCGTGGGTTGGACGAGCACTACGTTTGAAAGAAGAGGGTCGAGCTGAAAATGTTGAAACTGTGTCTCCTTTCACAAGCAAAGTTTTGATTTGGTGTTGAAGAAAATGGACTAAGTCCTGAAAAGTTGGAACCGTTTGCCCCGATGAGCCTCCTCAAAGGACCGTCTAGAAATCGGGTCTAAAATGGCAAGCCCTCGATTAAGAAAAACATACTCCGCAATATCTCCAATGTTCAATTGTTTTATAGCAACAAAACTGATCCAAAACAGATTCCAAACCCTGATGCGATTCCAACTTCAATGCACGGAATCCAAAAATTGCTCCAAATAATTATCTGCCAAACATCTATCGTCACTATAACGATCACACGCCTTCCAAATCAAGGCAAAATTGGCTCCAGTGGGTTTCAACCCTTTACACACATTGAATGCAATTTCAACACGAGATGCTGGACCTTTTCCAAATCTGTCAGCGAATTGTTATCTACAATAAGAGTTTAAAAAAATTCGTAGAAAACCGGCCAATCGTCTGGTTTCCCACCAAATTTTGGCAACTCAATTTTGGGAAGGCGAACTCCTTTGTTCTCAGTAGTCGGGGATGTCGGTTTCGCGATTTCCCGGCCAAAAGATACTTTAACTGCCTTACAATATTTAGCAGCAACCACTTCGATGTATTCAACCATCTCTTTTATGGTTTCATTAAATTTGGGTACATACTCTGGATTGAGTTCCAATTCTAATTCATTTATTCTGAGATCATAGTCTTCGAATTGATCCACCGTTTTATCCACTGATCGGTAACAAATTTTAAACCTTTCTAAAGATTTTGGGTCTTTAATTAACAATAAGTTCAACAGACACACTTCTTTTCGCAGCATCGCAAAGTTGTGAAGTAGGCTTGAGTTTAATGCCTAGTTTTTCGCAAGTAATACAGGTGTCGATTTGTGGCCTACCAAATCTAAGATTGAAATTTTCGTTGAAATATCTTAAATAGAACTCATATTTTACAGGTGTATTTGGAAATTTTTCTTTAAAATAGCAAAACAAGTTTTTTTACGTCCAGGCGAGCGTCTAGATACGCCATAAATTTCCCCGAGTAGTGCGAATGTTTCACTGTGAATCGATATGGGCATGAATATTCTCACAAACAGATGATGGCATTGTGTTTGTTTATATCGTTGACCGCGAGAATCTTTTGGTACTTTGACTTCTACCAAGAGCAAACACAATCGACGAACACGTTTTTCAGAAATTCCGTACAAGCTCGTAAAAGCTTTTTGCAAACATTTATTGTTTTTCCCATAACCAGAACAAAATACCTGAAATTGCAGCTTCTTGCCTTCGGAACTTCCTTTCTTGGGCGTGATGATTTTTGTCCGCTTTCTCGATCTGCTGCTGGAAAAAAAGTAAATTTTAACTTCACTGATCACTTTTAATCGTTTTGCATATAGATAGATAGATATTAGCATAACTTCACAATATTACAAAAATAATAATTAAATGACCTTTACATACCTGCAGTTTGGTCCTGTTTCACGTCTTGCTACTTGTTTCCCAGACCAGTTGATATACTCCACTCCATGGACTTTTGAATTACGAATTTTGTTTCGTTGGTAATTTCCTTCACGCCGTATTCTTCTCGTACCGCGTGTGACTAAATCACTGTTACTTGCATCCATGTTTTAGGACCGATCACAATGAATAAAGGAACATTGAGGAACTAACTCACTGGACAAGATATCACAGAATACTGAAGCAAAAACTAGAGTGAGGAGAATGAGAAGTGTTATTTTTGTTCTTTGAACGCAAAATATAGGTAGGTAAACAAACCGAAAGCGCGGCAAACCAGCACATGACGGAGAGAAGCAGACAGTAGTTGAGTGCAGAAAGGTCACGAGTCGTCTGACTAAAGCCGTTTCTACACTCAACGCGATCATCCCTAGTCTTGGAACTGCACAACAACAGCTCCACTTGCTCTCGATCTCTCCAAAGGTCTCGCTTTCCGTAGCTTTAAATCTTCCGAAACGACTAAAGTTAAAATAAATAATTTTAGTGGTGACTCTTTAAATTTTCCAGATAGCAACCCCCTTAGAAATTTTGTTGTGCAGAATTCCTGTCTCGACTTGAAATCTGCAAGCAAGAATTTTCGAGCTGAATTCAAGCTATTCAAACTGAGGAAACTAAAATTAATTTTGTTTTTGAACAACGAAATGAAATAAACGTGCTTCTGAAATAAAGTAAAATAAAATAAATAGTTCTTACTCCAAATAATAAAAGGCAAAAAATCGGCCCAAATCCGGCCCGGCTTCTGTGGCCCAAACGTTCTGGCTTGAGTGGACGGTATTTTTCGATGTTCTCGGGGGCGATTTCAATAATAATTATCAAATATATATAAATTAAATTGGCAACAAGCGTTTCCCACTCATCTCAGGTTGAAGCTTCCATCGGCGAAGGAGGTAAGTGGGGAAACAGGAGGGTAAAGGATGATTCACGCTATACCGTGTCGGGGCCGAGCCCGGGTCTCAACCGAGCCATAGCGTCCGAGTGGAGTCCGAGCCTTTATGCATGCTGTTCCGTAGTAGTTCCGTGCGAACCGTGGCTGAGTGTTGGTGAGTGGGTAACAAGCAAAATGCAATTTTCAGAACTTGAACTAGCAGCAATTGCCGTTGCACTTGATGAAGAAGAAAGGGAAAACCATGTTGATCGACTTCACACAGCAAAGAGGAGATGGGGCGTGCATCCTACTTGGCGAAAGCGAAAGTTGGAAGGAGAATTTGCCACACTATACAAAGAGTTGTTAGATGACGAAAGTAAATTCTTTGGCTATTTTCGAATGTCCTGGGAGTGTTTCAACGTTTTACTTCTAAAAGTGAAAAGTGGCCTCACGAAACAGAAGACATTCTTTCAGGAGCCCATTTCGCCATCTGAGCGACTAGCAGTGTGTCTCAGGTAAGTCAATAATAATATAGACAACCGGATCAGAATAGATAAGAATAAATAATAATTACCGACTTAAAATATGTATTTAAAACAAAAGTAACATACTTACAAATTTCACATGTATTTGAAACGTGTACAAATATTCTATAGTCTTAATAATGCTTTAATAGTCATGTTCATTGAACTGAGAAAAAAAAGTGCTCATCTCATTTTTTGCTGGTTGTTGTGGTAGAGCAGGCGAGTGATTTGGATGTGCGTCGGGTGTTGTAGTCCAGTTTGGATTCGGGTGGATTGGTGGAGCAGTTGATGTGGAACTGGTGGATGATTCATCTGCTGGGGATGTCTGCATTTGTGCGTACTCTAGATCCTGCACTATTGAAAAAATTCTTCCTTTTGCTAAATGCTGGTAGTATGGAGAAAACGTTTTTATTGTCGGTATTAAACCTTGGAAAAATGCGTCAATAGGGTGAGCGTCAGTTTGAGACTTTTCTTTTTTTTCAATAATATATCTCATTAAGGTATTCGATGCACTTTCCGTTGGATATTGCAGTGGTGCTTGTGACATTCTGCGAGTGTAGCGGACTTGATGATGTTTTCGAGTAGGTCTTGAAGTTGATACTGGTCGTGATAGAGATGATGGGCAACCATCAAGTGGTTGTGACAACGGAAGAGGTGTGGAAGGTTGTGGTTCCAATGGTACGTCGTTTGGCTGCACATTTTGTGAAGAACTGCCTGGAAGTTCCATACTGTCATTGGCATCATTTTCTTCATTTATCTCCGCTTGGTTGTTTGTATTTCCCGATTCGTTGTCATCTTCAATATTGGAAATTGTGTTACGCTCCTTAATGTGCGGCAGCAAAAATTCCAGAACATCTTCATATTTATATTTTTTGATGAGGTTAGGGCTTTGACCACTTTTGGTGTTGCGCTTTTTCAAATTTCTTTTGAATTGATCCCTTATATTTGCCCACCGTTTTTTGCAATTTTGATCTGTAAAAAAATAGAAAAATTATCTAAACAGAATTATACGTAAATAAGTAACAACACAAATTATACACAATGAATGTTACTATAGAAGTAATAAATGTTTAAAGTTGTTAAATCTACTGTAGTTTTGTAAAGTAACAATATATAAACTAATTTAATTACCAAGTTCAAATTCATTATAATGTTACTAGTGGTACATGTTTTTTGTTGTGTTCCAGATTTTTGGCGACTGGAGATTCTTTCAAAAGTATTTCATACAGTTACCGGTTGGGTCATTCAACGGTATGCCAAATCGTAAACAGTACGTGTCGAACTATAGTCACCGAACTTATGAATGAAGTAATGCCACAACCAACAGAAGAATCATGGAAAGCCGTTGCAAGAGATTTCGAAGCATTATGGAATTTCCCCAACTGTATCGGCGCGTTAGATGGCAAACATTTTACTATTGAGGCTCCCGCAAATAGCGAGTCACTTTATTTCAACTACAAACATACTCATTCCATTGTCTTATTAGCGTTAGTGGATGCGCGATATAAATTCATTACAGTCGACGTTGGTTCTTACGGAAGAAACAGTGATGGTGGTATTTTTGCTCGCTCTTCTCTTGGAAAACGCTTAGAAAATGGTACACTAAACATACCCAGCGGGAAGTATTTACCTAACACAACGACCGTTGCACCGTACGTAATTGTTGCTGATGAAGCATTCCCCTTAAAAACTTACTTACTACGGCCGTACCCAGGGCGTCAATCAGCTGAAGATACAGGAAAAACAAGTTTCAACAATAAATTGTCATTAGCTCGGCGATTGGTGGAAAATGCGTTTGGCATTTTAACACAACGATTTAGAATTTATTGCAGAAGAATAAAAATGGCACCAGAGAATGTGGATTACGTTATTTTAGCCACTTGCGTGCTACACAATTTTTTACGTGAACGTAGTGACAGTGTACATTTACCACACAGTTATAATGACGGGACACAAAACTCACAACCACAACCATGTTTTGAGCCATTGCGCAGTCAACCAGGGAGACCAGCCGAAGATGCTTTTGCAGTGAGAGAGCTCTTTAAAAATTATTTGGCGACTACAGCTGCTCATGGAGTTGAACCTTAAATAGTCTATGATTACTAGGTATGAATCTAATTTCTTCGTGTCAATAAGCTATTATACTGCACCGGTTGAAAATTTTTGTAAATGTTATGAATAGTGCATCATCCGTAAGAGACGAAAATGTAAATAAATATAAATAATAAATAAATAACAGTTTTGTCGCAGTGAATGTTTTGTCTATTGTTCGTGAAATAAAAATTATCTTTACTTACCATTCTGTTGCAAATCTTCTGATATTTTCTTCCATATGGTGGCTTTGTGGTTGGCATCCAAATACTTTGGATGCGACATATCGTAAATGCAACTGTACTTCCGCACACTTTCAATAAGAATTTCGTCATCCATTTTTAACGTTTCACTGAGGAAGACGCAATAAAACTGGGGTAGACAACCGTCCCGGGCACGGGGAGAAATGTTCAGCCCCTTTTCTCACCGAGGCACGTTCCAAGCACGTGCCTGGCTCGGGCGCTGCTCGGTACAACGTGAATGGGTGCATATAAAATAATGTCAATATTCTTTGACCGTGTACTCTCCGTGCCTCGGCTCGGCCCCGACACGGTATAGCGTGAATCATCCTTAAGACGATCGGGTTGAGAAAGGACCATGGACAACCCTTACCTGGGCTTCTAGGTGTTACCTCAACCTTTTTGCCATTCTTCGCCTGAACGCGGGATTTTGAAAATCCAAAATGTAACAGGCTATGGGCTTGATGACACTTCACATATGAACTCTCCTCTTCACACCCAGCCAAAATATGTTGAGTAGAAAAACACCTTAAGCAATTGGCTTTTTGTTTGACGAAACGATACCGATTCCAGGGGGAAAGCTTGAGGAAAAATTTACAATTGATCAATTTATGGGAACCTTTTTTACAAAATAAACAATCCTCTTTCTGACTCGCCTGAACGAGAAACGCGTGGGGTTTATGAGCCAATCGAACCTGATTTTCTCTGGGCGGTCGGGCGACTAAGGCTAGGGCCACACTGGCGGGATTTCACGCTGCGTTTCAGCGCTCGAAGGGTGGGGTTGGGGCGCGTCTTCAAGGTCAGCCGCCGAAAGATAGGACTGGTTCCATATTTTCACGCAGTCTCGGGTGGCCACACGTGCGTGAAAAGAAGCGGCGGCGTTCGTGAACATTTCCCACTGTTCATTACACCTCGTCACTATTTTGTCATGGAGCTGGACAGTGAAGTGATATTAATGGAGGTCCAAAAATTTCCTTGTCTTTATGACATTAGGTTACGAGACTATAAAAATCGGGAGTTGAAGCGGGATTGCTGGATAGCTGTTTCCAAAGCAGTAGTGAGTGAAGAAAAGTGGGAAGAACTGGATGAAAGCAGCAAAACAAATATTGGTAAGTACTGTTTATAAACTATTTATTTGAATAATTTGAAATAAGTATAACCGTTAAGTAACCAATCGAAAGTTATGTTACAACGCGCCCTTATTCTGGGATGTTGACGTAATTATTTTGCCAGGGTAGTGACCCTTCAGCAGAACAAAAGTAATTCATAAAACTATCTCGTACGGTTTTACCATTATTACTTCCTCTTGTACCAAGTGAGGGGATGCTTTCCAAGGAGCATGACAATGTGTCGTCAAAATTATACCCGTCATGCCGTCTTACAAAATTATGGAGTAAGCAACATGCTTGAATAATTGTGTCAGCGCTGCACAAAGTGCGACAATGGCATTTTTATTTAACGTAATTTCATTCATTTTAAGAAGCGCTCACCTCAAAGGTACACGATGGACTGAAAACCAGCGTGTGTGGCCAGGTTCAAGCTGGATTTCACGCGCGTGAAAATTTGCTGGTGTGGCCCACTCTGCGGGAGCTCACGCTAGCGTGAAAAAAAGCTGCGTGAAATCCCGCCAGTGTAGCCCTAGCCTAAAGAGACTGTTTTGACTTTTTTTTCAATAAAATCCACGAAATCCTCATAAGTAGGCACAGCTCATTCGCGGACTGCCACCTCAAACGAAAGACGGGACATAGGGTCTAATAATTTCAAACCCCAATTGTAAGAAAATTGCGCCGCTCAGGTCTGGACAATCCAGTCTTTTGACCGCTGCGATTGGGGCACAGAATTGGTCCAGGATTGTAACCAATCCTTTCCAAATAGGAATCTGTTAACGCCCGAGGATCGTTGTAACGTTTGACCAGTAAGTCCCACATAATCTGGTAATTGGACGCGACCGGTGCTAAATGTTTACAGGTATTTAAGGCAGAGTGTGTCAATTTAGAGACCAAGTATTGAACCAGGTTACTATTATCGTGCACGAGAGATTTAAAAAGTTAGTAAAAAAACTGGCCAATCTCCGAAATTTCCTCCGAAATGAGGAAGATTGATCTTCTGAAGCCTAATAGAACTTCTCGGTATGGTGGGAACTTCATAAGAAAGTTATGCCGATGGTTTCATGGCAGTCTCAAGTTTAGTGGCGACTGTCTCAATGTTTGCGACCAGTTCGTGCAGGGTCTCGTTAAATTTCGGCATGTACGAGGGGTCTTTTTCCAATTCCAATTCGTTAATCTGGAAATCTAACTCATCAAATTCGGCTTTCCTTTTGTTCAAATTAACAACGAATTTTATTAAAATAATACTGAGAAACTAACTTAAAATGAAAAATGAAATTAATTGAACTCAATCGGAGTTTCAATAAAATTTGCCGATTATTGATCCGGCCCGGTAAGGGCTAATGTTAACGAGAGAGAAAGAGAGAGAGAGAGAGAGAGAGAGAGAGAGAGAGAGAGAGAGAGAGAGACAGACAGACAGAGAGAGAGAGACAGAGACTAATCCCTTATAAGAGTGCGATATGTAGAGAGCCCGTACGAACCTGTTCGAAGTGTTAATTATTTGTTAATATTTTATTTGAGGTTTTATTTTTGTTATTTTAATTTTTTTGTTTTGCTCTGCTACCATGTGTGACGATCCTTTTATTCGCTGTACAAAATACTATTAAAAAAACAAGAAATAAACATAAAAGAAATTTCTTAAATAAAATAATAATCCCGAAATACCAAAATCCTCCACCAGCATGCACTCGAAAGGCAATTATACAATAAAAAATTAATACAACCTTTATTCAACCAAAATAAAATCAAGATTTGTGGGACAACCCGGAAAGGTTTTTCGAGTATCAGTATATACCAGAATGAGACCGACAGCATTTGAATATATACTGAAGGGGATAGAAGAAAGAATCACAAAATACTCCAATTTTCGTGAATGTATCGGCAAAACAAAGACTGGGTGTAAATTTACGGTAAGAAAAAGTTTAATAAAGTAATCAGTACCTTTTCAATATAAATACAAAATTTTTGAAAATGAAAATAAAAAAAGGGAAAATACATACAATACGCAGCAAAAACCAACAAATGGCAATTGCATTTTTAATTTATATTCTGAGGCGAAAAAACGATGCAAGGTCTTCATGTAGAGGAGTACTCAGTGGAGTTGCCAGTTGTGAACCACTTTCCCAACTTTCATTGTCAGTAGATGAACCACATGCGGTACCTCTGTAATTACTTGTTGGTAACGGATGTTGACTTCTGTACCCCCCCCCAAAAAAAAATCCTCTTCGCAAAACACTTGTTGGTGTTTAGTCCTCACAAACATTTTCCTTTGTTCTGGTACTTCCTCAAATATGGCACCAAACTCATCAGAAAATGATAGTCCAGCTCTTCGTTTAGAGAAGTTGAATTTCTTTCCTTGAACATTTTTTTTTTTTTTTTCAGGAACAGCGAAGTTTCGTGCTAGCGTAGTTTCATCCGTTGTGTTCTGAAGTGATTTGAGAGTTGGTGTTTGTGATTCTGGTTCGCTTTCAGGGGGATTAGGGGAAAAAGTACCAGTTGAATTCCGGGTACCTTCATCAAGTGTTTTCTCGCTTGTCTCGCTAGGAACATTACCCTGTAATTTACTGTTTTGAAATTGTTCCTTTAAAAACTCCATGCTTTTAAAATAGGTCCACCCAGACTCTGTTATAATTCCTCCTTCATCTCCACTTAGTTTTTTTTAGAATAATTGCTCAATTCCTTGCGAAACTTGTCCCTCGGCTGTATAGACGGATAACACATTCGCATGAAACGCCCCAAACAAGCAGGGTCGATGTATTTCAATTATAAGGGCTATTTTTCTATTGTATTGCAAGGGATAGTTGATGCAAATTACAAGTTCATTGCTGTTGAAGTCGGAGCTTACGGTAAGCAAAACGACGGGGGAACCTTTTCAACATAACAACCAACACAATATTCCGTCAACCAACATTTCAGCACCCTTTGTTTTGTTGGGTGATGATGCCTATCCTCTGAAATCGTATTTTATTGAAGCCATATTCAAGACCAAGACTTACTCCCGAAGAAAGAAATTTTAATTATAGATTATCAAGAGTAGATGTTGCGTGGAATGTGCCTTTGGTATTCTGGTAGCCAAGTGGAGGTGTTTAAAAACTTAACTACAAATGGATCCAGATAAATTAGACATCGTAGTTAAATGCGTTTGTCTTTTGCATAACTTAATCATCGATGAGGAAGGTCTTACTTCCCTTGAAATTCCTAAGTTGGAATTTGAACCCCTACACAATGGGCCATTTTGCATATAGTTTTTCATTGTCCACTTTGGGAAAGAAAAAGGAGTCAGCTAATACAGAGGGAGAGGCTGGCCGGTTCCTCCATCTGAATTACTTCTGAGCGAGAATATGAACGTGTTTGTTGGTTTTGTGGATAAACTGGACTTGGATTTGAATTAATAAACACAGGTTTCAATGAGAAAAAAATGTAATGCTATCATTTCAAATTTCACGCAAGCAAAGCACGACAACCAGCTATAATTTGGAGTGCGTCCGTTGATACTGTCCTATATGCTTGGGTTACAGCTAAAAGAGCGCTGCGCTGTGCCCTTTCCAGTACCCTCCAGTCGACAGCTCCCAAGCTGTGAGTCCATGCTGGAGCAGCATACAGCATTACCGATTCAGAAAGGGCTTTGTAATATATTCTCCTGGTTCGGTACGATGTTCCCCACGTAGGTCCGCTAACCGCACGTATCGACGCGATAGTTGCCGGAATCTTTACGCAGATGTAGTGTGCATTTGCTCTAAAACGTAGCTGTGCCGTCATCTTGACACCCAGGTAGGTGAGAGTAGGGGGTGCTTTAATTGTAAAGCCGTCAATCCTTATTACAGGGGGCGATCGCATGTTCAGTGATCCTTTCAGTAGCATCAAGTGTGTTTTATCTGGGGCCAGTTTTAGCTTGACTCGCTTAGACCATTCGCTCAGGACGGCTACTGTGCTAGCGCCTTTCCTTTCCAGTTCCGCCTTTGTGTTTGCTTGAATGATAACCGCCTTGTCATCAACATAGACGAGCCGCCGCATGGTGGCAACATACGCCTATGCTGCTTAGAATGGTGAGGGCCTCGTCAAATAAGACCGCCCAGAGGTAGGGGCCGACCCCTGGGGGATTCCCATTTCAACGGTTCTGCTGCAAGCATCTCCGTATTCCGCGAGGGTCACGCTGCGGTCTCTTAGATAACTGGCAATGAGCTCTAATAGGTCTTTTTTCATTAGGCTGTCCAGTGACGCCGGCCACCACATGCGGTCGAAAGCCTTATGAATATCAAAGAAAATCCCCGCTACATATTTACTCGTAGAATCCCTTGTGCACTGGATCATCCGACGGATGACATGGGTCGTGCTCTTTCCCGGTATCCCGCCATACCGACCTATGCTGAGACTACTGTCAATTGCACTCCGCAGTCTCGCTAGTATCAGTAATTCCATTATATTTCCCATTACTGGTAACAATGAGATCAGGCGGTAGGAGCCAAGTAGTTCAGGTAGTCTCCCGGTTTTTAAGAAAGCGCATACTCGCGCCCTTTTCCTTGCCACTGGGAAGTACCTCGCATTTAGGTAGTCGGTGGCGAGTTGATGTGCATACGGCAGTATTACATCAACACAACTCTTGACGATTATCGCCTCGACGCGATCCTCGCCCGGTGCACTGATTGTTCTAAGCTTCCCAATGGCATTCCTGACCTCCTCCTCAGACCAGTGGGGTGCATTTCCGTCTCTATCGATGGCCATCACTCTATTCCTGGTGTTGGCATGGAAATTATCACCTTTCTTTGGGTCGTCTGCAGGGAAAGCGTCCCGTAGGAGGGCTTGGCCCGCATTGGCCATTCCATGGTGTGCTTCGTTGAAGGATTCGGATGCTAGTCGGCTAGATATTATGCCTCTTGCCGCTTCAAACGGCAATCTCCAGATGTTTACTTCATCCTGTCTTTCAACATACTGTTTCCAAGCTTTCCGTTTCGCCTTACGTAGTTCTCTACGGAAAGTAGCCTTGGCTTTTCGGTGCCCGTCTAACAGTTCTTCTCTGGTTTCAGGTATTCGACATCTTTGGTAACGGCGTCTAGCAAGCTGAGCTGCCGTTTTCAAAACTGTGTCCACCAGGGAAGGTTGGTGTATGCTTTTGAGTTTCGGAATATCCTGCCAGGGCCGGAGACCAGGGCGCTAGTAATCGTCGCTACCTTATTATCTACGTCCTCAATGGAGACGTCCGGCCACATAAGCGATTGGGCTTCCTGAGCTAGGTCGCCTCGCATCAAGCTATTTAGATCTTGAAGCCTGCTTGGGTCCAGGCGGATCCGTTTCCTCGCGTTCCTTTTGACAGAGGCTTGGACTGGTGTTACATTCAACGTTATCCAGGCATGATCACTCGTTGTGCCATCAATATCTATTTTAAGGTTTGTCACTCGTCGATACAAAGGCCCATTGCTTTGCTAATCCCCTTCTTCCATGGTTGCTGGGCCAGAATAATGTCTATTTTCTGGGCTTTTGCTAAGACTCGCGCTTCCGCGCAAACGGTCTGTGAGCCATGGTAGTTGAGTTGTGCTATCCGCAGTGGGGCTGGCTGTTTAATTCTTCGTGGGCGGGTCATGAAGAGTGATTCTATTTGTACTCTCCGATGGGCCAGCTCTGGTATCCTCACACATATCCAGGCTGCATGCTTCCTCATCGTGTTGCGGTGATTGCTCTTTAGGGCTCGGCGAATCTCCAAAGTCAGTTGAGCTCTTTGCTTTAATAGTTGCTCTAATGTGTGCTTCGCGTGCCCGCTATGTGATTATGCGGCTTTCCAAGGCGTTCGCAATTTGTATACTCTCTCGTATCGTGTGCTTGAGCGCAGCAACCGCATGTGGGTTCTTTCCACGGGCACGCTGGTGTAATGTGACCGTACCCTTGGCATTTGTAGCATCTCATGATGTCTACAAATGGGCGAACTGCGCAGGACTGGTAATCTAAATATATTTTATTACTAAGCTTGTTATTTAGTAAAATTTTACACACTTGGGGGAGGAAGCTCCACGACCCACGACACGAAAGGGCTTGACTTACGAGGTCCACTGCCGTATCGTACCGTGTATAGTGGTTGTTATGCCCCCCTTACCAGTTAGAATATTAGGAAATAATTCAAAAATTCCATAACGTACGCTTAAGCTTTAATATTAAAGTTCTACGCTAATTTCCGTTACAGCTAAACAGTTACTATACGGAACATTCCCAAATTCCTTACGCTAGATTTAGGGGAACCGTCGAGCCAGATTACTTCAAGATTGAATAAAATGAGCTCCTACCTAGGGCCAGCACAGAGAGCAGGGTCATCCACATTCTTCAATCGGTTTCACCTTTTCCACTGGTCTTGCTTCGCACTCGGTCAGTTGTCCACTGAACTCTCTCTCTATCCTGGCCCCGAGCAGGCCAGACGCACAGTCATCACTTCCATTGTTTCCCCGGCTCGACGTTTCCCTTTTAATTATTCAACTAACTATTAACTACATATTTCACTGCATTACAGTGGTCTTATTGCTTCAGCAAGCGTATCAAAAGCATTGTTGGCTACCATTTCATCTTTTAAATCACTGGCGCTTGTATCTTTGGGGACGCGCAGGATTAGCATGCGTGGGTTCCTTTCTTCCAGGCTTCGCGGGTTTAGCTCTGCCTTTTGAAGGTCGTTCAACGCCTTATCAGTAGCTGTTTCTACTTTTATTGCAACACCACCTCTGGCCGTGGTCCTTATCCCACCTATCCTTATTTTTGCCACCCTTAGGTTGAGGTGCTCTTTGATTTTCTTCAGCAGGTCTGGCGGTTCTACGCCACTAACCGGGCCCACTATTATGAGCTTATGTTGTGCCTCTTTTGCCATTTTAATTTCCTCCTCAGTATTGCCTCTCCCAGAGCGCGGGGCATTTTTTATTTTTGGTTGCAATTAGGGCTGCTTTACCGAGGTCTCGTCGACTGGTAGTTTCCTTCGGTGTTTAGCAGGGCGGTGGCTTCTTGATTTGGCAGTTACCCAAGGGTTCTGGTTGTCTTGATGTAGTAGCGTTTCGCTAGATGGGTGGGTTCGTGCACTCTCACTCATCGGAGTTTCTAAATTTTTCATTTTTCCTACGCAGGACGTTAGTTCGCTAACGATTGTCTTTACTGGAGAGAAAGACGTGGAGGTTTTAGCTGTTTGTAGCTCGAGAGCTATTCTATCGAATGCCGGCGTCAAGGCTTCAACAATTGCATCTATTTGATTGTCTGAACGAGAATTACATCAATTAGCCGAGGCAGTAAGATGGGCGTTTTCAAGGGCTAGCTTCTGCAGCAGGCCAATGATACGGTCCTCTCACAGACATACATTGCCGCCGATTTGGGGCACTTGTTATTCGGGTCTATAGGTATTGAGATATTTCACCCCTTAAGACATGCGACTGAGCGCAGGCTTCTTTATGTATATTTTCTAAGGGAGGGGGTACTTCACCGATGATAGCCTCATAGGAGCAACTAGCAATGGCCGCGTATAAGCGAGATTGGTTGACTGCATCACCTGAGGTCGATGTTGTATCGCTCTCAGGATCCGATACATACACACTCGAGTAAGACTCGAGGCTTGCCTGGCTAGCCGCCCTAGACTCTAGGGCCTAGAGGGTTCAATGACGCGAGTTCTAGAAGTTTTTGGATTGGTTACGCGGGCCTTTTTAACTGAGCTATTGCGGCTTAGTTTGCTTACATTGCTTCTGCAAGTAGATGTGCTCTTAGTTGAGGTGGGGCTGGTGGTTGTGCCTCTCACAGATCCTCGTGTTCCACAAACCTTACCTTTCTTATCGTATTCCTTTTTCATGCCTTTGTTGTTATCCTTTTTGAGACAGTCCTGTTTTTGCTTTATTCTTTTTATATCCATATGGTTCCCACGATTCGAGGGTTTCCTAAAAGTCACCAACAGGCTCACCCACAACCCGCTGGAAGGCGACTTATATACTCAGGGGTGGCGCCAGGTGCCCCTGAGGCTCCGTTCAAGACTTGACTACCCTCGAGCCACGCATCCATCAGCCCGGTTCGCATAACACTTTAAATTGGGGTTTTCTATCGGGGTTGTCTCCCTTAGTCTGATGTCTCGGTTTATGCGCCGAGAGTGCAATTCGCCCTACACCGTTAGCCGCCACCACCGAGGTATGTGGCGTTGCCCGGGGACCACGGCACGGACGTGGTGTTAGGACTTGGGGTTTCATCAGAAAATTCCACGTATACATGATTACACGTCTCCATCATTCCACACTCACAGTTAGGTGATTGCTTTAAACAAAATTGATGTGCCTAGCTTTGTGACCACCCCTGACGCAGGGATGAAGGCTACACTAGGGATTCTTAGAAATACCGATTTAGGAATGCCGATATTTTAGAAATTGAATTAAGTAAAATATAAATTTTATTGGTTTTCCAAATGAATCCACAAAAATTAAAATTTTCCTTTTAGCTTCGAGACAAAATTATAAATTTAAATTCCCAACACCAAATTAATACATAATAGCAAATGAAATGAAGTACTGATACAAAATAAAATAAAGTTCTTAAACTAAAATTACACAATTGAAAAAAGAGTATGCCTATATTTTATAATAGAAATGATAAAGGAAATGAAAAATATTTTTATAAAGAAAAATTGTCGTGGTACCAGGACAGTTGTTTCAGGTCAAATAAAATTTACTACAGCAATAGTAAATACAATAAACACCTTTTTTAAATATTTTTTTGTTGAAAAAATAAGAATGAACAAAATATAAATATTCCTTTTTTTAAAATTTAAATTAAATAAAACAAATAGGTATGGAACCTTTCTATAATAAAAAATAAACAATGCTGAATAAGCACTTTTGTAAAAATTAAGAAAACAAACAAATAAACGTTATGCGGGCAATAACTGAGAAATCAATTAACAAACGGACAAAAAAAAATGAAAATGTTCTGCGGACACGAGGTTACCCAGGCAAATAAATAATCGTCGAACTCCTGTCCACTCCGACGTGTAGAAAGATCTCCCTCCGTGAAAATAGGCCGCCGAGTTCAGATGATGTCCAATTGTGGTCCCCGGGGAAAAAAAGCAAGAGCGCAGACAACAAAAAAAGCCACCTTTTCTGCTCGCCACGCGTTGCTCGTCTGTTGGAAGGAAATTGTGGCATTACGAGAGTCTAAAAGAATCCCTGAATTTTTGCAAAAGTTGAAACCCAACAACACGGGTATTGGCATGTTCTTAATGATACTGAATTTAGTTGTCCAAGATAAAGAAAAATAAATCCATTAGAGTTCGTATGTCGCCGAGAATCGAATCCTGATTACACGACATTTGAAAAAACGAGTATCTACACTGCATGCAGATACATCTGACATGGATATGTCTTATGATGGCTATTTAAACACACTCGCAAATTATCAGGGAACGCTTATTTATTAATTTGAGGATCGTTTTTATTTGGAAGCTCATTACAACTCACAAGGGGAGAGTTTTGTCAACAGCGATGGAGAGGCACGTACTTGTTCAAACCGTACACACTGACACAAGCAACATTGAAACTTGTTTTTATTTCGATTATACTTACAGCATTGGAATCAGTACGGCTAGTTACCGATAACAAAGGACGGTGGGTACTGAAATACGAAATATATTCGCGCGTTTTAAAATGCTCGATGTGACGAGGAGAAAAGACGGCATCGATGCAAGTCGAATTGCGAGAGGTAGAAATTGCGACATCGTTGGTTAATTGTAATCCCAGTTCGGTACGCATAAATTCGATGAATTGAGGTCCGTGTGGTCCTCGTAAATCCAAATTAAAGTCTCCGCCAACGAGCATAGGTATATCGTGATTATTATATTTTTCGAGTATCTTGAACAATCCTTTTAATTTAGGACTGTACGCCATTAGATTTAAGATGAAGAATTCTTGAATTTTTTCAAACGATGTATTCGGAGATATATAGTATATACTGACACATTTTTCGTGATCGGCAGTAGCACCATCGTACGTTCCATCGGCCAGAACGGGGCTCCAAAACGACAACGTTTGTTCTGTTCATCTTTGGCCCGTTTGTAACACGTAAACGTGTGTTTGTGTGTCTGCAGTTTCTCTTGCTCGATATGATCGCGATCGACACTGATCAGCGAGTCAATCAGTCGTCCAGTCGCCGGCATCTTTTCGTCGACCGGTTCTTTAGGGTCGGCGGCAAGCCAAAGTAACATGTGCGCGTGCGGACTACCACGCTGTTGGAACTCAATCCGCTTAAAATAGTCGATGAAGCGGTAGCGACCGAACGGAGAGTATGATTTCGACTTCAGCAGAAACATTATCGTATCAATAAGCTTGTTGAAGTACAAGCAGCACGTTACGGGGTCCTCGTTGACGAGCGTCGTCCGCAAATCGCTGCTCATCGAAGTGGCCGGATCGCCTTCACCTGCCCATTCCTTTCCCATCTCCAATCGATATAGCAGGCGCAACAGATCGGACCAACTGTATTCGTTCGCGCTTAAAGTGAGGAAAATCGTCGGCTTTCCTAACTGGCGAATCATTACAAACACGTCTTTTTTTCGCGACATCCAATATTGTACGCTATTGGGAATCGATTTCAGGAACGATAGATTACGCTCGATCATGTTGTCTCGATATGACGTCATATGACTTTGTTTTGATTTTGATGATCTGTTATTGTAATGATTTTTTTGCTTAGAGTGTTTGCAAAGTCAAGCGAAAGTGCGTTTAATGTGCTGCCACTGTCTATCAGCGCTGGTACTGCCTTAGTTCCAATATGAATTTTAATGAAAGGAAGGTGTTCACAGCATCGAAGGTTAAATTTTTGGTGGTTAGACGAGGATTGGATATTATTTAGTTTTTGTGGTTAGTTTTGTTAGGTGTTTGTTGTAAATTTTGACCGGCCAATAATTTTTGTAGTCTTATAATTTGTTGTATGTTGTCTTCAATAGAGGCAAAGTTAGGCTTATTGCTTTCTCCATTGTGGCTCCTGAATTGTTTATTTTTGGTATTCTGGTAAGTGAGGTTCTTTCCTGTCTGATTATTTCTATTTGGATTCCCGAACGAGTTATTGCTATAATAGTTATATTTGTTTATGTTGCCATTATTATTTCTACGTTGATCAAATTTAAAATTCCGCGCTCTGTTTTTTGGGAAGAAATATCCGGCTTGTCTATAAAAGGGATTGCTTTGTGTATTCCTATAAAAATTATTGTGGCGACTATGATGTGGTGTTCGGTTCGCGATATGATAATTGTATGTGTCCCTGTAAGGTCTGTGAAAATCAGGAGGTTTAATTAGTGGATATGTAAAATTACTGGGGTGTAAGAATAGTGATTATAATGCATGTTTACCGGTGAATCCTTGAAATTGGGTGAGTGATTTCGTACAACTTGCGCATATGTCGGTCTGTTATGTGTAGATAAATTTTCATTTAATCTAATCTCCACTTCCTTTACCTTATTGTACAGTTGAATGTAAGTTTGTACTCCTTCTAAGTATCCTAATAAGAGTAAGTAGTTGGGGTGGATACTAGATTTTAAATGTTGAATATTTGAGGACTCATTGTTTTCTCCGAATAGTCTAAGTAAAATGATCTGGTTGTCAAGATACTCACTTAGATTTTCGTGTGATTGTTGGGGAGCAAAGAGATAGTTCATTTTTGCAATGATGAACTGTTTGGGAGATAATCCATTATGTAACAGGGATTGTGCAAATGTGTCAAAGTTGGTACGTGGATATGTTAATGCATTGTAGAGAAAATTTGCTGACGTGGTATTAGTTTCTCTTTCCGCTAATATTAGTAATATTTTCTTAAATTTGTTTTTATTGCAGAAATTGATTTGGGCCAATTGTATGAGAAAATTAATAATGGATTTGGGTTAAACAATTGAAAATGAGGTAGTTGATTTATTTTTCTTTCCAGCGTTCTCGAAAATTTCAAATACTTATACTTGTGACATGTTATATTGGACGACGAGGTGGAGTTATCGGAATCAAAGGAATTAGATTGTAGTTGTGTCTGTTGTTTTGCTCCCAGCAAAATACTGAAATCAGGATTGTCATTGTTTGTATATAGCGATGTACTAGGCTGATTATTGTTTGCATGAGTAATTTTTGTTACACTTTTTAAATTTGGAGAAACTATTGTTGAATGAAATGGAGTGGTTTTGTTTAAATCTGTAAATTTATTTACAATGGAGTTTACTTGTTCTGGAGGAATTTTTAATTTTATATTAGGCGCTATTTTTAAATTAGTTATATTTATATCTTGAATTATTTGTTCCTCCTTTGCAGGACTTTGTGGGAAGAAATGTGTATGATTATTGGTTTCAGAAGTAATTTCTTTAATAGATGCAGTTTTTTCTTGTTCCAAAATGTCTTTAAGTAAGTCTCCGCTTTCTTCCCCCAATATATATATGCCCGAGCTTTTGTTGCAAGTTATTGAGCATGGTGTTAATGGTTTGTGAAGCTTTATTGGCATAATATTCTTGAAGACTATTTTTAATTGCTGTGTCCAAATTTTTTTTTTTTTTTTTTTTTTTTTTTTTTTTTTTTTTTTTTTTTTTGGGCATATATGCTTGGTCTTATTTTTTTAACCCATTATAATGTGTTTGTAAAAAATTAAGAGATAACCTTTTCTTTGTGTTAAATCAGAAAAAATGAATAAAATAAAATTATCTGTTTATATTTTTTAATTTTGTTGTGGAATGCGTTTGTGCCTGTTAGTGCGAGTCTGGTGCGTGATCCAGCTCGCTGATTTGACTCAGTCGCAATTTAATTTATCGCACAAAATTTTATGTCTGAAACAATGTCCTGCCGCCGCTCTGCTACCACTTATAATAGAAATGATAAAGGAAATGAAAAATATTTTTATAAAGAAAAATTGTCGAGGTACGAGGACAGTTGTTTCAGGTCAAATAAAATTTACTACAGCAATAGTAAATACAATAAACACCTTTTTTTATATTTTTTTGTTGAAAAAATAAGAATGAACAAAATATAAATATTCCTTTTTTAAAATTTAAATTAAATAAAACAAATAGGTATGGAACCTTTCTATAATAAAAAATAAACAATGCTGAATAAGCCCTTTTGTAAAAATTAAGAAAACAAAAAAATAAACGTTATGCGGGCAATAACTGAGAAATCAATTAACAAACGGACAAAAAAAAATGAAATATCCTGAGAAATACTGGGATATGAAATGATCTATTTCTATATATTCCTTTTTAAGCGGTCTATTATGATCGGAAATATATAATATGTATGTCGTCCTTTTTCGGGTAAGTTCTACCTATCTTACCACTGTTGTACACCCCATTCATAGAATTCTTTTCCATTGCTTAGGCCTGGGAGGGTTGTTCTGCCATTTTTGATTTCCCATATTGCTGTAATCATCTTAGCTTTAATTTCGATCGGAAATTGTCTTGCAGGGCTTCTGTATAAATTGTTCTATACGTTTTTGTCATCATCCGCAAGGTACTTCTTTGGGTCTGCTGTAAGAGTTTCCATTCTGCGGCTTTCATGATTGCTGTCCATGCATAGGTCGCCACTAACTATGCGATCGAATTATACGAATTTCCCTGCTGAGGAAAGTCCCAGTTTATACGTCTTAACGATATCCGAGGCTCAATCTTGCATCTCGTCCTCCAGCTCTCTCTTCCAACTGGATCTTCTTCTTATCGGTTTCGGACATGGCTTAAGGATATAAAATCCGGTTATAACGATCTTCAGGGGACCAAGAAAAACAAATCGTTATATCCGGAAATCGCTACAACCGGAACCAAACAAACCATGAAACCTACCTACAAATTTATGGGTATGGGAGGTTAGTGGGAAAAAAAAGCGTTTCAAAATGATAACAACTTTACTGTTTATTTTTATGTACATACATATTTTAATTTTATATACAAATTGAAGCAACATATTAATTTTCTTTAAAAAAAATCGGTAATTTTTGTTTGCTTGCATTTTTTTAAGTACAAATTTTTGCTTACGTGGCTATGAAGTTCTTTTAAAAAAGCAGTGTTTTCGGGTTTATTCACATCATCATTTAAGGCCACGTACGTCCGAATGACTCCAAGAGCGCTGTACACTTGTGACATTGTTGGAATTTTGAAGTCTTCTTCGGCGNTACCTATGTTTCATTCGTAATTTAATTACATATGTAGGTATTTTTCATCAGCTCAAAACTGTTGTATGTGCGTATTTTTTATGCGTATCGTTATAGCCGGAATGAAAAACAACATTTTCGTATGTTTTTATATCGTTACATACGGAATATCATTATACCCGGAATCGTTATATCCGGATTTATTTCTTCACTTTTAAATAGCAAACCAAACTAGATACCGGTTTTACATCGTTATATCCGGAATATCGCTATATCAGGAATCGTTATAGAAGAATTTTACTATATATATATGTGTAATTTATGTTTATTATTATGTTTATTAGTTTATTTATATATTTATGTGTAAAATGTGTAATTTAAAGAAAATACACAATCTTATTAGGCGTTCGGAGTATGAAATAATAAGCCAAATTGTGTTGTTCTGTAAAAATACAAAAGAAACAACAATTAAAGCTATTATTTATATTAGATTTTCAAGACTTCAACAATGCACTCGTAACTTGTTATCTACTCTACAGGTTAACCTCCCTCTTAACAATCGAGTCGAAGTAGTGCGCGGCAAATTTTAAAATTAGTTTAAACAAATATAAATGTTCTTAAAAGAAGTATGACGTTAACATGTAACGTCGACTTTCTTTTACATCTCCCCCCTCCATTTTATTTTGTTTATTTTTTTTAATGTTCTATTTTACGTAATCTGGAATGGGTATAAGTTTTGTTATATGGAAAAGATTTGACTCTGATGTTTTATGCCCAGTATCTATTCTGTAAATTGGGTTTGAAATTTTTCAAAAACTTTATATGGTAAAATTTTGAGTTCATGTAATTTTTTTCTGTTTAAATGATATCCGTTTTCTACATATACCAAGTCTCCTACTCTGAATTCGCACTTTCTTCTGTTTTTATCGAACTGTTGCCTATTATAGATGTGTGATCGTATCGTGTTTTCTAAGGCAAGTTTTCTATCTCGACTTAGGTCATTGGGTGTTATTTCTTGCTTCAATTCATCTGGCAAAATAGCAATATTTTTCCCTTCCAATAAGTATTTTGGAGAAAATCCTGTCACTGTATGCTCGGTTTCATTATATCTTCGGGTGTATTCATGGGCTATGGTCGTCCAGGCCAATTTTCCCTTCATTTCATTTACCTTGCATCTAATTTTATTAACTAGTTTGGTTTAGCCTTTCATTCAGACCATTCGAGAATGGTGCATTTACTGCAGTAAATATAATGGTTATATTCTCCTTCTCTAAAAAGGTTTTAAAGCCTTTTGAATTTATGCCTGGGTATTGATCTGATAGAATCATGCTGATTCTATTGCCCTGCATCGTCACTTTTTGAACTAGTTTTATAAAATCGCTTGAACTTTGGGTTTTCGAAGTCAAAATGTGGGCATATCTCGTGAAATGATCTACCAGAAGGTGTAAATATGTTTTTGTAGAACGTGAGCCGCCGAATCCACCAATAGTGTCTATGGATGTAATTTCGAAAAGGTAAGTAGCAGGACCCAAGTGAGACATTAGTCCAAATTTATACTTCCCTCTAGATTTGTTTTTTATGCAGGTTTCACAGTTTTCACATATCGTTTTAATATTATGCGTTGTTTTTTGCTGTATAGAATGGTTTAATTTTATTTTGCATTTGTTTTATTCCTAGATGACAGGAAAGGTAATGTATATTGGGTTGTCCGGAAAATAATGCAGGATTTTGGTATTAAACAAAAAAAAAGAAACTAGTTACTTTAAAGCAATGTTCTTTAATCAAAATAATTTCCCATNAAAAAAAAAGCAAGGCGGAAAGCGTTGAAGCAGCAACTGAATAAACACGAACTCATTCAAAATGTGTAAATGGAAGCGGCTCCTTTTCAATCATATATATATATATATATATATATATATATATTTACATCTCGCTATCATTGTGACGTCCTTTCAAGCTACTATCCTTGTGGCGTCCCCCAGTTCCGCTTAACTTTTTGGAAATTTTTTTCGTGAATATCCTTAATATCATCTCCACGATGTATGGGATGGGTTTATTTATCAATATACTTTCTTATTGTAAATATATATTTCCTTCACTTTTTCTTTCATATGTGCTACTATCTGACGTCCTTTTTTATTGACGACTTAGCGGCTTCCACGATATACAGAATTATTTTGAGTTCATTCCATCGATCATGTGGCGTCCGAGTTATTATACAATTTCATAACACTATGTGCCACCCGTTGTTCCGACTACTTTTCCCCCTCTACTTCCGCCTTTCGGAAAAACAGCCTTTGACGAACCGACTCTTAAGCACAATCAAACACAATTTGTCCGGATCGAGATGACTTGCACGGATAATTACATAAGCTAAAGTTCTGATTTTCAAACCGACTCTTGGACTATAATGTGTGTTTACTTTATCATTTTTATATCCGTAATTGTTATATAAATAAATATATAAACTGGCCAGACTTACGCCAGTTCATTGTTTTTTTTGTAGTTTTTGTATATTTATAGTTAAACAAATTACAATATATATCAAAATATATATCAAAATATGGTTTGAAATATATAAATTGTAATTTATATTATAAAGTGGTCAAAACATTTATCTTAACAAATATAGTTCGAAAATTGGGCAAGCGTTTTTGTTTACACAAAAGTTATGAAGTAAAGTTCAACATATACATAAGTATTATACAAGTAATAAACAAAAGTAAAACAATACCTAATGTGTGTATAAAATTAATACGGTTAATTTTTGATAAAGAAAATATACACATATTTAGTTAAATTCCACAATACTTGCCAATAAGGTTTTGCAAGCCATAATTTAAAAAAAAAGTGTAATTTTTTAACATATTTATTTTACAACATACAACATTCATGTTACGAACTATTTTTTAGTATACTGATTTTGTACAAACACTTTTATTTTTAGCCAATTTTTGTTGGACAAAATGGGATGAAGTGTAATTAACTTTTGACACTACATTTTTTTTGGAGCTTTTTTATGTTTTATATGATCCTTGAAAAACTTTTTAACTATATTTTTTTGTTCCGTTGTCCACGGAATTAAAACTCTAGTCTTCTTCGTCTTCATCTCTGCGGTTTTCTCGGGGAGTGTTTTCCTTTGTTCATTCTCTTGAAGTAAATTTTCTCGCTCCTCAAAGCTATTTGTAAAATCTGTCATTTCATTTTCGTCACCGCTTTCACCTTCAATAATTTCTTCTTCAAGATTTACATTTATTTGCTCAAGTGTCTTTCCTTTAAATGCTTCCGTCTGCCCGTTTTCCATTAGTACAGTGAAACCTCTCTACAACGGACAGTCATGGGACCAACGGATTTGTCCGTTGCAGAGGGGTGTCCGCTGAGGAGGGGTAAAAATGTAATGTTGGTATGTACATACATATATTTATTAAAATGAATATGTGCATGTATCAAAATTAGTTTATTAAAATATTTTTGGGAATTAATAAGTACATTATTAAGTACATAATAGAAAACACAATAGTATGTATGTATGTACAATATGTACATATGTATGTATGTATGTACATATTAAAAATCCGGAAATGAATAACATACAAACACGGCGTAAGAAAATCAAATTTTGAAAAAATTGAAAAAATGAGAATAAACAACGTACTGTACTATTCATGGAGTAAGTAGGTACACGTGTGTAATTTATACTTTTTTGAAAAAATTAGTAATTTCTGATTGTTTCTTTTTCTTTGAATTCACTATTTCTTTTTCGTGATAAACCATCACCTCGTGGATTAAATTGTACCCTTCCATATCATGTTTTCTCTGATAAAAATCTCTTAACTTTTTTAGAGTTTCGAGACCGTCGGGATAATTTTTTATAGTGGTATCAACTGCAAAATAAAAAAAAGAATAATTTTAATGGCATTCATCGTACAAATTAACAATATGTACATATGCATGTTTCCTACTTACGATTGTCCTCCTCTTCTAAATCTTCTTCAATTTCTTCTTCAATGTGATCACTTTCTTGAACCGATTCCAAAATATCTTTTATGTCCATACTATTGTTTTCCGTCATCAAATTTGAATCATTCTGAACAAATTCTCTAGCATCCATAGTCATGTTAGACAATTCTATGAGTTCTCCTAGGCTTGTTATCTCATCACCTATTAATCTTTCTACGGAAGAGTTGTCGAGTCCATCATTTAAGAAACCGGCTTTTTTAAAACAGTTGTTTATTGTTGATGCTATTACCGCATCCCAGGCACTCTTAACCCACATAACCGCCATTAACACGTTGATACTTTTTACAACCTCTTGTGCAGATGAATATTGATCTAAACTGCATATCAAGCGACGCAAAATTAACTGGCGGTATTTTACTTTAAAATTTTGGATAACTCCTTGATCTAATGGCTGCGATGTTGAAGTGATGTTCGGTGGAAAGAAAGCCAGTTTTATGTTTTTCAAATCCAGGTGAGGGTGGGAGGTCGCATTGTCAAGAAACAATAAAATTTTTCTTTTTTGTGCCCTCATTTTGTTGTCCAGTTGTTCTAACCATTCCCTCATAATATCCGTTGTCATCCATGCTTTTGAGTTAAACTTCCATGAGACACCGACAGTTTCCATATTTACTCCTTTAAAACACCGTGGCTTAGCAGCTTTACCGATTACGAGAGGTTTTATCTTTTCACCGGTCATACTAGCACAAAGTAGTACGGTCAATCGTTCCTTAGCCACTTTACCCCCTGCACAATTTTCTCCTTTAAAGCACAATGTTTTGTCTGGAAGAGCACGATAGAACAATCCCGTCTCATCTGCATTGAATACATCTTTTGGGGCGTATCCTTCAATTATACTTTCGATCTTCGAGGTCCATTCTTCCACTGTATATTCGTTTACTGATCCGGATTCTCCGCAAATTGCTTTAAATTTAATTGCGTGCCTGGTTCTAAAGCGCTGTAACCATCCGTTTGAAGCTTTAAATCCCGTGTCTCCTAATTCCTGGGCAACTTCAAGAGCTTTAGCTTGGATTATTGGGCCAGATATTGGGATTTTTTGAGCTCTAACTCGCTGAAACCACTCAAGAACGGCTTTGTCTATGACTGCACCGCCAGTGACTCCATGAAACACTCGGCTCGTCGTTTCTCCAATGTCGTTTTCGCGATATGATTTCACTATTTCCGCCTCGTGCTTTAAAATATCGGCGATTTGAGTCTTGCTAACTTTGAACTGATTTGCAAGTTTACGCACTGATAATTTATTTTTTTTATTAAACTCGATCATTTGAACTTTTTCTTTTACCGTAAGGAATTTACGCGGCGACATTGTTGAGAGGAGAAAAAAACCGACTGAGGCATATGGGGTTTGGAAATGTTGTGCTATGAAATGGCCTAGAAACATTTTGATTTCTACTAGAGGGGGTTTCTAAGAAAACCGCCGAGGACCAAGTGAAAAAATGTAAACACTTCGTGGAAATTTCTATTGAAATGCGAATTTTCATAATGATCATGGATTCCTTAGAAATTAATCCCTGTTCAGACAGGAAATTCGTAGAATAAAAAAATTAAGTACATATATGTACATACTTAAAAAATATTTTACATACTACGTAAGTAACTTCGTATTTCGTATGTACTGTTAATAAATTTAAATTAATTATATCTCTTAATTGTATCTCTCGGGGACAAAAAGTAGGCTGTCCGCGTCCGTTACAGGGGTGTCCGTTGTAAAGGGGGTCTAAATACATTGATTACCTATACTTCCTCGACGGGACATTTGAAAACTGTCCGTAAGAAGGGGTGTCCGTTCTAGAGGGGTGTCCGTTAGGTGAGGTTTCACTGTACTATTATTATTATACTACCTATCCATTAGTTAGTTTTTAGAGACGTCCTCCTGAAGCGAGGCTTCATAAGAAGGACTGATTTCGGTGAGGGGGGAGAGGTGGGTGCGGGACAACCCAAATTTGAGAAGAAAAAAAAATTAATACAAATCCGTTTATCCGTTTCAGACCATTCTAAAACCGAATCCGTGAAAAAAGTCATAGGTGTATAAATATGTATGCGTGTGACAAAATTTTTTATATGATACCCAGGCCAAATTTCACAACCGATGTTGATGATACTTGTTTTGTTCTAGTCACTTTTTGGTCAAGTTGTGCAACAAACTTCGGGAATACCACATTTCCAGACAAAAGGGGTAGATAAGTGGAATCGGAAACACTCCTCAACCAATATCATAACTCCCACCAGGACGTCCCCTGTAATTACGTACCAATACTCGGGAATAAAACAAAATGTATGGAAGCAAAACACTTTATTGTTGGTGATTACACTAAATATAGAAGTGTGAAGAGAAAAAGAACATTTCTTGTCTACCTACTATGAATGGGAAATGAATGACAACTGAAAAGCTTTTCTTCTTAATTACCTAATAAAAACACAAAAATAACCCTGAAAAAAGGAATAAATTCTATTGGACTCCATTATTTAAAGTAGGTAGCAATCTATTTTGAAACATTTGCTTTTAAGACGACCCTAATTTCAAAGTTTCTGTCAGTCAGACGGTTTGATTTCGCTGTGTTTGTGAGGGATGCAAATGAAAACAGTCGCTCTACTGGTGCCGAAGATGGGAGAGGGGTGTTGCTTCGTAAGAATATATTTTTTATAGCAGGGTACTGATCAAGACTTTTCAAGTCCCTCGACGAATCTGCAAAGTAGTTGCACATTTGCATGTCAGCCATAGCTTCAATTTCATTTCTAGCTTTGCAAACGTCATCATCTTCAAACTCTAAAAACTTCAAATAATGTGGGTTTTTTTGTGGTTTCGCCTGCTCAGCAGAAGTCGTTGAAGCTGTTCTTGTCAATGTAATCTCAGCAATGACGGCCCGTCTGAAAATGCCAATCAGTTTGTCGTGCTCAATAGAATTGACACTACTTAACCACTTTTTTTTGAAAAGGGGATTGGCAATAGACGCAATTACAGCCAACTGCGAAAATTCGCTGCTGAAATCAAATAATCCACTGAACCTTTTTTCGATGCTCGCGTAATAGATTTCAAGCTGGTACACAAAACTGCCAAGATTGCGTTGCAATTTAAAAATTTTCCGTCGAAGTGCTAGCAACAGTGGCAGTAGGGCTCCGTAGAAAACTAGTTCTTCACCTTGAAGAACGTCCAAGACATAGGCGATGGGCTCACTGCACTCGGTGTACTCTGATAAGTACTTGAAGTCATGGTCTTGTAACTTTTGCTTGGCTGTCAGTTGTCGGTACAGTTGGGAACTTTTATTTGCGATTGTACAAATCTGCTTCATAGTCATATAATCGAGTGTCACCGGGTCTTGAAAGGGTGTGGCCTAAGACATCTTGAATAATTTCTGCTGGCTTGGGCCGTGCGGCAAAATTCCATGGAATATTACATTTCTCCATAACTTGGTTATGAAGCTCTGCCAATGACTTGAACTTCGAGTAGCCTTTCTTCACATCACTGGACGCACACAAGTGCAAGGTATGTGACGCACATCGGAAGTGCTTAGTGGAAGTGTACATCAATTTCTTCTGAAAAGTATTTCGCTGAAAAAAAAATTTTAGTGAAATTTTCCTCCTCCTCTGTGATATTAAAGTCAGCGTCTGATTCGCTGGACAAATCTACTGGGGCACACTGACCCTCTACGGCAACATGGAGGTCGTCGGGGAAAATATCACCGTCACAAGTCGTCAGAATGGCTTTCTTATCCACACCAAACAACTTGAAAGCTTTCACAAAGTTTGCCCCATTGTCTGTTACGGTGGCAACTATTTTGTGTGCACTGAGACCAAATTCTAAATGTATCTCTTCGAGAAGGGTAGCAATTCGGTCGTACGTGTGACTGTTTTTGAAACGCCGGCAAGCTAAAGCAGCCGATTGTCTCGTATATTTTGCATTTATCCAGTGCACCGTCACACCTATAAAACTTCTCTTTTTCCCCGACCAAATATCGGCAGAGGTGCACACAAAATTTACATCTTTCAAGGAAACTCGTAAATTATCGTTGTTATTTTTAAATAAAACTTCGGCTTTTCTAACTACATTTTTTCGACTCGGAATCTTGAGCCCGAGAATACCGATCGATTTTAATAAATCCGCAAAGCATTCATTCTCAACAACTCTAAAAGGGATCATTGAATGGATAAGAAATCGAGTTATTTTCTCCTCGAAAACAGGTTGACAAATTTTCACGTGCTTTACAAAACCTTTGGATCGTCCGCTTTCATAGCCCCCGTTACTACAATCACCCTCACCGTCAGAATATTTATATTTCTTTTCCTGCAAATATTCCCTGTACTCATTGTACCCTTCCTGCCCATGTTTTCTTTTCAAGTGGTATACATAGTTAGATGAGGATAATCGGTGCCCTTTCACCTCCGATCGTAAATCTGGGTCGCATTTTTTACATTTAGCTACCACATTATTTTCATTGCTCTTATCAAGAATAATCTCAAAAAATTTACCGTCGAGAATGGTCAATACGTGAAGACTGGCCGTTGCAGATGTCGTAATTTCCGGCAGTGGGTCTCCTTCTCTTCTAACTGTGTCTGTGGTTCCTAAATTCAAGCTCATACCAGTTGTTCTCAGTTGCAGTGACTGATTTGAATCACTCCAATCTCCGAAACAATTTTCCACCTCTGATTCACTCATTTTTGAGAAAAAGAATAATACAATGGAACACTAATGAGCTTCTCAAAACAGTGTCTCTCAACTCGACTTCTATTTGAATGAATTGCCCGCACGGTTTAAAACGAACGTTGAATTGCCTACTTCAACGAAACTGGATGACGACGTGCCTAATCTGGCCGAAGCGAAGGAAAGATATCGAAACATGTTCAGACACAAAGCAGAGAACATTTTATTGACAAGTTCTCTGCCCTTGATAGGGGTGCATAATAACAATAAACTTTCAAGAAAACCGGGAGTCAGGATCTGCAGAAATGGACGGTTGTACCATGTTTCTGTCCTCTGCTGGCTAAGCGCTGTTGCTTGTTCTTATTTTACCAACACACACTGATTTGTGTTCTGTACTTTGTCATAAGTACACGTGATGTTCTAACCAACGAACGCCAACTATTGTATCTAAAGACAAGAAAGAAATCGAGGAATAACCTATGTATCTGTTCCAGATAATATTATGGACATCTAAATTTAACAAAAATGATTGAACTTTAATTTAACTGATGAAGAATTGGTCTGTTTCATTAGTCTCTAGTTTACTACTGTCTAAACATATATAAACGAACATTATAGATGAACCGTACTCCTGTAAAACCGAAATTACCGCCTGTAATCCTGTATAATTGCCACAAGTTTCATACGTTATATATGGTCGTCTTCGTACTTAGTTAAGAATCCTATGGTGTAAGGGAGTTGGAGTACCAACCATTCCGACAAATCGGTCATCACCAAATCGGCTATAATTGGGCATAATACACCCCACCCATGGCGACACCATCTTTTTGCTTACATACATCATCTACGAATATCTTCACTAGTCAAAGCAGTCCAACCGGAGGCGACAGGGTTCTTCGTTCCCTTTCTTCAATTTTTATTCCAGTGTGCATAGTTCTGTAAATAGCTGTAATTCAGTTTAAATTTAAAAAAACAATTGTCGTAAATGTTGAGTGATCACAAAAGAACCTGAAAGGAATTGCCAGTTAGACATAAAAGAAATTGGGCCTTCAGTTATATGGGTTTTGACTTTACTAGCCTAGATAACAGCTGTTAAAAAAAAGCTTTACTTCCAGTTTAATCTTCTACAGAGGAAGTGTGTGTGCAGGTCACGCATTGTATCCCGTCATACTTCCTCAAAAATATTCCTTTATCTCGTAGCAGTTGTTCACGTTGTTGACCCAGTTTGTAGAGATTTAACACGTCCTCTCTGGTTCGAGACAAACAACCAACTCTTAAATTGTCGAAGATCGGTCAAATGTGATCCTTTGAATCATAAAAATTTTATGAAGTAAATAAACTTTATAATTCAAAAAATATTTAAAATACTTTTCTTTTTTATTCATTGGTTGACACTACTTTTGTAATTTTTACACTAAATTTAATTAAGAGGGGTCTACCTCCGGCTCATATTAAGTTATTGTTGTGGCTGCTAATAAAATGTAATTAAAATAAATGCCATTTTAGAGATGGAATTACTAAATTTAATTAGATAATTGCCGCAGAAGGCAGGATAATTAAAATAAATGTCATTTTAAAAATGGACTTATTAAATTTAATTAAATAATTATCGCAGAAGGCAGGACACTTCTGACAGAATTTTGTGAAATTTCTTTCCATTTCAATATTTTGCTTAAAAAAAAAAAAAAAAAATTAATTAAAAAAACCGGCCCAAAGGCAGTTATTGGGCCAGGAGGGCTCGAATGGTGGAACATAAAAATATTTACCTATACGCACCTATACGTACCTTTAAACATTTTTATTTTTTTATTTTGTGTAGAAATTTTGTGATTCTTGTGTGATAATTTGTCTTTTTGTCCAATTTGAGATCATTCTCTCATTCAATTGTTTTGTTTATTTTTTCATTGATCGAATTAAAAAAAAAAAAAGTAATAATAAAAAATAAAATGAAATAATCTAGTCTGAAATGTCCAAAAGAATTTTGTAAACAAATTTGTGCTGCCTACCGAGAAACCATTCACCCTTTTCGAGGCGAATTACAATATAATTAGAATAGCCTGTACAGCACATACGTTGTATTTGCAGCCACCTGGATTTTTTTCGTCAATGACCGAAGTTTTCATATGTCAACAGCAGTAGGCGACTCTTCTCATCTGCGGCAACCACAAAACAACGAGCTTTGTAATCTCCGTCTAATTAAATTTTTGGTGACTAATCACAGCACCATGCAGTCGCCACTATTTCGACACGGTTCCGCCTTTCAAAAAGCGGTTAATGGGCATGCAGCACCCCTCTGTAAAAGTCGGGGCTGAAATTACTCAAAACAGATTTCGCTGACGACGAGTTCTCAGATTCATTACTGAGAGAGAATGCAGAAACCACAAGGGTCATCTCTGTGGTGCACATCTCATCGTTCGTTTGACACCTACTCAACTGCCACGAGCTCTTACTACGGTGTACATGTATTCAAGCCGAGGGGGCTTGTAGCCATCACCGTCCACGGGTCTACATCGCTCAACTTAAAAACGGCCCTTTTCAGGGCCACTGTTTGACCTCTTCTCTGAAAAAAAGAGAAAAAAAATGAAATTTCACACATGTGGTGCGCGAAAAGAATGATTGTGTAATCGACTCAATGGAACAGCATTAAAGGCAGTGCAACAAACAAAAAACGTCTGCTACCCAGGCTAAGGTACGAGGGAGATTTTTCGAACGGTTTAGGAAGCTCAAAACGGTTTCGCTCAGTCTTAAAACTTGTTTAAAAATTAATCGATTTCTTTACTAAGTAATTTGGATGAACGGATCGCAGCCATGTCATGTTGAAAGTAGTGCATCCGTTTGTACCCGTAGATGTGTAATGGATCCTGACGTTGCTGCTTGCTGGATTTGAAGCCGACTGGAAAAGCTAGAGCTGTTCGTGCTGACGGATGAATTGTGAAAGTGACGTCTTCTTCTTTCCCTCCAGACTGTTCTTGGATTTAAGAATTTTTTCATTTACTTATAGCAACCTTCGTATCGAACAGGAAGAAACAATATAAAAAAAAAGTTTACATTTGTGTAAAGAGCTATCATAATGATAATGCTGTAATCATGAAGCTGTCGATGGAGAAGTGTCATAGAATTATCTTGTCATTTAAAGTTAAAAAAATGATTAAACCAATTAAAAACTAATATTCAGGCACAGTAAAGTAAATAAACATGGAACTAAAATTAAGTAACTTGGGTAATTTTCATTTTCATTCTGTAGCCATAACTATTTGTAAGTAAGAAAGATAAGCACATTTTAAGTTTACCAATAACATTTTACCTAAACTACCAACCAATATGTTACAGTCATACTAGAAAATACATGTTAACTCAGAATATGCCTACAGCAGATTGGAAATGTATAGCACAAGTGTCGTAGAATAATTTCGTCAATTAAAGATAAACGAAGCAATTTGAATGAACAAAAAAAAACCTGCACTCTACTACTGGAAAAGAAATATCCATGTCGCAAAAGTTAAATATAACTAACTTGGGAGAAATTGTACAAATTAACACACAAGAAATAATGTTACACATGAAATAATACTATTTGAGGAATTTGCAGTGAAATAATTGAAGAAGTTTATACTGCTCTGATGTATCTTAGCCTAGGTCAATCATATCCAATGTTATGTCAAAATTAGATCTTTTATAAGAAATCAATAGAGTTCGACATTTTATTGAAATAAAGTTTCTTTTGGAATTATATAAAATCGTTAGTCATTGAATTCTAATTAAAATTAATTAAATGAATTATATGTACATTGTTAAATGAATAACGAATGAAATCAGAAGCGAATATAACTTAAAATATACATAGTAATTTAACACTTAAACGTGTCTGCAAATTTGTTGTTGGAATGTAGAAAGAAAAATTGAAATGTTGTTATAAAATCGTTATTCGTTGAACACTAATTAAAATTAGTTATATGGTACATGTTTAAAGTATAAAACAACAAATATTGAGAATATAACATAAAATATACGTAGTAATTTGAGACTAACTTGTCTGCAAACTTGATGTTGGAATGTAGAAAGAAAAATTTAGTATGTTGTCATTTTTAAAAATGACGTGTTAAAATTAAAGTATTTTTAAATTGTAAAAGAACATTATTTAATTTGTACGGGATATGAAATATTATTATGTGTAACTTTTGAGTTAAACAACTTACTAGTAGAGACAAAAATATCAAGCACCATCCTGCCTCTCAGCAGTAATTAACTGTGTATAAATAATAAAAACAGATTTTTCTTTCCTTGCTCACGCAGTCAGAGATAGACCTTAATCTGTAATTGTTCTATTTTCCTACCCTTCACTAATTCTTACTGTCAAAAATGTTAATTATCATAAATAACCTTTTTAAAATGGTAAGTTTCTAAAAATTACATATTTAGATGTTTTAAGGACATGGAAATTTTTGAGACTAATGTTTTGGTTTTTGTAAAAAAAAAAACAAAAAAAACAATCCCATGTGGTTTAAGAAAGGTAAATTGATTGCAATTCCAGCAAAATGTTTTTCCTCATTGCGAGTTGTTGATGTGTCTCTTTCCTGAGTAGAATGTTTTATCAGATTGGGTAAATGTGGTAGTAATTAAAAAAAAACCTTTCTACAAAACTGTGGCTTATCAGTATAATAAAAAATTACACACAAGTTAGTCATAAATAATTTTTTTTTGTTTCTTCTAATGCTATATCCATCTCGCATTTAAATAAATGTAGGTTCAGTGGGGTTGGTAAAATTACATTTAGTTAATCTCCTTCCATTTCGCATACCACATCATTTTTGTTACAAAATTGGTACCCAACTAGCACACACAATTGAATCGATCATTTTGAAAAGGGGCCACCTCCAAATTTCCAAATTTTACAGGAGAATCAAAAAACGTATCATAAAATTTAAATTTTGTAGAATTGTTTTTTTCTAGTAGCCAAGGGTCTTGCGGGGGATAAACACGTTGTTTTGGACAGTTTTAACCCGTTCTGGTGCACAGAAAAAATTATTTTTCACGAGAGAGATGCCCCATTTTGAATATATAAAGACTTCATTTTACAAAACAAGAACAAATACCGCGCGTCTTCATACATAATGTTAAAATATTAATTTTATTTAATTCGATTTCTTCCATATTCGAATCTGTTTTAACATCTGTTGAATTTATGCTATTTATTTTATTTCGACAAATTTCAAACTTAAGCATACAATATATAATATTAAAAACAATAATTTAATGCAATGATTATCATCGAACAATGCAATATAAAAGTTGAACCTGTATTTTCTTCATTAATATTCTTATGGATATTTACAGGGATTAGAGAATTCAAGGGTATATTTTGTAGAGAAATTTTCCTTAGATGACTTTCCATTTGAGGCTGTTGGTTCACCGTTGAATTTATTGAGTCGATTTTAGGCAGAATTTTTGGATTTCCACTAGATGTCGATTCGTAGACCAGATGATTTCCTTTGCAGTAGATCGTCGCGGACTCCGTCTGCATTACGTAGATTCCATGAAGTATTTTCGTTTCGGTTTCTTTACGTGTGACAATCGTTAATTTGTCAGGCGTAATAAAGACGATTAAATATTTATTTATCCCTTTTATCAGTTCGATATGATTATTTGTGAAGACTGGCAAGTCGACGTCTCGTTCGGCATAATTTCTTCGACGCAATTGGATCGGTGATAAGATACATCGTCTTCGTAGCATTTGAATCATCGATTTAAGTGTTTACATTTAGTGGTTAATAAAATTAAAGAATTACTTTTTGTTGCTTTCAGTACGAACTTATTTTCAGTAATTACAGTTACATAAGTTTGGCCTAATTTAGAAGGTATTGAATAGAAGTTATAAATATCGTATTCTACTTTTGAATTAAGAGGTATTGACAAGCTATAAACAATTTCGTTATCCCGGATTTTACACTCTTGTTAAATATTCTATTCCAAAATATTTTCTAATTTTATTTCTATATGCATCTGCTTTGCAGGATTTGTAATTTACAGAATGTTAAGGAATGTTCAATATTTATTTGGTTTTCTTTAATTTGATTGATAAGATCGTCAAAGTTTTCCTTGCCTGTGTTGTCTAGGTTTCCTGTAATAAATTTTATAGCTGATCCAAGTTCGTTAATAAGTCCGCGACGTTGTCGGTTGGTTCTGTGCAGACTTATATGGTCAATTTTTTCGTCGATGAGTGATTTGGAATAATTTATTAAGTTACGAAATGGTAGTGTTTCTTCTAGAATTGTTTTGTTGAATTTTATGCGTTTTCTGATTTTGTTAAGTCAGCGAAATT